ATTTTAATATTTAATTATATTTTTTTTAAATTTTTAAAAAATAAATAATATTTATTTATTTTTTTAAAAAAATAAAATTAATTTTATATTAAATTTAAATTTAATAAACCTTTAAATTTTTTATTTATATTATTATATTTAATATTATAATTTATTATAATAAAAAAAGTAAAAAAAAAAAAAAAAAAAAAAATTTAAAAATTTAAAAAAAAGGGGGTTTAAATATTATAAATAAAGGTTAATATTAATATAAATAAAGTTTAAACTAAATTAAAGTAAAGTTAGGGGGGGTAATATAATAGGTGTAGTTTAGAAAAAGTAAGGCCTTAAAGGTTTAATACTTTTTAAGGAATTTAACTTAAAAGGTTTAAATTTCTTAACTTTTACTTACTTTCTACTTTTTTCTTTCTTTATTAAACCTAACTTAGCTATAAACTAACTTAGTAATTCACCTAATTGCACCCCATTATAATGCCTACCCCACCACCTCTCTGGTCATTACCAGCATACTGCGAAGAAGATGGCCTCCGTAAGTGATGTTACCCGCTATTCGCACCGGTCGGCGATCCTATCCTGTCCAGCAGGTCTGCAAGTCGGCTCGCGATGGGACGGCCGTGGTGGCGGCTGGAAGCTCCGGGCAGACCCACCCCGGCCGGACGACTGGCGTCACACCGTCTGCCCGCGCGGGCCGTGTGTTGGGGGGGGGGGGATATCGGCCGTAATTTCTGACCATGCACCGGGCCTGGCTATATACAGTGTTAGTCTCTTTGTCCTATACTCTCCATCTATCAACTATATTCTCAATCCCATGTCACCAACGTTGGTGGGCCCAAACCATCACTGTCGTGGGGATGGTCCTGCAGATGATCAAATCAACTCACAGATGCCTCGGTCCACACCAAATCTGCCATGCCTGGACGATATAGCCCAGAACACCCAGCAGGATTGCGGCTGAGGCCCCACGTGATGTTGAGGTCCATGGCCCAACTTCGAGTGAGTTGAAGGGCTGTCGAGGTCCTTTATGACCAGAGCCGTGGCGCCAGAGGCCCTCGATAGGACAGGGTCATACCCGCTGGCGCGATGTGGAGGCACCACGTACCATACCGTGCGTTAGTGGGTACTAGAGATGGTTACTATAACTACCTACATATCTCTTTACTACCTTTTAACTACCATACTACTTCTCTTCCTTTAAGGCTATTATTATAATATTTACCTTAATTTAATAATTATAATAATATATATTATTAAGCCTAAATAATCCTTTTTAAATTTTAAGGTTATTTTAAAGGCTTAAAATAGTTATAAAGAAAAAGGGGTTATAAGAGTGAAAATAAACTTATTAAGGAGGTTTCTTCCTTTTAAGTAACTTTTTTTTTATTCTCCTATAATTAGTCTCCTATTTAGATATACTAACTAGCTGAGAGAGATTCTTTTTTTTTTCCCTTTCTATAGGGTCTTTTTTAAATTTTTAGCTTTTATTAACCTATTTTTAATAGCCTTACTTTTAAATCTTTAAATATAGTTAATTCTAACTACTTAGGTGATTAACTTAAAGGAGGAAGGTAGAGGACTTAGTTGAAGTTAAAGGAAGAAAGGAAGAAAGGGGAAGGGGAAGGGGAAGGGGAAGGGGAAGACCTTTGCGACCTTTTTCCCTTTTATAAGTCCTTTTATAAGTCTATCTCTTCTCTTTATAGCTACCTTTCCTTTTTAAGTCTCTTATTATTAAAAGTATATTAAGATATTAATTAACTACTTAGAAGTTAATATTCTCTCCTTTTTAAGTATACTTAAAGTCGGTTTTATAAAAAAGGGATTTCCTATTTAAAGGATGGTTATAGTGACTATCTCTAGTACCTATTAATATACGGTATGGTATGTCTTCGGAAGTATGTGGAGTAGAAGCGAGACCAACTAATTCTAGAAAATAACTGTTGCTAAAGTCTAAAGGCCCCTGGTACGGTGGGCCGCTGATACTAAAGAAACTCACCCCCAAGTCTTCCCACTTCAACGAGATGTAGGTAGTCCGTATGAGCAGACCGATTGTCCAAACAAGATAACCGCAGATGGGAAGAAGGAAGGTTGTAATGTACCCATGTGATCATGCGGCGGTTGAAGAACTACCAGTCATAAGGCCACTTACTGTGCTGCCAGCTAATAAAACACGTAAAGAAGAGGTTCAAGAACAATGGCAGTTATATCATAAACACAAATTCAAAAATAAAATACATTCTATACAGGGTATTCGCCAACACGTTTACGGTAGTCATGCACTCCACCCACTCACACTCACACACACACACACACACTTCTGCTCGAACGAGACTCCCCGTCCCCGCCACCTCCTTAACCAAAAGAACATGAAAAAAATAAATCACAAAACACCAAGGAACCACCTGGGCAGTTAACTCGATATTCATAATAGTGCTACTCTTCATCATCCAACACCAAGCACCCACCCAGCACGCCCGGCCATGAACCCACACACAAAACCAGCCAGCCATCCGTGGACGCCAACATCAATCCATATGTATATACCCAACACCATCTATCCTAGGGCATCTAACCAACCCACGAGCACCACATCTACTTCCTACTTCTTAACACTAACACCCATGAGCTTCTTGCCCTCCCCGCCCCCGTCACCGTCCCCACCACGCAGCGGCAACACCTTCTTCCCAGACCTGAAAAACCCAAGCTTGTGCTCAGGCTGCTCATCGCCCCCATCGCCCTCGACACCACCAGCACCGCCACCACCACCACCACCGCCACCAGCAGCAGCAGCAGCCTCCTCCTCAGCCCTCCTCTGCAACAACGCAGTCTCGCTCGCCTTGCCCGCCCGCGCCTCCCGGACGGGCGCCATCGCCGCGTCGAGGAGCTGTTCCTCAGACTTGATTGCCGCCGCGCCGGCGGCCTGTTCCTCCGGGTTCGCGGTGCGGCCCCTGGTCGCCTCGAGCTTCCTGTCGTGGTCTGACAGCGGCGCACCGCCACCCGTGGGCCGTGTGTTTGTCGTCGTCGGCGGGGGTCCCTCCCCCTGTGTGGCGGGGACCGCCTTTCCCGCCGGGCCGCTGTTGTTGAGCTCCTGCCCCGCGGGGTCACTGCTCCTGACGCCCACGAGCGACTCGTCGTCGTCGTCGCTCCCGCCGCCCGCCTTGCCACCACCACCAGCTCCAGCACCGTCCTCGCGCTCCGCGCTCCTCACGGAGCTCGCCTTGCTGACCGCCGCGCTCGCCGTCGTCTCGGCCCTCAGGCCCAGCCTCCGGTCCGCGTTGGGGTCCTCGCCCTCCTCGCCCTTCCAGTCCGCGGGCCTCATCTCGGGGACGGGGCTGCCCTCGCCGGGCTCCCTCACCACGGGCGGGGGCCCGTCGGTGCTGACGACGGCCCTCCAGACGACGCTGATGCGGTCGGCCGCCCTGGTCCCCTTGCGGCTCGACCCCTTGATCCCGTCCATCTTGTCCCAGTCTATCTCGAACACGCCCGACTCGTCCGCGCGGCCGTCCTGCTCTGGGCCCCGGCCCTCGAAGAAGACGTTGAACCAGACGTGCGCCACGGCCGTGACCATCGTCAGGCCCAGGGATGCTGGGGCGCGGTTGCGCCGCTCGAGGGAGATGTTCACGTCTGAGTTGGAGACGCGGACCGGTGATGTGGGTTTTAAGATGACCGCCATGCCTCCGGGCTCGTTGGTGTCGGCGAATGTAGACGCGTGGGCCAGGGACGGCTGGGATGAGTTGTTGTTGGGGACGTTGAGGCTGGAGCCGGATGGAGAGGAGGTTTCCGAGGCGGCGGCGAAGTCGGCAGGGTTGATCGTCTTGCTCTTGGGTTTGGAGCTCATCTTCTTGACGCTAGGGTTGCGGGCAGGTGAGCCGGACAGCATCTGGCTGGCCCTTTCTCTCTTAGATCTGCTTCGGGCCGGCGTGGAGTCTTTGCTTGCATTGTTGTTGCTGCTGGCGGCGTCGCTGCCCTTCTTGTCGCTGTCGTCTCCGACGATCTCGTTGTAGTCCGCGTCTTCCAGGATCTCGTCGTGCTCGTTGGTCGGGCTCAGTGCGTCTCCCAGGAGGTCCATCACTCCGCCCCCGCCTGGGGCATCGCCCTGCACCACGAATCTCTCCTCCTTCTTGAAAGTGTGCAGCACCTTGATCTTCTTGCCCTCGTCAGCGAATCCCTCGACATTAATCTTGACTCCGTGGCGGAGGCCCCAGACGTGGATCTCGAGAATCTCAACTTCCCGGTCGACATATTTCTTGCCCCCTCTTGTCCACCGGTCAGCATAGCTGATCCACCGCAGCTGGGACGGTATCGACACCCCGGCGCCGAAGGTTGGCTTCATCCGCCGCTCGGTGAAGCGCGCCAGGGCATCCTCGGGTTTCCATCCGCACTCTGATATCAGGTATGAGCAGGTCATACTGCCTGATCTTCCCTTGCCGGCCTTGCAATGCACGACAACGACCCTTTTACCTTTTCCCTCGCCTTTTGCCACCTCTTTGCCATTGTCTCCTTTGGCGCCGTGTTTAGTGTCAGGTGACAGGATATCCTCCTCGTTCAACCAGCTCCTCATACTGGCCATTATCATGGGCACCATCCTAAAGGGTGGTGGGTGGTGGTCCGGCCAAGGGTAGTGTCGTATGCGGCCATATACTGCCTCGTCAGGGTATCCCGTTCCCTCCGCGCGGAACTCCCATATTGCCCAGTTATCTGGATGTTTGGCGTCGAGGAAGGCGACGAGGCGGTCGAGGGGGTTTCGGTAGGCTCGCTGTGGGTATGTCTGGCTTGGGCCAGAGCTGGAGGAAGTAAAGCAATTGTCAGTCAGTCTGCGTGCGGCTCCTCGTTCGGCCACGAACATTCAGGCGGGAACTCACGTCACAATTATATTGTCAGTCACGTAGCAGAGGTCGAGTCCCGTCTCGGCGTGTTTGGCTCGAGGGCCCGCGACAATCTGTCGCAACAATGAAGCCATATTCTATAAGGTGTATCGAATTCGAGTGTCGCGTGACGTTGTAATCAGGACTGCAATGGTTCTAGGACAAGAAAAACGATATCTTGGATCACGCTTAGGTGTGAGCAAACCGTTGTGGGTAGGGAGGGCAAGCCAGGTACGGGTACGGGAGGTTGTTTGCAGGGACGGGACACCCTCGCTCCGTGATGGACGATCGGCCTGCAGATGGGATGATGCGTGAGTTCGGCCGGGTTGGGAGGTCGAAAGCTTGGCCCGGGGAAGCTTCGACTCTGGTAGTGTGCTACAGCCAGTTCCACAGAGGCAGCCCGCAGCCGCATGAGACAAATATAGCTACGTCATGGGCCGACTGACGTCTTGTGTGGTGGTAAAATGTGGGGCACGCGGAGCTCGACTTGGAGCTGCGGCCAGGGCTGCCTAGCTGCCCACCTTCCTTCCCAGTGCCCAGGTTCCTGGCCGCCGATCTTGGGCCGGATCAGCGCCTAGGTCTAGGCCTGGATGTTGGATGCCTCTGCACGCATATGCTGGAAGCCGCGGGACATCTCCTGGAGAGCTGCACGGATCTCTCCCTGGGCCGTGGTCCCTCACCATGTCACCAACTGAACAAAGTCATGTCAATAGTTCCGATCGAGCATATCATTTTCTAGTAACGCATTGCTCCCTGACTGAGTGACCATACTCCGCAAGTCATACCTTAAGCAAAAAGCCAAAACAGAGTCTACAGTCATAGGAAAACACGGAGAAGGCTTCAGTCAGCCCGAACCCGTTAACTCCCCCGTATGCCCGCTCATGCGCACCAGCAAAGCCGTGGCCGTCCTCCCATCGTCGGATTCATTATAGCGGAAACACGTATACTGACTTGACGTCCCCTATTCTCCATCTCATCCATCCGCGGTCCGCGGTGCTGCATCTGCCCACAGCCTCCTATTCGTACCCCTTCTCAAAGTTATGTTGGTGATGTCGTATTCTGTAGACTGCGGAGACCCAATCTGGTTGAGCCAATCAACAAAAGTCAAGACGTTATCCGCCGGCGCGCAAACAAGACGTCTAGCTGCCTGCCGTCCCTGTGACCAACGGCGCTGGTTGTGGTCTTCCGTTGCCCGTGGGCGATGCAGTTTACGACGTCTTCTTGGGCACAGCAGCGCCATTGGCGTACTTGTTGAGATCGGTAGCCGAGTGGAAGGCCCTGGCACCTCCCTTGATGCCATCCCAGACCTGACGGGCGGCAGGTGGTGTCCCCTGGGCACCGACGAGGTTATCGACGCGGGCCTCAAGCCTGGCGAAGGAGCCCTGCACGTGGGTGCTGTTGTTAACGCGAGCGCGGAGGAAGGCAGTGTAGATGACCAGAAGGATCCAGCTCCTACGCTGGAACAGAATGGCGCTCAGGAACAGCCGACCCCAGAGGGCAATCTCAAGGCTCGAGACAACGGACATAGACGTGTCGTAGTACTCCTTGACGAAGCTCCCGATGGCGTCGGCGATGGGGTGGGTGGTGTACTGGGGCTTCGCGCTGGGGGAGGCACCGGCCGCGGGCGCAGCTTGGGTAGGTGGGATGATGGTCGGGATGACGGTGGAGCGCGTGTAGGTTGCAAAGTGGAAGATGGAGTAGACGCTGTATGGCAGCAGGGCGATCGGGTACTGAGGGGCCAGCAGCCACACGAAGGCCAGGACTGCGCAAGCAAGAAAAGTCAGCGGGATGCGCCCCATCGCCTCCATATGTTATCAAGGGACAACGCACGGAAATACTGGACGTTCTCGTCGGCAATCAGAGAAAAGGCGACCTGGGGAGAAAACTTCATGCCGGCCTTGGCGCGAGCGCGCAGGGTCTTGTAGACGACGATACCGTAGGTCACCATGGCGGCGATGAAGGCTAGGCGGTAAGAGAACTGGGCCATGCGGCCATAGTAGTTCATGCGAATCCATGATAGCGAGTAGCGTACGACGGAGAGAATCAGCGTGAGATGCCTGCAGCACGAGACACAGTTAGCCGCCGAACCAACCCCACTCGCTTATTGCTGCTGTCTCAGACTCGAGCCCTTCTCCTCAATCAGGATTGCGGTGTCGCCCTCGCGCCAACCCTATGGCTTGCAAGGTATTTTGCGCAAGCTGTCTGGACTGGCTGGGGTTCGGGCGGGGCGGGGGACAAAGCTCTCTCTGAGGGCAGCAAGCACTGCAGAGAGGTGGTCGAGCTAGATGATAACGTACCCAACAAACCAGGCAACTGCTCATGGAGAGAGAAAAACGAGTCAGCATTGTGTCTGGCCATTGAGCTTGCCAGAGTCGTCGGCAGCCTCGGGGGTGGAATTGACAACATACACTGTAGGGTTTGGGCGACAGTTGCCAGGCGTTGTGGCAGAGGCATGGTTGCCGGGGGTGGGGGAGCCATCTTTGAGGTGGGCTTGGGATTGACTCAACGATCAATCAATGGGACCCTCAGTTGATAAAGAATTGGTGTAGCAGCTGCAGCGCTTGTAGGCGAGGCGGATGTTGTTGTGGTGGTTGTTGACGCTGTTGCCAGAGTGCGGTGCTGTCCGGGCTGCTGGAACAAAGCAGGCTTGGCTGAAAGACGTGGTCTCGTGCGAGTTGTGAGTGTCGTGGAAGATGGGAAAAGTTCTGGGATCCCAAGCTGGGAAAGTTGGCCATGACACCAGTGGCTGGCTGGTGACGAAAGGCCTGCAGGGCCCCATTCACTGCCGTCGAGCTCTGCATGGTCAGTGCGTCACCCTTTCAGGTCGTGCCGGGGAAGGAGGGGTGCACAAAGGGTCCTAACCCTGAGCTACCGAGGCATCTCGCTTCTAGATGCATGCAGTACCTGGGTACCCGAGGCGTCTCTGGTATTTCTCTCATTGGAAGGGTGCACATGTGAGCAAGTACCAAGGTGACTCCACTTGTTATTGCATAGAATCCCAATCTGTCGTTTCCATGTCACACTGCATAGTTCAAGCAGACTAGAGTGAGCTTGATCCTTCAAGAAAGCATGTACAGAGCTGTAGCCAATTCCGACTCCTACAGTCGCCTTTATCTATGTACATGATGTTCCGCCTTCAACGTACAGAGGTTCAACTTTATTCTTGTTATCTATTTAATACCATGGGCCTCCCTCAGAGCATCAATAGAATCCAAGTCATATTGTTGCTTCTGTTTCATGAAATCCATATACATAAAGGTATGAGGGGCCCCCATATACCTCTTGATAGTGACCTTGTTCCCCCCAGCAACAAGCTTCATAGCATAAGCCTCACCCTCGTCCCGTAGGGGATCACACTCGGCCGTCCGAACGAGAGCCGGGCAGAGGTCCTTAAAGTTAGGCGCCTTGAGCGGCGCAAACCACCACTCAGGCCACACCCCCCTCAGCTCATCCCGCCTATCCAGCGGCGCGCAGAGCTCGCCGAACCACTTTATCCGAGGGAACGCCAGCACGGGCCCGCGGGAGAACTCGTGGAACGACGGGAACGGCGAGTCGGTGTAGAACCGGTAGAACAGGCCGTCGACGGACGGCGGCACGGTGGGCATCACCAGCCGCAGCGGGACGCCGGCGTCGCGGGCCATGTGCTGCAGGACCAGGCTGATGTGCCCGCCGGCCGAGACGCCGCCCAGCGACACCGAGTCCGCCCTGACGTTGAGCTCCCCCGACCCGGCCTCGCTCCGCACCCAGCTCAGCGCCGCCCACGCGTCCTGGAAGCATTTCCCCCACGTCGCCTCGGGGCAGTGGCGGTAGTTGACGTCGATGACGGCGACGCCCGCGCCCTCGCACATGCTGAGGCACAGCGTCGACTCGGTCGACAGGTTCCCCAGGACGAACCCGCCGCCGTGGAAGTTGAGGTGCACCGGGTACGGGCCGGGGCCGTGCTGGGCCTCGTCCGGGTAGTACACGCGGACGGGGACGATGGCGCCGTCCTCCGAGGTGACCTCCTTCTCGGCGGTCCTGGGCCGGCCCTTGGTGTCCAGCGCGCACGGCGGCGCCAGCACTCGCGGGTCGGCGCGCACCTCCTCGATGGTGGTCACGTGGGTTGGGTCCGGGACCTTGTTCATCAGGTCCGCCCAGGCCGTGACGAAGTCTGGGTCCAGCTTGGCCAGGACGTGTGGCTCGATTGCCTCGGCCGGGTCGTAGGGTTTGCGAGGGGCTGCCATCGTTACTCCGTGCCGCTCGTACTTGGTCAGGCGAGACTACTTCAACTTGAAGTTTATAAGGATGACTTTTCGGGGTTCAGAGGGTGGCTGACGATGGGTGCTCTGGTGTTGACCTGTTGGTTTGGTTTGGTTGGGACGATCCTTGTGTGCGGTTGTCGGGCTTTGTCTGGCGCTGAAGCTCGCGATGTTCGCGGGCGCCGGGGCCGAGGTTGATTCCGGGGCGCTCGGCCAGAGCTGCCCCGGGTTTCACGCCAGCCCCGCGTTTATTGGAATTCCAGCAAAACACGGATTGCAGATGTATCCCAGGGCGTTGTTTGTGCTTGGCATTGGTTGAATCTGCTCAATTCAATACGGCTTTCTTCCGGCTGACTACCCCAACAACACCCAATACAAGTTGAACTTCATACATGGCAAACCAGTCAGCGAGACTCACAATGGGCAGCGGATCGAATTTCCTGTTCGATCACTACACACAAATATTTTGCGAGCCTATCACATGGTGAAGACCTATAAATCAAATTTGGTATCCAAGTACTTATGTCATGGATGCCATCACCACTAGTAGTAGCCACAAGTAGGTTGTTATTAACTTATTAACTTATTAACTTATTAACTTATTAACTTATTAACTTATTAACTTATTAACTTATTAACTTATTAACTTATTAACTTACTAACTTATTAACTCATAGAATCTCAACTATCTTCCGAGTGGACCGATTTAAAGCCTGCGAGATTCATGGCATGGGACCACTAATGTTATGGCGATATAAGCTGAAGAGAAAGGAGACAGCAGGCGTTCGAGAAGAGAGGCAGCGTCTCAATTCATCCAGCCAGCATCGGCCCAGATTCTACTTGTACGCCAACCCAGTACTTATTTTTCTGCGTGCATCCTTAAGATTCTCAAGTACTCTTCTTAATCAGCAGAAGAGCTACCACACAGTTTAGAGGCCCCCTGAACGGCCCCTCTGTGTAATTTACTCTATGGACCCTGTGCTTGATTTGGCCTCTGGCCCACTGGGGGAAATTCGCGGCCCGGGTGCAATTTGCCTTCCCAGGTAATCTGGCCTTCTGAGAACAATTCCTCGTCTACAAATACCTAACCGCTAAGCATACTCGCATGTGCCACGACGGAGTCGAGGGTAAGTAGTAATCCACATTGTTTACTTCTTTGAACAGTAACAAGTTGGAATGATTGAATCTAGACTAATTTTTCTATCCGATGACAAAAGGAATTCGACCGAATGGATGACTGCGACCGCAGCTCGAGTGTTGTCTGCTCGGAGCACCCCTGAGATACCACTCAAGTCGCCATTGCGAACTTTACGTGGGCGCTCTTCGAAGCAACGAGAGCAGCCAGCCCAGCGAGCGACGCATTCTGCATGATGCCAAAGATGGAGATCTCGGCTGCCGCCTTCTGGAGCAGCATGTTCCGTAACTCGACGGCGACCAGGGAGTCGATGTTGTAATGCGTGGGCTTGTTGGCCAGGTCGATCTCGTCCACGGGGATCATGAAGATGTCCGACAACTTCTCTGCGATCGCCGCCCCGATGAGATCGCCTGCTTGCTCTGGGGTGCTCGAGCCGGCTAGCCTGCTGGCCAGCGAGTCGCCCCCCTGCCTTGCTTCTCCGTTGCCTTGAGTCTGGCCCTCGTGGGCACGCAGGGCAGCAAACCGCGCATCTCTTCCCAGCTGCGACTCCCCGTCGCTCTCCCAGTGATTCCCAGGGCCTGTGTTTAGCCCCACGACGACCTGCGGCTCGCGTGGGGACAGAATTGCGCTGGCCAGCACCGCGAGCACCTGTTCCTCGCTCATGGGGACGAACCCGATCCTCCCCAGGCGGCCAAGGACGCCTGCCGTCTCGGCGGCCACGCCTATAGACTTGACGGCGCCGAGGTCAATAGACACACAGGGCAGGCCCTGTGCCACGCGCCACCGTGCCAGGGCATCTTCGTAGGACCCGGCAGCGGCGTAGTTGGACTGGCTGGCATTGCCTGCAACACCTACAGCCGAGGAAATGATGACGAAGAAGTCAAGGTCGGCTGCCTTCTCAAATCTTTTGTGTAGGTTCCATGTGCCCTGCACCTTGGGCAAAGTGACTGCCTTAAAGCTTTCGAGCGTCATCTGCTCCAGCACAGTATCCTGTATTTAAGACAGCATCAGTCAGCTTGCAACATTTCTTACTCGCCTGAGTCGGGGGAGGGGGGGTGGGGCCTCGTACCTCAAGAACCATTGCGGCTTGAATAACACCGCGGACTGGAGGCAGTCCGTCCTCTTCAGCCGAACGCAGCGCCTCCTGGAGGTCTTTTTGATTTGCAACGTCGCGGCTCACAGCCTTGACACGGCAGCCAATCTGCTGGAGCTCGTCCACAAAGACGGCCGTCTTCCCGCTGCGCCCGGCGCTCCTTGAGAGCAGTATGATGTTCTTTGCACCGTGTGCCACCATCCAGTGTGCAATAGACCGACCAAGTCCACCGACGCCGCCCACGAGCAAGTAGGACGAGTCAGCCTGGAACCTCGGCGTCCGCGCCCCTGGCACAACAGGAACCACTTCAGTTGGGCCGGCTGATAGCACCACCTTCCCGGAATGTTTTCCAGTCTGGAGCATACGGAACGCCTTGGCCACGTCACTGATGGGATAAGCGGTTACCGGATGTACGGGCGCGATGACCTTGGTCTCAAGGTGCGCCGCGATCTCTGCCAGCACGCGATGCACAGTGCGCGGTTTGTGCCGCATCAGAGTCAGCAGGTAAAATGCCGAGAAGGAGACCTGGCGGCTGAATGGGCGCATTTCCAGGTAACTGTTGATTTCCAAGTCACGCTTCCCGATCTCCACGAAGTGGCCGAACGGGGCGAGCACGTTGAAGCTCTCCTGCAGGAGAGGGCCAGCCAGGGAGTTCAAGACCACATCGACGCCGCGGCTACCGGTGGCGGCGAGAACCCCTGCTGAGAAGGAGGCATCACGGCTGCTGAAAATGTGGTCATCCGGGATGCCGTATCTTTCTCTGATCATCTGGCGTTTCTCAGATGTGCCAACAGTGGCAAAGATTTCTGCCCCCAGGTGCTTTGCCACCATGATAGCTGCTTGTCCGACACCACCCGCGGCGGCATGAATAAGGACAGTCTGACCACGTTCGAGACGGCCAATGTCAATAAGACATATATAGGCCGTGCAGAATATGACAGGGAGCGAGGCTGCCTCCTCAAAGGTGATCTTCGCTGGCATGTGCATTACACTGGTCCACTCAACCCGAGCGCGACTGCCAAATGGTCCGCGCAACAAACAGAAAACGCGATCTCCAACACTGTAACCTTGAGCCATCGCTTCTTCGCCAACGCGGGTAATGACACCGGAACACTCCAGGCCCATGACACGCTCCTGAAGTTGACCCATAGCTACCATGACATCTCTGAAGTTGACGCCATATGCCCGGGGCTCAATCTCGACCAATTCAGGAGAGATCTGGGTGCCCTTGTCTACAGCCACTGATGAATCGTCGACAAAGGCTATCGTATCCAGCAGGCCTGGCATGCCGACATTCATAACCAGAGGACGCTCGTCTTGATGCAGCGGTGTCATGGTGGCCGATGAGGATACATCAGTCGCCTCATCCGGCGTAATCGACTTGTTCCGAGGCGTATCTTTGATCAGCCTGGGTACCATGACGTTGCCATCTCGGATAGCGTACTCGAAGTCGCCGGCTGCTGAAGCCGCAGGTGGTGCCCCAGAGGCAGTCACTAGGCTGCTGAAACCGGCTGCCACGATTCTCACAATAGAATCCACGTCGCCGGCTGCCCACACAGGGCTTCTGGGATCCAGGTCCAATGACACGTAAGGTCGGCCAAAGTACTCATTGCGCAATGAGCGGAGTAGGCCCGACACAAGCGCGAGGTCTGGATTTTCACAGTCGACCGCGCCGCCACGTGTCACCCAGAGCAGGCCTTTGCAGCCTGTTGCCATGGCCTTTATCCCATCAAGCACGGGTCCATTGATATCGTGGAGCAGCGGGTGGTTCATCTCACCGAGGAACACACAGATCTTGCCCGTGTATGCCGTTGTTGGTGCTGTCTCCAGAGTTTGGACGGCTGGCAGTTGACCTGAGGGGTCCGAGGAGAGTGAATGTTGCAAGGCATCCAGCCAAGCCGGTGGAGGGGGGCCTGCGGTACTGCTGGTGACAAGCACCATGTCAGCGGGATCAGGTAGGCGGGTCGGCGTGGCCGAGGGCTGCACGGTCGCCGACATGGTGCTCAACGTGTATACTTCGTGCTTCTCACAATCGCGGATCGCAAACTCCACCCCCATGAATCCAGCACTCTTGAGGTGTTGATCCCAAGAAAGTACAGAAGGAACCGGCTGGAAGGCCGCCTGAGGATCCCCACCCTGCGAAGACTGCGACAAGAAACCACGAACCAACTGCTTTGCAACACTGTCTCTCGTGGTTTCAACAAACAACAACTTGCCTGCGGGCTTGAGAAGGCTTCGGATATGACCCAAGGAGTTTGCAATGGACTGCGCGCCGAGCATACCCTGGTTTACGATAACGACATCGTAACTACCGACTTCGAAGCCCTGAGCGGAGGGATCAATGTTGATATCGAGCTTGTTGAATGACAGGACGTCAGACCAGGATTCGAACTGCTCATAAGCATCCTCGAAGTCACCGGACATGTTGGTAAAGTGATACAATGCAGCGAGTGGTCCGCCCTTCTCAATTGTGCCCAAGGCCTCGAGCATGGCGGCCGTGCCAGCCTCGGTGCTGGAGCCGACCTCCAAGATGCGCGCTCGAGGATTAGCTTGCGTGATACTTCGCAGCATGGAGGCCGCTTGGGAGGCCGCCCGAAGAGCAGCTGGAGATGATTTAGAAGGACTGGACAATCCCTCTAGAAGATCCTGTTCTTTCAACAGCTCCAGGGCATCTTTTTCTCCACGAAGGACAGCGGCTAGGTGTGGTCCTAGCAGTGAGACTGTTCTTCCGTCCGGGTTGGCTTGGGACAAGACTTCAACGAGAGCCTGTCGATCCATCGAGGATTCCTGTAGCATCTTTCCGTCTGGAATTTTGTTCAACTCAGATTGCATCCACTGGTAGAGTTCGTGTCGGAAGCCCTGAAGCTGTTCTACTTCAGCCGCAGGAAATGCAGACAACGCATCTTGAATGAAGTCGAGACACAACCGCTCAAGGTACACGTTGTTGCGCTTCTCATCGTCGTCAATGTCCGGGTATATCTGCGACTTCGTGGAAGACTCGAAGGCTGCCTGAGCGTCGAAAGCGGGATTAGTGACCCATTCTATCTTGCTGCAGAGCTCCTTCTCCCAAGCCTTGGTGCCGTTGTTTGCGCTCCGTCCGAGCGACGAAAGGACGAGACCTTGAATCTCCAGCACCGGCAGGGACCCCAAGCCCTCGTCGACAACGACTATCTGGGACTCTATCCCCTGCCCGTCGGCATGGTTGAGGAACGTATGACACTGAAAGCTATGTCCTGCCTCGTGGGCGATCTTGCTTGAAACCCATAGTTTGTCAATCGATTGGAAAACCCTGGGGCTCTCCTGACGCGACTCGGTGCCAGGAAGAGCAGTGAACGTGCCCTGGGCGAAGGCGTCGAGCGTGGCCGGGTGGACTACGTGGTTAGGAGGCAGGTCCTTGGCCACTGTAGTGTCAGGCACAACAATCGTGCTAATGGACCTCATTTCGCGACCCGACTGTACGATTTTCTTGATGTTTCTGAACGTCTTCCCGTACTCGATCCCCATGTCTTTCAACACGTCCCACATGTCCGCGGGATCGATAAGCTTTGCATAACCAGAGGTGGGATCTAACGGGCTTAGATCCTGCTGTTTCCTCTGTAGGCCGACACATGCATTCTCCGACGATCTTTCGACGTCGGCCGAGATGAGCCCTTGGGCGTGACGGGTCCACTGGTTATCAGCCGTTACGGAGAACACCTCCCATTGCTTCCAGCCACGCACGCCAATAGCCTTATCATTGACCGGGCGGAGCATCGTCTGGATCTCAATACCATCCTCACTGTCTGGTATGACAAGAGCCTGGAGAACGTTGACGTCCCGTATCTGGTAACCGGAAATTTCATCCACAGACACTGCTTCACCCTGCTCCTGAAGCATGACCGTCTGCTGGCGTAGACCCTCTATGGCAAGAGAGACAAACCCACAGCCAGGATATAGCATGTTGTTCTGGATCGAGTGGTCCCTTACCCACGGGGACTCGTTGGCACGGAGGAAATGTTTCCATGCCGGAGCGTCAGGATTAGCACCCGGAACAATGGAGCCGAGCAGATTATGAGGTGGTTGACTCCTGTTGCGAAGCCCCTTATTGGCTCGCGGCTCGAGCCAGTGTCTTGTCTGATGGTTCCAAGGGTAAGAGGGCAAGTTGGTGAGCACCTTGACCTGTTTTCCCCTACCCTGAGGGAAGTTGACAGCCTCTAGGTCTAACGCATAACCCTCACGGATAAGATTCGCTGCGAGGGTCTGCATGCTTTCCACCGCATTGACTTTGCGAACAAGACTGTCATAGTATGGTAACTTCATCCCGTCAAAGTCCGGAAGCGTGAGGATCTCTGAGATAGGGCCGCCGAGAGCAGTGTGGGGTCCTATCTCAACAATCAGATCCACGCTGGTTGTAGACATCTCTGAATCGGCGTCCAAGTCTCCTAGGACCATCTCCAAAAAGGCGTCCACGAATAGTACAGGCTGTACCAGACTTCGAACCCAATGTTCCGGGTCGGCAATCTTATCAGCACCAGTCATGCGGTACCCCGTAACCGGGGACGCAAACGCCGTCGGCCCCAGGAATGGTTTTCCCTTTCGGTGGTCATTGCCGGCCATGCTGCGGAGCGACTTGCGGTAGTCGTCGGCGATGGGTTCCATGTGATGAGAGTGGTACGCAGTGCCGACCCGAAGGCGGCGGGCAAACACACCATCTGCCTCCAACAGAGCCTCGAGTTCTAGAACAGCCTCGATATCGCCGGCGACCGTGGTACTTGATGGGCTGTTCACGCAAGCGACGACAGCCTTTGCACCGCATGTGAGCCTGTCCAAGTACCCTCTCGAGTCCTCCTGGCCGAGACCCACCGCAATCATTCCGCCCTTGACAGGCACGCCGGCCGTCATCTCAGCTGCCAGCTTGCTGCGATAGTAGGCTATACCCATGGCCATACGGTAGCTTACGGCCCCAACTGTGAAGGCTGCCGAGATCTCGCCGCTCGAGTGGCTCGTCACGGCGGTCGGCGTCACCCCCCAGGCGCGGAGCAAGCGCACCAGCGAGATCTGAACAGCAACACAAATGGGAATGCTGTAGCCGGTCCCGTTCACCCTGGTCGTCTCAGCGTCCCGTTGAAGCTCTTCCATAAGAGACCAATCTGCCCCAATCTCCTTCAAATGCGCATCGCCTTCTTGGAGAGATGCCCTAAACACCGGGTAGGCCGCGATCAGCTCCCTTCCCATGGCGTGCCATTGGGCTCCTTGTCCCGTAAAGACCATGCCTATACGCGGTTGTCGTGATGGTGTGCGAGAGGGCCGGAATTTGGGGGTATCCAGGGCCGTGATGACCTCGCCAATGCCTTGGTTGGATGGAACAGGATTCAAGGCAACCCAGGGGAACTTCGTCCGCCGTTGGCCCAGCGAGAAAGCAACTGACTGCAGCAATGCCTCGGTGTCCAATTCACCTTGTCTGCTCTCTGCCTGCTTTACGAGGTACTCTTTGAGCGTGGACACCGTGTTTCTGCAAGCGTGCTCATCTTTCGCGCTGCAGTTGAGAAGCACAAATTTGGTCTCATGGGTTGCCGAAGTTTGCTGGCCATTAGTGCCGTGGGACACTCCATTGGTGCCATTGGTGCCATTGGTCAAGTTTCTGCCGCCATTGAGAGCTCGGTCGTCTGCTGTAGGTCTCTGGCTTTTAGCCCAGGATCGGCCATCCTCGATGATAATGTGTGAGTTACTTCCGCCATATCCGAAATTGTTCACGGACGCTCGGCGGACGCCATTCGCGGGAGCGGGCCACTCTTCCAAGCTTGTAGCCACCTTGAGACCCCAGTCATCCAGTGACAATTTAGGGTTCGGCTTCTCAAAGTTGATACTGGGTGGGATAAGACCATTTTCCATGGCCAAAATGACCTTGATCAGGCTGGCTAGTCCACTTGTCGCCTCCGTATGGCCGATATTGGTCTTGACTGAGCCCACGCGGAGGGGTTCTATGTTCCGCTGTCGACGGTCTTTGAAGACAGATGCTATCGCATTTGCCTCAATCACATCTCCTGTTGCGGTCCCAGTCCCATGCGCTTCGAAATACTGAGTGTCTTTAGGGTCAAGGCCAGCTCTCGCGTAACAATCACGCATGAGAGCCTCCTGGGCTGCCTGACTTGGTGATGTGATGGTCTCTGTCTTGCCATCTTGGTTCAGGGCTGTCTCGCGGATCACGGCGCGGATAGGGTCACCGGCGGAGATTGCGTCCTGTAGCCGTTTGATCACAAGCGTGGCCACACCCTCGCCTCGTCCGTACCCGTTGGCGCGTGAATCAAAGGCGAAACATTTCCCGTCTGGTGATAAGAAGCTGATATATGAACAGATCAGCTTTTGTGTTCTTGCTGCTTGTCCTCAAAACTTACCCAAGTGACCCCATTGCCTTAAAGTTGTCGGGGTTGAAAATGACATTCGAGCCACCGACAATGCTCATGTCGCTCTCTCCACTGCGAAGGTTTTGCACAGCCTGGTGGAGTGCAACAAGAGCAGTCGAACAGCCTGTGTCGATCGTCATACTTGCTCCTCGAAAGTCGAAGAAGTGAGATATGCGGTTCGATGCCATAGCGGATCCTACACCAGCAAGAAAGAATCTTGGAAGGTTGTCTTCATCGCGGACCAGTGAATCGCGGTAATCGTGAACGAATGTGCCGGCGAATACCGATGTGTTGGAACCAGCAACCTTGTCCAGAGGAAGACCAGCTGCATGTGACAGTGACAAGTGTTAGTACTTCATCATACGAATGGATGGCCCTGGAGTCACGAACCATTCTCAAGCGCCTCATAGACAGACTCAAGCTGTAGCCGAAATTGGGGGTCTAGGGCCTAGAAACAAAATCTGTCAATGCGTTTTCGCTTCCACCAAACACGATGGCGACGAAAGCAACTTGATATCATACGGCGGTGAGCTCTCGAGAGAAATCGAAGAATGCGGCATCGAACAATGCCAGATCTTCTTTCAGGAAATGAGCGCCTCGGACGTGGTTCTGGTTAAGATCCGTCAGTTTATGGAGATCTCCTTTCGCTGGAAAAGACTTGCCGTGCTCAGCTTTTCGTGATTGGGATGATATGCGCCTGTGCTATTGAAGCGTGCCGACAAGTCGCTCCAAGCACTCTTCCCTTCGGCCAACATCTTCCACAAATCCTCAGGACTCGACGCATCACCGGCGAACTTGCAACTCAACCCGACAATGGCTATGGGCTCGTTGACCCAGTCGCGGGAGGTGCTGTTGCTTCCCATCTTGGCAGCAGGAGGGTATGAACAGGTCTCGTCTATCGAATTTAAGAGAGCGGAAACAATTACTTCTGTGAGAAGAAGTAGCCCAGTGCAAGATGTAAGTATCGAATGTATGGACAAGATATATGTCTAAATGCAAACAAACTGGGCCATGGGAGAGATATCTGCTCCGTTTTCGGATGCGTTAAGAACGGAAGCCGATGATTCCTACTTCTATTGCTAACAACTAAAACGACCACTTCAGAGTTTTATTTCTCATGTAATCGTCTATTTTGCTCCTTTATTTCATTCGGGTGAAGGCTCTGCATGCCCATTACCACTGAATGAAAAAGCTTATGTCCCGGATTTTGACATACTCGGTCACATAATTACGCCTACCCAGGTATCCAAAAAAAAAAAACGCCTGAATTATGTGAGATTTGCAAATTCAAATGTCCACGGCCCGTTCACCGACGATATGTCTTGGGGGCTGTTGCCGACTTTGCGGACAAATCGTCGCAGGAATATACTCAACCCGAATAAGCAGACGGGTTGTAAAACATCCGCCCATCACACTCCGTATTGTTTCTTGGATATTTACGGACTTTTTATGAGCTTCCGGGGATATTGGTTTGCGGGGCAAATTACCATTTTGGGCACACAGTATGAATCCTTCAGTCTCGGGGACGTGTGTCTGGACCTGCACGTACACTGTCCTTTCCGGCATCATTCACCGACGGATCCTGTAAGCACTAATTCTTCCCCGGCTAATTTCAGCATGGGATGAACGGTTCTGAAAAGGGCCCTCACAGCAGCTTCAGACGGCTTTCGAGATACCAACGAACTCTTCCTTCAGCCGATGCTTATGGTGTGAGGCGGATTCTTCTAGAATGTGCCCAACCACTCTAGAACGAGAGTGGTTCTGACCGGAGGCCGGCTGCAGCATCAGCCCATCGAGACTGAGGGTGGAAGGTGGTCAGATAGCCCAGAGATGTTGTTCAATCCCGTTCAACACTTCACAGCTTTGGCCTCTTCGAAGCTGGACTATGCACAGTATTTGCTCACCCGGATGTGCATAACAACAGGCAAGATACGACAACGGTATAGTGTTTCGGCCGACGCTAAAATGGCGTGAGACCTATTGCATACAGCTACTAACTGCTCAATCTATCGAGCATGACTTCAAATGAATCACAAGACACACTCAATATCCTGTCCTCTTAATAGAATAGCTGCTATTCTTCTAGGCCAACCGAGTCGCACTCGAACGTTGCCGATGCTGGCGACCGCTCAAGGACCGATGTACGAAAGGCTCTTAGGGAAATCAAACAAATTATTCGCCATTTAGCGAATTGAAATGATATCTTCCTGTAACTGCGGCAAGGTTTCGTGACTTCACTCCTATGTGCGATCAGGCCTCGCAACCATATCTACATTCATGTAGGTACATTAGGGTCGTGATTTGTATGCTTATACAAAATACATTTTATGTTGACGGCATCTTCATGCTGTTCTGTTACTCAAAGCGTCTAGTCTACACAAGGCCACGTTCGCCGAATAATTGCTATCTCTGAGGCTCCGCAGTGCGGCTAGTAGCTGCTCTATCTCATCCTTCGGCTCTCCTAGCGGGGCTGTGAGGCTTGGAGATTCTGAACGTGCCATGAGAAACGCAGCGGAACTTGCCAGTGCATAAGGAAGGAATGGCTGGACCTAGATTCAAAAGTCAGATTCGATGTCTTGACGACACCAAAAAAAAAAAAAAAAAGAGAGAATCACTCGAAAGTCTTATTGCATAATAGTAAGACATACCTTCAAAGAGCTGATACTGGGCACGGACAAAGCCATTTGTGCGGTGTGGATAGCGGCCTGGTAGGCGCGCTGCTCTCCAGAGAACCCTGCAACTGGAGAAGTGTATTCTTTTGGTTGGAACGGCAGAGGTTGGCTGGTGTGATAAAGATGTATGATTGCATTTTCAGCCAGGATGTGGGAGAAGATGAACATGGGATCTCGCTCCATGAGGACCGAAGCGGCCGGGGGGTTCACCTGCAGCAGTCGCTCGGCTCGCTTTTCCAGAACAACAGTGAGTCTCTCTACCCGCGACCACGCACTGCGCCAGTTCATATCGGCGACGGCAGCAGCATGCGCCAGCCTCCGCAGTTTCAGACAGCGCCCAAACAGGGACGTAAGCACTATGCACTCGGCGAACCATGAGAGGGTCTTGTTATCGTTGCTGGTAATCGCCTCAGATAAGAAGTTCGCTTGTGTTGGCTCGTTGTTTTGGAAATTCGTCTCCGGTGCCGGGAGGCGCGCGCAAATCTACAACATTGAAAGACGTCAGTAACGTTGACCAACTTTTAAGGATTCAGTAAAAAGAATCTGGTACTAGCTCTGAAAAGTTTTGACATCGGAAAATGGGAGATGAAAATGTTTTTTTTTTGAAAAACAAAAGGTGGTGAGAGCGGAGGAGTTCAGATGGGTAATAAATGGCACCGACCGTTTCCTCTTGTAGTGTCACAGGCCACTCGTTTCGCGTGCTGAGGAATCGGTCAATGACAAATGCGAGCCAAAAAGAGCGGCGCTTCTCCTCCATCTCGGAGAAGTTTGAGCCCTCCGGCTTGGTGGGCGAGACTGGTGTTAGAGCCGCTGTGCCGTCGACGTCGTACAAACGCGAGGAGTGTATCAGCCTGAAAGTTCGACCAGCTGTGAGCATGGCATCGTGCTCACGGAGCCGCATCAGCTCATAGAGAGAAACGAGCAGGCCGGCTTGAATATGCTCAAGTTGAACCGTTGTTGGTTGTAATAGGTCCAACATGTCCAGGATCCGGCGAGTCTCCACGTATAAACCTTCGCTCAGGGGATTCGATGTAGGAGAAACCGCAGCGGCAATGGTTCTCATTGCGAGACGCAGGCATTCCCGAGCCGGGGGGACATCTTCTTGACCTGCCCATGACAAGTATCGGCGCTTATGAACAATCGGCGCCATTGCGTGCACATGCTCGAAGTAGGTCTCGTCTCTGTTGCTCACACCCGGTTGTTTGCATCAGTAAAACGTGGCCCCTGGTCATGTGTTTGTGTCAAGGAAGCGGGCGCTTCTTACAGATCTTCTCGCACTATGTCCGAGAAATGAGACTCGCTCATTCCGCAAGCCGACGACAGCCGCGTTGGGCTTGGACCACACATGGTGTTTATTGTTGACATATCAATAGATGGCGTTGGCAGACAATCTTCAATTGCGAAGCCGTTGCCAATTCCTGACCCCGAGTACATGGACATGTGTGTCGTATTATCTGTGATTGTGTTGCTACCAGGCGTGGCGAAGACGGGCTTGATTGGTGAGCTTGTAATGGCGTCACCATTCGCGTCGCTAAGCGAGGGCTGTGCAGTTGTTATGGACCTAGTGGTGTCGTGAGGACTGTCATGATAGTCCTGGATCAAGTAGAGATCGGACTGCCCCTGACCCGTCTCTCCGAAAAGTTGTTGTTCCAGCGTTGCTAGAAGTCATACCTTGGATTAGTTCTACTCGACGCAGTAAAAGGAAAGACTGCGACTCTCGTTCCTGGTTAGGGAGATGCGAAATGTAAAGACTTGCATCTCAAGGGTTGCAGGATAGCCGCTCTGAGCTTTCAAAATAAAGGAGATAGACATACCGATCCGGTTGCGCAGGGCGTGCAGCTGGCCCTTCTTGGGGCCTCTCTTGGCCCTGTTATCCACAACCACGCATGGACAGCCTGATTCGGCACAGGCGCCACATTGAGGCTTCGCCCTATCACAGCGCGCTTTTCGCCTACGACAATCCTCACAAGCAAGCTTGCTAGCCATACTTGTTTTATTGGGAAAATACAGTTTGCAGAAGAGGACTCGATGAGGGAATCGACCGATTGGGCTGGTCTACTTGCTCCTAAGACCAGGGACAAACCCACGTGGCAGAGTGAACCTTGAACCTCAGTTCGTGAGGGAGAAATATAATAATATAGGACAAGTTTGCAAGGAAGCGATAAGCATATTTCCATGATGCCATGGCCGGCAGCATTACGTGTGTTGAGGCACAAGATAACACGTGGAGTCCGGGGTTCCCCCGGGGGGAGCGACGGTGCATCCGCTGCATCTACATCTCACCACAGTTGCATACAGATATCTACGGATACACCCGTCAAGACCGTATCTGGTGTTGGCCTGAGTGAGCAGTCCCTATCAGGCTCCAGGCTCATCCTGGTAAGCACTTAGCGCCTTGGCTGCATTCGTAGCGCCCCGCCTGAATCCTCATGGTGCGCACATTGGTCCATTCAACCGCGACTTGCATGGATGTCGACGGCACGGTGTCGGAATCACCGCACTCGAGGCCAACGGGCTGAGGAACGTGTCACCATGCTCAAACGCAGCTAGATCCTGATCACGGTTTCGGGGATCCTACGGGTTAAAACCTTGTCAGGATTCTGGATCAAAACACACGTGCAATGAATGGTACACTGCAGGTGTCAAACCAACGCGTTGTAACAATGAGTCTCAAAAACGGACCGACCATCCGTACTGCGTCTAGAGCATCTATGAAGCACTAATCACTTATGGCTCATCTCGCTTATTAGTGGACGGTTTCTTTGACACCAGGAAGTGGCTGCTTATTATGGATTTTCTCATCATCCTTTAAGTAGCCACGGACGTCATTAAGTAATGTTGAAAGGCTCTACTCCGTAGGTCTAGGCTGCTTATTGCATGTAGTTAGCTATAAGCTAGTTATGGCTGAGTTTTATACCAGGATACTTAGAAAACTCCTTTGTTATATAACTAAATAGTATGGTACCTTGTTTGAATGAAACATTTCATCAGGGTACTTAGTATCTAGAGCGTATTTTTTCTAAATTAGAGGTGAGGCTTGGGAGGTGGTTGTTAAGTGTTTCTGAAAGGTCACCTGAAAAGGCACTGAAACGGTCACAATATGATTAATAATATGCATAAAGGCAGCAGCGTGTACTTTACACTAACTCCTTGAGTCGATGACTTGAATGGATTGTTGTTAAATGCTTCTGCTGGGACAGTACGCCGACTAATGCAAAAAATGGATTCGCTAATTCTCTTGCCACCGCTCCAAGTCAGCTTACACGTGGGAATTTCCCTTGAGACATTTACTAAAGTACGTTCACACAGTACTGTTGCGACGCAGGCAGAAGGCACCGATTGTAGTTAGCCAATCTTACTGCAGCTCCTCTTACCACGGCCCGGGGGGCCAAGCTTTTGTCATTTTCCTTGGCGACCCCAGAAACATAAACGAGTAGCTATGCCATTTCTGGTTCCAACACCGTCAACTCATCCAACCACCTGCCTGTCTTTTGCCTGCGCTAGTAAAAAGGATTCAACGGAGATAGTGCTTAACCATGTCAGCAGGCAACCACTAGACAAGGGCCGAAACCGAAGCTGACCACCGCGCCCAATGTCTCGATAATGATTGAGGCTGAATCCTGCGGAAAATCGTTTCGGACAAAAGTGAGGCTCCTACTCAGCTATCTCCAGGTTTTTTTTTCGTCCCCATTGCAGACGTCGACTTAGAAAAAGAATCACTATGGCGGAATTAAGCTGGGTTACAAGTCAAATTGAATTGTGTATGGAGTAAAGCTGTAACAATAATTTGTGTGACTCTATGTCATGTCGGCGCATACAAAGAATGGCTGACATAATTATCATCATATTGGTTCAATATATATGTTCTATCAGTAGCGAGTGACAAAGTGTTGTTGAATCGATAATGTCTAGAGAAGACTCATTTGTCTTCAGATATTCCTGTCAAGCCAGAAGTTCTTCATTCTTATATTGTCTGTGACGATCGACATCATTGAAGACATATCATATTCGAAGCCATGGGGAGCATCAAACATAGCTCCCGCGATGCCGCCTTGCTGGTGTTTGGGTCGCAGCTTGAGTCTCTGAGCACCGAGTCCTTGGACGGAATTCGGAACACATTATTAGACAAGCCATCGAGGCAATGGGTTTTCGACACGGTTTCCGGGCTGACGGACGTCTGGAAAGCTCTGGCCAATGCACAGCCCGAGATAACTGCTGCGATTGGCGAACTTCGGGGACAGCAACTCCTGGAAGACCTCGGCTCTTGGCTGAGGCTGGGGTCGCTCCATGACGGGGAGAGCGCTTTGTTGCGAGACCTGGGCGCCCTACCAAGCATGATACTCTCGCCACTGGTCATTCTCACGCATGGGGCGCAGTACCGGCGATACCTATCCGAATTGGCCAAGCAAGTGGGCAAGGACGAATCAAGCGCGGACATACATGCGGAACTGGTCAACAATCAGGAGACAGCGACACTTGGGTTCTGCATGGGCAGCGTGAGCGCCTTTGCCGTGGCGACTGCTGCCAACCAAGAGGACCTCGACAAATATGGGTCTGTAGCGGTGCGATTGGCCGTGGTAGGCGGCGCGCTCATCGACGCGCAGGATGCGTGGAACACGGACAAGGGATTAGGCCCGTCGAAGTCGTACGCAACCGCCTGGCGTAATGAGTCGCAGCGAGATGATTTGCATCGTATCGTCGATAGCTTGTCCCCAGAGGCGTACATCTCGGTGCTTTATGATGAGGCACGGGCGACGGTCACCACATCGCAACGTGCAGCCTCACGACTCTTGAGAAACCTACGCAAGGCTGGCATCACCACGGCCGAAGTCGGGTTTCACGGCGATATTCACAGCCCAAAACCACAAACCAGGTCGCAGGTAGAGCAGATAGTTGCATTCTGCAACAATACCCCTGGCCTGCAGTTGCCCGACTCTGCCGACCTAGCGATACCAAGCTTTACCAACGCTGGTGACGGGAAGCGCATCGGCTTGAAAGACGGGCCAATGCACGAGATAGTCATGCGAACTGTCTTTTTGCAGCAATGTGACTGGTATGGCACCTTTCTGGCAGTGAAGACTGCTCTCCTGGATGGTGAGCAAGGCAATAAGGTCGCGGTGGCGTTCGGACCTGATAAGTGTTCTCCTCCGACATTGATGCACCAACTTGGACCAAGGTTGGTGCACTTCGCGGATCTAAGCCTCGAAAAGGAGCTCCCAACTACACAACCCTACACGAAATGGGAGACCTCGGAACCTGTGCCAGAGCCGCACCCGGAGGCCGAGCACTCATGGCAGGAAGAGCAACCGCCTCAGCATACCATCTCCCATGGCGAAGCCGAAAAGAACGCCATCGCCGTGGTAGGGATGTCCATCAAAGTCGCTGGGGCTGACGACTTGGATGAGTTCTCGCAAATGCTGCGGACGGGCAAGTCGCAACATGAGCTCATAACGGCAGAAAAGATGGCGTTCAACGACTCCCTGTTCCGAGACAGGGACGAGCGCCAATGGTACGCCAATTTCATGCGCGACCGCGACGCCTTCGATCACAAGTTTTTCAAGCGGAGCCCGCGTGAGTCTGCGTCCATGGACCCACAACAGCGACTCTTGCTGCAGTCCGCATATCAGGCTGTGGAACAGGCTGGCTACTTCACCGAGACGACGCGAAGCAGCCGAAGCAAAGACGGCAATTGGAGAAATCACGAGCAAAAGCATGTCGGTGTTTACATCGGCACCCCCGCCGTCGATTACGAGCACAATGTCGCGGGCCACGCACCCAACGCATTCACGGCAACAGGTAATCTCCAGAGCTTCCTCGCGGGCCGGGTAGCGCACTGGTTTGGTTGGACAGGGCCGGCTTTGACCTTGGATACGGCCTGTTCGTCGTCGGCCGTAGCCATCCATACGGCCTGTCGAGACCTCCTCTCCGGCGAATGCAACGCCGCGTTGGCAGGCGGCGTGGCCCTGTGTACGAATCCAACCTGGTTTCAGAACCTGGCCGCTGCCAGTTTCCTCAGCCCTACTGGTCAGTGTAAGCCGTTTGACCACAGGGCTGACGGCTTCTGTCGTGCTGAGGGGAGCGTTGTTGTCTTCCTCAAGAGGATGGCGGATGCCGTGGCTGATGGCAACCCCATCCTGGGCTCTATTGCCAGTTCAGCCGTATACCAGAATCAGAACAGTACGCCCATGTTTGTTCCCAATTCGCCATCACTCTCCCAGCTCTTCAGAGATGTTCTCAAACGTGCGGAGGTGCCTGCCGGTGATATTTCGCTGGTAGAGGCTCACGGGACAGGTACACCTGTTGGCGACCCTGCAGAGTATGCGAGTATTAGGGACGTGATGGGCGGCCGTGAACTTCGGTCGAAGCCTCTGCCCATCGGTTCAGTGAAAGGTCATGTTGGGCATGCCGAGGGTGCTTCAGGGGTCGTATCACTGATCAAGGTCTTGACGATGATGCGTGAGAATTTCATCCCCCCACAGGCCAGCTTCTCGAAGATGAATCCAGCTATCAAGGCTTCGCCGTCTGACATGATCGAGGTTGTCACTTCCCTCCGACCCTGGACCGAAAATAAAGATGACGACAAAAAGGCCCTGATAAACAACTATGGCGCTTGTGGGTCAAACGCGGCCATGGTTGTAACCCACAGAGGACATCACAGCTCCAGGAGATCTCCAGAAGGGCAACAGCATCAACGTCTTCCATTCCGCATCACTGGTCTCGACGCACGCAGCATCAAAGCGTATGCTGTAAAGTTAGCCTCTTTCATCAAATCTCAGGTCCTATCCAAGCAGAGGATGACGATGGCAGACCTGTCGTTCAACATCGACCGATACTGTAACCCTGCACTTAGTCAAGGCGTCGTTTTCAGTTCCAGTAGCCTGGCCGAGCTGCAGGACATGATCTCCCATGTCGTCGCTGCTGACGCCACAGCGCCAGCTATCGAGCCCATCAAGCCTGAACGGCCCATAATTCTCTGCTTTGGCGGCCAGGTGTCGACTTTTGTTGGTCTGGACCGCAACCTCTACGAAAGCGTGGCACTGCTGAGAAAACACCTTGATAATGTCGATGCCACTCTGCAGGGATTGCCCTTTGGGCTGGGAAGCATCTACCCGGATATATTCTCTCGCTCGCCGTGTGAGGATCCTGTTCGGTTGCAAACAATGCTGTTTGCCATGCAGTACGCATGTGCCATGACAGTATGTACCTTTTCACATCAAGTTTACGACTTCTGGAATAAATAGCTGACGCTTGGTGATGCAGTGGTTGGACAGCGGGCTCTCCGGCAAGGTCGCTTCTGTTGTGGGCCACAGCTTCGGCGAACTTACTGCACTATGTGTCTCAGGCGCTCTGAGCCTCCAAGACGCTTCTCAAATGATAGCCCAGCGCGCACAGCTGATACGCAGCCGGTGGGGCCCGGACCCAGGGGCCATGATGGCCGTCGAGGCCGATGAGTCGGTAGTGAGAGATCTTGTGACCGAGGCTGGTCACAGTGGCGCTCCCGTTGAAATTGCTTGCTACAACGGCCCAAGAAGCTTTACCCTGTCCGGTCCGACGCAAGCAATCGACGTAGTCGGAGACATTATAGGCCGCGGCGGCAAATTCTCAGGCATCAAGAGCAAAAGGCTCAATGTCACCAATGCCTCTCATTCTTCGTTGGTCGACCCGCTGATGGATGGCCTGGCGGAAATTGGAAAGCAAATGAATTTCCGGACGCCCTCGATTCCCCTGGAAAGAGCCACCGAGACTGGTTTGGCTGACGGCGGCCTGACACCCAGCTTCCTATCTGACCACATGAGGAACACCGTGTTCTTCAGCCAGGCGATCCACCGCTTGGCTGAGAAGTACCCGTCGGCGGTCTTCTTAGAAGCAGGATCAAGCTCGACTATCACTATCATGGCAAGCCGTGCGCTGTCAGCCAATATTGGTAGCGGAAGCTCAGGCTATTTCCAGGCCATCAATATTACTAACGACAAGGCGCTGGACAATTTGACAGACGCAACTACTTCGCTGTGGAAGCAAGGAGTGCGAGTATCCTTTTGGGCACACAACGCCTGTCAGACTAACGAGTATGAAACTCTCCTGCTGCCGCCATATCAATTCGAGAAGTCACGCCACTGGATGGACATGAAATCGCCTTCAGAGGCCCTCAACAAGGCTCTTGAGAGCCTGAAGCAGAGCAGCACGCAGCGGATAGACGAGGAAAGCCATGCAGTGAGCGTTAGGGAGTTGGGGTTGTGGTCGTTCATCGGCTACCAAGACGAGGACACAAAAGACCGCAACAGGGGTAAGAAGGACAGCAGCAAGGACAACCCCCGCCGCCCCCGATTCCGCATCAACACAGGCTCAGACAAGTACGACAAATTCTTCTCTGGCCATGTCATCGCCCAGACTGCACCCATCTGTCCCGGGACGCTCCAGGTAGACATGGCCATCGAAGCCCTCTTCAGCATAAACCCGGAGTGGAAAAAGGACGGCCTGCAGCCCATAGTGCAGGATATGGTGAACCACAATCCTTTGTGTGCGGATCCCTCGCGCGTCGTCTGGCTGGACTACAAATCCCTCAATGCTGAACGGACGAAGTGGGAATGGAGCATCTCCAGCACAAGTCGGGATTCCGACAACCGCGGCAATGACCAACAGATGTACGTTGCCGGGCGTCTGCACTTGCGATCTCCCACGGACCCGGCATACGTGGCCGAGTTCTCGCGCTTCGAGCGACTCGTCAGCCATTCCATGTGCACTGCACTCCTTTCAGCACCAGGGCGGCACGGCGTCGGCGAGGACGACCTGGAGATCCAGCAGGGTCGGAATGTCTACCGAACGTTCGGGGAGGTCGTCGAGTACGCCAACATGTACCGAGGCGTGCAGACGGTTGTCGGTCGCAACTCGACCAACGAGTGCGCTGGCCGTGTCACAGGCCGTCACTCTGGCGAGACGTGGGTCGATGTGTTGCTCGATGACAGCTTCAGTCAAGTTGGGGGCTTCTACATCAACTGCATGACCGACAATGACCCAGAGGACATGTTCATCGCCAACGGCATTGAGCTGTGCATGCGGTCCCCGCGCGGTATCATAAACGACCCCCATAATGCGCAGAATACATGGCACGTCTATGGTAGAAATACGCCTCAGTCCACGACCGGCTATCTAAGTGACATTTTTGTCTTCGACGCTGCGACTGGGGCTTTAGCTGAGGTATTCTTGGGGATCCAATACTCGCGGATGCCCAAGAAGGTGATGGGCCGCATGCTGAATATGCTCACCAAGGACAAGTCGGCATTGAAGAGCGGTGCAACTCTTCAAGCCGCTGATCCTGTCCAGAAGACCCCGGTAGGCTCTGGCCCGGCGCCAATTCAAGTCTCTTCCCGAAATGCGGATGTGAGCGAGCAGGGACAGAAATCAGTAAAGAGGAAACCCAAGCAGAACCCTCAGAAGAAACCTTCCGCTTCTCCACGGCAAGCAGACCTTACAGCCGAGGTCATGAAGTTGGTAGCTCTCGTCGCTGGCATGGAAGCCAGCGAGCTCACAGTAGATACCGAGGTGGCAGATGTTGGTATCGATTCCCTCATGGGGATGGAGCTTGCTCGCGAGGTTGAGAGCGAGTTCAAGTGCAGCGTCGACCAGGCGACGTTGTTAGAAGCCACCAACGTGCGGCAGCTCGTTGCCTACATCGAAACCATCCTGCCTGGGGCCGACCATGGTGATGCTTCTGCCACTAGCAGCGCAAGTGACGAGTCCTCTGTCCAGGACGATGACACTTCTGACGATGAGGACACCCCTGACCTCCAGCCGGACTCCGGCATCGCCACCCCGGATTCGACGGAGGAATTCGCAGGCTCGTACCAAGACCTGAAACTTGCCAGCACCGACATCCTAGATGCCTTTGGAGAGGTCAAGCTGAGTTCGGATCAGCGTCTCCACGATGCCAAGACTGACAATTTCGACCGCGTTGTCTTTCCCGCGACAAGCCGGCTATGCGTGACTCTGATCGTCGAGGCTTTCGAGAAGCTCGGCTGCAGCCTTGGATCCGCCTCTGAGGGTGAAGTCCTTGCTCGTGTGCCTCACCTGCCCGAGTATGAGCGGCTGGTGAACTGGCTGTATCGATTCTTGGAGCAAGACGCACGGCTGATCGAGGTGGATCCCACCAGTGGGCAGATTAAAAGAACAGCAGTTGCAGTCCCACATAAGTCGAGTGAGACTTGTCTGAGAGAGTTTTGCGAGGCACACCCCGATTGGGCTGTGACTGCCAGGCTTATCCAGCATGCAGGCAAGCCTCTGGCAAGCATTCTGTCTGGCGAAACAGACGGCATCCGTATCCTATTCGGCTCGCCCGAGGGCCGCAAGCTGATGGCAGCTCATTATCGTGAGAACCCACACGCCGCAATGCTGGGGGAACAGATGCGCGACACGCTTGGCCTACTCGCGAAAAAGATACAAAGGACAGAAGGTGGAACGCTCAAGATTTTAGAGATGGGCGCGGGCACAGGAGGGACGACGCACATCCTAGTGCCGTATCTCGCCTCGCTCGGTGTCACGGTCGAGTACACCTTCACAGACCTATCGTCCTCCATGGTAGCCCAGGCGCGCCGTACACTAGGCAAAGAGTATCCGTTTATGCGATTTGCCGTGCACGACATAGAGGCAGAAGTGGCGGAGGAATTGCGCGGGCAACACATCATCATCGCCAGCAACGCCATCCACGCTACACACAATCTGTCAGTACCACTCCTCTCCTGCTACAGCTTCCCGATCTTTCTTCCTCGGGATGTTGCAGAATGTATCACTTTTGAATCCATGGCAAGTGACTAACAAGTAGCAGATTGGCATCTGTCAGTAACGTGCGCCAGGCGTTGCGTCCCGATGGTTTCCTCATGATGCTGGAACAGACCGAAGACATCCCGCTCAGTAATCTGATTTTTGGTTTGTTCGAGGGCTGGTGGATGTTTGACGATGGCCGTACTCATGCTGTTGTCCAGGTACCGGACTGGGAGCGTACACTGCACCAAGCCGGCTACGGCCACGTCGACTGGACAGACGGCCACTTGCCCGAGAACAGCCTCCAGAGAGTCATAGTCGCCCTGGCCAGCGGTCCGCCGCGCGAACGACTGCCCATTCCGGAATCGAAGCCGGAAGGCCATCAGCAGTTGACTCGCAATCTCGCGACACGGGAGGCCGAGGCCGAGAGATACATAAGCAGATATACAGCAGACTGGGCCGTGCCGTTCGTGGCTGACGCTGAAGCCGAAGGGAAACCTGAGGCAGATAGGCACGACTGTGTTGTGCTTGTGACAGGTGCCACAGGAAGCCTTGGGTCGCATCTGGCAGCCGCTCTAGCAGAACACCCGCACGTCGCAACCGTAGTCTGTGCCAACCGCCGCAGCAGCGCAGCATCTGTCGAGGCCCGGCAAGACGACGCCTTCCTCAAGCGCGGCATCCATCTCACGCGCGACGCCCGCAGCAAGCTCCGCGTCCTTGAGACCGACACTTCCCGGCCCCAGCTCGGCCTGCCCAAGTCCGCGTACGACTGGCTAGTGCAGCATGGCACCCATATCATACACAATGCATGGCCCATGAGTGGGACACGTGCATTGGCCGGCTTCGAGCCACAATTCCAGGCAATGCGCAACCTCCTGGACCTCGCGCGTGACATGGCCCTGGCAGGCCGGGATGGAGGACGGCGCGTTGGCTTCCAGCTAGTGACGTCCATCGGCGTGGTCGGACACGCAGGGCAGGGACACATAAGAGAACAAAGGGTCCCGATATCCGCTGTCTTGCCAACGGGTTACTGCGAGGGGAAGTGGATCTGCGAGCGTATGCTTGACGAAACGTTGCACAAGCATTCGGGCCTGTTCCGCCCGATGGTCGTCCGCCCGGGTCAGATCGCTGGCTCAACGACAAGTGGGTTCTGGAATCCAGTCGAGCATTTTGCCTTCCTGGTCAAGTCCGCTCAGTCGGTAGGGGCGTTCCCCGCCCTCGCCGGGACGCAGCAGTGGGTGCCCGTCGACAAGGCTGCCGCTGCCATGGTGGAGCTGCTGCACCTCGGTAACGAGGCAAATGCACCCTCGCCATCTCCCGTCTACCATATTGATAACCCTGTGGGTCAGACATGGAATGACACGGTCACTGTCCTGGCGAGGGCGCTTGGTATCACTACTCAAGGTGTGGTGCCGTTCCGTACCTGGCTCCGACGAGTCTCTCACTCGCCACTTAGCGAGGCCGATAACCCAGTGGGATCCCAACCGATGCTCTTCGACTTTCTCGATCGCAACTTTGAGAGGATGTCTTGCGGTGGGCTCATCCTGGACACCACCCAGGCCCAGCAGCACTCCAAGACTATGGCAGCACTTGAGCCGGTGAGCGCCGAGGTTGTGGAGAGGTACGTGGAGAGTTGGAAAAAGTCTGGATTTCTTGTCTAATAAGTTTGTGTTTGGCTTTGTTGCGGACTGGTTGGTTTCTTTTCCCATTTTCATCGGATAAAATGTGAGCACCTGTAGACACACAAGATTGTATCGGGACAGCAGTTGTTTGAATGGGCAACCGCCTGTTAACCCAGCCTACCATGAACAAGGGTAATAGACAAAACGGGAGTGTATCGAATAATTTGATTGAGATTAATACAAGTTTTACATGAAAGAAGGCACAACTTGGATTGGAAAATTGGTGTTCTGAGGGCGCTGTGGCCGTGCTCTAGCATCCCGAACTGGGCTCACGGTGTCACACTCGACGTCGTACGTCAATGGTGCGGTGCAAGAGCTGCTGAATGGCTGCAGCTGGGGCCGACCAGGCCACCCCCCTCTTCAAAGACAACCAGATAACTGAGAACCTGAACAAACAGTCGTTTTTCCATACCTTGATTAACAAAGTCTCGCATTGTTTAAATCTTTATATGACTCCCTACTTTGCCAGTGACGTGTATGGCAATCAGCCAGTAGCTAGTGAGATAAAATAGAGAACGGATGTTCACAGGGCAACAAACGGATGGTACAGGGTAACAAGTATCACCAGCTAATTAAAGCACACTATTTCATAAATTCTACACCTATACTACCTAATTAAATACATTTAATACCCTTATTAGCGACACCCTCACTAGTAACACTCTCACTAATAACGCTCTCGCTAGTAATAATACTCTTATTAATAATAATATCTATTAATAATAATACCTTTAAATTAATAATAAAGAAGCTTTATATTAATAAGAACAATCTAGTAAACTATAAAGGTAAAAGTTAGGAGAAGAATAAGGAATTAAAGAATTAAAGAATTTAAGAATTATAGAATTTAAGAAATATATAATTAATAATTATATTTTTATATTTTATATAGTAAGGTTATAATATAAATTAAGGTTAGGGTATTAGAGATATATATACTCTATACTATTTAAATTCAGCTTTAAATTATTTATTTATTGCCTTATGAATATCCATTCTCATAAAATACGGGTTATTACAAGCCTGATTCCCGAATGATGATATTGCTACTTCATGCGAACCTCGGAGCACCCAAGATCTTGCAGGAAGACGACTCCCAACCTGTTAGATTCTTGCTTACACTTGGTATTATCTAGGAACCTCATGAGACAAGGGAGTTCACTGAATCGTAGCTGGCCTATCCCCAAGTTTGGTCTTTCGCTCAGCAACGCGGATGTTGTGGTGAGTCCTTGAAGAGAGTGTTCCCAACTTCTTTATGAAAGTCCAGCAACACAATCCCCTATATTGAACCCTGCGTTTGATAGGTACTGAAGAATGCATTCCGTAAGTTATCTACCACGACAACAACAGCTGGGAGCATATGAAACAGCAAACACGTGTCTAGATTCTAGTCTCAGATGGGAATCCCATGATCCTCCCTGATCATATCAGCCCCCTTCTCAGCAGCCGCATACACAGTTGCCATGATGGCAGCGCTGACCTGCATAGGCAGCACGCTCGCGTCGACGACCCGCAGGCCGCGCGTGCCCTTGACGCGCAGCCTCTCGTCCACCACGAGCCCCATGGCGCAGGTGCCCAGCGCGTGGTGATAAGTCACGATGCGGTCCCTCACGAACTCCCGCGCCGCGTCCGCGTCCTGGAGATCGACCTCCGGCGGCGGGTCCACCCGGGCGCCGACCTTGCCCTCTAGCTGCGCCGACCGGAGCACGCGGTCTGCGAGGGCGACCGACGCGGCGAGCACGTGTGCGTCGGCGGGGTGTGTGAAGAACCCTGGGTCGATAGCCGGCTCGTCCCGCGGGTCGGAGGTGCGGATGTGGACGCTGCCCCGCGAGAGGGGGTACATGTTGCTCCCGATTAGGGCATAGCATGGTCTTTCCGATCCTGCGGGGGGGCCGTGGACCAGTTTGGAGCAGTCTGCGTGGCCTTGCGCGATGTCGAAGTTGGCAGGGGACCCCAGGAGCTGGATGCTGGCCGAGTTTGGATCGCGGAGACGGCCGGCGATGGCTTTGTATTGCTTCGCCTGGAATGAAAGATCTTGCGGCACCGATGGCGTGCTCGACTCGACGGTGCTCAGTGTCTTTTCCAACCCCGTGTTGCTTACTTGGGACGCAAAAGGAACGAACCCCATCAAGTTAGCTATTCCTGACAGGGCACCGGACCCTGTTGTCATATAAAGACGGAAATGCTCAGCCCCGAGGGCTGGGTCCAAAAAGGCCGAGTCTAATGATAACTCCCCCGGGCCTAGCTCGTATACAACAGCCGACATGGTCTTCTCCTGGAGGTTGTTACCCACATGTGGACTCGACAGCACACATGGTATCTGGGCTTGCTGGAGGATTTTCGGATCTCCGATCCCGGAAAGCTCGAGAAGTTGAGGGGATTGAAAGGATCCAGCGCTCAGAATAACCTCTTTGCTTGCAAATACGTTCCTCCTGGTCCCTTGGTGGTGTATCTCAACACCTCGCGCCACAAGCAAACCCGTGGAGTCGGTGCTCATGATGATCTTACCAGCCAGAGCGTCTGTGAGCACGCACAGATTGGGACGATCGAGTGCAGGAGCTAGAAAACCATTCGCAGCGTAGCTCCTGATGGGTTTGCCCGTGCGGTCTATGGAGAGCAATGACCTGTAAAAACCAAGATGGCTGCCGCTGTACGGTTCAAGGGGCGCAGATTGACCTGACACTTGACCCAGAGCATCAAGAAGAGGTTCCTCGAAAGGTATCTGCCAGGTCGCCAGAGACGTGTGAATCGGTCCTTCGACTCCGTGTAGCTCGAGGTTCAGAGGGGATTCAGTGGTGTTACGCTCCGCTATGTTGGGTTGATCTGCCTCTAGATGCTCATGACGTTTGAAATACGGCAGCAAGTCATTGAACGACCAGCCTTCGATTCCCAATTCCGAGGACCAATCATCTATGTCCTGCGCATGGGGGCGCACGTAAGTCGTGAAGTTGATTGCGCTGCTGCCACCGAACAATTTCCCGCGGGGCAAGTGGAACACTTTGTTCTTGGCCTCTCTCTGCAAACGGTTGTCAGCTGCTGTGACACACTCGGGGAAGTTACACTCGAAATCTGGACTACGTACTTGTGGTGTGCTATGGAAGGCCCAGTCATATTCGGTGTTATTAAGCATCTTTCCCACGGACGCTGGCATCTCGACATTGGGGTCTCCCAGCTTAGATGCCCCTGCTTCAATGACGCAAACTCGAATCCTTGGGTCCTCAGTCAGGCGGGCTGCGACAACAAGACCCGCAGTTCCTCCCCCGACCACCAGGAAATCGAACAGGTCTCCTGAATCGTTCATTGCGATGAGTCTTTGGGCCGTTGGTGCTGGGTGATGAATGAAAATGGGACAGTCAAGACTCCAGGTGGCTACTAACACACACAAGTCGAAATAGAAGGCCAGGTATAAAGTATAGACTTTGTACTAGTAACCATTCGACACTACCTGGTCTTTTAAAAGTGTACGTATAGTGAAAAATAGGACGCGATGCGGTCTTGAAATATCCCGTTTGCAAAAGTGCGCTCAGAGGATTACCTTGCAAGTAATCACGGCAATGGTACAAAAATCACAATTACTCCGCCCGACAACTGCGGATTAATTTCCCCAAGGACTCGGCTGATTTCCAGCATCTATAATTCTGTAGTTGAATCCTACCATGGCGGACGACTTCAATCGAGTCATCAGGTGAATTAGTTTCTTTGCAAATTTCTATTTCTATTTCTGAGCCTCGTCGTTGAGCCATGAAATAGGAGATTGAAAGTACTTGGAGATGCTTGATGCACAAGATCCTTCCAAATGTCCTCTGCAATTCCCTCTTAAACACGTCCGAACTCATATCTAGTAAATGCGAAGGCCAGGGTCATTGGACAGAACAGCCCACCTATGGGGCAAGTGGCGAATTGATATCATTGACACTTCTCAGGCATACTGAATTGATAAGATTCGCGTTGAATCTATTTTCGAGCAGGAAACACCTCAGTGGACTGATGGTGTCATTTACCTAGCTCTACCAACGGGAGAGAACGCATACTATGGGTGAACTATTTCAGGATGGAAGCATTTCTGATCTTATCTACATATTTATTCAAGCTTAGTGACTCTCTTTCGCGTGTAGTAATGGATTTCTGTTGCTCGAAGGCGCTATCCAAATAAGACACATGAAGCTAAGATGGTGCCCAACCCCCTTAAATGACTGTGAACGACAGGATCACTCCTCTGTGGTTTCCATAGCTCCGCGCCATTGAGGTATTGGGCCCAGGCCACTTGGGTACCTGATGTTCTTGATCCGGCTCCACTCGCGCAGAGTGCCAATCCAATGCTCACGACCATATCCAGAACCTTTCATGCCACCAAATGGCGTCCCCAGGACTCCACGATAATAGTTGTTGACCAGGACTACACCGGCGTCGATACGGCGGGCGACCCTCATTGCACGGCTGAATTCAGTCGAATACACGCCAGCGAAAAGGCCATAGTCCGAGGCATTGACGACACCAACGGCCTCGTCCTCTGTCTCGAACGAGCCAACACACACGACAGGACCGAACAGCTCCTCCGTCGCGACCTTCATCTCAGGTGTCACATCGGCGAACAGTGTCGGTGGCACAAAGTAACCCTTGGAGACGTGCTCCTCAGACGGCAGGGACCCTTGCGCAGCCAGGCGAGCGCCCTCCTGCTTCGCAGTCTCGATGGACTCTAGGATCTGTTTCTGCCGCTCGCGCGAGACCACAGGTCCAACGTGCGTCTTATCATCTAGACCGTCTCCTGTGCGCAGCTTCCTCACTGCGGCAGTCATCTTGTCCACAAAGGGCTGGTAGATGCTCTTATGAACCAGAATCCGTGAGGCGGATGTACAGGCCTCGCCCTTGTTGAAGAAGGCACCCTCGATGGCGTCCTTGACCACGGCATCGACGTTGGCGTCCTCAAACACGACAAACGCATTCTTGCCGCCAAGCTCGAGCACCGTGGCTGTCAGTGACGCCCCGGCGGTCTGGGCTACTTTCGCCCCGACCTGAGTGGATCCCGTGAGGGACACCATCTTCACTAGCGGGTGCTCGACGAGTGTTTGCGGGACCTCGGGGCCAAGTCCCGGCACTATCTGTACCACGTCCTTGGGGAGAACCGCCTCCAGTATCTCGACGATGCGAATTGCTGTCAATGGAGCCTGCTCTCCCGGTTTCAGGATCATGGTGTTGCCGGCTGCAAGACAAGGTGCCAACTTTCCACCAACGTGGATGGGTGGCCAGTTGAACGGGAGAATTCCCACACAAACGCCGTGCGGCTCGTAGATGACTGCCGAGTAGACGCTTCCTTGATCGAAGAATTCCGAGGGAAGCTTATCGCTGATAGATCCGAAGTAGCGGAAAACCCCTACTAAGAAGAACACATCGAGGACAGCATCCTTGATTGGCTTCCCATTTTCCAGACACAGCAGGAGCGATAGCTCGTGGAAGTTCTTCTGGAGCTCGTCTGCTGAACGCATCAAGTATTCACAGCGCTGCTGTCGGGACAGTCCTGACCAAGAGGCAAATGCCTCCTGTGACGCCTTGATGGCACCCTGAGCCGTCTCAGCATTTCCAGCCTGGATTGTGGTGATTGTTTGGCCCGTAGCTGGGTTCTCTACAGCAAAACGTTTTGTATCGTCATTGCTGGACCAGCGATACGTTGAGATTTCAGGGAACGATGCCAGAAGGCCGGCTGCTTTCTGCTGAAGTGCCATGATCAAAGACTCAGGATGACTTGGAATGTGGTAACGGAGTAAGGAAGACAAAAAAGGAGACACCAGGTATTTGCTAGGCGAAGTGCGAGAAAGAAAGCTCCATGGGTTGTCACGATTTAGGCAAAGAAATGGACATCTTTATCAAAGCATGCCTCTTTTTTCTGAATGACAGACTTTGCAATTCGGACTGGTTTTGCAATGGTAAACAATAATCCGGGATTCCAGGAGGATCGAACGGAGAAATTTTGGACTTTTCATTACTCCTGCTTACCACCGCAAATCCCAAGAAGTCTTGGATGGACCACTTAAGCACCTGCATATAGGGATCTAGTGGATATCCTACATTCCTCCAGCTGATTGAATTTTCCCTGGTTTTGAAAGGCGTAACACAGTGGCAGAGTAAGTTGGGTACCACCTGTTCAGAAACATTAATATCCTTAAGATTGAATCACCTGAGCGCACCACTCGTGAAGCCACACGGACTGCGAAAAGGCCGCTAAGCGCCGGGTAAGGCGCGAAGGCTGTCGGGAAGTAAGCACAAATACCCGAGTGGGCCGACACGCAGCACCAACACCATAGCCAACGAGACTTACATGCATATCATGCACTGTCTAGAGACTCCGAAATTTAATTCGGAGATCCTGCGGAACATCATTTCACTGTTGAGCTGAAGACTCGATTAATGATTCAATAGTATAAATACGATTTTGAAATAGCACATGAGGCCGCAGCCACCACAAGGTAAATCTTCACCAGAGATTGAAGGCGTTTTACTTGTCTCGACTCAATGACACAAACTTGAGGGGAAGAGTTTATATCAAATTATCTGTGTTTTTTGAACAGCTGTCCTCATATCACCATGCGTGCGGCAAAGTCGTCATCATTCTACCTTCCCCTTGTGGACATCACTCCCTTCGTGAAGGACCCTAAAAGTGATGCTGCGTGGCAGGTAGTCAACGACGTGCGGGAGGCATGCCTCTCGACGGGTTTCTTCCAAATGACAGGCCATGGTGTCTCCCAGGAGCTTCAGTCGTCTGCCTTCAAAGCTGCTGCTCGGTTCTTCGCGCTCCCCCTCGATGCCAAGCTGGCACTCGACGCAAAAAAGACCGTCGGTTTCCGTGGTTATGACACCATGGGCCAGCAGTTGTACGAGGGCGACGTGCTGCCCGACCTGAAGGAGGGATTCTTCGCGGGGCAGGACATGCCATCCGATGACCCCCGCGTCAAGGCGGGCCGCTTCTTCATGGGACCGAATGTCTGGCCGCCGGCTGAGCTGCTCGCCGCTCGTGACTTCCGCGAGCCCATCGAGGCCTACTACAACGCGATGCAACAGCTCTGCGGCGTCGTGCTCGACCTGGTCGCGGCCACACTACCATACGGGCCCCACGTGTTTGACGGGATCAAGTCCAACGACCCAGCATGCCCGCTGCGCCTGCTCCACTACCCGCCCACCGTTGCGGCGACCGGTACCGGAAAGCGCCAACTGGGCAGCAGCGCGCACACTGACTTTGGCGCCATCACTTTGCTGCTTCAAGACGACCATGCCGGTCTTGAGGTCAAGGATGTCGGCACGGGCGAGTGGGTCGGCGTGCCGCCCAAACGGGACGCGTACGTCGTCAATATGGGCGACATGATCAGCCGCATCACAGGCGGCCTTTATAAGAGCAGCATCCACCGGGTCATCAACAGGCAAAAGGAAGACAGATACAGTATCGTTTACTTCTTCGACGGTAATATCGATTACAAACTTCGCCTGCTCGACGAGGCTTTCGGCAAAGACGGCCAGTCCGAGGCGGAGGCGGATGAGGCGGCTCCAACAGTTGAGCAGCACATGATGGAGCGGACAATGGCCTCATACAATATGAAAGATTCAATTTAGAGTGATGTGGCAATACAGGGTTACTCGGTATCTCAGAGGTCCATGTAGAACGTCAGAATATTCTATCTCATCTCTATACATACATTTTGCTTTTAAAGTCCTGAGATTCTATTGTGCAAATTACTGATAGGATTTGGATAACGTGGTTGTATTTCCATGCTCATCTCAGGAGTCAATTCTACACTTTGCGTGTCAACGCTTAAATTATCGACCGGTATGAAAAAGGTATAAAGCCCGTCAATCAAGTGAGAGCCACATTTGCTTCTTAGAGTCAGTATGTGAGCCATCACGAACTCGGAGCTCATTTTTTGGCAGTGTAAAAGAGGAACTGCGTCGTTGTCATTTTTCAATTCAGTCCATCAAATACAATTCTCGGTTCTTTTCTTCTTTCTCTTTTTTTAAGGAGACTTCTTCACCATGATCACCCGAGGCATCTACACATGTCCTGGGGCGGCGCCGAGACTTTTCCGAATAACCATTTGCGCTCACGAGACTTGAGGTTTCACATTTTATTTTGGGTTTCGTGATGAAATGGCACGATCGACGGATCATTTTCCCATGAAGGAACAGGTCGTGTAGTTTTGAAGCACATCTAGGACCAAAGTGACGCTAATCTAATCCAGCGCAAACAAATTGTCATATCATCGCACAAGCGAGCCTCCGTCTTGGAAGCAATGCAACCGACTTACCAGCATGATATCAATTTACAGAACAAGACCATCGAGCAGTACAGCCAAATACACGAGTCAAATCCGCCCACTAAATATCCAGGGTAAACTTCTTTTTTGCGCACTTGTTTCCCAAAACATGCTTCAAGTGGACTGTCAATCAAGCACGACTCTATCTAAATTGACATGGTTAACTATTGTTTTCAAGGCACACTCGTCTGGCTGAGTGATTTACTGTCAGGCCGCCAGCTCCGTCAGCTTACTGACACAGGAGTGTGGCAGCAGGTCTAGGTAGCTTTGTTCTAGCTTGTTGACGTTCTTGAGCTGGGATAACGCCTGGGCCAGTTCCTTGAGCTGCGAACCGAAGGGCTCGGTCTTGCGATCCGCATAGAGGAACTCGGCGCAGATGAACAAGGGAATTGGTGTCAGCGGATGCACCTTGGACGAGACTGTTAGCAGGGCCATCGCTCCATTCGCGTGGGTGAGAGCTTACTCTGGAGAAGTGAAGTTCACTCAGTGCCTTGGCGAGACGTGTGATTGTGGCGGTGGCGTCCAGGGCGCGGCGCTGGTATTCCAGGACCTGTTCGTCGGGCTCTGTTTGATCGCCTCGGCTCCCCAGCGACTCGATCATGCTGTTGCAGTAGTACACGACGGTGGCAGGGGCCAGTACTTGGGCAAATAGGAGCATCGGCTCGTAGGCCTCGGATGGCGGCGGGTAGCATTGCGATAGTACTTGGAGTCTGGTGGTAAGGATGCCGTCCAACCACCAACGCTGCTCGGCGGAGTCCAAGCTGATGTCGCCGTACGCCCTGGATATCTTCCGCTGTTGCCCACGGAGCAGGATACGACCACAAATCGTGACCGTGATCAGGCACTCATTGAATGGGGACCTTATTCTCGGATTGGGCTCTGTTATGGCTTCTGACAAGAAATTGCCCAGGACCTGTTGACCCGTCTGAAACTCCAAGTCTGGTACTGGCAAACGGGTGCAAATCTGTCATGAGAAATTGATTCATGTCAGTACATTGAACCAATCATTCTCCATTGTCCAAGCTGGATAAAATTGCTTACCACGTGCTCGTGTAGAGTGACAGGCCAATCATGGCGAATGCTGAGAAGGTGGTCCAGGAAGTAGGCCATCCAGAAGACCCGGCGTCTCTGTTCGGTCTCTGTAAAGTCCTCACTCTCTGGAGGGGCCGGTGCGGATTCCGAGAGACGTCGGTCGTTGGAGGACCTGGGACTATCGATCTCATGGAAACGCAGGCCCTGCACCATGCGAATAGCTCGACCGGCGTTCATCCAGGACTCTCGATATCGTGTCCGCATGGACTCGCACAACGCGACTAGTACCCAGGACAGAACAATTTCCGTGTCACTTCCGTCCGAAGCGCTGCTCTCAACGCCGTGTGCTTCCAGCATCTGTTTCGTTGCGCCGTATAGGGAGTCCACCATGTCCCTGTACTCGGCAGACAGCAACGCCGCCAATGTCCACATGGCATGCTGCAGGCAATCCCGGGATGGCCTTTTGACTTTGGACCTGGACCATGCCAAATAACGTCGCTGGTGGAGGATTGGTATTGATGGGTGAACTCGATCGAAGTATAATTGGTCTCTGGTAGCAGGATTCAAGAGTTAGACCCTCGTGTACACGCATTGTTCACTTGCCATAGGTACAGGATACGCTTTTAGCCTGACTTACAGCTCAGCCTGGAGGACCCCCGTCATATGAACCTGCGTGTTTGGCAGCGGCAATAGAGATGCAGACACGTCGTCATGAAGGGTGTCCAAGTCCGCCATGAAACTGCCTGATGATAGGAGCATATCTTGATCCGACACCGTAAAGTCCGCCGCTGACAGTTGAAGCTGGTTCAAGTCGAATGCTGGTGCTTCTGACGCTATCACATCTACGTACTCCATTGGTGGCGTGGGAAGCACAGGCGTCATAGGCCTGGGTGCAACCGGTGTTGCACGCAGAGCCATAGGGGCTGGAGAGGCCACCGGAGGTCCTGGGTCCATTGACATCGTGATGCCATCATCATTGCTAGTGTTCTCCATGAGAACGCCATGTTCTTGTTGATGCTGCTGATGCTGCTGCTGCTGCTGCTGCTTCCGTGGTGCTTGTTGCGCTTCCTGCGATTGCACTTGCTGCACTTGCTCGTCCTGCTGCTCATCCTGCGCTTCTTGTCGCTGCTGGGTCCTAAGCCGGCTCTCCAAAAGGGCTTCAAGCTGCACGACTCGGTTCTTGAGAGCCTTCAGATAACCCTTCTTGGGCCCTCGTAGGCCGCGCTGAGTGACCTCGCAGACTGCTCCCGTTGTTTGACACAAGCTACACTGTGGTTGGCGCCCATCGCACCGCAGTTTGCGGCGTCGACACTCGTCACATGCATATCCGGGACGTTGGCCTCGTGGCGCGGTGGCCGGAGGGGTCGGACTTGTTTCCATAGGCGCCATAATGTTGTGAATGATACGTGTTTATAGGACTCAAATCTTTCCACGAAAGAGCGTCGCTGGAACGAGATGGGATGGGATGGGATGTGGTCCAAGGGTAGGCGGCGCTGTGCTTGGCGCATAGCTAAGCTTTCCGGAACTAAGCGATAGCACAAGGGTCAAACTGGTCCCCGAGCGGGAGGAAGAGGTTAGTAGGGGGTTGGGGCGGGGAGCAGCCGTCAGAACAGCCCCCACGCCCGGACATCAGAAGCCTGCAACCCAATTTGCTCGTTTGAAAACCGACAGGTGCACCTGTTGCTCCTTTGTCTCGTAATCTAATCCTGCCAGTGCGTCCGAAGGATTATCAACATACGACACCAACAAACTGCACAAGTACATGCTGTCAGCTGTACGAAGGAGCGCTTTCGTAGCATTCACGTCTTTTAGCCGGAGGACCCGCGCAAATGCACAACTACCTATGTAAGACAGCCCTGATCAATGTGCTTTACCCCTCCATGGCTCTAGAAGACAAGGCTCTACCTATGTAAGCAAAGTACCTAGTGCAGCAGTACCTTCCCACGTACTAACTTGGGCTGCCTACCACAGGTAACCGGTATTCAAGCTTTGGCTAATCTGCCTTGGCTAATCTGCCTCCCCACCAGCCTGCATGTCGAGTAACGTAGGTCCGTTCAATTGAGCACGCTAAGGATTGCAGATGTCGCATCCTGCAGAAAGGCGGAGGTTGCTTACGCAAGTCGCTCTCATCTCGGTAAGAGGCTTGAAAGGAACGTACCGGAGATACATGTCTAGGAAGACGTCATCACAAAAGGTCCTATTAGTGGCGTTCCGAAAGATAATCCGGCATTGAAACCATTTTTCCGGATAAGCAGTACAGATTATATGATCAGCATTGTGTAACGTCGGCCCGTCAGACATGGTATTCTACAGCTCAAAGCTATCTTTCCCGCGTTGCGCTTCGATTTTGGTTTAGGCAGACCAAATGGGACGTGAAAGCCCACAGCTATTTATGTATTTAGCCCCAGTGCTACCCTAGGGTAGAGCCGCATCGATGTGAACATCCTGACTAACAACCAAGACGAGTTGAAAATATTGAGACCACCCATCCTCCTCCAACGTTGAGATCAGAGGACAGCTTAACTACATACAAGGAAATGGCCAATACTATGGCCAGCCTACCAGGGCAATTTCTCTCCGGAAAACGCATCTTCGTGGCAGGAGCCGGGATTGGTTCTTTGGCCTTCGTTTCCGCTCTTGAACAATTATGGCCTCGGGACTTGGCATCGAAACATCCTGAAGTCACCGTGTTTGAGCGGGAGACTCGACAGGATTCCATCCAGAAGGACAACTACATGCTGGATATAACCGGCGGTAGCCCGGATGAGGGCCTATTCGCACTGCAGCAGTTGGGATTACTGGATAGCATCCGTCCCTACTCAACCCTCAACAGCGGCCTCATCAACGTGTGGAGCGACAAGTGGAAATTTCTCGCGGACATCGCTCCCAAAGCCTACGGCAATCTGCCGGCTGCGACAATGCGCATCACCCGGGAGAATTTGAAGCGTATCCTCTTAGAAAATTCAGAAAAGGGAAACACGGTATTTCAATGGCAAAGTACCTGCACCTCCGCGGAGCGTCTTCAGAACGGGCAGATTAGAGTCACTATCCAGGATGTGGAGGCTGGCACCATACATACCGAAGACTGTGACCTACTCATAGCCGCCGACGGGTCCAACTCCAAGATCCGAGAGACTTTTCGTCCCTTCGACTCGAAGGTGGTGTACTCGGGCGTGACACAGATCGGTGGCATCTCTCGCCTGACCCAAGGACTACCCCACCCCGTGGAGGAGGACTACGGCCTCCAAATGTCATCAGGCGAAGGAGTGTGCTGCATCTACACGCCCTTCGACGCCGAGACCATCGGCTGGGCAGTGAGCAAGCCAGGGCCTGCGCGAGACGCCCATCCTGGGCCTTTCACGCAGGAGGAGTTCGCCGCGCTCAAGAACGAGGCGCTCAAGACCGCGTCCATGTTTGACGAGCCTTTCAAGACTATCGTCGAGGCGACAGACCCGTCGACTGCGTTCATCCGGCCCGCCTACGAGAAGCAGCCCTTCCAGCACGACGCGCGGATGCGAGGTGTCGTGTTCATTGGCGACGCGAACCGCGTCGTCAACCCGTTCGTGCTGGTCGGTGCGAACCTCGCCCTGAAAGACGGCTGGGACATGGCAGAGCAATTATGCTACAATACCTCGCTGGACTCGGCGGTCGCCGGGTACGACAGGCTCAGTATTCCTCGTGTGGAACACGCCATCAAGTTCTCGCATGAGCGCGTACGTTTCGGCCACAGCACTGGTCTCATGTGGAAAATCTACAAATACGGCATGGCTGCTCAGAGGAAAATTGGGAAGTAATCCTGCTTGAGAGAGTTTCTTTTGTGATCACGTAGGGCGAACGAAGGGCTTGAGAGGACTGGCTTGTCTCGTGGGCGACGTTTTGGTTTTTGTCAATTAATATCTATACACATTTACATTTTCCGGCTCACATTCCCTCAATTGGTTCTTTCCAAACAAATTTTTGAAAGATATTAGCGTAATATATCAAGACAAATTCTAATAGTTCAACCTATGATTCCGCTATTCCAATTTTCTAATGAGCACAATCTCCCCAAGGTTCAAGGTTAACTTCCGTAACGAATGCTTGCAGGATTCAAGCGTGTGCTAGGTGGTTTCAAAACTTTTCAATCTGTGTACATGGCCTCACAGGGCTTGAAGCAGTCCCTTCACACGGAGCAGTGGTAGATTCTCAAAGACCAGCGTTAGATATGGTATAGTGCTGATAACAGTGGTTTTCGAATACATCATGTGTTCTTGGTGGGCCAAGCAAAAGACAAAGAAACAGACATCTTGGTGGTGGGCGAAGTACCTAGGTAGTTTTCTGTTGCAATTTGTCCAATGAGCACTCCCTGTCCTTGATCAAGTGTGAAAATAGAAAATAGAAAATAGAAAATAGAAAATAGAAAATAGAAAATAGAAAATAGAAAATAGAAAATAGAAAATAGAAAATAGAAAATAGAAAATAGAAAATAGAAAATAGAAAATAGAAAATAGAAAATAGAAAATAGAAAATAGAAAATAGAAAATAAAATAGAAAATAGAAAATAGAAAATAAAATAAAATAAAATAGAAAATAAAATAGAAAATAGAAAATAGAAAATAGAAAATAGAAAATAGAAAATAGAAAATAGAAAATAGAAAATAGAAAATAGAAAATAGAAAATAGAAAATAGAAAATAGAAAATAGAAAATAGAAAATAGAAAATAGAAAATAAAAATAAAAAAATATAAAATATATATAATTATTATAGAGTAGATTTAATAAATATCTAACTTTATATAAACTCTTTATATAAAAGCTTATATTAAGTATATAAATAAAAAATACTAGGTATATGGATGGAAATGCTAGGTGTGTGGATATTGGCTCTATTTATGGCCTAGGCTCTGACTGTGTCAAATCTGACCATTATTTTACCGAATGAGAGCTTGGCGCGTTTGGCGCTCAGCTCACCCGCCGAAAACGCACTGCTTGTATTGTAACCGGAACAAAGGAAACCATTAATCCGAAAACGAAAACATTTAATCCGAAGCCACTTCTAGCCACCACCCAACAACCCCTCACCCCAGCCCCCCCCCCCCCCCAACAACCACCTCCTTCGCTTGAGAGTCACGGAGGTAACACGAATAAAGCCCAGCCTCAATCCCAATGTAGAAGAGTGGTTCTTATTAATAATACGGTCCTTGTTGATAAAAGTTGTGCATGAGAACTTGACTCCGATGACAGTTAGCTTACGGCCAAGTCGCAGGGGGGTCAAATAAGGCTCCGATCAAAGTAGTAGAGAATATGTACAGGAGATTTCGTCACCTGTGTCCCCCCTTGTTCCCAACCTTGACTCTTGGAATAGAATGCGATTTTGTGCTGTGATATTTCTCGTTACCATTACATAGTGATTACAGCTCAATACCTAATTACCAAGTCACTCGCTGTATTGAGTTTTGTCTTTTCTATCCATCTCTACAGATCAAAGTTACCAGAGCCTGTATCTCTTGTACGTTCTCTCCGGGAAGAGCAGTTCAACTAAACTCTGCTGGCCTTGGATCAATCCGCAGCTGCGCCAACCATGTCATCGCCATCCAGCTTAGAGAAGGGCAGAGACATGCTGGCCAAGGACACACCTCGCATACGGATCACTGATCCATTTTGGCAGCCTCGCATCAAAGGGATCATCGGTAAAATCATTGCGTTCACATTCATCGTGATCCTGCTATTGGTGTTGGCCGACATGTCGTACCTCTCTGGTTCGGCGTTTCATGAGCGCGATCGGATGCATGCACTCAAAGTCCTTGTCGTTGACAAAGATGGGGGTGATGTAGGCCAGGCATTCAAAGGCGCTTACTCCGTACTCCAATCCAAGAACTTTGTGTCTTTGGAGTGGACTGACTCGATAAATGGGTACGGGCCAGGGAGCCATGCAGCCACGAGGAATGCGGTGTGCAAGGGCGAATACTGGGGGGCGGTCTACATTGACTCGGGCGCTTCGGATCGACTAAGCTCTGTCATCAACGGTACCAGCACTACAAATACTGGCGCTGAAGCGTTCAATGCCTCAAATGCCGTCACGTACGTGTATAACGCTGTTCGGTGGCCTGCGATTGCCAGTTTGATCTCTGCGAATATGCAGACGCTTGTCGTTGCCAGTCGAAGTGCCTATTATCACACTCCCGGCGGCGCCAGAGCAATCCAACAGCTTAACATCAGCAACTCGGCCGCCGTTGCTGCCTATGTCAACCCTATATTAGCGACCCCGGATATCATCCAGCCCACCAACCAGGGCAGCGCCGGGTTCTTCACGACGGTCAACATGTTGATCCCGCAGCTTGTGGCTGTATTTATCAACATTATCCTGAACATGTCTATGATGATGGAGAACATCTTCAGGGATATGCGGAGACGGGATATATGGCTGATTCGTTTCGTCACGGGCAAGATCTACGCCATCTTCGCCGGTCTCGCCGTCGCGGGTTACATCTGGGCGTTCAAAGAGGACTGGGATGTCAACACCGGGCAGTTCTTCGAGACTTGGCTGGTTTACATTCTCTTTCTCGATATCAACTGGCAAGTCTATGACGTGCTTCTTGGTTCGTGGATCCCTCTCGCGTGGATATCTCTCTTCATAATCACCTGGATCTTGGTGAACTTGGCCAGTGTCGACGTGCCCATGGAGTTCCAGGCCGGATGGTACAGGTTTGGGTGGGCTTTCCCGGCGCACAGCACCTGGCTGCTGCTGGTACAAGTATGGAGTGGCTGTGCCAATCGTGAATACCAGGCTCTCCCAATCTTGTTCGCCTGGTGGGTTTTAGGACATGCCATGACGCCGTTCAGTACGCGAAAGAGGTGCGCGGACGCTCGGAAGCTTGATGCCAACGGATTTACAACCTCCGAGGGCCCTGCAGAAGTCACTGAAAAATCTGCAGCCGGGGCGACAGATTCAGAAGTCCCTCAGCTCCCGGCCCTGGGACTCAATGAGCTACAACACGCGTAGAACATGTATAATTGGAGTGGTGTCACGATTCCTGGTAGCAGAGCAAATCATTGAGACGCTGTGGGCACGACTCTCGTTAGATTCAATGTAAACTTTCATCAAATATATTTGATTCGTACATAGTTCCACATTCAATGACCATTGTTCAACACAGATCAAAGTCCTTCAGCTCATTGATATTTGATTCAGTAGCCTTGGGAAGGCGGCTCTGGATAGCTAGCAAAAGTTCAATCTACATCCGAGAGCAGTTGACTTGAGCTCGTGACTTGGCTCACCGATTTGAATTCTGTTCCAGTGCTACTTAAGTAGCGTTCGTACATGTCCATCGTTTTGGCCTGGTCAGTGCTGATCTTTATTCAGTCTTATGTTCCTCGAGATGGCAGATAATGTATTGATGGCCCGTTAGAGCGGCGAGTACAAAAAAGATCAAATCCTTATTTCTTCTTCCATTTTCGATTTTATCTGAGCATCCTGTCAAGATCGACTACACTTTCTCATACAGTAGAATCTGCCTCATCTCCCCAAGTGCACCATGTCCATCATCATCAACACGTCCTCGCAGATGACGACGATTGATCCCAAGCTGACACCACACAGGTGCAAGGTGCCTGTCCCTTTGACCACTCCCTCCTAAATCATTCACGCCGGTGAGCCGTGGTTTGTCTCCAAGACTGGCTCCTTCCTGGCGCTGCCGGCGTGCCATCCGCTTCTAGATTCGCTGAGGTCGAGATTCAACTGAGCGTAGCCCCAGCTGCGTGAGAGAAACACCAAGACGAAGCTCAAGACAGGAACCAGGATTATGTCAAGGACACCGAAAAATATGAAACCACCAGTAACGCCAATCTTGTTGCTGCCATCTGTCAATGCCCAGGCAATCGGGTACAAGATCCAGCATACGTTGGCAATTCCTGCCAGGATCATATAGTCTCTTGTGATCCCGCTACGCTGTGCTGCCTCCCTGCTCTCGTTCAGCGTGCTCATGGCAAGAATAACAAAGGCAAAGGTTCCAAACGCGAAGAAGCCCCACTTGTAGACGGTGGTCGTATAGGCACCGACAAGGTAGGTGACGACCCATAGCAAACAGATGAAGATGTTGGTGAAAATGGTTGTCCACGAGACGTCAGACAGCAGTCCAAGAGCGAGGGTGACAGACGGGAACGCAACGGCCCAATTGACGTATCTTGGCCAAAAGATCTGGCGGGTTCCGCTGCCATCGACCTGCTCAACAGGGCTCCAGCCAAGGTCAGAGGCCTGAGCGTAGTAGGAAACAGAACCGGCCAGGAGAGCACATGTGAAAAGGTAGTGGAAGATCCTATCGCTCTCGGGAGTGGTAAAGCAGAAGACCAGGAGACCGAGCTGGAAGAAAGAGCCAGTCTCAGTAACAATCGTGTGAGGGATCACGTTGGGTGGGTGGCACTTACGAACGACACAATGAAGATTGCCGTGACAGCCCAGAGGAAGTCAGAACCGTGTACAGACAGGGCTGAGCCCACTCCGGAGGGTGGATTGATGTTGAGAGCGTCGTTTGCACGTATGAGAATCGACATCGTGATTTGTGTGGCCCAAATTCTGGGTGATGTGGTAGGTCGGCAATGGTGCAGGATATAAACCCTGTTCTGAATGGGATACGAAGGAATGGTGATTTGTGTGACCCGGTATTCCTCGCAGAGATGCAGACTAGGAAGTACTCAATCACTTCGGGAATGTAAAAGGAAGTCATCAATGTTTATATCCAAGTGATGCATCTCTGAACAGTTTCCATGTTCGTGGGTTTGTTTTACGCATTGGCATCAAGTCAATTTCGGTAATTACGGATATAACTGCCTACGCAGGGAAGGTTTCGAGACATTGAATCGAGGCTGCGACGGTTGCACAACAGTACATGAGCTCGGAGAAACGTTTTTTTTTTCTTTTCTTTGCAGACATGTACCTAAGTACACCACATACCGCGTGTGCCATTCCAAGTTTGGCTCTGGCCCCCTCAGTCAGCAGAGACTTGGCGCCATTCCTTTCAAAACGCGTACCGATGTAACACTGGACATACAAAGGTACCTACCTACCTACCTGGATACTGACAAGGGCGTCGCGGGGTCCCCTTTTTACCTCCGATGGGTGCTGAGGTGCATGCTGGGCTGCAATACGGAAAGTCTTGCCTGGATAGCACGGAGATAAATTAAATGAAAAGGGTTCATTCTCTGGTGACGCGGGGCTTAAAGAGCCAGCCCAAGAGGAATGGCACAAAGGGGGCATTTCTTCAGGTCTCAGCTGACTAAGTAGTCATAACATTGACGTCACGTCGATGTGCCTAATATCGGAGGCGACACACCTACTGTGCTCGATTTTGACGTGGAAGACTTCAAATTCGAAGCGTACAGAGTCATGCTATCAATTCGGCTGAACTATCTCCTCAAGACTTTCTTTTTGCAAGGCTGCGGGCCAATCGACTTCTTTGGTCTCACACCCACTACTTCGGATCCTGCCACTTAATCGGTCCGTCACCGTAAATTCGCGGCTGACTGCTGACATGTACCCGTGTTTCCCGTATGATGGCGTACTCTGGAAGCTCTACGCTGGATGCGGGCTCCGGGTACGCCTCCACGTACGCAGCCCTCCTATGTTGGTCTGGCAGCAGATCATAACCACTATCTCTGGTGGCGTTCCACACATCTCGGGATTCGCCCAAAGGGGGAGACTTGAACCACGATGGCATATTCCTGCTGCCACTTCCATTGTCCATGTGATGTGGCCGTCCCGCACTTCCACTCGAATCCGCCATGCGTGTCCCGCGAAGCCTGCTTGTCGTGGTATGCAGGACAGTTTTGGACTTTGACTTGAGGCTGCGGTAGACTTTGGGAACCGCAGGGACGCCGATGACGAGGAAACCTGAGGTGAGCTCACCAAGGCTCCATAGCCCGACCGTGGTGTAGATGTGGGTAAGGTCCTTCGAAGAGAGGGTTTCGATCGAATAGACCATTCGTGCTATTCCACAGGCGGTAGCACTGGGAAGGTGTCAGTCAGGGGGCATAGTTATCAAACAGGAGACACAAGAGAGTGTTTGGGGGGGGGTCAGATACACGTGCCTGCAACCGAGAACGAACAGAAGAGATTGGAAAATCTTACAAAATTCCTATCACGAAAAGTAGAGAGGCACCCATCTTCTTGGGCTTACTCAAGTTCAGCCTCCAAATGACCCATTGAGGGAGCAGAAGGATAATGAAGTCAGAAATCAGATTGAGGAGTGAAGAAACAATATTCAAGGCGTTCGCATCGATCGGACAACTTCCGCCGACATACAAAGGGTTCCAAGTCTTCTCGACTGGATTGCAGCGAAACCTGTCCAAGAAAAAGGCAGATATGTAGTAGATGGTGTTCACGATGAGCAGCACAAGGATGGTCCAGAACATCGTGTTTCGCTGCATTCTGGGGTTGAAGAGATGCAACCAGTCGATCAGAATGGCCAACTTCAAGCAAAGTAGGGTAAGGCCGTAGAAGTTGGAGGCAAGATGAAGTCGCTACGCCGGACGGGCCTGGAGTCAGCATGGGAATGACTTGATAGATCGTTCAAATGCTTTCGGTGCGCCTACCCAGGCAAAGTCAACCATATCCCGCAATCTGACGTTCCATGCATGGACAAGGAAGCCAGGAAATATGGCGATCTCGTAGCATAAATAGAGGAAGCCCGAATAAAGGCCCTGAAGTAGGTTTTGTAAGTTTTCTCTGTTCCCTCAGGTCATGGATTTTTTTCAGAGAAGTTTCATACGAATGCTGAAACCAAGAAAAAGTCCTCGATTCCAATGTGTCGCGGTTTGATGATGATGCGGGAAGCGATTCGAAGTAGTGATGAAAAGGCTGCGAGGACTCCGCAGAGGATTATGGCAAAATAGGCTAATCGATGAATACCGCCCTGCTGTGTGTTAATCATCTGTGTAGTCTTCAAGAGCTCGAGAGAATATGGGCGGGGGATCGCGATAGCTGAAGGAGTATACGAACAGTATTCTCAAAGTCCGATACATGTCCCGCTGGAGCCGGTATGGCTGGTGCATCGAGATAGCTTGAATTCGAGGTTGACATGCTCGTTGACACTAATGCTTGTTCTGTTGATAGAATTCGAGTGCTAATACAGCAAGCCAGATGCGCCGAAGGAAGGCGAAAAGCAGCGAAGAAACGAGAAAAGGTGGTCCGAAACCAATGCGGACCGAAGACATTATGGTACAGGAGAAATAAATTCAGCCCATGATGTCCGGGGCAACTTGAACAACGAGCTGCCTGTTCTAGCTGTCAGCTCACTGCCCTCCTTGCTGTTAGTGTGCTGTTGTGAGACGGCAAAGTCGATGTGGACCAATCGATTAGAATCGTGACCCCCAATTCAACCCCTGCACGCAGCGGAAGGATTCCAGCCATTTCACGTTGGCAGAATTGCAAAACGGAGGGATTCAAGAACAGGAACTCATAGCCTCGTTGGGCGTATCTCGATAGAGCTCTTGCATGGGCGAGGGAGCGGCTTTGGCCAACCTTCGTGTTACAGCTGAGTATATTCAGGGCCAGCAGAAAGAGTCGATGAGGAACTCTGTGATTGCTTCAAACAGGTAAAGGACGAAAGGCTCTCTGACTGCAAACGAATCGGAGTTTATAGGCCCGCCACAGCCAAATTCGAATGTCGCCATACCATAACCCCGCCCGCCTTTAGGAAAAATAAATACCCCTTACTCTAAAACTATTACTAGTAGTTAGTCTATATTTTATTCTTATATTATAATATCTTAAATAACTATAGTATTTTATAGTTTAATAAATATTAACTCTACTTCTTTATTATATTTATTTTAACTCTTTTAAATATAAAGTTAAAAGATTTATAATTATAATTTTATAATTAATTTTTATTTAATTATATTATATTATTATAACTTTATTTAATCTTTAATTTAATTAAAGTCTCTCTTTAAGTATATTTAATATTTTCTTCTTTAAAGGAATTAAAGTTCTTTTTTAAGTTTAAGCTTAAAATATTTATAAATTTTAATTTACTTTTAATTAAATTTAAAATCCTTTAAAATCTTTTAAAATATATTAACTATTTTAAATAATAATATCTTCTCTTTAAAATAAAATCTATTTTTATATAATTAGAAATTTAATTATTAATAATTATATTTTTATTTATTTATAAACTATTATAAGTATAAATTTAAATATATAATAATAAAGTATAATTACTTTATTTAATTATATTTAAGTTTAATAAAAGTATAATAAACTAAATAACTTTTTTAAATAATCTTACTTATAGTATAATAAAGTTAATAATTATTTAAGTTTATAAGATAAATATTTATTTAAGTAGAGTTAAAACTTATATATATCTTTAATTAGCGAAATAGTAGCTTTATTCTTATTTATCTTAACTAACCTACTTAAGTTATATAATAAATTTAATATTTTTATATAATACCTATTAATATTAAATTAAATAGTTTATAGTTTATAATAACTTTAAATTTTAATAACTTAATTTATATTAAAGCTAATAATATTAACTTAAACTAATTAAATCTAATTAAATATATTAATATAAAAAGATATCCTTTAATAATAAATAGTATTATAAATATAAATTATAAGATTATTATAAATATTAGAGTTATAGGCTAAATGTCTATAGGACTAACCAATAGGTTTATATACTCTACTTATCTTATTAGCTTAAGTAGCCTCTATACCTCTCACAACGTAGGATTGTAGCTTTACTACCTCCTCTATACTATTCCTTAGGTAACTCTAATTTTAAATTAATAATTCTTTATAGATAATTTAAGCCTTCTTTTACTATAGGTTGTGAGGACGATCTTAATAAAGAGTCTTATATAATAAACTTAATTAAATTAATTTTTAAAAAGATATATAATATTTTTTAAAACTTTAATTAATTATTCTTAACTTAATAATTAAGTTAAAAAGTATTTAAATAGTTTATATTTATTTTAAATATTTTTATTTATTCTATTTATTCTATTTATTCTATTTATTCTATTTATTCTATTTATTCTATTTATTCTATTTATTCTATTTATTCTATTTATTCTATTTATTCTATTTATTCTATTTATTCTATTTATTCTATTTATTCTATTTATTCTATTTATTCTATTTATTCTATTTATTCTATTTATTCTATTTATTCTATTTATTCTATTTATTCTATTTATTCTATTTATTCTATTTATTCTATTTATTCTATTTATTCTATTTATTCTATTTATTCTATTTATTCTATTTATTCTATTTATTCTATTTATTCTATTTATTCTATTTATTCTATTTATTCTATTTATTCTATTTATTCTATTTATTCTATTTATTCTATTTATTCTATTTATTCTATTTATTCTATTTATTCTATTTATTCTATTTATTCTATTTATTCTATTTATTCTATTTATTCTATTTATTCTATTTATTCTATTTATTCTATTTATTCTATTTATTCTATTTATTCTATTTATTCTATTTATTCTATTTATTCTATTTATTCTATTTATTCTATTTATTCTATTTATTCTATTTATTCTATTTATTCTATTTATTCTATTTATTCTATTTATTCTATTTATTCTATTTATTCTAACATCATAAATTCGCCTCTAAATCAACACAGGTGGGTCCTTTAGGAGCGGCTACTTACGCCGTGTGTGCTATATTTCTCGCCGTGGCAGGTCACCTGGGGATGTGCGGACAGCATTGCATGGGAGGCCGCGCCAGTCTGTCTAGACTAATTCATAAGCCAGTACCTGACCCATGCTCCGGATATTATACATCGATACTTGCAAGTGAAGGAGAGTATGCACCATCTCAGCCTCTCTGATGGACCGGAAGACACCAAGCGTCGCTATTGGGAGACTGGCCTATTGATGTATACGCGATCGGACTTGACCCAGCAGTCAGACAGACTCATCGCCATTTCTGGAATAGCCCGACAGCTGACTCCATTCAAGGGGCAGTACGTTGCGGGTCTGTGGGCAAAGTCAATGCCGCAAGCACTGTTGTGGGAGGCTTTGCATGGTCAGCCGGGGCGGAAACATTGCCGCCGGGAGGCCACGGTATATCACGCGCCGACGTTCTCTTGGGCAGCTGCCGAGGGCATGGTGCACTTGCAAGGCCCTTATCAGAAACTGGTTGATGCTGCATCAGCAAGTTTCATCAAGCACCGAGACAAATCACATTCTTCAGCTGCGGCCGTTACTGTTCTCACCGGCCACTTCTTTGGGCCTCTCAACACGCCGACTGTCGAGGTCCTGGTGCGAGGCATATTGAGATCCTGCCGGCGAGTCGCCGGCCATCGAGTGGTTCCCACTCAGTCGTCTCTGGACCAAACACTGCCAAATCCCGACCATGCCGAGGCCTGTCCGGCATCAAGCGACGACGATGATCACAGGAGATCATGCTTCGAAAATGGAAGAGGAATCCTGGTTTCATATGACCATCGCGGCGATGCGAATGACGATATAGACTCTGCGATGTATTATCATGCAATAATTGCCTATAAGCCAACGGCAGACAACGACAACCGCTACAGCATCGCATCCGGGCTCCTCCTGAAGTCAGTGGATGACAGCATGGCCCGATTTGCGCGTGTCGGATCCGTGAAACACGTTCCTCCTGATCACACATTCGTTGACATTCGAGTACCACTCGGAAACGAGCGAGATCTACCTGCCTGTAATTATGACGAGACTACGGGCGAACAGACTTTCTATATTATTTGAGGCAAACTTTCATCAACGCAAACTCTCAAGAGACCGACACACGCGGCGCTTGCTTCTTCAAGTTGGGTGCTGGCTCGATTAGTCGAAATTCCCAGATCATGCACAGAATGGGCTTCCATTTCGACGGGCCAATTCTCTCCGTACTTTATTGGCATTGTATTTTTTTTTTAAAAAAAAAGCTGGGTCTTGAGCGCTTGGCACCGTATGAAGGCGCCATGTATGTCCTCGGACGTTTACGGAATAGAAGCGAACCAACATATGTAAAGCTATTAAAACCTTTGAATATAAGCTTTATGTTAGGGAAGGAATAATTACCACTCGGCTCATAGTCTAGTAGTAATATAATATAAAGGAAAAATATAGTATGGTTGAAGCTATAGTTATATTACTAGTATATTTTTATATTAAGACAATGTTACTATTATGTTGAAATGATAGTCTTATAAACTTAATTTAACCCCCCACCCCGGGTAGGCAAACTACTAAGTGGTCATGCTGAGACTTCCCCTCGTGAATAAACTTCAAGCTAGCCAACTATACATTTATGCTTCGTCTCCATGCAACCTTACCAGCGCTATGCATTCTTCCAAGCACCGTACGTAGATCGATCATATGCATCAGCCATTCATTCCATACTTAAAACTACATGAGATCAAAGCTTGATCTTTTCCATCTGCCGCAGCTTTTTGCCATACTTGTAGAACACTATCGGCAGCGGGATCATAATCGCGCACAGGAAACCCAGGAGGGAGTTGCCCCAGCCCAGTCCCAGCGTGTCGTACATCGGAGGGCCGGCAAGCGGCAGCAGGGCGCCGACCAGGCTTCGGAGCTCCGTGTTTGCCGCGATGGCGGCGGCGGCGTACATGGGGTAACAGTCGACAAGATATCTGAAAGTGGTGAGTCAGCTCTGTACTATTGCAATGGACCCTTTTTTATGGGGCGTAACGAAAGAAGGCGAGCGCTCACGTCGTGATGGGCAGGAAGAGCCCCATGATACCCGTGCCGTACGGGATAAGGCTGAGGATCGGGCAGATCCAGTGCACCTTGAAATGAGTAGTCCAGCCGTACCAGAAGAAGGTGATGGGCAGCAGCCACGAGAAGCCGATCGACATGGCCAGCCTCATCTCGGGCTCGAACTCGCCATTGTTGGCCTTGGCGAGCTTGATGACCGACTTGTCCGAGTAGAGCGTGATGACGATCCACCCCAATAGGGTCCCCACGCCCAGGCCGAGGTAGACCAGGCCGACGAGGCCGGTGTTGAAGCCGTAGGTCTGTTTGAAGACCGAGGGTATCGTCGTGAAGAGGAGGTAGAGCGTGCCGTACGTGAACGAGATGTAGATGGTCAGGAGCAGGACGATCGGCGACAGCACCAGCATCTTGAGAGGCCTGATCAGGCCGTTGATCAGGATACGCTTCTGCGAAAGCTTCGGCCCTTGCGTGTTGTCGTAGCAGCTGCGCAGGTCATCGCGGCCGGTCTCCTTTCTCAGCCGCTTGACCTTCTTCTCGATGATGATGCGGTGGCTCGTCTCCTGGTTGAAGATCTCGATGGTGCCGGCAATGATCACAGACACGATAAGGACAATCCAGAAATCCCACCTCCATCCTATGGTTTCGGCGATGAAACCTCCAATCAGGGGACCAAGGATCGGACCTATTGCCCAAGTCGTTAGAAGATACTCTAAGTTGGGGTTGCATCCGAGGATACACAACGCAAGCCAGTGCAACAGCGGGATGCCCTTACCAATCAACGGCCCAAACGTCCATATGCCCATCGCGAATCCTCTCTGCTCCGGCCGGAACAAGTCCCCAATGACAGCGCCGCCGACCGTCAGACACCCAGCACCCCCCACACCACTAAAGAAGCGGAACACAATGAGGGCGCTGATATTCGGCGCCAGCGCGCACCCGACCTGCCAGCAGCAGAAGAACGCATTGGCGACGGTGAGCACGGGCCGGCGCCCGTAGATCTCGCTCATGGGCGCCATGACCATGGGCCCGACGACGTAGCCGAGCAGGTAGATGCTGACGGTCATGGAGCCGACGATCTGCTGCGTCTCGCCGAACTCGGCCATGAGCGAGGCGATGCCGGGGGACAATATGGACGACGCGAACGGCGTCACGAGCGTGATGGTCGACAGCAGGCCCACGAGCAGCCACTTGCGGAACGGCTGGAAGTTGAGCGGCATCGCCGGGTCGTCCTGCCCGTCCCAGCCCACGACGCCCGCGGCCAGGTCCGTCTGCGGCAGCGGGTCGCGCCTGATGCCCTCTGCGTCCCTGGCGCGGCGGCCCGAGACGGCCGAGAGGACGCGCGACACCTTGGACTTGATGCTGCCGCGCGTCTCGATCCTCCGCAGGCTCTCGATGTCGTGGACCTGGATGGGTGGTTTGCCTGGTTAGTGCATACGTCCGCACGTGCCAGCCGTTTAAGTGCCGGTTTTGGTAGCATCATTGATGCGGGTGAGGCCTACCCTGCTCAGTTGGCGGTCGAGGTCTCGCCCCGGGATGGTCTCCTCGACGTCCTCGTTCTCCGGGTCCACCTCGCCGCGCTCGGTCGAGTGGCCCGAGCTGCTGCTATATGCTGATGCAGCCTCGTCACGGTCTCCGGTCGACAAACGGCCCTTTTTGTCTCCTGATGAGCCCGACTCGTCTTCGTGTTCGGCCTGGTGGCGCTTCTCGTCGATCTCGAAGCTGGATCCCGTAAGCGAGACGGACACGGCATCTGTCTCCCGCCCCAAATCCGGCCTCGCCTTGCCGGCCTTGGCCTCGTCATCCTGTTTCTCCATGGTGGTCGCTGCTGCGGTGTTGGAGCCTCGTAGGATGTGAAATCAGCCCGGCGGCGGCGGCGGCGGCGGCGGCAGCAGCAGTGCTGGGAGTCTTGCCCAGAGTCCACCGCAGAAGGATAAGCAAGAGCGATGGAGGATTCACAACGACACGGGAGAGGCAGACTGGGCGAGAAAATGTATGCAGCAGGGTCTCATAAAATGTGGGGCGTGACTCTGCTCAGGGGCCGAGGACGCAGTGAACGGCATTTTGCTAGAGTCCGTAGGAGCATAAGCTGATAGCACGAGAGGGCGACCTAGCCATGGAAAAGCAGACCAACAGGTACGGAGTGGTGGCACAGATCGGGAATAATACTCAAGTGCCCCAGCTTGAAGGGCTGTTAACGCCGTCGGTATTAATAATTAGAGGGGGAGGGGCCCCTCCCCCGCGGGATCTGCCAACATTCCCCCCCAAACTGGGGAGGATCTCTCGGAATGAAGCCCCGGAAATAAGGTATAGTGTGGTCGCTGGCATGCCGGGTGTCGCAAGGTCCTTGGAGGACGTTCAAAGTCTGGACTATCGACCTTTAACGGCTGTACGGCTCCGCATAGGCGCCGGTGCGGCTTCGGCTGCTCGCCTCGAAAGCCGAATCGCGGTCGGGGGGTGATCCCTGCCGTTGCAGACATGCTGGCCTGGTCATAAGCTAGATGGCGTGCGCTTATGACTATTCGCATTTGTCAGAGTCTTGATCGTGGTCCAAACCCTTGGGGCCAAGGGCCAAGCCGAGCCTGTGGCTAGACTTGGCTACTGGCTAGCGGCAGCCACAATGCAGCATTGTGCGAATGGGGGTGTCGGTACTGTCGGTACTGTCGGTGAGGGCCAGAGGGCCAGAGGGCTTGCTCGTTATTTCTCACTGGGCGCTGTAATACGCACTATCCTGTATTCATCCTATGGGTACGGCAAGGGAGGCGGGCCGTTGGGCGGGCAGGGACCACTTTGGGCGATTCAGTGATTGGCTCTAATTCGGTAGGAGTGCTGAAATTGCGAGTTGGTCGTCGGGCTTATTAGGGCTGTTTGATGGAACGATTTCGATAGGCCGGATTAACCGCTGCCTGGGTAGTATATCTATCCGTATTGGCGCACTCAGCAACCGACCCAGCTTTCATACACAGTAGTATCGTCCAAATTGAACGACGGCAAATTCCTACCTACCAGCAGTCGTTTGTGTCACCATGCAACGGGCTTCGCAGGCATCGGAGTTCCCGATTTCTCCAAACGGCCGCGAGAGGAGAACGGAGCCGTGGGCCAAGGGCCTCGTGACGAGTCATGGGTCTCTCACCTATTCTTCCACGTATTCGACTACGTGTAAATAAAGAGAGGGGAGGCTAACGGGCCAAGCTTGCAGAGGCGAAGACGTGTTCGCCCACAAGTGCCATATGCGAAGCTCTCACCAGTCGTCGCCCCTTATAAAGCCCCTTTTAACTAGGCGCGTTGTACGTGCGCTAACCTTACAGCCGGCAGAGCGTTCACCCCAGTCCCAGTCCGCCCGACCAGGGACCCTCGTACTCCTGGGAGAGGGAACACGGGCGAGATCTTGATGCCAGATGGGACTGCATCCGACCTCACTTGGGATTTCATCTTTCGGACCAATACGCAGCAGGGCGATGACCAGGAGCCTCCTACCTGGATAGTGACGTGGAAAATATCTGCCAAACCTAATCGTGATCAAGCTTTGACATCATTCCTCCAGCCCCAGAGTATTCTGGCGGTCCGGCATTCGCGTGGTGTTTACTTTCCCGTGCCCAGATTGGGTTTTGTTTTCTCCCCCCACCCCGTCCGCATAGCCATAACCTTGACTGTGGTACACGCAATTACGGGCGACGTCACATCGACTGCCCACTTTCCCAGGACGTTCCCACTCCGGGGCACGCCCTGAAGCCGAACCTTAATCCAACACGGGACACCTCAGCCGCGACGTTTCAAACCCCCCTCTCCCGCTCACCAAGGAGAGACGCTACGGCGGCAGATGGTGCGCCAGGCCGCTGCTTTCTATTGCTCACTAATAATCCTCCGAGGAGACACCAGCACCCAACAAACAAGCCTTGGAAACCTTGTGAGTCTGTGACCCGCCGTGAGCCCGCCGGAAGGGGGGGGTGCAGATCGTCCGTCCTAGTCCTGTCACCCACAAAGCCAGACCAGACCACCTGGGCAGCCAACCAGCCCAGCCAGCCCGGCCAGCCAACCACACAATGTCGAACCCGCCGCCCTTGGCGATCCCCGGTCGCTTCGGCGTGCCCAACACGTCCGGGCAGAAGGTCAACAAGGCGTGCGACCCGTGCCACATCTCAAAAACGAGGTGCATACCGGATCCACTGTCGCCCACCAACTCGTGCAAGCGGTGCAGCAAGAACGGGAGCTCCTGCGTCTTCTCGCCCATCGGGCCCAGGCGCAGGCCCGTCCGCTCCAAGAACGACCGCATCGTCGAGCTCGAGCGCCGCGTCAGGGACATGCAGCTCAGGCTCGAGAAGCAGGTCGAGAAGCAGGTTGTCGAGAAGCGGGCCGCCGCTACTGCTACTGCCACTGCTACTGCCAATACTACTAGTACTAGTAGCTCAACCTTGGGTGAGCCCGGCGGCGAGGCGGACCGGGACGCCCCTCCCGGCCCCGAATCCTTCGCCGAGGCTGCTCCCACTCCCACTCCCACTCCCGGCCCCAACAGCCACCAACACCAACATCCGCCACCCCACAAGCCCGCGCCTCCCTTTTGCTTCGCCCCCGCCCCCGCGTCCTGGGCCCTGGAATATGCAGCCACCCGTCCCGGGTCCGAGTCCGGGTCCCACGAGACCGTGGGTAAGTCCCGCGGCGGCTCCGTATCATGTCCGGATACTGGAGAAAGCTGCCCGTCAACCGTGTCAGACGCCGCCGCCGACTCCCCAGAGGACCCCAAGGAGACCCCCCAGGGCCGCGGGTGGCCCGACGTCGTCGACCGCGGGCTCATCACCCTGAGCCAGGCCGACAAGCTCGTGAAGCGGTTCCGCCAGTTCATCCACGGCCGGTTCCTGGGCTTCGGGATCCCGGACGGCTACCCGACCAACCAGTCCCTGCGGCGCGGCAAGCCCGCCGTCTGGCTCAGCGTGCTGTGCGCCGCGTCCGTCGGGTCCGCCGAGTTCCTCTCGCTCTACCCCGTGTTGTCCGGCGAGATGGAGAAGCTCCTTGATGACCGCGTGGGGGAGCACCTGGAGCCCGACATCGACGCCATGCAGGCGCTGAGCATCTTCTTCATCTTCCACAACGACCTGTCGCAGGCGCTGCGCGAGAAGATGTTCCAGAGCCACAACGTCATGATCAGCATCATCGTGAGGCTCGGCAAGGCGTCGAGCAAGCACAACATCCCCGACGGCATCCCGATAGACGAGGCCGACGTGACGGAAAGGGACCTGGAGCTGTCCAGGCTCACCCTCCTGTGGCACTGGCTCAGCTTCACCGTCGCCCTCAAGGCGCGCCAGAACGTCCTCATCAGGCCTTTCCACCTCGTCAGCTCAAGCCGCCGGATACTGGAGACGAGCTCGACCCAGTGCGACATGTCGCTGGTCCAATGGTCCAAGCTGTCACAGGTCGCGGTGGACGCGGCTCTCGCCCTGTTCGACGGCCATGACCGGGCCCAGGGACTGAGTGACGACGACAGGGACAAGATTATCCAGAACTTTGAGAGGAAACGCAGGCAATGGCTCATCAACTGCCCCTTCGACCTGGTCAACGGTGAGTGTCTGTCTGTCTGTCTGTCCGTCTGGGCAGAAACGACCGGGTCCCGCTGCTCATGCTAACATTTCCCCAGAATTCCTCATGCTGGAGTACCACCACACCGCCCTGATGCTCACAGAGGTAATCTACCCAGCCGGCAGGGCAGACTTCCAGCTGCGGAGCCACGGCCTGCCCTCCCTGACCACCCCGGCGCAGTCACCAGCCAGCCCCGGCACGGACTGCTCAGAAACCAAGCCAGACCAGGACGTGCTGGCGCCGTACAGGATCGACTACACCAAGAAGTGCATCGCCGCGGCACACGCGTGCCTCGGCCTCGTCGTCTCCCCGCCCGTATCACCAGGGATGACCAGCACCAACAGCCTGGCCGACACGGAGACGCTGCGCTACTTCTCCAACGTGCCGTACTCGCGGCTGCTGTACGCGCTGCGCTTCCTCATGTTCGTCGCCCACGACATCTGGCGCACGGGCAAGTACGACGCCGTCGACATCGACTCGCTGCGCCCGGGGTACTACATCGAGGGCGTCAAGCGCGTCCTCAGCATCGCCTCGGACGGCGGCCGGTTCCGCCCGCCATCGCTGTGGCTCTACGCCATTCAGACGCGCATCCAGCCTTGGTGGGAGGCCTTCCGCGCCAGGCTCGACCGCGACAGGCCGCCCCCGAGCCGCGCGAGGTCCTCCGGCGAGGTCGAGGGCACCACCACCGGCACCGTCAGGACCGCGACGCCCTCGTCGCCGTCGACGACCTCGGGGACGCCGGGCGGCCGTGCCCACTACAAGACGCCGCCGCCGCGCCGGCAGACCTCCGAGCCGCTGCCCCGGAGCAGCCACGGCCGGGCGGGGGTCTCCGCCTTCACGACGGCAGAGTCGTCGGTGGAGCCGCCGTCGCCGGCCGCCGTCCCGTACGACATCTTCTCGGCGAGCCACTCCATGGACTTCCTGATCCCTTTCAACTTTGTCCAGCAGGCACCTGACGTGGCCGCCGCAGACGTGGTGCCGAACCTTCACCCGCCCCTGGGGCCCGTGTCGATGACACAGCCCGACAAGATCTCGAGTGGTAGCGGCAGTGGTGGGCCGACGTCGTCGTACCCGGCCGGGGCGTGTGAGACATTACCGTCGGAGACATCAAGCAGTCTGGGCTGCTCTCTGGGGGCAGACCAGAGCATCCCGGCCGGAGGAGGTGGTTGCCCGGACGTCAGCAATGTTTTCGCGCCGCATGGCAACGGCGTCGGCGCCCTCGACGAGTTTCTGGGCACCATGGACCTGGATGCCTTTAACTTTGACTGGGGAGACTACGAGTCGTTGTTCCCCGGCGCAGAGGCCTTCTTGCCCGACCCGACCGTGCTGCCGCCTGGATCTACCCCATTCCTAGGCGGGGCTTCTGGTCTTGAGCAACCGAAGGAGGAGGATACTAATGGATCATGAGCGTGAAACAAATAACGAAACGGTTTGGCAAGTGTGTATTTTGGTTTGGTTTGTGAGTACGGGGCGTGTTACGGATATGGGGTCGGGGGCGTTTGCTTTGATGATCAATGATTCCATGTACACACCTCATCACCAGCCAACAAGCATTTCCCGAGCCTGGTGTCCTGGTAGAAGTTCGCATCTCTCATAATACAAATGTCGACATCAACGCCGGCGCCCACCGAGCAAGGGTTGATGTCATGGCAGTGGCGATGTAGCTTGAAAGTTGAGTGCGTCGTGGGCGAAAGATATTTATTGCTAGAAAGACTCATCCACCGTCAGCAGACTGATACTAGTAGTTCCCCTCAACCTTGGCGATCCTGCTTGCCGGGATAATGGGTGAGGCTTTGAAGTCATTGGTCTCCGTATTCCTTCCGTGGGGCGTAAGCAGCATGGCCCCGTTTCCCGCCGATCGACAAACTGACAAACCTCGGGACACTAATAAGGGCTGCGGAATCCCTCGGGCACTGTCGTAACGTGATCTCAAGTGTTGTCACCAATCATATCAGAGCCCAACAGGACTTGTCTCAGCACTTGTCTGGTTTTGATCTAGCGACCCTCGGTCGAGGGATTGCACAAGTCGATACAATGCACATCTGTAGGTAATTGTCCTCCCATCAAGAGGCACCTGAAATGCTTTTGATGGGGCCTCGCTGCTCATATCACATTTACAGGACAGTATTGAGCACATTTGTGACTTTCAGTAAATGCGAAGACATTAACGAGAATCATGGCTTGGCCCACCACCCCAGGAATGAACAGAAATGAAGTAGAAGTCAAAGTACCCCAATTGTTAGAACCAGAGAGTGAGCTTCTCCCGTGGTGATCGCGAAAGCTTGGAAGCTTTCTTGTGTAGATATAAACATCACCTCGCCTGGAGATCATAAGATGCGTCTGGCTAGTAGCATACCGACCGGGACCGGATGCCAGAATGTTATGATGTATCGGTTCGGACCCTTCTCACATCCTGTCTTTGATTTGCTACATGGCTGGTTTGGCTTTTCCTTGGCTAGCTGCAAGCTTCAACCCGAGCAAGCGTCCAACGGTATGCATGTTGCATTTTCGGGGGCAGGGGCAAGTGTGCCCGGCCGCCAAAATAGAGGGAGGAAGAGGACATATGTCATGTCAGGCACCGGGGCAAGGAAGGAAAAAATGCGTATACCTGTAGATAATACACTTCCGTATGCACTTCGGCGGAGGACGACACCGACACAAGTGACAAACGCCTGCGGGAGAAGAAGTGTTGGCATCACGCTGATAACGACTGACTGACACAATGGCAGTGTGCTGGTCCATCACTTGCTTGCAGATACTGACGCAAGGGACTCGGTACGTTGAACAACTCTGCTTTGCCGGAGAGGAAAAGAAAACAACAAAGAAAAAAGAAAGAAAAAAAGGTCTGATGTAAAAAAGTAAGAAAATTCAAAGAATTCAACGGTCTGCCGGCATGAAGTCGCGCAAGGGCGCTCGTGTTGTATGTCTAGGTCAGACAGCGGATGGATGCCTGCATGGATTGCGACACTGCATCCAGACCACTTGGTCTTTCTTTGCCTTGGCAGATCGGCCGGGGGCACGTGGGAGCTGGTATGTACTTGGCAAGTAGCCAGGAGAATTTTGGATGTTCTCTGGACTGGGGTCAGGGGACTCTAGTCCGAGACGTGTGTGAGTTGAACCTTTGTTGATGTGTGCAGCGAGACTCTGGCTGCAGCTGGTCGAAGGGCGGTGGCATGTTCCGCCGGTCACTTCTGTCTGGTCAAAAGCAAAGGCACCAAGACGGGCTGGCTGTCAGATGTGGCGGTGAGGATCTGACGGCCGTTGAGGCCCTGTGAGACGGAGGGGGAAAAATGAAATTAGACGCATCTCGCATCTCCTGGTTTGACGATCGGGCGACAGGGCTCAGGTCTTGTAGGCAGGCTTGCTTGCGGCCGGGCTTGACTGAGCTGATGCCATTATCTCGGAACTGGCGTCATTGGCCGGGCTCGAGACGTGAGTCTTGTCGGACAGCGACGACTCCCTGCACAGGGCTGATTTCTGTGCTGCAGAGGCCTGTTTTGTCCTCATCAGGGGTTCGTTTTCGTTGTGCTGTAGCTTAATTCTTGTCGCATGTACGTGAGTACATGTATACATATATATGTACGTACACACTGCTGTGACGGGCCAACCTGGGAACGGCAATGTCCGTCCGGGTTGGCGGTGCAGGTTGGCTGATATAACCAGTACTTAAGTAGGGACGAAGGACGAGCTGACCACCGCTGCGGCTGACCCTCCTCGGTCGACATTTATTTGACGTGTGTCCGAATCTGTGTGTGTTGGTCAGCACGTGAGAGTTGCCCGCCATCTCTCTCCTCTTTCTTCAATGTTCCCTCTGCGTTAGAGCCATCGAACGCGAGGCCATGGCACCAGAATCCATCAGCACCGAAATCGAAACACCAGTCACAGACATGGCGGTGGGTGCCCTTGCCACTGGGCAGGAGAGGACAGAGTTTCCCTTTCCCACACCCCCAGCATCTGATGATGGCGGCGGTGGGAAGAGAGAGAAGAAAGACGGCGATGATGGTCCAGGCGGCAGAGGAGGGGACGACGATGGCTGTAAGGGCTGCAGGAAGATACGACAGGACGAGGTGTGGAGGCTTCAACGGCAGAACAAGAGCATTGGTGAGTGGGATTTCTTGTTGATGTGGTCAAGTACTGAATGGGTGTGGATGTGAGAGTGCCTCTTTCTCTCTCTCTCTCCGCCCGTTCCTGCATTGCCGTGGTTCGCAACGCGACTTCCCTCTTCCAGCCTAGGCAGCAGGCCTGTCCTGTCCTGTCACCCACCCTGGGCAGAAGCCCAAATGCCTACCCCACGACCCACAACGGGAGCTTGAGCCTTGGGGACCACCTGAGCCCAGGTGGGGATCCCCCTGTTCCTGCCGGCAGATGCCGCCTGCAGTACCACAGAGTGGTTGCACCCTGACCTCAGCTCGTCCAAACTCCAATTCAGCTCATCGTCACTCGTCACCCCTCTGCACTTACACTCTACTCTTACACGCTCGCTGTCGCCACCACCCTCCTCCCTACCCCCACTCCCGGCTGCAAGCCTGTGACTGTTCCCTCTGCCATTGGTATATACCCTCAATTCCCCAAACAGTCGGTCTTGCGCTCGTTTGGCCTCCTGTCCTGGCTGGCCTGGTGCAGTGCCATCATCTGGCCAGAGATGATGCCTTGGTCGGCTCGACCTGACCTGGTCTGACTTGGCCTGCCTCGGTCCAACCTGGCCTCTCGCCTTCTCCAACCATACTAGGTACTGACTCCTGTCCCCCCTTCCCATCCAGCAGACGCCATGGCCTCCGAACCAAAACCGCCACAACCATCGACCACCGCGCCCATCACCAATGGCTTCTCGCTGTCGCATGACGAGTCCGACGCCCCCGTGCGCGTACAAGAGCTGAAGCACGACAGCTCCGTCCTCGCCCTGGCCGTCTCCGACAAGTACATCTTTGCTGGAACACACGACGGCGAGCTGATAGTCTGGTCGCTCGGCACCTTCGAGCTCGTCAAGAGGATCCAGGCCCACAAGCGACACATTCTCTGGCTGTTCCTCTCCGGATCCTCGTCCTCCACCACCCATTCCGATTCCTCCCAGTCCTGCCCAGACTCGACCTCGGCCAACTCGAGGCCACTCTTGATATCAAGTGCCGGTGACGCGCTGGTCTCCGTCTGGTGCCCCGAGACCTTCACCCGCCTCTACGAGATCTACAGCGTCGACCATGTCGGCGATGTCTTCTCCTGCGCCTACTCGAGCCAACAGGACACCGTCTATATCGGCGCACAAGACCAGTCCATCCAATGGGTCAGACTCAACGACCGCGAGCGTCGCGTGCCCCACAACAACCCCTCCCACCCCGACCAACGCCACCACCCTTTCTTCGATTCCAAGGCGCCCGGCGGAGTTAGCACACCGAGGAGGAAGGACAAAAGAGAGGAGCTTATACCAAAACCTGAGGCTACGCTCGAGATAGATCGCGGATCGGTCGGCAAGTTTGCCCATTTCGGGTTTGTCTACTGTATGATCATCGCGAGGGGACCGACCGTCCTGGTTGACTCAGACGAGGAGGTCCTCATAAGTGGCGGCGGCGATGGGAGTATCAAGTTGTGGCAAATCAAGCAGGACGAAAAATACGATGGGTACGAGGAGTGGGAAGCCTGGGAGAAGCGCGAGATCATGTGTCTGCGTGGCGACGATGACGACTTTGGCGAGTCTGTCTTCTCACTGGCCATCGACGGTTCGTTCCTCTATAGTGGCAAGAAGAAGGGCGTCATAGAGCTGTGGGACCTCGACACGAAGCAGAAGCTCAGGGTGATTAAGGGCCACCGCGGCGATGTCATGGCCCTCCAGCTGTCCTGGGGCTATCTTCTGTCTGGGGCCACCACAGGGTCGGCAGCAGTAAGTCCAGCTACGGCACTTTTCCCCAGCTCCTGCCAGCCGGGGGTTGTGTCCAAGTCTGACATTTCCCAGAAACACAGCACCGTCCACTCTAGCAAGGACCATCTCCCGCCACCGTCCAGTGAGAAGGTGAGCCAGAAATACCAATGTCTCAAGAGATGGACGGCCCACAACGGCAAGGTCCTGTCTTCGGCCTGCACCAACTATAATGGCGACCAACTTTACATCACTGGCGCCAACGACAATTCCGTCAGCGTCTGGCGCATCGAAGACGCGTGCGAGCAACCCGAGGACATAATCGGCAAGCCGGAGGATATGATGTTCGCCTCTCTCCGAGAGTTCGTTTCATACAAGACCGTCTCCTCCCGCCCCGAATTCGTCGAAGACTGCCGGAGAGGCGCTAGCTTCTTGTGCAATCTCTTCAAGCGACTAGGTGCAAAGGTGCATATGCTGTCTAGAGATGACCAGATACACAACCCCGTCGTTTGTGCTGTCTTCAGTGGGAAGCGCGAGCCGGCAGAGCAACGCAAGCGCATCTTATTCTATGGCCACTACGACGTCGTGCCTGCCGATCGTAATGCAGAAAGCAGGTGGACGACGGACCCCTTCCAGGTTGAAGGAGTGAACGGTTACTGGTACGGCCGTGGCGTGAGTGACAACAAGGGTCCCACCATGGCCGCCCTCTTTGCCGTAACAGATCTCCTCGAGGCCAAGCAGCTCGAGAACGACGTCATCTTCCTCATCGACGGCGAGGAGGAGTCTGGCAGTCGCGGATTCCAGGAGGCAGTGGTCGAGAACAAGGATCTCATCGGAAAGGTGGACTACATCCTCCTGGCCAACAGCTACTGGCTCGACGACGAGACCCCATGCCTGACTTACGGACTCCGAGGGGTCCTGCACGCCACCGTTTGCGTCGACAGTATCTACCCTGACCTTCATTCTGGTGTCGATGGCAGTTACATGGTCGATGAGCCCCTTTCCGACCTGACTCGGCTTCTGTCGACGCTCAAGGGCCCCAGGAACAAAATCATGGTGCCCCATTTTTATGATTCCATCCTGCCGCTCACGGCTGCCGAGGAAGCGCGTTATGAAGACATCACCAAGATCCTGAGCCGCCGCAACCCCGAGTCTGGAACAATGGACCAACTCAAAGCCGGTCTCATGGCACGGTGGCGGGAGCCAAATCTGACCATCCACAGGTACAAAGTGTCCGGGCTGGACGGCAGTATCGTCAGCGGCCATGCCAGCGCCACCATCAGTTTCCGACTGGTGCCCGGGCAGGAAGTAGACGACATCATCGCATCGCTCAAGTCCTTCCTGACGGAGCAATTCGCCCAGCTTGAGAGCAGGAATTCCCTCAGCATCAAGATCGACAACAAGGCTGAGCCATGGCTGGGTGACCCAAGTAACCAGATCTTCCAGACCCTGGAGGAGGCCATCATCAAGGTCTGGGGTCTTCGAGGCTCGACAGGGGAGCACGGCACCGTCGAGGTTCGGCAGAACTCACTCGGGGTTCAACAATTCCAAAAGGCTGGCACTGCGGACAAGGGCAGCATTTTTGGCGGGGGATATTCCGGGATCCCTGACATGGACGATCACAAGAACAACTCCTTGTCCGTCGACAAGTACGACGACGACGACGAGCGCATGTCTGCAGCGCCCACATTGCTACCCCGCGGGTCGACATCAACCTTCGGCCCGGCACCATCATCACAGTCCGCAGACGACGACGACAACGATGACGACGACTCCTCCGCGCCGCCCACGCCCTCGGTGTCCGACTTCCCAGCCCCCGCGCCGCCCGCGAAGCCCGAGCCCAGCCCCGAAGACGCAAACAACACCAAGGCCAAAACCACCACCACCACCAACGAACCCGCCCCGGCCCCCGCCGTCGTCAGGGGCCGCAAGCCGCTGTACATCCGCGAGGGCGGGTCCATCCCCGCGATCCGGTTCCTCGAGAAGGAGTTTGGCGCGCCCGCCGCCCACCTGCCGTGCGGCCAGGCGAGCGACGCGGCGCACCTCGAGAACGAGCGGATCCGCCTGCTGAACCTGCTCAAGAGCCGGGAGATCTTTGGGGAGGTCTTCCGCAGGCTGTGATCGATGTGGACGTCCGTTTTGTATTGCTGACGTTTTTGCCATGACTAACTAGTATTTATCTGGGCCGTCCGTCACCTGTCATAATTATCCGGGCATTTCATGTGGAGGGCGTTTTTTTTTTTTGGGCAGCTCGTGAGTTGGGTGCATACATAGCGTTAGATCTAGATCCGTGAGCTCTCGTGAGTAGGAGTGTGGATAGAGAGGGAGGGCCTGGCTGGCTGGGGTTCAAATATAGGTGGTTAATAAATACCGTGCATCTATCTGTCTCGTTGGTTGGGCTATCCGTCCATCCCCTGCGGCAGGCTTTCTTAGCTTGAAACTCGACCACGACAAGCTTTGTGGCCGAGATCCGGGCCGCACATGCACCACCTGTCGCATGAACCGAACCGTAGCGTTACTGTACCGTACCGTTGGGTTTGGCTTCCCTCACGCTTGCCCCTGGACCGGGGTGTGTGCGTGTGATGGCTGTCGACTATGGCAGCCAGGTCAGTCCACCGGCGTGCGGCCTTCCGAGACGAGACGTTGGACCACCGCATGAATTTACTTGTACGAACTTTCATCGACTCGCTTATTCATTCACATCCAACCTCTACGAGATGGTGACGATCGGAGGAATGAATAACGGGTGCTGAATTTCTATGATGTTAGCGTGGGGATGCCCTTACATCCACCAAACTGCCCGTCGAAATTGTCCAGTCCCTGAGATCAGGGCGGGCTTCTATCGATCGCCTCTTCCCCCATCAACTCAGCCCGGATAGTAACCCCATCATCATTGCCGGCCTCTCGCAACCAGGCAGGCCAAAGCCTCGCCATTCCTGGACCGGAGGGCAGGACATCCCAAACCCGGGATGTCGCTGGCCAGATCAAATGTCCCTCTTCAAATCTCGGCGATGGGCATTGGTCCCTTTGGCACTCGCCACGCTGGCAGTGTCCATCGCCCTTCACCACGGCATCGCAGTCCACACGATGATGAGGATGATGATGACGATGGACCTCGTCCATCCGCGGACGGGAGCAGGAGTACAGGCCCCGTACGATAATACTGCGCCCCCGCCGTTAAGACCAGACGCAGCAGCAGCAGCAGCGGCGGCCTTCAAGTACGACTCGGACGGCACCACTGCATCCCAACACCAACCCCCAAGTCACAGCCGGCCCGGCCTGAACTCCAGCACATACACGATAACCCCCTGGCACCCCCTCACAATCGAATACACAACCCTAACCAAACTCGCAACAATCCAGGAGGGCAGGCTCGAGATGGCACACCACCCCTCCCTCGGCGCCGGCCCCGTCCTCGTCAAGCGGGCCGCCCTGCCAGCACACGTAGGGTCGTCCATCGCGCGCGAGACGGAGGCCTACCGCCTCCTGCACGGCTGGGGCGTGACGCCCCTGTTCCTGGGGCACGTGGCCGAGGGCGGGGTGATCACTGGGTTTGTGGCCGAGTACGTGGGGGACGCAGAGGCGCGGGGACAGCAGGGAGGGGCGGGGGGTGAGGGTGGTAGGGGGGTTGGTACGGAGGCCTGCCTGGCTGCGCTCCGGCGCATGCATGGGCGGGGGGTCGCGCATATGGACGCGCACGGGGGGAATTGTCTGGTTAGGGGGGACGGGTCGGCTGTTCTTGTTGATTTTGAGCTGGCGGAGATGGGTTCGTCTGCGGAAGAGTTTGAGAGGGATTTGTGGGTTATGCGGTACTCTAGGATTGCTGAGGATCGAGCATGATGTGGAATGTGTGAACTGCCGGTGGGATTAAGGTATGTGGGAAGGTAACATCCCCGGCCCACATTCCGACAATCCCCTAAATCCAACTACCCTATACCTATATTTATATATATATATATCTATCCCCACTCTACCTATACCCCTCTATAACTTTATAAGGAATTTTTTTTAATTATTAAACTTTCTTTAAATATTATTCTAATTATTATAAAAAAATATAAAAAAGAAAAAATTTATAATATACTTATAATAATTAAAAATAAAATATTTATATAAAAAACTTTTAAAACTTAATATATTTTATATATTATATTATAAAACTATTTTTAATATATAAAGTAAATTTATTATTTATAAATTTTATTAACTTTTTAATCTTTAAAAATTAATTAATATTATTTTTAATTAATTAAAGTAATTTAAATTATACCTAACCTATTAAAAATATAGATTTTAATAAACTAAATAGTCTTTTTTTTCTAATATTTTTTATTAAAAAAATAGTTAAAAACTTTTCTAATTTATTACTTTATTTTTAAAAGTTATAAATATTAATAAATTAAAGTAAAATAATTAAAGATAATAAAAAATATATTTATATAATTTAATTTAATATAATTACTTATTATAAAGATTATTAAATTAAATAATTATTAAAATATTAATAAAAGAAAATTAATAAAAAAGTTTAAAATAATATTTATAATTAATTATTTAAAAATAATAAATTATTTTAAAAGAATTTTAATTTATATATATAAACTTTTTTATAAAGTATATATTTATTATAAGTTTTAAACTTTTTATTATTTTTAAAAATTAAATATATAATAATAGTAATTTCTATAGTTTTTAAGGATTATATAAACTAATAGTTTATAATAATAAAAAAGTTAAATAAAAACTTATTATAATTAAATAATTAAAAAAGTTCTTTTTAAATTATATTAAAAGATTTATTTAAATAGTATTTTTTATAATTAATAAATATTATATATATATTATAATTAACTTTATATAAAAATATTTTTAAATAATATTTATATTATTTTTATTAATTATTAATTTATATATATTTTAATTATTTAATATATTAATTTTTAATTTATTTAAAACTATTTTTAAAAGTATTTATAATATTAAAATAATTATAATTTTTATTAATAATTATAAAAAAGGTTTTTATTATTATTATAAAACATATATTAAAATCTTTATGAAGTTAAATATTTAATTTAAATAATAAACAATTAATTTATAATTATTTTTAAATATAAAGTTTTTAATATATATTTTATTAAAATTAATAAATTATTAAAATAAAAAAGTAAAAAAGTTATTATTAAATAAAATAATATATATTTTTATATTAAATAATATTTTATTAACTTTAAAGGATTATTTTAAAATTTTAAATAATTATAAAAGTTATATAATATAATAACTAAATATATTTATAATAAATATTTAAACTTTATATAATAACTCTTTTTATAAAATCTTAAAAATTATAATTAAAAATATTAATTTAATAATATTTATAAAAAAGTTTAAAAATTAAAATATTAATTAAAAGTTAATAAAATAATTTAAAAAAAAAATTTAACTTAACTTAAATAAATTATTTATAAATATTAAAATAATTTAATAAATTTAAATTAAAGTTAAGTAAATATTTTAAAAAAAAAAATAATTAATTAAAAACTTTAATTATTAAAAAGGATAAAATTATAATAATAATATAAATAAAGTTAAGATAAAAGGGTGGTTAAAGGAGGAGATAGTTGGATTTAGAGGACTATTGGAATGTGGGCTAGGGATGTTATATATAGCGCCTTTATTGAATGTAAGGTACTGTATATACTTGTTGAAGCTCTAGTGATTGTTCCGATACCTAATGTCAGCAACATTCTTCATGTTCTTTTAAGTGACCATCTTAACATCTTTATAATGCAGTTAATATCTCTCTGACTAGATTCCTGAATCTTGAGCTTTTATACCTTCCAAAAGGAAAATATAGTCCCCTCCTTTCCCTAAGAGGTTGTCTAACTGCTTAGCAGATAATCCCTAATAAAAGAAAGATTATCAAAAATAGAAATAATAGTTATAAAATAGTGCTATCAGTTTATAAACTTGGGTTGTAGTTTTGCTGTTCTAAATGGAAGTTTGACTGTTCCCAAAATCTACATTGTGTCGATACTGCTGAGATAGTCTTCTTATCTAGAATACTTACCCAGGAAGAGGCTCATGGCGCCTAAGCCTTGTTGCTACTAGACTATTTTATCAAGAGTGGAACAGCCGCCATTTTTCTTGACGTCTCAGGAGTGGGTATAAGACATTCGCTACTTTGGAAAACATCCATGTCACCTCACAAATTGAGATACACCATGGCCGAGCCATTCAAGCGAAACAGGAAGAGCAACCGACGCATTCCGATCATACCTCCAGGTTTGTGAAATCACACGGCATCGATGACATGATATTTAGCTACGACAATCACTACCCCCTCTTCACAAACGCACATACCTCCTGTCCGCAGTCAATGTGAACTATCTTCTCCACATCCTTGAAGTCGATCGAGTTCTCCTGGAGGACCTCGGGATTCGTCAAGCCCGCCATCAACTTCTGTATGTAGCCGACCATGGTGTCCTGACCGGCCATCTTGGCCGTGTCGCCGCCTCCCCAGCGGTCGGCCACGAAACTGGTCTGGAGGTCCTCGACAAAATAGAGCCCGCCAGGCTTGATGGCCTTCCAGAGATACTTCAGGCTCGTTATCTGTTGCACCATGGTGTGTCCCCCGTCGTCGATGATGATGTCGAAATCTTTGCCGTGCTCTTTCATGAACTTCTCCAACACTTTCGGATCGGCCTGGTCCCCCGTGGCAATCGTGGCGTCTTTGGTCTTTTCGGCCCACTTGTGTGCACAATCGGCGTCGTATTCCAGGAAGTAGAGCTCGACGTTGGGGAAATACTCGAGCCATGTGTAGTAGGATGCCCCCGGCCCATACGCCTGGCCACATTTTAGATCAGCGCCTCTCTTCTGCACCTCGGTGACTATTTTCAAGTGGCCTTGAAAGATACTCAGCTGAAGCTATCGGGGCCTGCCTGCTTACCATATCACACCCGAGCCCGATCTCGAGCATCTTGAGCTTCTTGTGTCGCAGGGGAGGAAAATAAACCTCGTACATGTCCTCGTAGTGGTGCGGGTCCACCTTGTCTGTGCCCTGGGCCATAGCAATCTCAAAGAATGAGGGCTCCTCGGGGGATTTGAAAGGCCAGATCCTATTTGTGGCACCTGAAATTACCGATCTCAGTTCCTCATTTTGTTCGGTCTGCTGGTGCACGAAAGCAATGATGAAAAGGAGGACTGCCACTGCCGCGAAGTAAATGAATGCGTTCTTGGGGGGTGCATGTGCGAATACCATCCTGCCTGCGTTGTGTCCAGCAATTACAAGAAAGTCGGAGGTCGTAGATTGAATCGAGCGGACAGGACAGACCACTATCCTTTTTCCCCCTGGGCCCGAATGAGGATGCGAACTCGATTTCTATGTAAGCAAGGGACTCTTGGGCTGCCCGGTCACACAACCGGTGCTTCTCCCTCTATGGGCACCTCTGGCCCTTTCAATGTTTCAGTCTCACCTTTCTTGGCACGCCGCCATTTCCACATTCCCAGGACGCGGAACTACGATCAAGCGCGACGTGTAGAGTCCTACTGAGCGAAGATTAGAGATGCCTAGGTAGAGGCGGGTCAATTAAGTGGCGTCAACGCCCAAGATTGGTACCGCACAATGAATCCAGAGGTTACAAAACAGCACTCCCTTGACAAGGGTAATTAATCATCCTCCGTGCTCGTTAGACGTTGTGCAGATCAAAAACCTCCCCTGATAATCGACTCGTCTGCCTTGAATGTTTTGTTCGGTTTTATGCAGCTCGAACAGTTTCCATTTCCACCCCACACCATTGCAGTTCACTGGCAATTCAGACCACGGCGCTCTACATGACCGCTTTGGGAGTCGTTTAGTCCCGCTGACTTCATCTAGAGAAGGACTGATCCGCTTCTCCATTGCCTATTTACTGTAATGACCAGGGAGCAAAGATGGCAACCAGCTTGTTCCACGCAACTTTCATCTCCAGGCTCAGATTGTGCGCAGATATTCCATTCTTGACGTATACAAGAAAAGTCTGCTCTCAGAAACTTCATCAACGGATCTGCATTGACGTGCTCGGGGTGTTGAAAGCAGAAGCAAACCTCAGCAGTCGTATCACAATAAGGACTCACACAACCAGTTCTATCAATATATCAAATTAGTCGTCACAATATCAACATAAATTCTGGACTCGGAGCGATACTATCAACGAGCTTTATCGGGTGTCCACTACGCGGCCACGATAAATTAGAAATAAAAAGTCTTTAAAAATATTTAAAATAATAAATTAAGTAAATTAAGTAAATTAAGTAAATTAAGTAAATTAAGTAAATTAAATAAATTAAGTAAATTAAATAAATTAAATAAATTAAGTAAATTAAGTAAATTAAGTAAATTAAGTAAATTAAGTAAATTAAGTAAATTAAGTAAATTAAATAAATTAAGTAAATTAAATAAATTAAATAAATTAAATAAATTAAATAAATTAAATAAATTAAATAAATTAAATAAATTAAATAAATTAAATAAATTAAATAAATTAAATAAATTAAATAAATTAAATATATTAAATAAATTAAATAAATTAAATAAATTAAATAAATTAAATAAATTAAATAAATTAAATAAATTAAATAAATTAAATAAATTAAATAAATTAAATAAATTAAAGTTAAAATTTAAAAATATTAAAATTATTTAAATTTATTATATTATATCATTATTATAAAATATAAAACTTTAAATATTATTATAAAATTATAATAACTTTTTAAATATAAAGTTAAAAGATTTATAATTATAATTTTTAATTAATTTTTATTTAATTATTTTATTATATTATAACTTAATTTAACTTTATTTAAACCTTTTAAATTTTTAATATTTTTTTAAAGGAGTTAAATTTAAAGAAAAACTTTTAATTTTAAGTTTAAAATTTTTATAAATTTTAATTTCCTTTAAATTAAACTTATAATTTTTAATTTATTTTAAAATATATTAATTATTTTAAATATTATTAACTTTTTTAAAGTAAAGGTTTATTTTTATATAATTATATATTTAATTATTAATAATTATATTTTTTTATTTATAGTAAAATTATTAAAACTATAAACTTAAATATGTTATATAATAATAAAGTATAATTACTTTATTTAAAAGTTATTTTTAATTTAATAAATTAATTAAGTAATTACTTTTAAGTAGTTTTATTTATAATATAATAAAGTTAATAAATAAGTATTTATTTAAATAAAGTTAAAACTTTAATTAAAAGAATAATAATTTTATTTTTATTTATTTTAATTAATTTAAAAATTTAAATTATATAATAACTTTATATATAATATTTAATAATATTAAAATTAAATAGTTTATAATTTATAATAATTTAATTTTAATAAATTAATAATAATAATTTAAATAAATATAATTTAATATATTAATATAAAAATATTTTTAATAATAAATAATATTATAAATAATTATAAAATTATTATAAAAGTTTTATATAATAAATTTAATTAAATTAATTTTTAAAAGATTTATTATATTTTATTTTTAAAACTTTAATTATTTATTTTAATTAAATAATAAAATTAAAAATATAAATAATTTATAATTAAATATTTTAAAATTAAAATATAATTTATTTTTATATTAAAATATATTTTATTTTATATTTTAAATTAAATTAATAGTATAATTCTTTTAAATAATACTTTATATTATATATAAAATTTAAATTATTTAAAATAAATAATAAAAGTTAATATTTATTTATTTAACTTTAATATTTATTTATTTAATAATTTCTATAAATTTATTTAATATTTATTTTTAATAATTTTTATATTTATAAATACTTTTAAATTAATATTAAAGAATATTATAATATAATTTTTTAAATTTTAATATTTTAAATATAAATCTTTTAATATTATTTTAATATATTTTTAATATACTTTTAATATACTTTTAATATACTTTTAATATTTTAAATATTTTTAAACTTTTAAATTATATATATTTAAATATTAATAAATTATTAAAAATAAAAGCTTAAAATATTAAAAAGTTAAAAAGTATTAAAAGTTAAAAATATATAATTTTTATTTTATTCTTTTAATATTTATTTTTAATTATTAATTATTTAATATTTAATTAATATTTTAATATTTAATTAATATTTTAATATTTAATTAATATTTTAATATTTAATTAATATTAAAGATAGTTTTATAATTTATAATAAAAGGTTTAAATTATTTATAAAGAATTATTAATTTAAAATTAAAGTTACTTAAAGAATAGTATAAAGGAGGTAATAAAGTTATAATTTTATATTATAAGAGGTATAAAAACTATTTAAGTTAATAAAATAAGTAAAATATATAAACCTATTAGTTAATTTTATAAGTATTTAGCTTATAATTTTAATAATATTTAAATATATATAATTTAAAAGTATATTAAAAGTATATTAAAAGTATATTAAATAGTATATTAAAAGTATATTAAAAGAATATTAAAATATATTAAAAGGTATATTAAAAGTATATTAAAATATATATTAAAAGTATTTTAAAAATAAATTAAAAGTATATTAAAAATATATTAAAAAAGTTTAAAAAAGTTTATATTTAAAATATTAAAATTTTAAATTAATATATAATTTTATATAAACTTTATATATAAAAAGTAATATTAAATAAGTTTATAAAAATAATTAAATTAATAAATATTAATATTAAATAAATAAATATTTATTTAAATAATAATAAAAGTTATTTTATTTTATTTATTTTATAAAATATATATAACTTTTATTTTTATTTTTAATTAAATATATAAATATTTCTAAAATTATATAAAATAATATTAATAAGTAAAATTATTTAAATATATAATTTTAATAGTTTTATTATAATTTAATATTTTAAAATTAATTAATAAGTTTATATATATAATAATTATAATAATCTTTTATTAAAATTTAATTAATAAAAGATATTTATTTATATAAACTTTTAAAATAACTTTTAAATAATTAATTATTAATAATTAATTATTTAATATTTTATTTATTTTATATATATAAATTAAATTAATAATATATATATATATAAATATATATAAAATAAATATAATTAATATATTTATATTTAATTTATTAAAATTTAAAATTAAATTAATAAATTAATAAAATTTAATAAATAATAATTAATATAATATTATTATTTATATTTAATTATAATTTAAAATAATAATTTATTAAAATTTAATTAAAATAATATAATAATAAATATTTTAATATTTTATTTTAAATATTAAATATATTTATAATAATATTAACTTAAAGTATTATAATAAAATAATAAATTAAAAATTAAATAATTAATAAATTATATAATTAATAAATTAATAAATTAATAAATTAATAAATTAATAAATTAATAAATTAATAAATTAATAAATTAATAAATTAATAAATTAATAAATTAATAAATTAAAAATTAAATATTTAAATAAATTAAAATAAAAATAAAAATAAAAAATAAAATTAAATAAATAAATAAATAAAAATTAAAAATATATAATATAATTAAACTATTATTTATATTTATATAATAATATTTTTTAAAAGTAATTTAATTATATAATAATAAAAGTTTATTTATTTATTTATTTATTTATTTATTTATTTATTTATTTATTTATTTATTTATTTATTTATTTATTTATTTATTTATTTATTTATTTATTTATTTATTTATTTATTTATTTATTTATTTATTTATTTATTTATTTATTTATTTAATTATAATAGATTATAATATTAAATATAATAATATAAAATAAAAAAAAAGTTTAAAAGTATTAAAGGAAGGGAGGGGAAGGGGGAGGGGGATGGGAAGGGGGACCCTTTGCTAGGGTTAGGGGTGCAAAAGCATAGTCAAGCCACAACCGGTTTTGCTATAACGTCATTACAGTTTTGAAGTTGTGGCGGTGTTACAGTAATAAGTTATGTGATAAACTAAGACGGCAATGGTCGTGTATTGGCGAGCCTGGCTTCACGCCGCGAGTTTATAGAGGCTATCATGCCCAGTGGCCCCCCCCCCTTCACTAACGACGGCATTGACGGCTTTGCAGCCTCATTGCCATACCGAATCTTCAAAACCAGACGGCCTTACCCAGTCAATTTCGGAAGTCTAATCAAGTAGGGTCGTGTCCGTGCAGATACGTTGAGCAGACCGCAGTGTTCCAAAGTTGATGCCACCAACGGGCCCAAAACCCGCACGGCTTCGCCCACTCAGGTGGGTATCAGAGGCGCTATGCCCAAATTGGGCGTCGACCCCAGTGGCCCCCAGCGGCCGGCAAGATTGGGCAGGCAGCACTCGAGCGCATTCAACTGTAATCCCAGTGGTGTACGCAAGCAACAAGCAACAAGCATCTTCAATCTAGCAGCCAAAACTTTGTTTTATTAGGGCACGACTCAAAAATGTCCGACACCCCGGCAGGCATTGTCGAATACGCCTACGACAACATCACAGAGTGGTACCTGCAATGGGTGACAAGCCAAAAGTCGCCGCGGGAAAGGTACACCAGGCAGCTCCTCGAGAAGCTGCAGCAGCCGTCGCCCTCGATCCTGGAGCTGGGCTGCGGCCCCGGCGTCCCCATCCTGAAGTTCCTCCTCGACCAGGGCGCGCAGGTGGTCGCCAATGACATCTCCACAAGGCAGATCGAAATGGCCAGGGCCCGCTGCCCGGGCGCCAAGCTGATCGCCGGCGACATGACGGCGCTCACTTTTGAGCCCGAGAGCTTCCACGGCGCCATCAGCTTCTACACGCTCTTCCACCTCCCACGGTCAACGCTGAAGGAAATGCTCGCCAAGATCCACGGCTGGCTGAGGCCCGGGGGCGTGTTTGTCTTCAACCTCGCCACGGTCGACGAGGAGGAGATCCACGGCGAGATGCTGGGGTACGGCATGTTCTGGAGCAGCTTTGATGTGGAGGGGAACCGGGCGCTGCTGGGCGAGGTCGGGTTTGAGCTGCTGCAGGTGGAGGTCCTGCAGGCTGGCGACGGGAAGCTGGAGGAGGATGATCCGGATTTTGACGCCGAGTTTATGTGGGTGATGGCGCGCAAGAAAGATCCTTCTGCTGAGATACAAGTTGCCTCGGCCGACAACGAGCCAACTGAGTCCGCATGAGCGGCAGTAGGTTACGGAAGAGCGCTTGCAAGTCTTGCAAGGAGTGGCGCTGTCCAAAGAAGGGTGCAACGCCGAGCCTTTTGTGCTGGTCGTAATAATCTAAGTACTGCCAGTCAAGTGTGGACACTCAGTCCATACCTAGTAGATTCCTGGCAGCGACTGAAACATGCAGCGGACTGCCAGCTGGGCCCAGTTATTAATAGAAGAGCATAGTTCTTGGCTCTGGAATAGATCAGGGAGGCTTAAAATACCTACGTAACATCTGGTCATGATGGTGGTAGTAATTCACAACCGCGGTAGTCGCTCTCTCAGGAGAATGACTGCAACTGAGCATTTAAATCCATCCGTCTTGTTGTAACACATTCCGCGTTTTTGGGAAGTCACTCACATAAAAATGGTTTAATTATGCGTGTACATGTCTAAATCCCTTGTGGTTGACAGAAATCTTTGCTAAAACAAGAATTAAAGTCTCCATCTGTCTAACCATCTTCATTATCATCCTCAAATGACCCCGTCTCGACGCTCACCGACGGCGGCCCATCAGAAGGAGAAGTAATTCGTCCCGGGCACGGGTGCTCGATCAAGTTTGAAGTACCCAGGCTGCAATTTCTGGAATACCTGGGCCGGGTCGTACTTGGCCGCAATACTCTTGAGCGCAGCCTTGTTCTCGGTCCCGTAGCTGCTGATGACATCCTGGAACTGGCTCCCGTAGTTCATGTAGACCCAGTCGTTCTGGGCACCCTCTGATACCGCAACAGCCTTGATCTTATCGAGCACTGTAGAGGCCATCTGATACATCCTGTCGTCGTCTTCTTCTTTCTCCCACCACGATGCAATTTGAATAATGTAATACGGTCCGTCTTCCACTGAGAGGCCGAGCGGGTTTCCCCCGTTCTTCTTGGTGAGTTCGAGCACGCCTGTCAGGTGTCAGTAACTCGCCATTACTAGCTGCCAGTGGGGGATATTGATGTTCAGGCGTGGCAATATGCCCTGCAACTCACCCTCTGTGATTCCCTGCCACACCATTGCGGGATGTGCACCAGCGACATCCGCCACCGAATCAACTCCTTCAAAAAATATATCGAGAGACGCCTGTATTACAGCGTTTGATGCCTTCACGGAAATGACGTAAAAATAATTACGAAATCCGTATGGGTTTCTCCCTCCCACATCTGCAGCATAGTCTGCATGGGTCCTGCTCTGGGTGGTGTCAGATATCGTAGTGAGGTTGTTGAATTTGTCAAAGATCGAGGCATTTGACCCGTCAGGCTTGCCGTACCAAAGCTCGACGCCGGCGAGCTTGAGTCCGGACTCGACCACGAAAGCCGCCCAGGTCCCAGCATCGGGATCGCTGGGTGACTCGTCGATAAGGTCCACGAACGCGTCGACAACACCCGGGAATTGGTCCTCCATGAACACTTTTGTGCCTCCCCACATCTCTCCTCCGGGGAGGGGGATTGTCTCGAGCTCGAAGTCCACCACGATCCCAAAGTTGTTGCCACCGCCCCGAAGTGCCCAATACAAATCCGAGTTCTGACTCGAGCTTGCAGTCACTATCTCACCAGTGGCGGTCACAACTTGGTAGCTAGCCACATTGTCACACGCGAACCCATAGATGTTGGAGAAAAAGGAGACACCCCCGCCGGTGGTCAAGCCCCCGATGCCGATGGGTCCGGCACGGCCTCCGATGACCGTCAGATCATAGGGCTGGAGCTCGGTGTAGATTTGGTGCCAGGTATTGCCAGGTTGGATGAACGCGGTCTTGTGGTCCTCCGACAAGGCGATGCGGCTGAGGTTCCTGAACGAGACGGTGATGCCACCCTCGATGTTGCTGGCTCCAGAGAAGGCGGCATGCCCGCCACTCTTGACAGCAAACGGACACTGCGCCAGTCTCGACAGCAGGACGAGCACCGAGACCTCCGGCGGCGAAGAGGGGTAGAAGATGCAAAAAGGGCTGACTTCTGTTTGCAGCTCTGACCAGAAGGACCCGGTGAAGTTGCTGTATGCGGCTTCACCGTTCAAGTCCACAGCGTCTTGTCCGTAAACGTATTGCAGAGAGTGGCACTGCTCATATAGTATTGTCAGCAACAGGTTGCATGTGCGGTAGGCAATGTGAATTTGTCACCTACAGCAATACTGCAGCCAGAGACCGAGCTCTGGTCGGCGAGAGTCGTCAGGGCGGGGATCGCCGAAGTGTCGAACCCATGTTGGATGAGGGCGTTTGTAACATTGAAGTCAACAGACTGGACAGCCATTGCAACCGGCAATTCAATCGACAACGCCATAGACAACGTGAAAACGAGTGACTCTAGCATTCTGCCTGTTGTTTCTCCTCCAGGTATGTTGTTTCTGCTGAAGCTGAAATATCAGAATGCCAGGTGAGGAGAAGTCGGCTGCGTCGGCTTCGTCCTCCGAATTATGCTTCTGGCCGCGCATCGGTCGGAAATTGATGTCACATACACGAGGTCTATTGAGTTTGGTGCCTAGATCATCCTGCGTCAGCGCTATTGGCTGAAGACTCCCTCTTTGGGATAAGCAAATGTGTTTGTGGGAACACCTTGCATGCCCAGGTGCTGCCCTGGCATCAGTGACCAGATTGACAGTGCACTGTTGGTTATCGTGAGAATAGAGTATAGAGCTTATCGGGACGATTTACGAGAACTTTGAGTTCCAAGGTTCGGTTCCAAGGTAATTATTTCGGATATCGGTTTAATCCGCACTATTTACAACAGTGAGAAGACATTTGAAGTCTCCGCCCACCAGCAAGCAAGGGTGTCTTCAGGCTTGCCAAAAGCAACCCACATAACGCGGGATCATCCGAAAGTCTCCCAACCAGATTTTGCTCAAGATAATGTGCCAACCCCGAGCCCACTCTCAACGACCCGCTTAAGTGCACTTGCCGTCCAGGCACTGGCCGCCGGCGCCAGTCTGGTAGTTGCAGCAGTCGGAAACGGAGATGCACTCATCTGTTCGACATGCATCAGTCTATGTATCATCACGAAGTACATGAGGATTGGAAGCGGGAGGACTTACGGCCAGCGCCGAAGCAGCCGGTGTTCTGTCTCTCGAGAACGTTGGGGGCGGCGAAGGCCGTGGCGGCCAGGGCAAGGACGATGGTGAAGAACTGCATCTTGATGATGTTGGTGTTGAATTGACTTTGCGGGATGAAAGCAATTGTCTCGTGGATAAGGATGTGATGATTGATGTTGCTGAGAAACTGTGAGAGCTCGATCAAACGAACGCCATCACCATCTTTCTTATACTATTCGCATGTCCGGCCGATCCCCGATTGTCTTCTGTGGCCTGATTCTATTTCCTTGATTTGCATCAGAACAGAGTACGTGTATTTGAGCCACAGTACGCGTACGCGGCCCACAATGGCTCCTCTATCAAGTCATTCTCGGTAATTCATTGTTCCAATTCTAACCCGGCTCAGGCCACCGTCTTCAAAACTTTTCTACACGGTGCTCCTTCCCCTTTGTTTGCCGGATAAACGTTCATCATTCAAAGTGTGGGCTGAGTACCTTGATTAATGGACATTTCTCGTCCCGCGAGGAGACGAACCACGCGCTCATGGCCATCTGTGTTGGAGATTGCCTGGAATTGTTCAAGTAAGCCACAATACTGAGAAAGCCTATGAGTATTACGGATACCAGGAGTCGTCCTATTCTTTCAGTTACCCTAGGGTACCTGGGCATGTCAACAAAACCATAACTTATCTCATGTCCCGTGGAATTTTGGCTGCTGGAAATGTATGGAGCAACGCGTCAGCGGACATGATCCAATGGAATCAGGGAAATCGGCCATATCCATAGTCGCAGGAATCATGTCATGAACATTGCCATGAATAAAAATGCCACCGCAACCCTGCACGAGCTTGCTGTTTATGGGGATCAACATAGGCACATCGGCACTTACCGATGCATTTGTTAAAGCTTGTCGTCATAGTATGTGGAAACACTTCGGGATCGGTTACACGTATGTTTGATCTGATCTAGATCTCATGACTTCTCCTTTCTCTTTCTGTTTTGGGTGAGGTTCCAGGCATGGACCACGATCTGTGGGATCTGTTGTGGGTACAATCCGCCGGGTAGACCTTGGGTTAGCTTCAGTCTTGCAACACAGCATGCTCACTAGGGGTACACTAAAGCTCGCTAAGGGGAACAGAGATTCCACAATTCTAAGAATCCTTGGTGAGAGTTAAGTACTCTCAACTTTCTTATGCCTTCAAGTCTACACTTGCATTTAAAATTAATCAATTGCCAAATTTAAATTGGAAACTATCATTTATACTATTTTTATCAATATCCTTCTTTAATAAGAAAGTTTAGATAAAATTTAAATGTTCTGTTAAGATTTGATTCTGTCGGAGAGCGGCTTTCGGCGGCTCTCGGTTCAATCTGTACCCCTTGCCAGCTTTTTCACCCCCTGGCCAACTTTAGTGTACCCCGAGTGAGCTAGATCCCCACCGCACATCACCACCAATGCTTGTCTATCGGCTATCAGGCACAGGGGAGAGACAGTGGCGGCGCGAGTCACCTGCCGCGCGCGTAATGTTTGCAGAGTGAATTAAGTGTGGCTGGTGTGTGGCTGCTTGACTCTTTGGAGCTCCCCTTTCGCATAACCTGCTCAATCAAAAGGACCCGCTCGAGCGTCATCAATAATACCCTGAGTCGGGTAGTAATAATAAGTCTGCTGGAGCATCGTCGCCTGAGTTGTTCACAAATGGCACTTGATCAACCCCAGCTCAGAACCAATATGCGCGCTTCGCCTAGGATAATCCAGCATTCTGAGCCTTGGGGCCGGCCGGCTGTTCATTCCGCGCTTTACAGTTGCCGTGATCAGATAGCTGCTTGCAACAAGGCTAGGACTAACCACATGTGGCTCTACTGGGCATTAGGGCGGATCATAATCTAGAAGACGAGGCCTCGCATCTTCGAGATAGACATATCAACAATCCAGGACCACAGGGGCAACCTCGATTTGGAGGCATGTACGGAGGTGAAGGGGAGAATAAGAATACAATCAAAGCGGACAGCTCACACTCGGCGTAAGTACATCAGATCAACGTTCAAAAAGCTTCACTGGTACAGCTGGTAATAGTTTATTGGCTCAGTAGATAATGGATACACAAATAGCAGAGGAAACATATGGGATGACCAAAGCCTAGTTTTGTTATAAAAGGGTATTGTTTACACCGCGAACATGTGTGTCCTCGGACGTATGTGGAATGGAGGCGAAACAAGTTACCCTGCAAAAGAGTAGGGCATGTTCCTGTGACTTTACAATTACTATCCATGTTACACAGCTGATGGATTTGTTTTCCGGGGATTCTCTTCGCCACAATGCACTTCTCCAGCATAGAAAAGTCTTCTTACTGGGCCTCGCTGCAACTCAGCCTGCCAGTCTCTAAATCCGTCAATGCCTTGTGGGTGCTTATGGCCCCTCTCTGCCCCGCTAACGCCGCAGCCGGGCAGGCTTCTTGCCTGGGCGACGTCATACGTGAATATTTTGCTTTAGACGGCAGATAACGTCGGCCGGGGTAATTTTACTAATGCTGATCATCATTTAGGTTGGCAAGTGTGATGGGCCCGGGAAACTTTACGTCTACCTGGCCCTGGCGCGTCAGTAGCGGTGACAAAATTCAGTATTTGATGGACCGGGCAGGCCTTCCTGTTTCCAGCATAGAGTATAATCTTAATGAAGTGTACAGAATTGCCGATACTGAACAGGTCCATGTAGGTGAAATTACATTAAGCCTATACCGAAGCCTACATCATCGTGTAACCCGCATCAGATGGCATTGGCATGTTGTAATAAAATTTTCCATCCAACACTCCGAGTCTGTAGCCAGATCTTCCGGTTAGCCAGACTATAAGTATGCTCGCCGCGGACGAAATGGATGAGCACAAATGACATGCCAAAAACCTTGCTGTCAGCGCCAATATGACTGTATCCTACCCTGAAAGACCAATTCACATTCCTGGACTTTTTTTATTTTTATTTTTAGAACGTTGAACTACATCGGTTGGTAAATTCCTACCGGAACAAATTGGGCCGAGTTCCCTTGGAAAGTGCCCCAGCGGCTAATTCCCTTCCGCTATCGATCTTTTTCAAACCGCTGCATTGCGGTGGCCGTCTTGAAGCTCATTGAATAGCCTTTCAGTCCAGTCGAAGACTTTGTTGTACTTGAACCCCATCCTGGTGAACAATCGCCGGAATCTGGTCTGAAGACGATTGTAGTCTGGCTTTTTTCCGTATGGGAGTGATCGGGTGTAATCGATGTATTCTGCGAATTCGTCGGGCAGATCTCTGCAAAGCTCTTTCACCGACATGCTTGCCTTCATTTCACCGATCTTATCTTTAAGCTCCGCATCTGTCTCAGCCTGCAGGCCCTGCCACGGTAATGAACCTCTCGCGAAATACACTAGCATATACCCAACGGATTCTAAATCATCGCCCCATGATTGTTCTGTGCTCACAATTGGTGAGCCATGTGCTGAGCCATAAATACAACGGGACCTCTAGCACTTACGAAGACCCGCATGACTTCTCAAACTGGCGTAGCGAGCAGTGCCACCGAAAGGAACAAATATGTCGTCCCGGTCCTCTTCTGCATCAGATCCATCAAAACTCGTAGCCACACCAAAGTCAATAGCGTATACCATATTTCCTAGCCTCTCAACTCCCATAAGGAAGTTTTCTGGCTTGACATCGCAATGGATATACGATTTTGAGTGTATAGTCTTGAGCCGTGAAATCATTTGCTCCGCCAAAAGCAGAACTGTTTTGAGGGAGAATCTGCCCTCACAGTATTCAAATAAGTCTTGGAGGGAGGGCCCGAGCAAGTCCTGAACCATTACGGAGAATTCGCCTTCCTCCCCGAACCATCGAATGCTTGGGACTCCTATGCTGCCCGATAATGCTTGGCATATTTCAACCTCTTCGCTGAGCGCCTGCCAGTCACTACCAAGAGGTTGAAGCTTGATGGCGACCATTTCCCCGGAACGAAGATCAGTGCCTGTGCGGTTATTAGTGCACAAGTTCAACACCTGCCAACATGCCCAACAAGATACAGCAGGTGTCAGATAGCGTCTACCTGAGTACACGAGGCCGAACCCCCCCTTTGCTATTCTCCTATCTACGCGGAATCGATCATTGATCAGGATATCCTATTAAATTGAGCAATCTCTCAGTATCTAATATCACCAGCCTTTTATTTGTGACATACCTTCATGACAATGATTGTCGTGTTGTGCTGGATACACAAATGAAGGGTTTTGTTTTTGGTTTGACGCGTACGGAACTGAGACAAAATCTTGGTTCAAATTTCTGCAGATCGAAGCGTTGTTATCGTTCAGCTACGTGGCGCTCTTGCTGGTTTTATTATCTGAGCCAGTCAGGGTAACAGACTACTGACTGGTGACGAAACTTCAGACGATCTGCGGACCAAATAACTTTTGAGAGCTACATAGGGTTTCAGCCCAGCAATTGACGCAAAGTGGAGTGTTTGAAAATATGTCTCTGGGGTGGGTCAGAGGATGTAAGCAATGGACATGAGACCGCCGCTAGATGCACTGTTGTTTTAAAACCGAAACTTCGGCTCTTTTCCATTTCCAAGGTTGTGCATTGAGTGGCTTTGTTTGATCTTTCGTTGTTCTTCTGCGAGCGTAGATTTTGCCCGCCCCCTTCTTTGTCACACAGTCCGTTCAATGATGCCGTTGATTAGCTCCCGCCTCATGAATTTCTGATAGAAGTGACCCGCCTGCAATAAAAAACCAACAGCCCAAGCGCATTGCTGCGGCAAATGTCTTATCTGGACAAAATAATTGACTGCGTACATATCTGCATTCTATTAATTTCTGGCGCGAGTCCCTTAGCTTGGCTACAAGTAAGTCGTTAAAAGAGCCTGCTGGCCCCGCTCCCAGAGTCGCGAGCCTCCTACTCGTGGACCCCGGCTAACTGTCTCTCTCTCTCTCTGTGAACGAAAGCGAGCCTGAAATCTACCGATGAGTCCAAGGGCGCTTTCGCAGAAACGTTATCCGGGAAACAGCACCATCGCAGGTGCTCGAATTACAAAGTGCAGGACAGCAGCGAATTCATCTCAACCACAATACTGGGACTCTTTATCCAAAGTTTGGCTCACGACTAGAGCCTTACAGGAACTCGATCGACGCAAAACGACCGGCCACCGAGCGAATTTCATCCCCCCAGCACTGTACAAAGTGTTCCCTGATCTGAACCAGTTTGCAAGACGTGGAGGGCCCAATCTCAGATTCCTCCGAGGCGTATGCACTCCTAACCCCCATGTCGCTAGATGTTTGATCTAACTGTGTTCTCAGTACTCCGAATCGCAGCTATTTCAATGGAAAATGACCATCAAGACGAAAACTCTAGCAGCGGAAAGCCGGCAGGAACCCTCAGGGGCTTATTCTGCCAACTTTGAACAGACTATGAATGACCATAATATGGAGTTCTTCAGGCGCAACGAAGCAGAACAAAGACCGCGAAACTACGAGGAGATCAAGAGGAGACTTGGGAAAAAACGACCGCATGATACAGAACATTCAGATCACTTGGCGCTCGATGATCTCGGAGACACCCCGACGCACAACGATCTGGTCAGCTATATGTTGCCCCTCCTTCATGGAAAAAAGCTCCAAGGCCTGCAGAATCGTCAGTTCACCACTATGAAACCCGCAGATATCTTTAATGTGAAGGTCAAAAAACTTGCTCCAGATTATTACGAGGGTGTCAGCCAAATTGTCGTAGACAAGGACCTGAAAAAGACATTGAGAACATCGATTGTTCCGAGTAACTACAGCCGAGATCCGATAGCGCCCAATTTCTTTCTGGAATTCGTGACTGAGAGCAAGGACTCAGTCATCACTCGCAGGCAGGCTGGTATCGACGGTGTTCTGGGGGCTCGCTGCATGAACAGCCTGCAGAACTACCCTAAAACGATGCCGGACACAGGGGCCCCGCCACGGGATTGGGAGTTTGACGGCAACGCTTGCGCATTCAGCGTAACATATCGCCCAAGGGATCTTACTATTTACAGCATTCATATGATACCACCAGAGCCTCACAACATGATGCCCGGGTATAGAATTGTCCAGATCGAGATTTATTCAATGGTCAGCGAATCTTCCTACCATGAGGCGATTAATGCGTACAGGAATCTCAGAGACCTCGCGCAAGAGTATCGTGACCGTATTGTAGCTGCGGCGAACTACAGGGCCTCGCAGCTGCGTGCGTCCAGGGTATTATCACCTCCGGGGCAATCTGCGAGTTGCTCTGAGCGGTGTGAAGTGGGCAATAGATCACATCATGACGAAGAGGATATTGCGGGGGCAAACGGATATGGCGACGAGTTTCCAGCAGATTCGTAAACGTGTAGTAGGGGTAATAGTTTCATTTGTTGGTAGTGCGAAGACACGGAAGACGGCCATCAAGACGAGCTATGAAAGAGCATGTGCAAGTCGAGTTCTCCAGCATCATCGTGTATAGCGGCCAATAAGATTTCTGCAGGACTTGGCCGTAGAATCTTTGAGCGGCGTGTCGAAACCTTCGTCAATGACTAACTCCTGACCCATGCCAGCACTGCAAGTCTATACCATTACGATGAATGCTGCGTGTGGATTGATTTCTTGAGGGCTAAGATGAGAATTCTAGCTCGAATGAATGGTTTCTTCCTCGACTATCGACTACGCAGATCAAGGGGAACCGCACCTGGACTGCGAGTTAAGACCCAACTTGATACCTAGGCACTCGGCTTCGCCTTCTGGGGGAGGGGGCGGCGGCGGGGCAAGCACTTCAAGCACTGCAAGCACTGCCGTGGAAGCATCAGGGATTACGGACACAATTCATTTGTGACGGTTCGGTCGTATCTCGCGACTTGCTTCCCCGGATCAGTCTTCAAGGTTGCAGCCCGATCAGTCTCTAAGGTTGCATTGTCACACCAGCGTGACTGTCCACATGTGAATGTTTCCCATTTGGGCGCCACTGGCGTCTGGAATAGGCTAGTCGAGCCCGATGCTCTAATTACTTCTCCGCTGTCGTGCTCATGCCCCTATCTTCGACGACACCCTCATCGCAAGGCAAACTACTACATATAGATTCGTTCTTGATAAGAGGTGCATGTGCACGCGCCGAGAATACTAAGTTGAAGAAACTCACAGCCATCAGGAAGCTCATAAACGACAACCACCGACAAAATGTATGTCCGAGCTGTCCTTTCCGCGTTTGCCCAGATACTGTATATCGTCGTCGCCGTGGCCGCGCTGGATCCGAATGTCATCTTCATTCTAACCGATGACCAGGACGCTCGACTGGCCAGTCTGGATTACATGCCTTACGTCCAAAAGCGGCTTGTACAGAAGGGCACCTCGTTTAATCACCACTACAGCACGGTTGCTCTCTGTTGTCCCTCGAGGGTCTCACTGTGGACTGGAAAAGCTGCGCACAACCACAACGTTACGGATGTGGTTGAACCATACGGTGAGCGTCTCATAAGGAATGTGAGATAGGTAGTCGTTGCTCACATATGTCGTCAGGCGGATATCCAAAATTCATCAAACAGGGCCTCAATAGCAATTGGTTGCCTGTCTGGCTGAAAGCCGCCGGGTACAATAATTACTATGTCGGGAAGCTTTTCAACTCTCACACGATTGCCAATTACTTTCTTCCCTTTCCAGCCGGGTTCAAGGGCACTGTAAGTAGACCATTCACATACATACCCAGATATGAAACCCTGGCCGGAGGGCTGAGGCTGCGATCAGGAATTTCTACTGGATCCCTACCAATATTCGTATTGGAAGCCAGGGTTTCAAAGAAACCTCGACATCCCGAAGATCTATGACGGTGAATACTCGACGGATCTGGTCGCGGAAAAAACTCTCGGGTTCTTGGCCGATGGTGTGAAAGATGGTCGACCATTCTTTCTTACTGCTGCACCAATCGCCCCTCATGTGACCGTCAATGTCACTATCGACGTCCTGTCATTCTCCTACACCCTAAGTAATGGACCACCTATGCCCGCCGAAAGACATAAGGGGCTCTTCGCAGATTCCAAAGTGCCGAGAACTGATAACTTCAACCCTTCTGTGGTAACTAACTACACTCCGGTCTGAAAGACATTGACAGGACGACCCGCTGATTTGACACGTAGTCATCCGGTGCTAGCTGGGTTGCCCAATTACCCCAGCTCAACGAGACCGAAGTGGAACGAAATGACGAATACTATCGCGAGCGGCTTCGAGCTCTTCAGGCCGTCGACGAAATGGTAGAACTGATTTTTCAAAAGCTCGAGCAGTACACTATCACGGACAATACCTACGTCTTCTTCTCCTCAGACAATGGTTATCACATTGGACAACATCGCTTACAGCCGGGCAAGAAGTGCGGTTACGAAGAAGACATCAACGTGCCATTAATAGTCAGAGGTCCCGGTATCCCAGAGGGCGAGACTGTTGACACCCCAACTTCACATCTTGACCTTGCACCCACGTTCCTTGAGCTCCTTGGCATTCCTCTGCGAGATGATTTCGACGGTTCTCCTATACCTCTTCCTGTCCTTCAAAGCTCTTCCACTACTGCAGAAGAGCCAAGGGAGCATGTGCAAGTGGAATTCTGGGGAACAGATAACCCGAACGAGTGGAATGCTTATGCGAGTATGCCAAGACGACAGCACACACACGGACGGGAACTATGCTAACAGAGTTAAGATGATTCGGGTTTCAACAACACGTATAAATCCATTCGTGTAATCGGCGATGGTTATAATGTGTACTACTCTGTCTGGTGTACTAACGAGCATGAGCTCTATGACATGGATGTGAGTTTATTCCGGCTCCCCTTGATGACTAGGGTAGATTGAATCCTACCTAGGTACTGACAGAGTCTCAAGGTCGACCCGGGGCAACTGAACAACCTGTTAGCTTCAGATGCAAACAGTAGTAGCATAATAAATCACCCGGTGGCTGATGTCGCTAAGCGTCTAGATGCTCTGCTACTGGTCTTGAAATCATGCCAAGGGGAGAGTTGTCGCCGACCGTGGACAACGCTTATACCAGATGGTTCCATCGCTACACTTACAGAAGCCCTGTCGACCTCTCACGATGCGGTTTTTCAGAGCTTCCCGGAGGTCTCATTCTCTGCATGCGTCGGCGGACATGTGGTTGCTTTTGAGGGAGCGCAGTTCGAGAACCCCTCTCAGAGGCGCCAGTTGCCTACGACAGATGGATCAGATCCTGACTGGGCATTAATGACCTGATGCTTGAATCAAGCAGCATTGAGCATCTCCAGCTTCATATATCATTCTTGAAGGGTACCCAATCCACGTGGACTGACCTGCCTCGCAGGCTCAGAAATCGAGACACTAGAGATATGGGAAACTTCATATGGAGAGACTTCCCATTCTTAAACAAAAGCTCTAGTCGATTGAAAACCACAGGGGATTTTAATTTAGTGGAACATGGAATATGTGGTTTCGCTTCTATTCCGTAGTATACGTCCGAGGACATACATGGCGCCTTCATACGGTGGAACATGAAATATATTGTAACAATGGCTGATTGCCCCGTCCTAAATCCTAGCATTCTGCGAAATCCCCTTCGAAACGTCACTTCCACTTTACGTTACTTCCACTTTAAATAGTGATACACCTTTTCTCTTTGCATTGGAACAAACTCCAAGCACTTTTTTGATGTGAGACATGCCATCACATTTGGAGTTATCTTTTCCTGAGGTGCCATTTTGACGAAGCCGGATCCTGCCAGTATATACTACGGCAATTCGTGCAAGGGCACGGCTCGAACTTCGTACCAGAAGCGTAAAAGTTTGAAGGGTTCTCTCGGTCACGGCACGGCTGAGTCGAGGGACAGATTTTGAAACTCCAGCACCTCCAGCCGCTGTGGCCGCAAGCGCCGTGCTGCGTGTACGTCCATGTCTTTGAGCACATTATTTGGCGAAAGCTGACAATACCTTTGAAATGGAGTGATGAATACGTTGAACCTACCTGTCAATTCTGATTGTTGTTTAAATTTCGATGAAATGGTGAATACTGACTGGACTGGGTTCTGTTCCGGATCCGGGGAATCCAACCCTAAAAAAGATTTTCGGTGCTCTTTGACATATATAAGTTCAATTGTTCCATTGTGACGAGCGGCAAGTTCCACAGCAATGGAAGAAAAAGACCTTAGTATGGTTCCTTGTCCACCATTGAATGGCAGGCAGTTCTTCTGGCCAAGAGAACAATGACTTGGAGAATGAGCTGCAGAGGCGGGTTCTCAAGCCCATATGCACGAGGTGTTGGCATTTCATGAGAGCAACCAGTTGACATTGCGAATTTTTCAGAGCTCATGATTCAACAACAGACATATAGCCGCTTTTGTCTATGTCAAAGTCTCAGTTCTCCTCGGTGTCAAATCAGGTAGAAGTTATGTACATCACCACGATCAATCTTATTTACTTTGATGTTGCCAGGATTAGTGTGACCAAGTGATTTCGTTCTTATGCCTCCCGGAGGCGTACGGTCCTTCACAAAGTGCGCTCGAAGACGTTGCAAGCAAATAATCTTTTAAAGAATTTCAGTGTCATGGGCGACATACGAATGGTTGGTCTGAAGGTGTGTCAATTGCATGCTAAAATGTTGCAAGACCATGCCCAGGTTTGAAGTTGCGCTCATTCATGAAAGCAGAACACAAAATTACACACTGACTGGACGAAATCTTAGTTTCTTGCCTGTCACAGCTTTACCACATCAGTCTCAAGTTTGTCATCAGCAGGTCCCCCTTCAGCAATTGAGCCCTTTCATGACTTCTCAAGTAACTTTAATTTCGCTATTCTACTTCCACTAAAATAGACATTGAAGCACATGGAGACACAGATCTAAGCTGACACACTGAATTCCGGTCTTAAAGATGGATTCGCGTCATGGTGGCCGCGTTGTCCGATGCTATGGTATATGTACGCCACTCCGCAACCCCCCAGTCGGGGCCTTGCTCCTGCGTGAGGTATGGCAAAAACTGCGAGTGGCTGACGACAACGATATGCGCACGATCGCCAGCTTGAATCGCCGTCCTCCGAATTATCTGTCGTGCGATCTCGGCCCTCAGGCGCAGCTTTGACTCTGTGTATTCATACATCCTGTATTCATACAGCCCTGTGGAATTATCAGACCAGTCTGAAGGCATCAAGCTAAACATGTGCTCGTCAAGAAAGTCGCCACCAAACGTAGACCTAGCCCATTCAATGATATCCTCTGGGTTGTGCCCTTGATTGCATTCTTCCGGTCCAATCTCGATGACTTCTGGCAAGGGTTGGACCCGAATGCCACGATCAATTGCTGGTTTGAAACAATTGACGGCTGTTTGAATCGTGCGTTTCAAAGGTGAGGCAAGGATGTGAGTTATCTTGTTATGGTAAGGGAAGTTCCTCTGGACAGCCAGGCATTGACGTTCTCCCAGGTCTGTTAATGTCGGATCTAGGATGCTCCAGTCGTTGTAATAGTTGTGCCATCCCTGCGCGTGTCTGATAAGGGTGATGACTGGTCCCACGGGCGCCATGACGATCTACGTTGCTCAATTTGTGTTGTTCAGAAGGGATGGTGGTGAGAAGGCTGTAGTGACTAGGTTCTACACACACAAGGACGGCGTGGAGATTGGTTTCGTAAGCATATAGTTCAGAAAGTACTCGGCTTGAGTGATGTGCAATTTATAATCAATAATGAGATATGCATCTAGGAGCGGCAGACGGCGATTTCCTTGTCCACGACGCCGAATAATTGCTTTTTGACAAACGTCTTTGTTAGCACCTGGCGTGGTAAGTATTACCCCCGAACAGACAAAGAAAGGGCCGGCAAGCCTAGTTCCAAGGTTGCCTTGAAACGGCACCCAGAACGTTCAAATGTTGTGATCCGTTTTACTGACTTAGGATAATACTTTTATCGGATCAACACGTGACACGACGACCTAATACATCATTCAGTGTACTGAACATTCGGATAACGGCATACATAAATTCACATTGACCTAGAGGCAGTTGATTGTATGGACCGCGGGAAATAGTATATGCGGCCGCGTATATAGAGGAAACCCCATTCAGTGATAGCACACGAGAAACAAACACGCTGGCAGTGTCCGTGACTTTCCACCTGGTCTGCCAGTGATTCGCATTGATAGCCATATGTGGTTTCGCTTCTATTCCGTATACGTCCGAGGACATACATGGCGCCTTCATACTGTGGTAAGCACTCAAGACCCAGCGTTTAAAGAAATACGGTGCCAATAACAGTAGAAAGAGAATAAAGTACGTGGGCACGTGGCTCAGCCTCGTACCGCACACCAGACCTCATAGAGCCTTACCCAGCTTAGCGTTGAACCATGCAATAGCCTGATCCTCCGCCTCTGCAGCCGACTTAGCCACATCGTCAACCTTCATGTCAGCCCTCACACAGAATCCATGGCCGACCTTCTCATACACCTTGACCTCTCCCTTGGTAGCCTCGGGTCTCCCCTCCATGATCCGACTGAGCACATCAGTATCACGCGGGACTTTCAGCTGGTTATCATATTCCGGGACCGCGAACGAAATAGGCACGGCGATCCTCTCGAGATCCTTGGGCACCTCGAGAAAGCTCGGATGGCCGGTGAACCCCGCGTCGTACAAGGGCCTCCCGTCGTCGGTCTTGTGCTGCGCGTCGGCGAGGAGGACGACGTGCTTCCCGCCCCAGCAGAACCCCGCCGCCCCGACGGGTGTTGCCGGCCCCGTCTCCCTGCGCAGGTCCTCGAAGAACTTCTTGACGATGGGGAAGCTCTTGCCGGGGCGGTTGCGGAGCATCCACGGGATGATCCCCCACATGGTCCAGAAGATGTGGTAAGGCATGGAGAGGTAGCTGCCGTGCTTGCCGATGCCGTCCATGTTGGCCAGGAGCCAGGTTGGACACGAGTGGCCTGAGCTGATTGTGAGTATGACATGGGCGAGGCGGCAGGTGGATACCAGGGTGGGTCATTGGGGTACATACCGAGCATAAAGTCTGGCAGATAGACCTTGTAGTCTCCCTTGGCGGCGTAGATGTCGGCCAGGATCTTGTTATTGATGAAGTCGATGCCGAAGGCATCAGGAATATAGACGATGATACCCTTGGCGGGCCTGCCCTCCGGCGGCTCGGTCACGTAGGTATCCAAGCCGTGCAGCTTGACCACCTTGCCCCTCGGGGTGCCACTGTGTTCGGTGCCGGAAAAGCAGTCTGGACAAGACATTTTGATAGGTGGCCTTGGCTCGCCTGTAACCGCTGAGGGGATGGATTTGGAGAATGTGTGAAATGAATTGGACTGTTCACGACAACAACCGACTTGCTGAGTGTTATATACGTCCAGGTGCGGATGCAGGCTGAGATGTACGTAAATCGTGTTCCCTACCTTCGAAGCGGAGTTCGGGGACGTCGGGAGCTTGAATAGCACTTGAGGACATGGTGAAACTAGTGTAGTTCAGGCGCTAGAATTCGGCGGGGTGACTGGACCGGGCAGTCTTTGTCAGATCGGGTCATTGAAGGAACTAGTGCCTGCGAGTCCATCTCGCGGCTGGAATTCCCAGATCATTTTGATTGGTTTGGGGTTATTGGTTGCTGCTACGTGTATTGAATAATATTCGTAGACAGTCAACTAGAGGTAGAACAAAAACTGAACAAATTAGAATTTTGACCAGTTGCGTGCCTGCTTCCGTGGCCTTGATATTCACAATTCACATCTGCTTGTCTATCTGGGCAACTACTCACTCTGGCTGGATGGTACTACTAATAGGCGTTCATAGCACAGGCGGCAGAGAGGTGCGACTGCGTTGCCGCTGATGACTTCCAAGGTTCCAAGGTTCTCACATTTGCAAGCACCCCGATTAAGTCTCGCCGGAATTGGGGGCTAGGATCCTACGAGTCACACCGTGGGATGTCCATCATGCCCCTGTGGGGGCTTGACGCCAGCCTTTGAGCTAGCCGCCTCTTCTCCACGCTCGGATTCGCGTCTCAATACGAGCCCGGGGGGTGCCTGGTGCCGGTTGGCGGTCACCGGTACAAATCTCCGAGTTCCCCACACCGGCCGAGATAAGGAAGCTTCCGGGTATCACGCCGCCACAGGCACTATCCTCCATAGCTCTTGAGGTCTCGAGCCGGGCGTGCTCCTGTTCTTTTGTTATTCCCATACAAAAGCAGAAGGCAGCGAGACCCCCACCTGTACACCATGGCGTGCCGCTGGACATCAAATTCGGTGGCTCCTGGACGCCAAACTTGTCCCTTCTCCACGTGCGAGCTGCACGCAGACGGTGCCTCAAGCTCGGAAGATGTCAGCGATTGCAGCACACCAATCTCGGACGCAACCAGCGTCAATGACCCGACCAGTCACCGTTCGACGGCGCACGGGAATGCAGAGCAGGACTGGGACGTAGTGTCGGACTCAGACGGCGAACAACTCACTCCGCCCTCGTCGCCGGGTCCATGTGATACCTGGCAAGCACACCTTATAGCAGCCACCGCCGGCCATCACGAACGCCCTGATCGGAGAACGGTCGAGCCGGAGCCCGAGATCGAGAGCGAGACGGAGAGCATGCAGGACCGCATTGTCCGTGTCACAGAAGACGAACAGGACATGAAGACCTTCTGGGCTATCACGTTCTCCAGCAAGCGCCATGACTTGTTGTTGGCCTACTACGGGGACGAGTTGGCGTCGCTAGAGCTGGCACCTTTTGATACCTACGACCAGGATGCCCGCGTTGACTACTTGCTCCTCCACGGCTACCTGAACAGGAGGATCAGGCAGCTGAAACTGGACAAGAAGAGGAACGAGGATGCTTCTCCGCTTTTGCCTTTTGCGCCCGCCCTGGTGGACCTGTGGGAACTTCGCCAGGCTGCCAGGATTGACGAGTTGGAGCCGAAATGGGTTGCCAGCGTAATGCACGAAGCGACAGGCACAGTCAACAACACCACGTCACAGATCTCGTCCGACAGGCTCAATGTCAGCAAGGAAGCGGCGTACCGGGCACTCGAGAACATTGGCCAACTTATCACGTACCTCGCCGAATTCGAGCAATTTCTGGGCGGCTATGTACCCCTTTATGACTGGTGGGTGAAGGCCCCATACGCAGCACTCATCCAGGCTCTGCAGTCTTTGGTGCCCGTGATTCAGACCAAATTAGCGGGCATGCGCCCCAACGATGCGGATGAGATCGTCGGTGAGCCGATTGGAAGGGATGGCCTGCTCGTCGAGCTCGAAGCCGAGATGATTCCTTATACCCCCGAGGAGCTCTTGACTATTGCCGACGAGAAGTACGCATGGTGCGAGAAGGAGATGAAGGAAGCGTCCAACGAGCTCGGCTACGGGAATGACTGGAAAGCTGCGCTGCGACACGTCCAGGGCATATACGTCGAGCCGGGGAAACAACCAACCATGGTAAGGCAGCTCGTCGTCGAGGCCACCGAATACGTGAAGCAGAACGACCTGGTCACCGTGCCCAAGACTGCGGAGAACTACTGGAGGATGTTCATGATGACGCCCCAAGCCCAGAAAACCAACCCATTCTTCCTCGGCGGGCCGTCCATCTACGTGTCCTACCCGACGCCGACCATGGCGCACGAGGACAAGCTGATGAGCATGCGTGGCAACGGGCCCCACCTGAGCCACGCGACGGCCTTCCACGAGATGATTCCGGGACACCACCTGCAGATCTTCATGGCGCAGCGGCACAAGCCGTACCGCGGGCTCTTCGACACGCCCTTCTACGTCGAGGGCTGGGCCATGTACTGGGAGCTCGTGTTCTGGGATCGTGGCGACTTCTTCGTCTCCGCAGAGGACAGGATCGGCACGCTGTTCTGGCGGATGCACCGGTGTGCCCGGATCTTGTTCAGTCTGAGGTTCCACCTCGGCGAATTGACGCCCCAGGAGTGCATCGACCTGCTGGTGGACATGGTCGGCCACGAGCGAGCGACCGCTGAAGGTGAGGTCCGGCGGTCTCTGAATGGGGACTACAGCCCTCTGTACCAGGCTGGATATTTCCTCGGCGCCATGCAGCTTTATGCCCTTAGGCAGGAAGTGTTAGGCGCGAAGGCAATGGGAGAAAAGGACTTCCATGACCGTATCCTCAGGTCGAATCAGATGCCGATTGAGCTGCTCAGAGCGCTGTTGTTAAAGAAAGACCTCAGTCGTAACTACAAGAGTCAGTGGAGGTTCTACGACAATGGCACTGGCAAAAGGGAAGAGGAATTGCCTATGAGACTCATGGGGACGTGCCGATATTGAGCCAACAGACACAACACAGGCTACATTACATAGATTATACTGTCCGCAGATTACAATCTGTTTGTACGGACTTCAATATACAACATTGCCTGATCACTCAGTTGAACTTCACGTTTGTCGACTCCTCATGTTCCACCCACTGTCCTATGCTTTATATCAACACTTGTGCGCATAGCATCTCTTATCTCCGACCGGAGCTGTAGGACGATTGATGCATCATCACTTGCCGGTCTGGGTAATCCTAATCCCCTTATGGCGCTAGTTAACGCCGACGATGCTAAACGCCGGCTGGTAGATCCATGCAATATCCCTCTTTAAAAGATGTTCGTTGTCGACCACATCAAACACAATTTCTGTAGATGCAATACTACTGTTACAATCTTCACACGATGGCATCGAATCAAGCAGCATGGTTGGAAGGCAAGGACGTCCGGCCCCTCGCCGTCCGCGCGGCCGATATTCCCCAGCCGGGACCTTACCAGGTCATAGTGAAGAACCACGCCGTGGCTATCAACCCTCTCGATTGGAAGCAACAGGACAGCGGCTCATACGTCGGGGATTTTCCTGCAATTATTGGCACGGACATCGCTGGTGAGATCCATGCGGTGGGGAGCGAAGTCCAAAAGTTCAAGATTGGCGACCGGGTTCTAGCGTGAGTGCAATGATCGATGAATCATCGCGATAGCATCCCGTGCTCACAAATCCACGCAGACACTGTACCGGAATAATTGACCACAAACCCCAGTCCGGCGCCTTCCAGTTCTACACCGCCGTCCATTGCTCCCTCACGAGCAAGATCCCCGCCAGCATGACCTTCGCCGATGCTACTGTTCTTCCCCTCGCTGTTTCCACCGCCGCGATGGGTCTGTACGCGAAGGACTACCTTGCCTTGCCTGCACCGAGCGCCTCACCTGCCCAACGGAGCGGCAAAGGGATGTCAATGCTGGTCTGGGGCGGCTCATCCTCCGTCGGGAGCGCTGCGATCCAACTAGCCAAGGCGAGCGGTCTGACGGTCCTGGCCACCGCCTCGGCCCGAAACCTTGACGCGCTGAAGTCAGATCTGGGCGCGGACCACGTTTTTGACTACAAGTCGACCGGTGTGATAAATGACATCGTCTCAGCTATCAAGACCCTTCACGGCGATCGTGGGCTCGAGTTTGTGGGGATATTTGATGCCATTTCTGAGCCCGAGATCGTCAAGGACGCACTGGTTCCGGTGCTCGATGCATTGAAGTCTGACGGAGTCGTTTCGGTAAAGAAAGCGGCGCTGGTGCTACCCCCGCAGGATATACCAGAGGACTTCCAGGCCAAGTGTGTCCTTGCAGGTTTGTTGTTGCCTGGCCACGGATACGACGACGTGACACGCGCCGTTTGGGAAACCTTTGTACCAGAGGCCCTGGGTACCGGGGACCTGAAGGCATTGCCTCCTCCTTCGATAGTTGGAAAAGGTCTGGACTCTATCCAGGAGGGTATCGACCAGAACAAGAGAGGCGTGAGCTACAAGAAGGTGGTTGTCGAGCTGTAGTGTAGGTAGTCCACAGCAACACTGGGAACACCCCAGCAAGGATACAGTCTGATTTGAAGACATATTGTTTAAGGAGTTCGAATACAGTTCTGAGATGCACGTAAGCACGCAAGTCTTGATTCAGTTCTTGGCTGCCCCACACTTTCCTTTGAACTCCGTGAAGTGGCGTCCCCAAGGTCTCACTTGTCATCATTGCAAGGTACGGTGAGGACAATTGCATTTGCCATTACAGTCGGTATTTCTGGCGCTCTATGCAGCCATAGCCAGTTAGCCAAGGGTTTAACTGGCATTAGTATGCAAGGTAAGCTGACAAAATGCTACTGCAGCGGTCCTTTTGTTCAGACCGAGACGCACGGAAGCTTCCGTCATTATCCGGTTCGTAATCCAGTCCGCGACGAAAAGTAGGTACACTGCGGAGAAGCACTCCGTTCCTTCTTAACGCACTCAAACTTATGATTCAATGTTAGTTGGCGACGATCCACGCCCGTAACTGTACTGACATGGTAGGTGACACAACTTGGCGTCCCCAGGGTTAAACTGGGGCTCCAGACAATTGGGTACTGGGATGCATTCTGTGCTTGGCACCGTCAATGCGAACTCAGCTCGCGTTGAGGGATCCCGAGTGGCGAGAGGAGGAAGATGAAGGGGCACATATTCAGAGTGCACCTGCGTCGGAAACATAAAGATTCGGAGCTGAACAGCACGTTTTTCCCACGTGCAAGAGGTGCAACCCACTACTAGTATATATCTACCCTCCACGAAGCATCTTGCATGAAGTGTGCAACCACCATTCTTGCATGTACAGTCTTCAGCTTCTCCAAGTGGGTTTAATCGAAATGGGGCTCTTGAAACTATCCGTGCTACTTACCGCGGGCTTGCAATCCCTTGCAGCCGTGGCCCAAAACTCCACCGCCCCTCCATATCGAGACAGCCTGCTTGACCTGCACAAGTCACTTGTGGACTTCGAGTCCACGACAGGCAGTGAGGCTGAAGTCGGCGATTTTCTCATCGAGTACCTGACGGGTCAGGGCTTCACGGCAGAGCGGCAGACCCTCCCATCGTCCAACGGCTCGGCGGTGCGGTTTAACGTGGTCGCATGGCCCAGTTCGCGCATGGGCAACTCGTCCAAGGTTGTGGTCACGAGCCACATCGACACCGTTCCACCATACATCCCATACTCACGGGATGGACCTGACCCGCCTACGGCCGAGACAGTCATCGCCGGGCGCGGCACGGTAGATGCGAAGGGCAGCGTAGCCACCCAGGTAACCGCGGTGATGGAGCTGTTGTCCGCCGGCGAAGTCACCGGCGACGACGTCATGCTCGTCTATGTGGTGGGCGAGGAGAGGACCGGCGACGGCATGATGCACTTCTCGAACATCACCTCGCAGCAGCCGGACCCACCAAAAGCCGCCATCTTCGGCGAGCCCACCGAGGGGCTCCTGGCTTGCGGCCACAAAGGCAGTATGGCCTGCACCGTCACAGCCCACGGACAGTCCGGGCACAGCGGATACCCCTGGTTGTTCAAGAGCGCCAACGAGGTGATGATGCGTGGCCTGCTTGAGATCATCGACACGGACTTGGGGACCAGCGAGCGGTATGGCAACACGACAACCAACGTGGGTCTCATTTCAGGAGGAATCGCGATCAACGTGGTCCCTGACCTCTCAACCGCTGGAATCGTTGTCCGAATCGGCATTGGCCCGGAGGATGAGGGCGCTATTGTCGTTCAAGACAGAATTCGCGAAATCCTGGCGAATGTCGATGAGGAGGCTTTCGACTTCACGTGCGATACTAGGCAATCCGGTGCAATTGAGACCAATTGTGACGTCGACGGTAAGTATTTCGGCAACACTTATTCACTGAATCACTGAAGACTAATTATTCCTCAGGCTTTGAGACAACTGTAGTGAGTTACGGGACAGATATCCCTGCTTTCAAGGGGAACCATACTCGATACCTCTACGGGCCGGGAAGCATTTTAGTCTCACACAATGCCAATGAAGCGATCACCGTGGGAGAGCTAGAGACTGCGGTCGAAGATTACAAGAGAATTATCTTGCATGCGGTCCAGGCCTAAGCCACTGCATCTTCCCATATTTGATAGGAAACCGTAAACAAGTCTTTTCGTGGCAATAATCTGTTGACCTTGTGCACGATAGAAGATTTCTGAGATGATCTAGGAGTGAACATCCCGACCACCAACTAGATCTTAACTCCAAAATCCGAAAAGCGATTAACGCTTCAGTAGCTTGAAACGTAGTAGCAACCTTGGAAGATATTTGACTAGTTTAAAAATGTGTTGAGCTTTTGTCTATTCCGACCATCAAGTGTCCACTGATTTAACTCCATAATAACGAGAGAATGCACCTAGAAAAACAAGCACGCAGTAGACAGTCAACGAGCGGTGATCTCCATGCCCCCCCCCCCCAACAGCGGGCTGAACACTTCAACGGGACATAGTAGTTAGACATAGAATACGGATATGTACGTCCACTTCGTTGTACCAAGACCTCTGTTAAACACACATAAAGATACAACAGGACCGCTGAAATACATCTTGACACAGGATCTCATCTTCCACAGTGTTCATTATACTCAAACTGACCTACGCTTTTATACATCTCCGACCATCACATGCTGGAACGGCTTCCTCAGGGGTGATCTCTGCGGCTGTCTAAGGAGACCAGCTCCGAACAATGCCACTTTTTAAATGACTCCCCATCAGCGTGAGTGTCCTTTGAATTGGAAGCCCTGCATTTCGATGTCATCCGTCCCACCTTCACTTGTCCTGTTATTTTGAGTCACGTTCGGAGCCTGCGATAAAATAGGATTTGTGTCCATGTTGTCGTATGTGACATCGAACGTGCGGTCCACCTGAATCTCGGGATTGCTTCCCAACTTCAATTTGAAGGAGTGCGGGATCGAGTTGCCTGTGCTGGCTTGCTGCGCGCTGACGGGTTGCCCTATGATTGCCCTCCACCTATTTTTCCGAAGCATGAACTGGAGTGTGGGAAGGCAGGCGACGAGTATCCCGATGCCTGCCTCGACCATTCCCCAGTAAACAGAGGTTGTGATGCTAACTGTAATCATGTCAGTTCGATCGATCATATGACTGTCAAAGGCAAGATTTCAAGCACGAACCAAATCTGTGATTGACGTCTGCCTCGTAGAGAGTGAATACAAGCGGGATAATCAGGGCGAGGCGGACAATGGACGCCGTGACCGTCCTGCGACAAATCAGTGTACTACCCCCTGCCGCTAAATGCGTTTACACTTACACGACTCCTAGAAGGAAAATTGAGAGCACCCCGACTTTCCGACCAGTCGACAGCCTTAATTGTAATATCTGCCACCATGTAAGCTCCAGATTTGGGCCTGTGAGTATGTGGGGAGTGTACCATAGGGATAGGCATGCTCAGGATCGTCAGATCGAGGAGCGAGTCCGTCAGAGCGACAGCAAATACGATCATTGTGGTCCTGTTGCATTGGGTCCTGAGATCATAAGACGAGCCCCAGTTGGCCCAAAATCTCGTGTTGCATTGAAACAGCTCCGCGAAGAATATCGAGATCATCCACCCAGCAACAACCCCGATGGTAGCCAAAATCACAAGACGCGTTCTCCTACTGATTGAGAAAATTCGCTTGTAAAGGAAAAGCAGCGAGAGTTTTGTCGAGCCGAGGGCCAGAGGATACAATATGAGGAAAATATATTGGATCTGGACAGTTTGAGAATTAGCAGAGGCCTGAGAAGAGTTCGAAGTAGACCACACCGTTCGCGCCAGTCTCTCTTGGGAGGTTGCTTCTGGTGGTGTATCACCAGTAGTATCAGGACGCTCCTTGAGTGGCCATCCTATTGCTTCATGCGTCGCACCATGCGATATGGCGATGCCAATCGCGAATGTGAACAGCTGCAGATGGGGCAAGACTTCAGTGGCTGTTCAAGTTCGCTGTAGGTTGAGTCGGGGCATTGAAAATTGGCCCACCGTGGCTGGTACCAGAGTCCAATCATCGGCCTTCAAAGGCTGATTTTGTATCCTGCGCACTTTGAATTTCAGAGCCACAGCGATAATGCCTATTATGGGAAAGGCAATTCCAGCGGCTAGGGCGTGCGGTGCGGTTTCGTAGTATCTTGGCATTGCGATGCGAAACCTGACTTTTCGTCTGCCATGGACGCTAAAGAACAAATGCGGATGTGTCAAAATGTAAAGATATGTCAGACTGTGGGGAAGAGCGGATTATTAGAACTTGCAACGGCGTGCCGTCTGCTTGACCTACCCACGAAAATGCCCCATACCCAAGCCTATCAGGGTATCAAACAGGGCTCCGTTGTAACCATGGTTCCCGTCGTTCCCGTCCCGGCTTCGACAGACCCTTCTTACCCTGTCACTGATCCTATCAGGGTCAATAACAAGGCCAAGCCCGGTGTTGGATGAGAAGACACGCTGCTGATGGGTGGCACTGCGTGCAGCAATCTGCCGGGGCTGAATAAAACGGACGACCGAGTTTGGGTAACACAACATGCAATAGTCCCGCTCAATCAAGGAATGACAGCCCCCACAGAGACATACCTAGGCAGGCATCAGCGAGCTGATTCACATGCGTCTTGGATCAGCAGGCTGAGTTCACCCGGCAATGTCAGCTTTCCAGAGCCGCGTAATGAACGATCATCCCGTCAAAACATGCCGCCAAGAGAAACAATATGTAAGTGTTCGGGCAGCCCACATGCATGGTCTTAGAGCACCTGCACCTGGACAGAGGGAAAATAGAGGTATGATCCTTTATTGTGGTGCGAAAACCTTCAAAGCATGCATACACCTGATTGTCTTCCCCAGGGCAGTGGTCATCCTCAGATAGCCGTCTTCAATGATGAGTTGCCCGATGAGTTTTCCAAGTGATATATATGTACAGAAATCGCCATGAACTGCAGGACTCATTCGTTACAGAACATTGTATTTCCATTTCCAGACATTTGAAGTACGACGATACACATTTACCGGTACCCCTTTGGGCAATTTTGGGAGGAAAGAATGAAAGATGGATCCCACAACGCTGCAGACATGATTAGCAAAAAGATGCGGTAGCCGGGCAGTTCTCACCTTCGAATCGACATATGATCATTTGAACTTCTTGTTTATCGTGAAACTTGTAGAAATTGGCAGAGGACGTCGCTGGAAGCATTAGCAAACATAGCATGCACGCAATATAGACTTGAGCCGCCAAGTGCCCGCTGTTGCGCATCCGTCTGCTGCAGATCTGTCTCATCTTGGAAATTAGCAAGGAAATATGGAACACCATGCAGTAGAGATCTCGAAGTAATGTATGGCTTCTAAACGAGGGGCGTCGCCCCCAACTCCAAATGCAGCGTTTTTGTTGATAAGGCCAATTTTGAAACTCATGAGACCGCATGTAAGAAGCCCGCGGTAGGGTTGCGCAGCAGGATTCTGTTCCAGGCCGGCTAATTGTCCACGGGTAGTTCCCGATGCACAGCATCCTGCACAGGGAAAGACAACATGATGCGCCTGGGCAGGGCTCTCTCCTAACGAAGACTCCGGATAGGGTCACCGATCCGTGTATGAGGCTGACAGGCAGTGCCTAATTTCGCCACTTTGAAAACCGTGGTCCTCATAGTTCGTAAAAAAGAATGATAATTGGTGTTATATGGCCCAGGCCTCCTGAGACTGAGAGAACCGTATCGGGAAAGGGGGGTGATTCCAAAAACAACCTAAATGGGCTATGGTTGCCCTAGGGGCCATGTTTGCGCTGAGCGCTACATATGTAGATTTCCCCCTCGGGTCTAGAGTTAAAGACACGAGGTATAGAGATGATGTGACTATCCCTTAGAGTGTTTGGTTTGCTTAGGAATAAGATCTGGCCAAAAAGGAATTCTTTTCTAAAAAAGCTATTCTGACCTCTCCCTTCAGTCTTACAGGTCTGGTGTCTGGTCTGGCGCCTAGTCTGGCATCTAGTCTAGCGTGTAGCTAGGTAAGCTCAAGGTCTAGCTACCTGCTCTTCATAACTGCCTCTTTGACAACTCCCAGGTTCGTATTTCTTCCCCAAAAGTCCTTGCGTGACTTTCATACCTAAAATCTCTAACTCTAGCCCTACTAGTAGGGGGAAGCCTTCCCCTTCTAAGGCAGGATCAAACTGGGGCTACCATAGGTGCAGCCCACTAAGCCCCGGTACGGAAGGCTGCTGACGACTTCCAATGTTGTTGGCCAACGTTAGTTAGTAGAAGCCGAAACCCGGACCGGAGTGGGGATTGTGCATTCACTCCGATGCCTCCACCGGAATTCAGCCGTTCTGCAAAGCTGACATAACCTAAAAATACCCTAGGGTACCCACTTAAGTAGGCAGCGAAATGCTGTGTCTCATCCGAATTGTGTTTTTATTCGCATCGGATCATTGAAAAGAGCTATCATCATCTTCACTTTCGTGGAAGGCATTGAAACCCGCGCATCATATCAAACCATATTCATTGTACTTCTGCCCCTCTTCGTTCGTGAGCAGGGGTCTCAAAGCCCGCTGGTATCGAAGATGGCCACACAGCAGACAGACACGGAAAAGACCTTCAGGGCATACACCAAGGACCAAGGCCACAACTATGCTCAGAACCGCCTGAAGTACAGTCTAGGCCTCTACAAAGACATCATCTCGCATCACACGTCCACGGGCGGAAAGCTCGAGACTGCGGTGGACTTGGGATGTGGTCCCGGCACCGCCACCTTCGCCATTGCGCCAAGTTTCAGCAACACGATCGGTCTGGACCCATCGGAGGGCATGATCAGCGCCGCGCGATCGTTCTTGAGCTCGGAAGATGTCAAGGGCAAGCTCAGATTCGAGGTATCGACGGCTGAGGACATCGACCCTGCCCTCGTACCGGGCGGGAGCGTGGACCTCATCACAGCAGCTACATGCGCCCACGTGAGTTTCATCACATTCTATATCCTCGCTCATATATCAATTGCTAACATAATCGATTAAACCTGAAAGTGGTTTGATATGCCGCGTTTCTGGGCATCTGCAGCCCGTGTCCTCCGTCCGGGCGGGACGGTGGCGATGTGGTGCTCAAAGGCAAATACAATCCACCCATCCACCCCGAATGCAGCAGCTATCAATGAGGCCACGGGCAAGATAGAGCAGGAGGAGTTGGCACCCTTCTTCGGGGAGGGCAACTGGCTGACCCGGAACCTGTACTCGACCATCGGGCTGCCGTGGACGGTCAGTCCTGCGGTGCCAGAATTTGAGGAGGCCACGTTCTATCGGAAGGAGTGGGGTGTTGACGGGAATGACGAGTCTTTCTTCGAGAACGGAAAGATGGTGTTCGACCTGGACACACTGGAAAAGTTGTTGGGTACTGCTAGCCCAGTCGCGAGGTGGCGGGAGGCCCACCCGGAGTTGGTTGGTACAGAAGACGATGTCATCCGGAAGATGCGCAGGACGATAGAAAGACTCCTACGTGAGGCTGGGGTTGAGGAGGGCAAGGAGATGGTCCGAGGCGGAGAGGCTGGGGTGTTACTCATGGTCAAGAAGAGAGCATGATCAGCGCGAGCATATTAATGCACATGTTCTTACTACTAGTACATCAGGTAGTCTTTTTGATGCAAGAGCTTGAGTGACATAATTTTCACATCTTGCACTGAGGAAATTCAACTCAACTGAGAATCGACTTGACCTGTTTTATAGACTGCTTAGGTAGTCCTCAATTGCTCTCACTTGCATGCAGTTTGGATTCTGGTGCGGCACGAGATTCCTAATCGACCCGTCAACAGTGCTGAGTGGTCTGGGGTGGTCTGGGTGATGAATGACGCTCACTGACGTAACGCGGGACACAAATACACCCACCCAAACATTCAAACCTCACATCGCTTCTGCATCAAACGCGCATCCACATCACAAGCATAAACGCAAGGTCTCAAGTCAAACACACAGTGAGATCACCCTTCCGCTCTCCGGTGCTACAATACGATAGAACACCCTCAAAACCAATCACACACTGGCATAGTTCAGGTGCTTCGAACCAAAATGTCAGAATCGCAGCAAGGTGTTGCCGGGGACGAGCGCACCACCAAGAGTAAGATACTCGAGGCAGGTGCAGGCATGACTCAGGTGAGGACGACATTCTCTCGTATAACAATGAGAGAAATGGGCACTGACGGCGCTGGACAGGACTTCACTCCGGTCAAGAGTATCTGCGCGCATCTGAACGCGTTCCATGTCTATGCGGACGACCCAAAGCGCTTCGTCGAGGCAAATCACTATTGCAGTCACCTGACAGAAGGTAAGCGACCCCTGGCTATCCCGAGTTTCCATCCGAGTCCTATGCGGCCACCTCATCGCTAATCGCATTCCCAGACGTCCGCCAGTGCATACTCTACGACAGCCCGAACCCAGGAGCCCGACTCATCGGCATCGAGTACATGATCACCCCAAAGCTGTACTCCACGCTGGACACCGAGGAGCGCAGGCTCTGGCACAGCCACGTCTTCGAGGTCAAGTCGGGCATGCTCATCATGCCGCAGCCCTCCGCACTCGTGCCGCAGGCCGCGTGGGAGAAGGCCGAGTCCGCCGAGATGGAGGACGTGATCGAGCTGTATGGCAAGGTGTACCACCTGTGGCAGGTGGACAAGGGCCACAAGATCCCGCTGGGCGAGCCGAAGCTCATGACGAGCTTCACCAAGGCGGAGCAGATGCCGGACTTTGAGACGGTTGTGGCTGAGAGGGACTCCAGGTTCGGGGGTGCGGATTGGAAGAGGAAGAAGGAGATACGGGAGTACATCAAGGAGCCTGAGATTCACCCTGATGCTGATGCGACATGGAAACGGAGTTAGCTGGCCCACCTGTTTTTCACGGCTGATGGGTTCTCGAAGATTCTAGCTTCCAATCAATAAGCAAAACCGACATGACTTGAATAAATGTGTATCAATGTGATATCCCAAATCACAGTCCGTGACGCGATTGTTTCAGTACTTCCAAGGTTTGTGCGGCACATTTACTTGGTGACAAACCACACAGGCGCCAAGAGGAGAGCTCGCGGTGAACTGCCTAATGAAGCAATGATCTGCACGCTTGCCGGCTCTGATGATCTCCAACTCGGCTTCATTGTCGCCATCAGTATCTAGGTAGACTTGGCTCAGCGTCTCGCTCTACTGCTTATAAACACAACATTTACATAACATCGAGTTCATTGCAAATAGGGGATCTGTCAGCGGGATGGATCTTTTCTCAGAGTTACCTCAATTGGAAACTCACCGCGACACGGTGCCTTGCAGTAAGGCATCTCGAATGGCTTGCCCCGAATATAAATCTCGAGCTTTCGCTCTCTCGCCAGCTGGGCAACTCGGAAAGCATTTAGCTCTCAAGCTATCGACATTCAAACAATACAGATACTTGGACATGTATCTCAATCTAACCCTCTAAAAATCCCATCTCATCCAAAATGCGTGTCGCTATCGCCGGCTCCGGGGCTGTCACAAGCTATCTCGCAGAAGAATTTCCAGCCGCAGGGATCGACGTTGTCATCCTGACCCGGTCCATCAAGCCCCAACTCGAGAACATCCCCGGTGTCCAGCAGTTCGTCACAGACTACTCCGTCGCTTCCATCCTGGAGGGCATCGAGGGCAGCACCGCCCTCATCTCGACCATCCTCGACTACACGCCGGCCTTCATCGACGTGCACCGCCGCCTCATCGAGGCCGCGAGGAAGAGCAAGACCTGCAGGCGCTTCATCCCCGCCGAGTACGGCGGGAACCTCGAGGACTTCCCCGACCAGCCCGGGTTCTACTCGCGGCTGCAGGGCGTCATCCGCGCGGAGCTCGCCGCGCAGGGCGAGCTCGAGTGGACGCTGCTTTCCACCGGCTGGTTCGTGGATTATGTCGTCCCTGCTCACAACCGCAGGCTCCAGGACGCCGGGGACGCGATCCCGGTCAACCTCGCGGGCAACAGTGCGGTGATCCCCGGCACGGGCGACGAGCCGCTCGACGTGACTGCCGTTCGGGACGTCGCCCGCGCGATTGCTAAGCTTCTCCAGGCGCCTCGGTGGGAGCAGTACACGTATATCTCGGGGGAGAAAACTACCTGGAATGAGATTGTGGCGCTGGTGCGTCAGAAGTACCCCGATATAAAGATCAAGCACCGCAGCCTCAACCAGCTGATTGAGGATATTGTTGCTCATCCCGAGGGTGAGGAGCGTATTATTGCGGAGTACGGAATTTTCTCTGCCAGCCACGCTGGTTCTCTTCCAGCTGAGAAAGTTGCCGCACATCGAGAGAAGTACTTTTCCGGGGTTGTGTTTAGGACTGGGAAAGACTTGATGGCTGAAGTCGAGCGGGATCCGAATGTAATCGTCTAACGTGCCCTTAAAATAGTGGGAGGTATCTCTTTTCATATCAATACAATACGACGTCGAGCTCCGGCATTTCTGCTAGGATGCGTGTCCAAGGTTGAGGCAGGAATCCTGGAGGGCTAGTATCACGACGCCTCCACACTTCTTCGACTGCCTCCAATAACGTATTCCAGGTAGCGATTCCTAATGACTTTCGTTTGGAAAAGAGAAATCTCGCCCTGTTCCGTAGGTCTGGGTCCGAAGCTTCGAAAGCGACTGTCGCGTAGATCCACGTCTTTGGGTTTGCATCCTTCTGCAGCTTATCGATATTCTCCATGTCGTCCAGGCACCTGGACACCAAAATTTGGACCTCGTCCTCAGGCCCGCGTCTCCCCGAGTTGCCCTTGAAGTAGAGAAGACAGGCGTAGTAAAACAGAGATCGGTGATGGTGTAATAGTGCTGAGGTTTTGTTGCCAGCGTCAAAGTCAGTTGACGGCTCCGGTGTGGACAGAGCGAACTCCATCTCCAGCTGGTCGAGCTCTCCGGGCGCCAACAGGGGGGTCCGCGCGATCTTGGCGTTGAAAGAAGAAAGCAATTCAAGGGAACGTGGCGGGATCATTTGGCCTTGACCCGTGTCAAACCCTGTCAAACTAGGCTTCAAAGGCGCGAGAGACTCCTGCCGTCCGAGATACTGAGCCTGTATAAGAGCAAAGCTGGTGGAGAAAGATTGATATGTCAAGGAAGCAGTAGTAGATTGGCCCCAGGTCTCCCAGCCAATGCCTTCGAGTAAATCCCGGGTGACCTTGGTGACCTCGCGCCATGCCCCCGGGGTACCAGTAATGAAGTGAATGAGTATCCAAAGACATAGCGTAGCAAGGCATGCCATACGTTCGTCATGGTCTGTGCTATGCATATTTTGCATCAAATGCTGGAAGCTGAGCTGTTTGTGGTACTCAACCAGCCCGTCATCTGTAGGAAAAGCTCTTAGGTTTGCCTGATGTGCTGCAGAGATGGCACAAACCGCATGAAACAATGCGACTGTGCTGGTGGGTTGGGTGCGCGATATGCGGCTACCCTCGAGGACCATGGGGCATACGACGGTCAGGAACGGGTTAACTGGGCTCCTCAATGGTACCAGCTTGTCTGCAAGGTTGGTCGACCAGTGGCTGATGAGTTGTCTTTCTCGAGCAGGAGTTGTTGGGACATCAAACGGTTTCATAGGGCTGCCGATCCGAGGAACAGAAAGTCCATCGAAAGGGTCGAGTAGGTTCATTCCACTGGCCGGGACATGTTCAAACTGCCCGTACCAGCTCAGTGGGAAGTGTTCCACCTCTGGTGACCAACGCGGGTTGTCCAAAATTTGCCATAGAGTAGTCTTTGGATTGGTATGTCCCGTGCCGGCTGTTTTTTTGCGGTACGCCGAGAACCCGGTATTGCTTGGAACTCCTTCAAGTACAGCATGGTCGCGCGTATTAACGATAGCCTGACTGGGCTGGATCATATCCTCCACGATCGGGTTGTCCTGGTACGCTTTGTTTACCATAGAAGCAGCTCTGTTTCGTTGGTCTGTGTACCTGCGCCCCTTTCGCGAGGATCGTGACTCGGAGGCCGGGGGTGCTGAGGAAGAGCTGCCTCTTTGGATATTGATACTGTCAGAGGCGTCTGCCTCGACCACTGGCTGAGTGCGGCGGCTGAGCTTTGATGACCTCTGGCTCCCCGGTATGAGCCATGTGAGCCGTGTGTTGTAGCCTTGACAGGTGAAATTACCAGTAACACAACGCTTGCACATCGGCCGCTGCTCGTCACATTTGACGTGCCGCTCGCGACATGTCCAACAGCCTGTGAAGGTCTTCCGTCTTCCGCTGGGAACGGCCTTTTTCTTCTCCTGTGACCGGTCGGCGACGGTGTTAACCGGCCCGGGAGGACGGCTCCCGTCCGCTCGGGAGTCGTTTATGTCCCCGAGCAGAGATGATTCATGGTCCATGCTCATGTGTGACAAATGTTGACGTGGTCTCCGACCAGCACTCAGTTATAATCGCGTCTGCCGGATGCGCAGTGAGGACGTCTCCGCGGATGCAGCTGCCCAGGTGATTACCACCGTCACCGCCAAGACATTAGTGTTCTGGAGACCTTGTTCCGGTCCCGGACGCCAAGGGACCACAGCTTACCTGCCCAGGTACCATAGTGCGCATTAGGGGTTCTTTGAATACGGTCTCTAGCTGGTTTTGCTTCTATTCCGTATACGTCTGAGACATACATAGAGCCTCCATGCAAGAAAGGCAGCTGGCCATTCTTACTGAGGACTCGGAACATAAAAGCCTTGGAGACGTCCTAGGCCTGAAGACAATGCATCCCAAACAACAACTCTGGAAATATGGGTCGACGTCGGATCAGAGATCCATAAGTTGCTTTCACGAATAAGTCAGTGGTAATGTCAATGAGGTAGATTTCTTTGTAAGAAGAAATCTTGCTCGCAAGGATATAGGGTCCTGTAGTCGTGGACAATGTGCCCAGTGTGCGTCATGGCTGCTGAATGTCAAGCGTTCTTTTCCATGTCCTTCTTCCAAGCAGACTGCACAGCCTCGAGCATGCCCTTCTGAGTCAGTACATCCACCGCAGTCCCCGCCAAGGCCTTCCCAACCCTCAAGGAACGCTCGAACGCATCCCTCGTACCAGCTGCACTTGCAAATTCGGGATTGTGAGGACCCTGTCCACCCGGCCCAGGCACAATTGAGAAGCCAACACTCAGGCTCGGCATCTCGTAGCTAATGTCGCCCTGATCGGTGCTGGCTCTCGTAACCCCCCTCGCCTCGTCCGCATCCTGGTCAGTAGGTATCTTCGAGCTGGGCGGCTCATATGGGTCATCTTTCTGTGGCAACAGGCTGTTGAAGTATCGCGTGTAACTCCGCGCCAGCACCCGGTTGGGGACGTGGTCGGCATAACCCATCTCCTCCGTCATCTTGAGCTTCGCGCCCGTGGCAGTGGCACCGGCCGCAAAGCACCCGTCGACCTTCTTCTTGAGTTCCAGCATCCTGGCGCGCGTGTCTGCCCTGACCACGAACACGCCGGCGGCGTAGGCGTGGATGATGTTCGGAGCGGCCCCGCCGTCGGTGATGTGGCCCTGGATGATATCACCCGGCATGGTCTGCTGCCTGAGCACGGATAGGGAGTTATATGCCGTGATCAGGGCGTCAAGGGCGTTGATACCGAGCCACGGGTTGGCAGCTGCGTGGGCCTCTCGGCCAAAGTACTCGACCTTGAAGCGCGTGTATGCCGTAGTCCTCATCAGCGCGCTGTCGTGCGTGATGCCCGGGTGGGAGATGAGGTTCAGGTCGACGCCGTGGTCCTTGTACGCGCCGGCGTCGATGAGCTTGATTTTGCCACCGCCCCCTTCTTCGGCGGGTGTTCCGAAGAGGATAACCTTCCCGGGCAGTGAGTGCTGGCGCATCAGCTCTGCCACGGCGAGGCCGCCTGCCATCGAAGCGGTGGCGATGAGGTTGTGGCCACAGGCGTGGCCTATACCGACAAGGGCATCTGACAAAACAAAACGTTGGTTATTAGCCTATCACTTAGTACCATAAAATGTAATTCCAATATTCATACCCATCTCAACATTGAAGGAGACCACCGGTCCTTCGCGCCCGGTGTCATGGACCGCTACCCATGCTGTCTCAATTCCGTAGGCCGATGGTGTCACTTTCCAGCCCCCTTGGGACTTCACAAACTCGACCAAGGTATCATGGGCAATGTGCTCCTCGTATCCCAATTCGGGGTTATCATGGATAGTCTTGTTGACCGGCCACAGGGACTCGGCAATGCTGTCGACGTAAGAGCTGATGTCGCCGAGATAAGGCGGCTCTGGCTCGTCGACGTGGCGCGGGACAATGATCCAATCACCGTCTAGGTCCATTATGACGATGACCGCGACTTTCTGACTACTGGAATGGGCCTTTGTGATGATGGAATGTCACGAGCGACGTGTCGTGACGCAGTGCCGGCCACCCGGCAGAATTGAGGTCGCATGGTGTGGAACCGGGAGATACCCAGCGGCACCGGAAGCCTGCTAGTAAAGCAGACGTCGGCCAATTCGCGCTAACGTCATAAGATTGCGGCAGCTACACTAGAGACCGTTCGTTGCCTGCCTCTCGGTTCCTGCATATACCAACATTCAATACATGCTAGGCCGACCCATGGTTGGACACTTCCGTATCTACTAAACGCCTTGTGTCGCTGCAGCAGGATTGTATTTACGTATAAGCCCCTTTTGCACCCTGCTTCTCTACAACAATTGTTTTCGTTCTTGTCATCTCCACTACTACACCCTGTCTGAGGTTGCAAGAGCAGAGGTGAACAGAGAAAAGGTTTGACTGCAGGTGTCTTCCTGTTTTCTCAATGTATGACGATACGCATCACATATGACTATGGTAACTATGCAGATAAGTATACGCGCTGGATAATCATACTTCCATCCATCCAAGGCACTACGTCTTCCCAAAGCGGAGATGGGTAGGGAGCCGCAGCATGACTCAGCTTGCGGACAAGGTTGTGAGCCCCGATTTTATGCTTTATCCAGATGAAGTACCACGACGCGCAACGTCAGCAGATTCAAAAGATTCGTGCACCCATGTATAAGGATCGTCGGTAACATGCGGAAGCCCGACGTGAGCCCATCACAGCAATTTCGAGGGCTTTCAAGATTATGGTGATGATGGATCATTTGAGCATTCCTGAGCCATCGAGCTCGTCAAGACACGGGCCGCGCAAGCCGTCGACCGTCCCAACTCTCCAACACTCGAAAGCCGCTTGTGGCTGTCCGTGGTTGGTGGCTGCTACAACTCGAAAAGAGGCAGTGCAAGATATTCAATCAATCCGAGTCACAGTCACGTAGTATGGTTCAGTAGCACCATGACCAGAAAGCCCCCTCAACTAATTTCGGCTTCCAGCGACGTGGAAGTGGGTGTGTTGCTACGACTGCCGTGAGCCCAATTAATCTATTCAGGGCAGCCAGGCAAGCCAGGCAGGTCATGATGATATGGTCGACTGCCGGCTGCAAAGGTGGCTTGGGCAAGTCGGTCTCCCATCTGAGACCATAGTGCCGGTGCCCACAATCGTGGTTCAACCCGCATAGGAAGCCGAATCCAGCCTAGCACTTGAGTCACGACAGAAATCCGGATACCTAGGTATGCAGCCCACGTCAGTTGCCAAATGGGCAGGGAAACCTCGAGTCACAACAGGTTGTTTGAACGCGCATGAAATGTTTCTAAGGGGGAAACGAACCTGTTCTAGACCTTGAAACATCACTGCCCGGATACACGAGGGAGGGTGCATTGGCAGCCCTAGAGAGAATACTACCAGTAGGGAGGGCTCAGGGGCAGGGGCCAAGTTCGGGCTCGGGAGGGGTCTTTATCGTCCGAACACCTGGGAAGCTGGGACACAGCGGCAAATAGCTTGTGAGCTCCAGGAAGCCCCTCCGAGCCTGGCCGACTGTGGCCTGACAGTGCAACAGGATTGAACCCTGACAGCCCTTGTACGAGATCTTTCATCCCAACCTCGGGAGTTGTCGTGATTCAGGGGAGGCTCCGTCTGCATAAGAGGTGCTGGTGTACGATGCGCGAACCCCCTCATATACGTCCTATATGATTTACGTTAAGCTTCGGAGCTGGCGGGTCCTAGTAATCTGTACCTGTCAGTGCCTGTCGTCCCTGAGTACTGTAGCCATTTTCCCTGCCAGATTCTGACATAATCGCCCGTTGAGGTCCATGTTTCCGGTTGTTTCTTGCCCCTGATTCGGAATTAAGGGAGGATGCCAAGACTGTTTCTCTCCTGTTGATGCTGCGATCCCCCCTGTCAATTATGCGCCTCGCTGCTGTCCGGAGACTTTTACCCCAAACGGCGAGCTCGGGAGATTGACAGCCAGGCCCCGGTCGGACCACACTCTATCTTGCAGATCGATCGGGTACATGTTTTTCAGTGCGCAATAGGGGCAAATAGCCCACCAGTTTGTATGTACTCGGGCTGAACTACGAGCCCCTTTGGACCCCTCTCCCACGCCGACGGCCCAAGCGCCCGGCATGGACTCTACCTAGGTACAAGTCGCGGAAGTTCTGCTGCTCCACCTGGGGCTGTGCTCTTCGTCCCAAATATATGGATTTTTCCTTGTATGCATAAAACCTGAAAGCTCAGATGAAAACTTCAGACGACGACTGTGGGACCCGCGAGGGAGCATCTTGCGTCACGACCGGGAGAGGTCACTTGGATCATACAGGCACCGATGGCATTTTGCATGGACCCTCCCTGGCAAACACATATTGATTCCACCCAGACAAACGCCATGTCGTGGGTGGGTGAGGGAAACATCGGAGATGAAGGTCAGAAGAGGGGTTGTTTAGAGATGCTGTCGAAGTCGTGGTGATCTTGACGACGAAGATTTGGTATAAGAAGGCAGCATGTTTCGCTACTTACTGATATGTTTGGAAGACACCAAGTTCGTCTTCAGGTTCACATCAGCATTTTGTGCTTTCCATTCTTTTTCTCTTCAGGCCAGTTGATCTTGCTGACTATCCATTCTCTAGGTGTCTTGACACCTCACATTCACTCATTCTTCATTGCAACCATTCTTTCGATCCCTGGACAGGATTCACTCAGCATCTTCAACAACTCCGCAAGATTCCACACGCACATTGAAAATGATGTACCGCAACGCCGTGGCGGTGCTCTTCGCACAGGGCGCCCTGGGAGGTCTTCTGCACAGGCAGAATGTTGCTCCTGCACCGTCGATGGCGCCAATCCCTATAAACGGGTCTGTCGTCAACCCCCCTCCCAATGGCACGGCTGGTGGGCGATTCACCACAGAGGTTGTCTACACGACCAACATCTATACGGTGACGTCCTGTGCGTCTGATGTGACGGACTGCCCTGGCCGGACCACCAGCGAGGTGTCTCCCGTCTCGGTCAACACCGTATATGTCACTGCGTCCGGATCGGGTCTTCCGCCGCCGGTCCCTACTGCAAATGCTACCGGGGTTGCACCGTCTCTGCCACCTCCTCCACCCTCGCTGTCTGCTTCTGATTTCGTTCTCAGCTCCAACTCTCCCGTCACCGGCGCTGAGGCATCTGGCTCAGGAATCCCCCCAACCCCCCCGGTGGCCTCTGGCCCGCCTACGGGACTCCCTCCTCTGCCCACCGTCAACGCCACAGGCGGCGGGGCACAAGCTCCGGCAGCATCTTCCTCGTCTGCTTCTCTTTCCGGAAGCGCGTCCTCTTCAAACTCGCCCGTCACTGGCTCGGCAGCTCCATCCTCATCAGGCCTCCCCCTGCCACCTCCTCCCCCCGCCAACGGCACGGGACTTCCACCAGCACCTGCTACGAACGGCTCGGCTACAAGACTGCCGCCTCTGCCTCCTTTGACCAGTGGGTTCCCTGCAGCAGGCGGCGCCGCAGCCCCGACTGGTGCTCTCAGCAGCAACCTGCCTGTGGCCAGCGGCCCAGTAGGACCTTTTGCCAACACCTCTGTACCGGTATCCCAGACCACACTGACTGTCGAGGCGACGACCGTCCGCACTGTCATCTCCTGCGCCCCGACTGTGACCAGCTGCCCTGGTGCGTCTGAGAGCAGTGCCATCTCGGCTCTGCCCCCCGGGGCCGTCCAGACTATTGTCGTCACCGATACCATTGCTCAGTACACCACCATCTGCCCTGTTACGGCTGCTTCCTCGCTGTCTTCATCCATCGCATCCAGCTTCTCCTCTGCCATCACGACTGTGACTGGTAAGTTGCTCTCTCCCGCCACATCACTTCGCTGCCTTCATATATGCTAACACTTTGGTCCTAGTACCGGGCGGATCTGAGTCGGTCTTCATTCCCACCCCATCTGCTTCCTCAAGCAGCACTGTCGTCAACGTCCCAACTGTTGTCACCGTCACTGTGGACGGTTCCGCATCCCTGTCATCCTCCAGTATCCAGGTCACCACCGCGGTTCCTCCGCCCAACAACGGCGGAGTGCCTGGCAACGGCGGTGGCGAATCCGAGTCTACTTCCACCCTGGTGACTGTCATCTCCGTGCCTACCACAATCCAGACTACCATCAGCGGTGTCCCTACCACAATTTCTTCGACCATTCCAGTGACCAGCGCACTCGCCATCGGAGGTGGATCCGGTTCAACTGGCGGTGGCTCAAGCAACAACGGCGGCGGCTCCCAGAACGGCGGCGGCTCCCAGAATGGCGGCGGCTTCCAGAACGGCGGCGGCCAGAACGGTGGAGGCTCAAGCAACAACGGCGGCGGCTCTCAGAACAACGGAGGCTCGGGCGGCAACGGTGGCAATGGAGGCAACGGAGGCGGCAATGGAAACGGTGGTAACGGAGGAAATGGAGGAAATGGAGGAAATGGAGGCGGTGTCGTCCCCTCAGCCTCTTCCACCGTGCAGACCGTGATCCCCTCGGTCAGCGTCGTGACTATCACTGTGTCAGGAGGCGCGGAGTCCACCTCGTCCTCTACTGCCCTGCTCACAAGCACCGTGGTCATCCCCGTCAGCAACGAAGCGTCCGCGACATCTGAGGTCAGCCCGGAGCAGCCTTCTGAGACTGTCCAGACGGTGCTGCCCACGCAGAGCGTCGTCACTGTCACTGTCAACGGCAGCCAGACGCTCTCCACTTCAAGTGGTCAGCTCACCAGCACAGTCGTCGTCCCGGCGACTACCACTGTCCCACGGGTTACTCAGACCGTCTTCGTGACCGCCACTGGTGGTGGCGGTGGCGCCGGAGGACAGTGCTCTGCGGTCACAGTCACACAGACCCAGACTGTCTGCGCCGTTGATGGCGTGTGCCCTACTGGTGCTTCCAAGCTGTAGGGCCACTCCATGAGTCTCATCATTGAGACATTGATGCTGTACACGAGCGCAGGTGATCTTGTTTTCCTGTGATGAATTGGTGTTTGGGATTTACATTCTGATTTCGGAACATTTTGATTTCGGAACATTCTGATTTCGGGACATTCGGACTTCGGTACATTCTGATTTCGGAAAAAGATCATGTGCTTTGATTCAAATAGCCCCGGAGGCTTCTCCATTGCTTTTTTGACACTGAAAAATCGGAAATCCAGAACAGACAAAAAGGGAAGGGGTTTTCTTTCGGACGGGTTGGGTGTTTGCATGGTTTCGCGCTTGGTTTTGGCTTTGCCTTTCATGATGTATAGATTGATGATTTTCTCTTCTCTCGAAGGTGAACAGAAATTCACATTTGACCTTGTTCCGTTCAAACGTCGTCAAGCTTCCTGCCCATTTTCTTCTTGATGACCAGAGCTGTGAAAATGAGAACAACTATACTGTATTCAGGGTTGCCATTTTGCTAAGCTGGCCGAGAAGAAGCAGTCCGTATTTAGACCCAAGTAAGCGTGCCAAGTAAGGTGCTCTCCTCGGAGCAGTTCGGAAATCGCGCCCGTAGGATCTCCCGGAGATAAATGTGGTTTCGCTTCTATTCCGTATACGTCCGAGGACAGACATGGCGCCTTCATACGGGTCTGCACATAAAATCAACTTCCTCCCATACCTTGTTCGGAAAAGCTTCGGATGGCGCTATTGACGATCCCGGAGCTTCCCACGCTCAGCGTCTGTCACCTTGACGATCGGGCACAGCAAGTTCTGGATGATCTCCGGCGATGCAGTAACCCCCCTTCCATCTGTCTTGTCATCTATGGCTGGGGGAGGTGAGATGTTCCATTCCGGGAGCACTCGGGTACCTGCCAAAGACACCTCGATGACTGCTCCACCAGGGATGTCGGGCGACTCAACAACCTCATTTATTGCTTCTGCCACCGTCTCTGCTGTCAAAGCATTCTTTTCCGTAAGTCCATACCGAGCGCCTGCCCCTGGGGTTCCTTCTGTCCATAGAGGTGTGTTCACATTACTGTTCGGATGGCAGTTAGTGCGGCTCGACCACAAACTTGGATCTATGAGATAGACAGTTATACCCTGGACAAATACAGGCTACCTTGACGCCCTGGTGCTGCTCAGCATCCCCCATGCTCCGGGTGAAGCCCAAAATTGCATGCTTGCTTGCCACGTAGAGGGGCGAGGGATAATTCTTGATATACCCAGATACAGAGGACATCAAGACAATGACCCCCTGCTTTTCTCTTCCAAGGAGAGCGCGCAAGGCCAGACGAGTGAGCTTGATCTGTGGATTCATGGAATTAGCAGAATCACCGAGTACGAGCTGTGGCATTGTACTGGAACTGCTAATATGGCGACTGACCGGATGATTCACATTGATGTCAACCAAAGCATAGCCATTGGCGTCCAAAGGCTCTGGGTCATCCCAGAAATTGGAGTACGGCTATGAAATTTTAGCACCAGTATCTTAATACCCCTTTGTATCTGTACTACTCTTTACCAGCCAAGTAGTGGACGGATTTACGAACCGGCTCAAACACCCCGGCGGATGCGAGATAGATATCGGGAACATCCCCTAGCTTGGCCAATGACATATCAATAATCTCTTGAAGATCCCCCCATTTCGTCACATCGCACTGCTGGAATATGAGGTTCTCATCTGACTGTACGGCCTTCTGAGCCGCAGGTGTCAGCCTGAGGTCGGCGAGGATGACGTTTTTGGCGCCTTTCTGCCTTGCGAGAAGACCGTAAGCCAGCCCAATGCCTGGCAGAAACGTCAGAATGAGCCAGTCAAGAACGCCGAAGGGTATGAGGCGGGGGAAGCATTTTAGGCAGCTCAACCCATCGATCCCGCATTGGGCTTACCTGAGCCGCCACCGGTCACCGCAACAATACGGTCTCTCACCGGGATGTGAAGAGACATGGCAGCCAGAAGGACAACTCCAGTGATGAGGCGTAGGATGTTCTGGTGGGTCAATTGCCTTATAAGTTCCCGCAATGTGCAATGTACACGATGTTTAAAATTCTCTACCCTGTTTTCGGTTATGTTCAGAAGTGCGTCCTTCAGAGAATACGCAAGGCGGGGTCAGATGAGATGGTCAATGGTCAGTGCAGGCTCGGACAACTGTCCGGGGACGATTGGCTACAAAACATCCGATCCACGGCTCCCATTATCACGCATCATTATGGCTCACCCCGGCGAGTGCGACACTGAGCCCGGATAAGGATTGGGGTTGGCTTCTGCAAAGCATACCACAGGTCAAGGTCAACGGTACTTTCAGCAACACACAAGTCGTATTGGCAGCCACTGCACGAGGGCTGTGAAGGAGGATCCTTCACTTAACTTAATGTCTCACTCCCGAGTCTTGCACATTTGTTGATTTCGCTGAGTGGTGGGTTCGTTCTTAATCTGTATAAATCCCGAAGGCGTATGGTCCCTTCACCCAGGGGTAAAAGCTCAAAGACCCAGCGTTTGTTTTTCTTTTTCTTTTTCTTAACATTAAGAGAGAAAAACCAGACAGTGTAAGATGGCGGTCTTCGTAAATAGGTTACAGATGCCTAATTCAAGTGAAAAGCGCTGATGGAAAAAGGATTTAAGCGCATGTCAAAATCCAATTTGCAACTCTGTCACCTTAATGGTAACTTTGATGGTCTTTTTCCTGCTCATATGCCGAGACTCGGAGTTGTAGTTTTCCTTCTCAGTACAGGGTCAACAATGGCAACGGCCACCTCTGAACCAAACCCTCAAGCCTGCGTCCGTCGCCCATCACTATCTGTCACGATCCTCAGCACGGCCCAAGTCGCGCCGACTTGGGAATCAGAGCAATCAAGCATCCCCCGGAACATGCCTCTGTGCTTAAAGTCCTTGCAACAAACCCAGTGTGCTCTGAACTTGAACGAGACTGTTTGTCGAGCCTCGGTGTTGTATTGTCAGATGGCAACACTGCCGGTAGCCCTTCCGTGCCTGAGGCTGGTTTGATGCCACTGTTTGCCAGAAACTGCCCCGTCTCTTCTCTCGCCCTTGCTTTGTTTGAATCTCAATATTGTGTCATCTTACTTTCGCATTCTCTGTCCAGTTGTCCGCCCTGGTTGTTTCCGTGCTCTGTCCCCCCAGGCCTCGAGTCCCGTATCTGTCACCTTCCGCGACTATCCCTCTTATCAACTCTTCCAAAATGAGTGTTTCACATGGGACAATTGATGGTGCGCGTGCGACACAAATTTCTGAAATCTGCAGGATCCGAAAGAAGACGAGCGCTCAGACGGAGGGGTCCTTGAATACCATAGACTACTAGTAATCTCCATTCGCTGCCTCAGCCTTGCACTCGATGACTTCCAAGGGCTTGTCCCAGATGGAGAATTCAAGCGCTTCCTCCTTGGTCAGCTGGGAGGGGTAGACGATCTCAATAGCCGCTACATCTCCCGATTGTGCAGGCAGGCGGGCAAAGATCGGCTGCCCCGTCACACAGCTGACGGTTTCCCATTTTTTCATCTCCTTAAGTGTCATGGTGGTCCGAAGCAGAACTGCGAGGGCGTGGTCGTCTTGCTTGGACAGCAGGAATTGTGCTGGGTCGGTACTGCCGTTGCAGGGGACGCCGGAGGCGAGGAGGATTGCTTTCCAAGTGTGGCACCACGTAGCATGATACTTATCTTGCCCCAGGAAATGCGACTCGGGCATGGTGAAGTTGAACCATTCCACGGGGGGGGAGTTTGACCTGGACACAGACACCACGGGAGGATTGTCTGATAGGCAGGCATCTGGCCATTTTTTCGGTTGCCATTGTGGAGATGGACAACTGTAGAAATGATTTCAAAAATGATTTCGTTGAGGCCGGGGTCTTGTCAGGATTGATGAGAATCGAAACTCTTGCATCAGCTTCAGATCGCATCTAGTGGGGTAAACGGTCATTATATTTGAGAATATATTTCTTTCCTGCCAAGGCCAACGAAGTCTGTTACGAAATGCCTGGGTAGTAAACAACAAAAGAGATTCAGGCTGGAACCGAGGCATTGTCCCCTGGAACATACTACTAAGAGCTTGGAGTTGGACCCAGAGACGTCCAAGACAAGGCTGATGCAAGAGTTGGTTGACTGTCAAAAGCGACGATATTTTGGCTCCACAACGAAATTTCTAGAACGGTCTGATAATACTCAGGTGCCTCCAGATGTAGGTAGTCTGCTCGTTGATATTAGGCCTGGCCCTTACCCTGTTAACAGAGAACAATGCATTGTTCTATCAGCGAGCGCTCGAATCACAGCCTCCACTTCGCTCCTAGGCGCGGGCCGGCGGTCTCGTGTGGTTTCCCAAGTTGCCCCGAAGAGTGTCTTTGTAGATGGTGATCCGCCGAGTGAATCGACATATTTATGATGCTCAAAGATGATATTTTGTTCTCGCAAATCTTGACATGAACTACTCAGCGCTCTTGAAGACGCTATGGAGCCCGGCGTGCCGCAGTCGTGGCCGGCAGCTCTCAACAGCTGCACCCACAACCTGTTGCAGAGAATAATTTTGGGTCTGGTAATTGTACAAAAGCTATTCCACGACCAAGCAAAAGTCTTTGTGAGTCAATCTTGACGATCAGAAGTTTACTAGAACATAGGATGGTGTTTTACAACTGCCGTTTGGACTGCACCAAAATGAGTCTCAAGTTGTTTGGGGCAGTACAGAGACCAACTCAGTTGAATTTATGTTTGCTGAATTGCTCAAACTTGGTTGCAGACTCGCAGTAGCAGAACTGTGCAGTATTAGTGAGGATTGGGTCGATTTAATCTTGCGTGTATTCTAATCTTGACACTGGAATAATCTTACTTTCAATGCCTGTCACTGCTCGTGGATTCCAAACGCACAGATTACATTTATATTTGCGTTGCTGTAGACCAGCATTTTTAAGCGGCCGTCGATGCGACCATCCACAGTTGTCGTGATTGTGTTTCGTTACCTTGCAGAAGGGATACGCGTCGTTGACGAGTCCTTGAGACATGAGTCCGACGACCTCCGGGTGGGGAAATTGGTGGGTTATGCCGCAGGAAAGGGTTGCAGGCGATGAAGAGATTAGACTCGGCCTTCTCGAATAAACCAACTTGAAATCCTTTCAAATATTGCAGTGTCTTATCCCAAGAAGTCTCGTGTTGCTGGCGTCTTGACGGCAGAGTGAACGCCGGCGCTGAAGCTCTCCCTGACACGACAGGCTCACCACTCGGGCACCAGCTGACCTGAGCATCCACATTTTGACACCTCTCATGTTCATGCTTCATGATTTATCAAAAACCGTTGTCACTTTCTCATTTACCAGTCATTCCAATATACCTAGGGTAACTTTGTTTTGACAGACCTCGAGGTGATTCGCGAAATCGACTGACAGTTGCGCTCATGCAGAATTCCGGACTGCCCCCACATGTCGTGGAATGATGGGCCTCACAAGTGCCGACGTGGGGGCGGGGACATGAGCATCGGAGCCTACACCGATTTTAATAAGAGACCAACATGAACAGACAACTGCGAGCAGCGTCCAAAATCACCTACAGCCTCCACGTCGCCGCGGTCAACATCGTCACCACGTTCACATGGCGAGGAAATCAAGAGAAGATCCATGAGGTGTAAAGCCAACTGCTCTAGTTTCCATTGAAGCTGTTGAACAACACAGCATGATTCTATCACGGCTCACCCAGGCCGATCTGTCGAGTCAAGGTCGGGCTCTGCAGCAGTTGATGGCTGCGGCCTCTTCCTCTTGCTAAATCCTCACCTGTCACTCTCTCAACAGGTCAATCCACCAGCGCGACTCATCTCCCGCACATGATGTACTCTAAACAAGACAAAGTTCCTCCCTTTCCTGTTGACGGAGGCGATATCCGATCGCGTCACGATACAGTCACTTGCAAGCCGGCCTTGAGAAGCAAGACGGCGCAGTCCTTAGCAGGCGGACCGCAGAAGACCAAACGAAAACAAAACACCGCCCAACCTGTGTATTTTCAGACCCAACCTGCGGCCGTGTAAATCCAGACTCATTCCGCCCAAGGAGAGAAGAAACAAAAGCAACACTAAGCACAGTCACAACGCCGTCGACTTACATAAGGGATCATCATAGACGTCTCTATAAAGAAAGAAAGAAAGAAAGAAAGGAGACGAAGAAAGGGGGACCGGAGTTCACCACCAGCACCCCCGAAGCAAACCTCACGACTGCAGCGACCCAACAGTCCTGTTCAGCTCGCACTTGAGCCACGTGCCCAGCGCTGAGTAGATATCGTTTACCTCGCCACCGGGCGCAGCACCGCAAGCGGCGGCCGCGGCGGCGGGCTCCCCGGGGCGGCCGCCCTGCATGCAGAGGAGGTCGATGAGGTGACCGGCCTTCCTGAGCTCGCTGAGGAGCAGCTGGGTCCGGAGGGCCTCCTGGGCCGCCTCGTCGTCGACGCTGAACGCGCCCACGGAGAACTGCATCGGCGTGACGACGAAGCCCTTGTGCTGCTGCGCCTGCGCCTGCGCCGCGACGGGGCTCGCCGCGGGAGTGGCGGACGTGGCCGCCGGCGAGGACGACGCGCTCAACGGCGGTGTGGGCTGGTTGTGGTGGTGGTGGTGGTGGACATCATGAGGAGAAGTATGGTGCCCGGTAGCACCACTTCCAACACCGCCACGACCAATACCGCCACTGCTGCAACCGTCCAGCGGCGGGAAGCTGTCCCACGTCGCGGTGGTGGTTGTGGCGGCGGGCTTGGCGCAGCCGGCGGCGAGCTGGTACCACATGAGGATCTTGGACGTGATGCTCGCGTACAGCATGGCGAGGTGCGGGGACCGCGAGCAGGGGCAGGCGAGCAGCTGGCGCATGTTGTCGACGGCCTGCTTGTTCCGGTTGAGCACCTTGTCCATGGTCTGCGTGAGGTGGTGCTGCTCGGCCCCGTCCTGCCGCACGCTGAGGCTGTCCAGCGTGGCGTAGGCCAGCTTCTGGCAGTGGTGCGAGTCCGCCTGCAGCAGGCTCGTGCTGCTGCTGCTGCTGCTGCTGCTGGCCGCCGCCGCGGGGGTGGTCACCCCCTCGGACGGCGCGAAGGGCTCGAGCGACGCGCTGGAGAAGGAGGTGGGCAGGCGGTGTGCTGTGATGTGGGCGCCCGAGTCAGCGTCGCTGGCGGGCTGGCTCTCCGGGGTGTGCATCAGGTCGTCGTGCTGGATCCATTCCGAGAAGGTCGAGTAGTCTGGCGCCGAGAAGGTCAGGTCCAGAGGATCCACGGTTCCGTGGTGCCGTGGGCCTGCTCGGAGTATCGCATTGTGGCCATGCGGCGCGTCCGAAAACGAGAAGGGGTCGTTGAAGCTGTCCATGCTGTCTGGGGAGGGCATGAACATGTCGTGGCCGCCATGGCTGGTGAAGGCCATGAGGCTGTCCTCGAGCCCGAAGCTGGGCGACGTGGCTGACCGGGGCTCGTACTTGACCGCCCTTGCTGTGCCACCGGACAAGGAACGATAATCTGGGAAGCATTGGAGGCTGCTCTGGTGTGTGTTCTGGGCCACTGCTTTCGACGCCGGATTCTCGGAAATTCCTGTCTCAGCCGGCGCCTTCTTTCTCGGGGCCTTGCCGAATTTCCTCGACAGTCCGTACACGCAGGTGATGCCGCCAGCCGCACAGCGGCCACATCGAGGTTGTGTCTTGTCGCAGCGCACCTTGGCCGCCCCACAGGCATCACACGACGACCGAAGCTTGGGTGGACGTCGATTTGCTCCCCTCGCGTTGGTCGACGGGGCGGAAACAGCAGAGGGTGTATTTGAGGTGGTCATGGTCGCCGGAGACGGCGTGGCCGAGGGTGTTGACGGAACATTGGGTGAGTTCATCATGTGAACGACTGAAGGAAAGTCACCGGGGAGGGAAGGTCTGGACCGCAGTCTTCTTTCGGTGGTGAGCAGCGACCTCACGAAGATGTGGATGGCAGTCAAGTAATAAGCCGGAGCCGGGAATATTCAAAGGGAAAAATAAATGAATCTGAGGGCCTGGGGTCACCGAGGGTGAAGGCTGGCCGATATACTTGTATCTGGCCAGGGCAGGACATGCATGGAGAGAGAGTCTGACAAGGCTCCGACTCGGAACGCCCTCATGGCAGCATCGATAGGACTTTCTTCTACAGACCCTGACAAGGAACAACGGCGGCCACTGGCAGCAGATCGTTGCTCAAATGGCTTGCGTACAAAAAGGCTGACATGGCCCACGCCGACCCATCAGCACCTGCCACCCACGTTTGCTGGCCACTGATGCTTGAGCTGTCACCAAGGGCAGGACTAAGGCACGCCGCCATGAACGAAACCCCGGCCAGAGTTTAAAGGTTCCTGGCACTGGGGTGTCATGGGTGGGGGGATATGGGTGGGAAGGAGGAGGCGCGGCCAGAGAGGTTGGAATCTGGCGAAGAAGAAAGATACGTACCTCAGGGTCTTTTGGTCTTTTTTGCCCGCTGGGTCTGACGGTAGATCACTGGGGTGTGTCAGATCTGATGGCATGGGGGTTGAGACGAACTAGGCACTCCCTCCCCCAGCCAGTGGCTCTCCGAGAGCAGGCATAGGCGGCCGGTCCCGCATATGGCTTGCAGTGTGGATGGGAAGCTTGCCAGTCAAGAACAACACAGCTTGGAGAGGGCTTGAGCCGTTTGTTCGAGCGAGAGACAACCTTGGAAGCCACCGAAAGGGCGGGCGTCATAGGCCCTCGACATGGAAGAATACCAACCTCTGCTCGACACCTGTCCCCTTGTCTCGGCCACTCCATTCAAGGTTTCCCTCGCCATGAGGTGCTCGAGTCTCGTCTTGTTGCTCCGGCTGCTTCGTTGGAGCCTTCCAAAGTTTCCGGATATCATGTGGGGTCGACCTCGGGAGCTGCCACGGACAAAATACCGGTATGAATTCTCACCAGGAGGAAGAGGTCTGTCCTAGCAAACGTAGTCGAAGCAGAGAATATCGCCGGGCGTCAGTAAGTGGGTCACTGCTCAGCAACCAGCCGGGCGCCGGCATCCATGGATCTCAGTCTTGATTCTTACTATCCGGGGACGGAGCCGAGCCGCAGCTTGCGTCTACAACCTCCACACCAGGCACTTGTCCCCTCTGGGCCAAGCAGCGCGGTCTTGCAGCCAGCCAGCCCGGCGCCCTACCCCGGTTTGCGCGGACAACGTGCTGTCAGGGGGCAAATTTGGCATGGCCTGGCAGGCGAAGGAGCCCCACCACGTGTGTCCAAATCCTCCCGTTGAGAACAGGGCCGTAAAGTAAAAAAAGGGCACCACACACACTCACTCACTCAAAAGCCCTTGCCGGTACAGGCATGGGTACGCGTAAATCTCAGGTGGCCTCGTAGGCAAGCTTTTGGGAAGATTTGAATCTCATCCCGAGCGGTGCTGATGGTAATGATGCGGGATAGGAGCATAAGCGTCACGAATAAGCCGGACGGGGCCTTACAGGTAGGTCACCGACCGTGGGATGGTTGTGTGCTAGCGCTCACTACCAAGCCCAAGAGAGTAAGCTTATGTTTGTTAGGATTCGGATGGGGGTAAGGGACACACGATGCAGCAGTCACCGGTATATGGGATGACAGTTGCTAATCGCCCCCCTCCCCTCCTCCTGCAAAGTCACACCGAGGGCCCCCAAACCTCACATCCATACCCAATTCACCCAATTCACCCACGCCGCCATCCCCCACCCTCACCCTCAGAGTTCGCGTCTTCGCGCTCCGGTGCCAGAGAGAGGGTGGCTGCCGTGTCCAATGGCAGGGCACACATCCGTATATGCGTTTCTTTATCTTTAAATCCGGACCCGATATCAGGGCGGCGGGGAAATAAGGGTTTGCCGAGCAGTGCAGTTGATGAAACAATAGGCAAACTTCCGTTGACGGTGAGAGGAGGGGTGGCTGGGTGGATGTCCGCTGGCTGCAACGTTTCCAAGGTTGATGCGCTGGACCTGCTGTGCTACCGGCCCTGGCCTCACTTGAAATACATACCCCTATGTAAGCAGTCACTCATGGCCGACATGCCTGCATGCCCAGATGCCTTCGTTCCATCGTTCACGATTCTCTCGTAACAGCCAATGCAGCATGACGGACCTGGCGTTGGCATCAAGAGCTTCGAGCAATCTATCCGGCGGGTGGCTGCGGGCAGGGCGATATGCCACGAGAAATAGGCCCTGAGCAAGTCGCGCACGATGCCCTGAGACAAGGCAAAGCTGCAGCCAAGCTTTGGGCCCTGATTTGCCATGTTCCGAATAAGGTGTAGCCCCATGTCAGCAACCAAGCGCCAAAGAACGCTTCTTCCAAATCCTTCGGTGCTGGGCCATTCATCAGCCCTTCACGCTACTAGTACTTCAGACCTGTCTGTGGCCACGCTGGGAGCGTCCGAAAACAGCCAGCCCTACTGGTACAAGAAGTACTGGGAGGCGTGTACAAGCTCCCACAAAAGAAATCTAGTCATAACCGCCATACTTTAACATGATCCGGTAAGAAGAGCATAGAAACAATGCCAGCCACGAATAGACCCGAGGAGATGTGCAAATATCCATCAGTTCGGCCGACCATCCGCATCCGAAGGATTCCCTAATAGTGGATCTATTGCTGCGCGACGCCAATTGATACCTTTCTCAGCCCAGTGAGCGCAAGGGAGGGCACCAGTTGACAGCACACTTACGCGGCAGCCCCAGTGCACGATGATACGCTGGACAATCCCACGCTCAGCATGTTGAACCCGCTGATTGGGTCCAGACAATGCTGCCCAGGTCCCTGAACAGGGCCCGCGCAGCATCCATGGAGCCTTTTAGGAAGCTGGCAGGGCTGGCAGGAAACGACTCTAGTTAGACTGCAGCGCCCGCGAAGTAAACTCTACCGTACCCCCACAGCCTAGACTCTCCAGATAGATACGGTTCCCAGATAGTTGCTCCGGTTATAGTTGGGCCGACCAAAGTTGGCCCGGTCATAAATCCTGATAGATAATCCAAAGATGCCCCGCAAGAAAAGGCTGACGAGGACGGCAAACTCTGACAGACCCCCAGTCAGCGTGACAGACCCCCAGACCCCCTCGGAATGTCACAAACAACAAACTGAACACACTGCACAACTGGTAGTCTAGCCCCATGTCTTACTGACCTCCACCCGCCTGTCAGCCCAAGGCTCAGAGGTGTGATCTCCCGTCATGATGGTGAAACAGTGAGCATGGCGATTGCGCCGGAAATCTTTGGGCCCGCCATCGCTGAGTCGCTGACCGCTCGTCCTTCAACCATGAATGAGCTTCTTCGCACTCGACGAGACCAAGGCGGCATCCACCGACAACTTAATCTCTGGCTTGAGGCCGATCTTCCACGCAAGCCCCCCTCGAGCCTCCTGGCGCTGACGTGAAGTCGTAGCTGGGATGAGTTAGAGTTGTCGGGAATTAGTCAGTGCCTTTCTTTGTCCTGTGCAACATCGAGCCCGCTTCCCATCTAGAACCTTCTCCCCCCCCCCCCCAAGCCCAAGGGACTGCCCTCCGCTTTTCGACCGACCCCTGCGTCACTCAGGCCCGACTCCGAGGGACAAACCACCGACCCTGCCACCACCCCATCTGTGGCACTTTATCTCCGAACACTTGCACGGTGATGGTGAAGGACTGAATCCTCCATAGGGATCGGTGTGCTGGCGTGCCCCTCAGTTGACCGACCCTAACTTGAGCAATCCAAATCCATCACAGAGGCCCCAAAGTTCTGCGAAACCCCCGAGCTCCGTCATTGCCCCATTCTGCTCCCCCAAGTCCGGTCGGTCCTGGGCCTCCTCGGGCGGTCATGGTTTGATACAGAAAAGACCCCTTGTACAGCTGAGGTCCGCACCGGAGCCTGCCTGCGTTGCGCGCCCGCAAGATCCCAGGCCTTTTTCTCGGACTCCTCCTTGAGATCCGAGTTAAACCGTTGCGGCGACAGCAGCCGCACTGGGGGGTGGGACGCACATGCATCCCGCTGGCACGCGGCCTGGTTGCACAGGAGGCGATATCCGGAAAGTGATGGACATTGGGCTCACGTATTTGGCCATCTCCTCACCGCTACCTTTCGCATGCGCAGGGAAATCCTACGATAGAATTAGACAAGAGAAATTGACGACCGCACGTCAACATAATGATTGGCTCCGACGGTGGGCGAGGTGTTGTCGCCATCCAATCGACCTGGCCAGCACAGAGTTTGCAGCCTTCACAACGGCTCCTCCGCCTCGTCCAACTATGCAACATGACATTATGATCCAAAGAAAATGGCAACAACATCGGATCCTTATGCTTGGCCTCATCACCCCCCCCCCCCCTTCGTAGCCCCCAACTCCTCCCAAAAAAAAACAAAGCCTCTCTAGTTACGCAACCCTCAACAGGTCCTTCTCCAGCTCAACAAAACAAAGGTCCTCAGGTAGGCTGAGGGCAGGGAACCGCCCGCGCGGGAACGCGGAGGTCTCCCCTGTCCTCTCAAACCCGCACCGCTCGTACCACGAGATGAGCTCCCCCCGTGTCGAGAGCGCGTTAAGCCCCAGCCTTGTCACACCCCACTCCTTCCGGCAGTAGTCCTCGGCGCGCCCGAGCACCTTGCGCCCGAGCCCGCTGCGCTGCCGGGCGTCGTCCACCGCGAGCATGGAGAGCCGCGCCAGATCGCCGCCGCCGTTGTTGTTGTTCTTGTTCTTGTTGTCGGCAGAGATGCCAGCGGTGCTGGTGGTGCGCCGCCTCACGCACTCGACCGAGGCCACTATCGCGCCGTCGGCGGGGTCCGTGGCCACGAGGACGGCGCAGTCGGGCTTGTGCATGTTGGCGAGGACCTCGTCGACGCTGATGTGGAACTGTGATGCGAGTTCTGTGCTCCCCGTCCAGTTTGCTCTTGGGTCTTCAGTGCGGAATGATGACTGGATCAGGTTTTGGATCTGGACTGCATCGTCTGGGGTGGCGATGCGGAATTGGAGGCTTTTATCACTCATATTTGACGAGGCGTTGATGTGCTGTTCTGCGCGGTTGATGGGTATGGGGCATTTTGCAGCAGACTATTAGGAGGGCATCACTGGGCACTTAAATACCTCAAAGTATTGGACCACAGCCTTCGAGAGTCACCTGAGGTTTGGGTAAGAACAGGAAATAGAAGGGCGTTCTCGACACGGTACGGTGTGGGCTACCCGAAGGAAGGGCGTAATTGACACAATATCGACAGAAATAAAAAGGATGTAGCCTAGAACGTCCATGTTGTGGAGACTCAACACCAGGATGTTTCCTATGGGGTTTTCGGTCCAACAATCGCGTTTCAAGGTTGTGGTTTCTGTAATTTTCAATCACACGCAGCAGTCCAACTCAGCATGGCCAACTTAGAACCTTGCCAGTGGCCATCCAATTCATACCTTCGGGTATATTGAGCAATGCACCGAACTTGTACACAGTGGAGGGTGATTCGGATTTCAGCAGCGCGACTAGCGCATATATCAAGTGAATGCATCTCATGCCGAAACGCTCATACCTGGGTAGAGTTACTGGAAAATGACAGCAGTCAATGCCCTATAGTCAAAGATCCTTCTTTCTTTCTTTCGACGGGCTGATTGCCTGAAATTTCAGAGTCTGTTCTGATCGCATTAAGTAACTTGGAATAATTCCATTTAAGGCGAGACTTTAACTGAATCTTTTCATTTTTAGAATGCTTGTAGTCGGCACGAAATGGTGCAAAGGGGTAACATGGGTGAAGCTATCAAGTCTGAGAAGGTTCCTATCCTATCTATTAGAAGGCTGTGGTTGATGTCAGGGCAGGTTAAAGGTCCATCGAATCCGTAACTTACCTTAACTTGCCTTTCGATAGTGCAATCATTCAAGAGCGCGTCATCCACCGTAAACGGAAAGCAATAGTGAACTCAACAAAGATACATATGGGGTTGCCGACAAAGACTGTTCACGCGCTCCACTTCTGTACCTCCCTCTTCTTTATGTCCCGCGTTCTGTTCAATAACGGCGAACGTCATGCGCTAGTACTAGAGCAGCTGCCAGCTATTTCACAAAGTATCTCTATTTTCAATAAGTAGACAGGGCGAGGGGGCGTTTTCGACAACGCTGTATTTGATTTGGAAACTTCCTATCCGCGGAAGGCACAACTCTCAACGCAACTCAAACCAACGAACACACACCCGTAATCATGTCTGATTGGACTACCCTCCATCTCAAAGCATTATCGCTCTGGGCCGTTCGACTTGGCCTGGGCGTCTCGTTTGCCGCATACATCAATGGAGATTTTGACCCCACGGACGACAACCTTGCGGCTTTCATAATCACCACCATGCTCTTTCTCGCAACCGTCATCCCAGCGAAATACTACGACAGGCTTAAAATTTATCTCAAGCCCGCCGCAAGGTTCTTCGGAGCATGGCTCTTCTTGAGCTTCATCGCTTTCTCCTCAGCGGTAGCAGGCTTCGTGATCACAGCCAAAACCGTCCCCAGCCTGGCCAGCATTTTCGGGGTCTCGCAAATTTTCATCGCGGCGTTCGTTTTCACTATCGTCGCGGCGATTGCCTATCCGGCCCTCCCCGAACGCCTTGAGACGTTTCGGCGCACAGGACCGCGCCGGCCAGGTAACACACCCGATGTGAACAAGAGTGAGCCTGAAGTGGATGCACCTCCGATCGTCCCCCGTGCGTCATAGTTTTCTTCTATTCGGGAGCGTAGGTTTTGAGGGAGAGCTAATTAATATCATTGAGAAGCGCCGGAGAGGTCATAGGGCCAATGTACCACGATTTTGGAGCTGGGGTCGGCCTAGTCATGAGTGTCACGGCCACACCTGGTCAGCTATCAGTCGATGACTTGAGCACTTTTACGTATGGAAATTTAAAGATGACATAGGAATCATGGACTCGATTTTCAACGTTGCTGTCTCTGGTCGTCGAGGCGTTGAGATCACCATTTGAGAAATCCAGACATGCGCGTTACCGAAGCAGTGGCATATTTGCAGATAACCGGGGCAAGTCTTTGAAGCGGCACTCGAATTTTGGGCTAGTTACAGAGTGAAGCCTTTATCAGTGACAAACAGAAACAGGATATTTTACGGTGTGGAAATCAGACTATATTCATTCATAGTACTCAAAGAGTGATCGGGGCGATTTTGTCAAATAGATCTTTTTCAATAATTTGCGCTCCACCTTACTTCATGCCTTCTGTTGTGGTTTCCATCGAATGTAACATCGATTTTCTTGCATTGTATTCGCTGGTACGGTAACATTATGGGTGCTCCGGGACCCGGGCAGTCTGTTTTCTGTTTTCTTTCTTTTCTTTTTTTTCGTCGTTTTTTTTCTTCCGTTCTGATGCTTGAAATCAATGCACGATTCTATCGTATTTATATCTCCCATTTCAGCATGTCTTCACACGGCTCATTCGGTCCATCATTGATATGGTTCCAATACTCCCAGGTTCTGTATGTGCCGCCCTGGTTCCCTCTATACTGCTTCTCGGCGTACTCCTCCTCGCTCTTCACGATATAGTGGTGCAGCACAACTCTGTCTCTAACGGGAGGTCGGTGCCACCAATGGGGTAGAACATCTCCGTTCTCTACCACGGTGACCGAGCCATTCAGAGTGTTGAAGTCGTGTGGCGAATCTCGATTCTTGTTGTACAGCGCTGGCTTCACCATGCTCTTGATATGCTCGTTATCGACCCCGTACTCCTCGTCGTCGATGCCTTCTGGACTTCTGTCGCTCATACACTCTGTATAGGCGCGGCGTGTTGAGGTTTGACGGTGTATGTGCCCATTTGATGTGTGCATCCACCACATCAAACCGAATGCTCCTACTGTCGGGTCATCAAGGAACGGCTGTAGGATTTCTTGAAGAGTCTCGTCTGTCATGAGGCCTATGTATTCGTCCACATCAACGTAAGCGATCCAGTCATGGAGTTCACCCCATCGTCGGTTGCATTCGTCATTTAGAAATTCTTGCATCATTCCACCGTGTGCCTGTCGCTCCCCCTCATTGAAATGTGTGAACGTAATCGCTGAGGAAGGGATACCGTAATACCCATCGATGTCGTAGGTAGAGAGTGGGGGGTGCGAGACGTCGTCCATGATGTAAAAGTGCTTGATGCCAATGTTGTAGTAGTGGTGTATGAACCACTCCGGCATATCTCTGTGCTGGTCTCGGACAGATGAACAGAACGCGATGCTCATGTTCGTCTCTGGTGGGCTAAGAAGCTTTGTTGACTTCGTCTTCCCAGTTGTCGGTGATAATATCGTAGAGGACGAGTTTGGGGGGACCAAGCACTTCATGCGATCGTAGTACTCGTAGAAGGCATCGGTGCTAGAGTGCACGAACAATCCGCTGAAGAAGACCAAATGGATGATAACAAGGACAGCGGCTACAACCGCGACGTGTCGTAACGTCACAGGAGCCTGGAAAAGCATGGTTTAGTAAGACGTGGTAGAGTAAGAAAAGGTTCCCGTCTTGGACGTCGGCAGCCTCTGGCCAAGCACCATCACTCATGCAGTCTTTCTGCAGATTATATCACTCTTGTCCCTAGTCTGCTGTGCAATGCACTGGCATAATCCGAGCTTTTGCTGTTTCATATTGGTGAGACAATCTTCACAACGGCCGATCCATAGAAGCAGGGAGAGACAGCCGTTGAACCGTTGAGCCGTTGAGTCGGTCTCGATTGCCCGTAGTCTTCTCCCTTGCTAGCCATAGGGTTGAGAATCGCCACCTCTTTCTGTCAATGCCCGTCCTGACAGCCTAATCAGTCAATTCTATATAGCCAACCTTGCAGTGATGAGTTCTCTGAATTCTAGTCAGATGGGTAATGAAAGTTACCTTTCCTTGGAGACATTGACATAAATTAATGGCAAACCCATGTAATCTGTACTGGAGACCCCCACTGATCACAATTTGATGACTACCGAAGTCATGGAATGCTGCTAACAATAGCCGAGTCACGAATGAAACTGTCTCAGTCTTGATTGTGCCTGTGAAGATTTTAGTATCTCCCGATGTGGATCCTCTATATTACTCTCTTGCCCTTGATCACAGTCGTCCACCTGGGCATGTCTACCTTACCCAAATCTGGCGCGAAGCCTGCTGCGATAAGCTATGGATCTTTAGGCACATCGAATCACCGATAGTATTCGCAGTGCAGAACAACGAGTCTATGATATTCTACATAGAGACTGGAGATTCAACGCTGGACTTTGGTTTTTTGCACCAACCAGACACTCAGCAAGCTCACTTTTACCACACTGAAATACTTTGAAAACGGAGTCTGGTCAATCCACGAAGAGATTTGGGGGCATCTGGAGACTTCCTTCAAAACATGACGGAATTCAAACACCTAAGAGAGACATGAAAAGGACTACTCAACAGTACGGTAACAGGTCAACACTCGAAATTTAGAGCTACTAGTTGCGGTTTGATAGACGGACAGTCGAAGTGGGTATTTGTTAGAAGGGGAAGTGGCATTTTACAACCACCATACTGAAGGCAAGCAATCAATCAAAGCGGTTCAGGACATATGACTGGCGTTCATAATATAAAATCACATGTGCGGGTTCTTATCATGTGTTCTTCTTCCACCACACCCCATAGACAAACGTTCACAATCTTGCAAGTGGGCCGTCTCGTGAGACGACTCCAAGTGAAGCAGGAGTAATGTCAGATACACTATTGCAGCCACATAGTTGCATGCATCTCTTGAACTCTTCATAGAGAATATCAAGAGTCTTAGTGACTCCTGCTTCTCCGTTGTACTGTAGTGATTCCCGGGTTAGTAACCCCGGCCCACCCGGGAATAAGGTCAATCAGTGTCACTCACCGCGAGGCCCCAGATAATCGGCCGGCCGATCCATACGCACTTAGCCCCAAGAGCCAGCGCCTTGAAAATATCCGACCCGTTTCGAATCCCACCATCAATATGAACATCGATCTTGCCATTGGCAGCCTTGACGCATTCATGGAGGACGTCGATGGTAGCTGGCGTCTGGTCAAGCTGCCTACCTCCATGGTTACTAACAATGACACCGTCACAGCCATACTGTAAGTCGGTGGACCGGTCTGCGCACATCCCCACCAACGCACACACATTTCCCACCAAAAAGGTCGATTTTTAATATACTTTATTTAACTCTATAAAAATCTTATAATAATAAATTTAATATTATTAAATACTAAATTTCTTACTTATAATAGGAAAAAATTTAGATAATTAATAAATATTATTATAAGTTTAATATAAATTATTAAACTTTAATATTTTCTTTCTTAACTAAATAACTAATAATTAGTTAAGAAATTAATTAAAATATTAAATTTTAATTTTTACTTTAATTAAATAATAATAATTAATAAACTTTATTATAATAATATATATTATTATAATATTTAATTATATTTTAAAGTTTTTATTTATAGAAATTTATTAGAATTAATTATTAAAGATTTAAGAAAAATAGAGTAAAAAAGTAGGGGGATTTACTCCACTTTTCTTAAATCTTTAATAATTAATTATAAAAGTTAATTATATATAAAAACTTTTTAAATTTCTATAAATATATAAATTATTACTTATTTTATTTTAATTTTTAAAAAGTAAGAAATAAGGGAGCTAATATCTATATATCTAATAAGTTAGTCTATATATTTAGTAATTTCTTTCTATATATTTAATACCTACTTTTTTTAGTAACTCCCTTATATTTATAAGTACTTTTTAACTTAATATTAAGTAACTCTATAATATAAGCCTTTTCTCTAATTTTTAATACTTTAAGTATAAGCCCTTTTTAGTACCCCTTTTAGGACTCTTTACCTTTATCTTTTAGGACCCTTTACCTTTACCTTTTAATTTATATACCTTTAGGTATGTTTAGGTACTAATTAAGTATTTAGATGCTAACTGAACGTTAGAAGGTTAGAAGTCTAGAGGGTAAAGGTAAAGACTACACTCTTTCTAGCCTTCTAGTACCCCTTTTAGCCTTCTAGCCCTCTAGACTTCTAGCCTTCTAGCGTTTAGTTAATATCTGAATGCTTAGTTGGTACCTAAATGTACCTAAAGGTGTATAGGCTAGAAGGGGTGTTAAAAGGTAAAGGTAAAGGCGAAGGGTCCCAGAAGGCAAAGGCGAAGGGTCCTAAAAGGGGTGCTAAAAGGGGCTTGTACCTAAAGTATTAAAAATTTAGAGAATTCTAGTTAGATATATAGTTTTATATAGGCTATATATATAAAAAGAGGTATTAAGTGTGTGGAAATAAAACGCTGGGTGTGTGGACTGACTTGCTGGGTGTGTGGACGCTGGCTTGAAATAAGGTGTAAAATTAATACTTTTTAATCTATCTTAAATTTTTATTTCTTTACTAATAATAGAATTTAAATAAAATAATAAAACTTTTAATATACGTCTCTATTATAATTTATAATGTATATAAATTTTCCTTTTATTTTTAAGATTTATATAGAATTAATAACTAATATTTTAAAAAGGTGAGTTTTGGTGAGAAATAGTGATTTTGAGGGGGGGTTGTGCGTGGATAGGTACACTGACTTACCGCAAGTTGCACATCTTCTCCCGTCAAGACACCTTTGATCCAGATCTGCAACTTGGTGACACTCCGCAGCCAGGGGATCTCGCGCGCCCAGGAGTGCGAGTCCGAGTTGAAAGACATAAACCCCTCGTCGTGTGTCTGGGCACGTATAGCCTCCGTGGTCTTCTCGGCCATGGGAAATGCGAGACCCTCCGGAGCTCTAAAGTCGTTTCTGGCTTCATTGTATCTTACACCCAGCACCGGACTGTCTGCTGTCAAGAAGATAGCAACACAGCCAGCTTTCTCGGCGCGCCGGATGATACGCAGCTGGGCCGAGCGATCCTGCATCGTGTAAAGCTGCATTACGTGCTGCAGCGGCCCGACACCGAGCCCGGCTGCCCGAACCTCCTCGACGGAATAGTTGGAGTAGGTCGAGACGCCCATGTGGACACCCCGTTTCGCGCAAGCCCGACTCGTAGCAAGCTCGCCGTCGGGGTGTGCCATCGCCTGTATCCCGGCAGGCGATGCGCACAGGGGGAACGGAATCTTCTGGCCGAATACTGACGTGGAGGTGTCTGCCTTGGAGACGTCAACTAGGACTCGGGGACGTAGTCGATATTTGGAGTAAGCTGTCGTGTTTTCCAACACTGTGACTTGATCGGCTGAGCCAGCTTCGAAGAATTCTGCGAGAACGACAGATCCGTCAGGAAACGTAATTCTTAAAAAGCCCGCCTGGGAGTGCTCACCTCACCTCTAGCAATAGTCGGCAGCTTTTCCACCGCTGCCATCTTAACGTCGGCTAGGTTGAGGACCAACCGTTGCTTGGTGTCGACAGACATTGTAATAGAGTACTTGAGGCGGAAGTGCTCGGGTGTGCAGCTACTATGCTATTCGTTGAGAATAGTTTTATCTCCTCGCTGTCGCAAGACTCCCGGGGACGTCATATGTTTGCCAGTGGATTAATCTTGGAGACCTTACGTATCTGCCACCACGTCCGAATGGAGAATAGCGCGAGAACTCCGTGCATCAATGACTTGCCCTTTCTTACGTGGCCGGCATGGCTTGTCGGCAGCATTGGGTTGACTAAGAAATGTTGACTAACACCACAAACACCCTACCAGCGAGGTCCAGATGTCTGTTCAAGTGAAAGCACCCAGATTTTGGGATAGATAAGCCGGACTCAAGATGAGAGACGCGAATATTAGGTGAAATGTTTCCAAGCGATGGCAAGCATTTCACTCGCATTTCAGCTCGCTGTCTTGGACTTTTCCCTAACCGCCATGTCAGGCAGGCAGTCTTCTCTCCCGCTTCACACCCACCCCTGCCGCTCTTCCAAGGTATTCCCAAGCTGTCGCCTTTGCTCATTTGGTATTCTGTTCTAGAAGGTCGCGATAGACTCTAGAATGAGTGCTCTTAGGCATGGATCTTTTTCTGATAGAACGGTTTGTAGCCAGACGCAACCATATGTTTCGCTTATTATGCTCATTTAAACACCAGTATTCACAAAATAATTATGCTTAATTTGAGTAAAGTGCTTGCCACAGCTGGTTCGGGTTTTGACCATATTCTCAAAGTCACTATTGACTTATAAACCTTGAAGATTTTGGTGAGGTAAATGAGGCCTATACTTCTTTCTTTCCAGAGATGAAGTCGCTAAGTACCCTTGAATAACGGCCTATGGGATCCCTGGCTTTGATAATCTCGCCTATAGGCGGGGACTTTTATTGAAACCGCTCGTTTGCTCTCGGTGTTGATATTGACATCGAGTGCACCGCGAATAAGCAGGCGTCCATGAAGAGCTGCTTATATGTATAGTCGCCCTCGAACACAGATGAGGCAACCCGCGTACAATTGCTTTTTGGACAATTTGTATCTAGTGGGTTGTTCAAAGGAATGGGTTGTGTTCCGTATAATGCATTCTTGCCAGCAATCTGTAGCACGGTTGTTACTCGGCTCCCAGTTGGATTACAGCTGGAGAGCATGGCGGATCCGTAGATGCACCCGCTTTCTGCAGAACGGATCAAGCCTCTATATTGTCCCTGGCTGAATTCAATTGTGGCAAAACTTTGACTTCAGGTTACTGTATCGCAACATTGAACGTTTCTATTGAAGCTTTATATCTAATCCAAACTAACAACCGACTCGGCTCGAGCTGACGACAACATCATCGTACCAAAACGTGTTAGTATCACCGCCATAAGACTCCCAACCGAAGTAGACAGCGGTGATCTTGGGCTTAATCGTACTCCTTTGCCACTGAGCCGCGTTTGGGTTGGTGACGCCCGGCTTCACTGTAAGACCAGCAACGGTGTTGTTGTTGAGCCAAGTCTCGATGCTGCCGTCAGTGCCCAAGTGGTACTCGAAGCACTGCCAGCTGCCCGTTGGCAAGGCTGCGGATGTGGCAATGCCCTGTGGTGAGAGGTCTGGGAGTGTGGCGTCGTCGGTCTCGCGGTTGTACATCAGGATCTTGCTCTGGCCACCGATGCGGAGATGCTTGTTCGTCCCTTGGGCTGAGTCGGGCATGGTGATGAAGGAGACGTGGGAGTCTGTCAGAGCCTTTGATGCCTTACTGCATGTGGAAGAAAGCATTAGTCTTGAGGCCAATGTATTATTGCAATTTTCTTTTCTTGAGAACTTACACATAAGACCTGACGTAGACATCGCCGCTGGGCACTTTGGTGGTGCCGAAGAAGATGTGTCCACAGTAACCACCGGCACCATCAACCCTGATCGAGTTCTTGCCGCTGTGGGCGGTCGAGCTGTCCAAAGTGACTTTACCACCCTGATTGCAGTCTTGCGCGTATGTCGGCCATGCGGTCTGATCCCATCCGCTCTCGAAATCGTTGGAGGCTTGACCAAGTGCTAGTGGCACGAGAGCAAGTACGAAGACAGCGGCTTGGCGGAACATTATTGCAGGTGTGTGAGCGCGGATTTGGGCGAGGTACGTGAGGTCAGTGGAGCTTGGGGCACGGGTGGCATGAACAGTGAACCGAAGAATAGAAAAACAATATGCCCGGGCCAAGATATTTATTCGCCTTCAGCAGAGCTAGTTCCAGCCCGCTCCCTCCGTTGTTGCAGCCGGACCGGGTGTATCGTCGCCTGCCGCCCTGAGCAGACTAATTAACTATGTCCCATATTAATTCGGAGATTTCGGCCCATGCTTCCCACGGAGCCAGACGTTCCTTGGCCACTCAACGGGATCAACATGAAACGCAACCATCGGTACCGGGAAATTGATTGACAACATGCTTCCAAAAGAATGACGGACCCCTCATGAGCGGAAAAAAGCATCCTGGTCTGGGGTGTCCGTTGGTCGTGTGCACCCACATCAAAAGGGGTTTCGCCGCTCATTTAGCGCTCATAACAAGCTTTGCAGGCCAAGCAGGCGGCTTACCGGTTATTGATCCTACGGGAGTAGATTAGCGAGATTCACATCGGACCAGTCCACGGGAATAATTCAGATCATCATTTCTACTGGGCCCTTTTTAGGCATTTTGCAGATACGATAGCCGTGAGCAATGCTTACTGCAATTATTTCGAAGCGCCATACCATGGGACTATATATACCAAAGTATGTAGGTGCTGGGGCGTAGGTCCTGTTCACTTGATGCGCAAGGTCAAATCGAAGTGAATGCAGACAAAGCCGAGCAATCCCAATTCCACACTTGCAAGTTCTAGGGAGAACCCCGGGTTTGCAACGGCCACAACTACTGATAGTTTTGACTATCTCGTCTTGGGAGTTCCCGTTTGCGTTGAGACAATATATCCGCTATCTCGAATTCCTCCCAGAGACACAGGAATTTGCGTCCTCCTCGTAGAAACTGATTACCATCAGTTACCCCAAGTGGCCTTGGAGATCCTGACATGCATATCCCTCTGTCTCCAGAGCACAAAGGAATCTTCCTTGTATGGCATCGACGTATTGACGAGCTGGAAATCAAACTCCCTCAAGAGCTATGAACAGTCGTCTCGTTAGAGGCTATTTGACCGGGCAAATCGGCGGGAAACTCACCTCGAAGTATATCTTGTACAGCTCAGTATAGGCCACGAGCTTACCGGCGCACATCCACCGGCCTCCCCCGAAGTGGATGTCAACTGTCCGGTCCATTTGCTGTCTCTGGGCGTCACTGCACTCGAGCCAGCGCTCCGGCCGGAATATCCCCACGTCTTCCCCGAAAATTTCCTTTCGTCTCATCATCGAGAACGAGTTGTGCCCGACAGCCGTCCCCTCGGGGATGAACAGGCCATTGAGGGTGTCGCCGCCTGGAGGAACAACCTTGTAGTGGCCGTATGGCGCCGGTGGACGCATCCTGATTCCTTCAGAGAGGACGGCCTAGATATTTGTGAGCATATTTCATCGGTATCCACTACTGATCCCGTCGGCAAAACTGCTTCTTACCTGCAGGTATGGTAGCTTTTTCGCCTCCTCCACGGTTATGGGTGATGATGCTACACCGGCCTGGATTGCCTCATTGATGTGTGACTTGAGCTTCTGGTAGACCCGAGGGGTTGTCATTAGAAAGCACATGGTACTCCTGATGACTGTTGAGCTGGTCTCCGCGCCGGCAATTAGTTGAAGCGGCACTTCGTCTATGGCAGGCCCCTTTTCTATCCCGTGGCGCATGAAGGATCCCTGGTTTCTTTGTTAACCTTACACGGCCCAAAGATTTGTGCTAAAGTTGCACAGTTGAAATATCAGGAGCAAAAGGAGAAGGAAAACAGTCTGCTAGAGGGGAAAGTAGCACTTGGGGCACGTACCAGCATGTCTCCGTGGTTCACCTCGCCGCTTTCGTACCGCTTCTCAATTATGTCTCGGGCGATCCTATGGCAAGCTCTGTCAGATCAATTCTCAAGTTGGCTTGTTCAAAAATTCCAGAGAGCACGCACCCCATCAAACGACCCAAGCCTGATTTGTCGGAGAAATTGGGTCTCAAGAAATAGTTGACCGCGGGAAAGTTGACAATTTTCCGCATGGTAGGGAGTTCTGAGACAACACCAGTCACATTGAGCAGCTGGTCCAGGGATTTTGTATAGTTGTACAAGTCGCCCTCGGCATCCAAGAAGCCAAACGACTCGCCGTAAGCCAGGTCGGTGATGATGTCCAGAGTGAAGTAATAGGACAAACGCGCGAGGTCGACAGATTTGGCTTGGTCGCCTTCGCAAACGTATCTTTGGCGTATGACATCCTTCATGTGCATGATCTTTGCCTCGACCCTCCTCTCCATGTCCATGTTGTCTCGACCGCCGTAAGCGGCAGACATCTTGGCTTTGACCTTATCATGGGGTCCTATTTCCAGAATGGTTGCGAGATTGGAATGTCCTGGCGTCAGGCTCAAGCTTTCCCACCACTCATCCCTGTTGTATTCGCTTCTGGCAGACGCTATTTGGCGGAGAGTGTCCGGATCGTCTGTCAAAAGGTAGTTCGGACCCACTCTCACGAGACGCCCATGCTGTTGTAGGCCCAGCAAGGCTTCTGCGACGGTTCCACTCAGGACTTTCTTGACCATCCACAGTGAAGATATTGAAGCCAGGAACGGCCCGGGAACGTGAGAAAGGCGGTACCAATTTCTGAATGCAGAAACGAACCACCAAACAATAGCAACAGTGAATGCCAATGCAAGCGCCATGGTCTCGTGCGGGCCTAACAGCCCAGAGTATAACGATTGCATCGTTGACAGATAAAAGGGCTCAAGAGATCTTCGCGGTGATTCTGGGGTAGCCAAGTCTCAACTAAAAGACAAAATGAGACGGTGCCATTAGGTCCTGAAGTAGGAACAAGACTGGCGAGAGCAGGTGACCAGCTTCAACTTGAATCTGCAGAGGGTGTGAGCCTGTTCCTTAAATATCCTGGCAGGCGACCCTGATTCCACATCTCGCCGCGCCGGCAGGAGGCTAAAGTGATAACTAGATGATAGCAACATCATACCTGTTTGTTGCCCCGATATTTCCACCAAGACACGGCTAGAGCGGCTGGCTGACCATGAACGCTACCCACTTGCAGCTGGGTCAAAAACAAATATCAACAATAATAGGTGGGTCGAGTGCCCACATTTTGCGGGAGAGGTAGTACCGCATATGCAAGGAGGCGGGGAGGAGGGGGTCGTGTCCGTTCTGTCACACGAGTTGATGTCAAATACAATTGGGCAGCTTTGCAATTGGCTTTGTAGTGCAGGGTTGCCTCTCTAAACTTTGAGAATTTTACTGTGAGGTAGTGACTTGTCGCTTTATTCTAGTGCTTACTATTCTCATGGCTGTTCCGAATCGGATGTAGACGACGAGCTGGATTCAAGTGTTAAGAGTCGTGATCAACCCGACGTCTCATCATTTCTTGTTGCTTTATCACTTAAACACAAACCCCAGTGCAACCTCACACTCAGCAGATGAAGTCGACAAAATGTTTGCCTAGAATTTACTCGCCTGCATCTTCAACATCGGGAATGAATCTCGTTGCACATGCCAAACCTGCAATCATGACAACAAGTAGCTTGCAGATCGCCATGCGTAACATGCAGTCTAGCACGCTACTGCAAGTAAGCAGTCCATGGGTGGCGGATGGCAAGCTCCTAGACCAACCATCATGCATCTCCAACCTACTCAAGATTTCACAAGGCTCGGCACAACTTTGAACCTACTGTGACATGAACTTCCTTCCATTGAAGGCTGCTACCTCCAAAGTCTGTGCTACGAATCCACTCAACCGGGCCAGCACATGTGTTGCTTGCAGTACACCGCCGCTGTGAGGAGACCCCTGAGAGACGTCATAATCATCCAACACATGTTACACGAGATGTTGCTCAGTTTGAACTTGTTCTTTTGTACAGACACTACCTAGGTATATAACTACAATGAATCACAGGACTTGCTCTCTACAGACCGTTTCCGTTGTTAATAAGCCTGTTAGGCGACCCTTTCGGGTCCGTCAGCACGCCATCAAGCGCAAGCTCAATCAGCCTGGCCTTGATTGAATCAGGTGTCCCGAGTCCGGTCTCAATGGACCGCAAGTAGCAGACAAGCCCCGCAGTGATTGGGGTCGCCATGCTGGTGCCCGTTTTCGACACGAAGCCGGTGTCCGATCGGAAATCCGCGGACAAAATATCCATCCCTGGGGCGAAGACGTCCAGCTCAGGGCCGTAATTGCTGCCGAAGGCGCCTTCAATGACTAGCACTCGCCTCCGGGCCGAATCACTCATGCCGACTGTGATGATCTCTGGAACACGCGCCGGTGCGTGCTCGGAAGCAGGGCCCTGGCAGTAAAATCTTGTGAGCCGCTTGTTCGTATCTGTGGCGCGGTGAGAAGTGACTTACATCGTTGTTTCCTGCAGCTGCGAGAACAGTGATACCTTCGTTGTAGAGAGCAAGAGCGGCATCATCTAAAGTCGTATCGGTCCCCCAGCCAGCTAAGTGGATTGTCAGAGTCCTGTGTGATCATCGCCGCCTGAGGAAAGGAGGTAAGCAGGGTACTCACAAAGGGACATGTTGATGACCGAAGTGGCCTTTGCTCCCTTCGCAGTTATGTCTTTGAGAGCCCAGTCCATACCTGCCAATACCTGGGAGGTTGATCCCTATAGCTTAACTTTAGTAAGGCGTTTGGATTATTGGTCAGGTCTCGAGCTGTTGCACCTACACCGCCGTTCCTGAAGACCTTCACATCGACCACGGTCGCTTTCTTGGCCACGCCGTTGACCTTGCCCACAATGGACCCAGCAACGTGAGTGCCGTGAGAATCATCGTCCGAGTTAGTGCCCGTCTGTTCCGCAGAACCCGTCACGGCGTTGAATCCCCAGAGGGCGCGTGTGCCCTCAAACTCAGTATGCGTCAGACGAATGCCCGTATCCAGGACGTAAGCCGTCTGTCCCTCGCCCGCACGTTCATCATAGACATATTCAGTGGACCCATTGAGCTTATGCGAGAGGTCGCCAAGCGCCCAGATCGCATCTGTTTGTGTGGTAAGGGCACGCTTGCTGCTGGTGTCAACGTCGGTCTTCTCGACGTAGATGTACTCGTCGGGCACGACGCTCAGAACCTCAGGAAGGCTTGCGATGGTGCTGGCTGTCTCAGCGTCGAAGTCCCCAGAGTACGCGTTGAAGTCGCCAATCTGGTACGTCTCCTTGATGCTCTCGTCACGCCGGGCCAGTAGGCCGCGCACGCGCAGCTGATGGGCGGACACCGACTCGGGAGACGAGCCTGGCTTCAGCCGGACGATGAATTTGCCCGGGATCACCTCATTCTGGCGGCGGACTGGCTCTGTTGGTGCAGCCAGCAAGGGCAATGCGCCAGCGAGGAAGCTGATGAGAGTAGGGGCCTTCATCTTGTCTGGGAAGGGTCGCAGGTTGATCGGCGATGATAGCTGTGGCTACATGGACTGTTTGTGTCTTCGGGATGGCCACAATAGTTCATATACATACTTGAGTATACGCGGCCCATACCGCTGTCCTCGTATTTATCCATGCTCGCTTGTGAGCGCACTTATCAGTGCATAGATGCACCGTTGCTGTATTAAAATTATTCCCAGTGCGGCCCCATCCCGACGATGATCATAGGCTGGCGGCCAGGTGTGTTGGCCCGGATTGGTAAAGCAACTCTGGGCGTTCAGCGTCTTAACGCGCGAAGATGCATTTGCTCCCTGCCTATAGCTACCACCTTCCCAGTCTGGGCGCTAAGCTCCGGTATTCGCGCTTGGCTTTTGTCTGAACTGCCGCATTTGATCATTCACCATCGTATAGTGGTTCGACGTGCCGGTCTATTATCGACCATCCTGGGCTGGTGATGTTGTTTATAAATTCATCTTCAAGCGGGTGCCATGTGAATAATGGCTACAGATAAGCTTATTCAGAGTATTAACGAAGCTTCCGCTTTTCTTGTCATTCCCAGCCAACCACATTGTGTCGGATTGGCTATGTGAACACAGCAAAGGCATTTGCACTGCACAAGTTGAAACTCAGGGACATTTTGGTCACGATGAAGCTCACACGAGCTCCTGTTCTGAGCTTCACTTTGCTTCTGAGCAACACTGTTGCTGCGCAGAAGCCGCTGGTAGACTCTGCATCCTTCCAGGCAGATATTGTTTCAGACAAGTGAGTGAAATCTGGGTCACATTTCCCCTTTCAACCTCAGTAATTGCTTATACGAAAAGATGATAGCCTACAAGCGGATCTCGTGGCTTTCGACGAGATTGCAACCGCTAATGGGGGAAACCGAGCCTTCGGCTATCCTGGCTACGACGCGTCAGTGGACTTTGTCTGGAGCAAGATATCGCAGCTCGAGGGTGTGAAAGCCTGGAAACAGGACTTCCCCGCCGTTCTAAATCGCGACTCTAGAGCCAATCTCACCGTCAACGGGGTCCGGTACGAGGTCTTCCCGGTCTATACATCCCCATACACGCCAACGGGGGGGCTGACGGCCGATGTCGTGGTCGGACCTGCAGGCAGTGCAGGGTGCGAAATTGCTTCTTACGCCGACCTTGACGTGACTGACAAGATCGTCTTGGTCGAGGCTGGAGATTGTCCTGGTGTGCGCCCCGGATTCCTCGACGGCAAGGTAGTGCCAGCTGCGAGGTCTGGTGCTCTCGCGACCATCATCTACAACAATGTTCCCTCTCGTCAGACTTCTGCGGGGCTCTCGAGGTCGGATCCTAACGACATTCCCGCAGTGTTCATCAACAATGCCCCCGGACTGGAACTAAAAGGGAGGATCGAGGCTGGGGAAATTGTTAACGCCACGGTGTTGTCTGCAGAGATTACAGACACTAGAATCACCCAGAATGTCTTTGCTGAGACGATTGGCGGTGATCCTGACAACACCATTATTGTAAGTCACCCACACTTAGATGTAGATGCTTTTCTTTGGCTTGTCATACGCTGACATGCGATTTCCAGCTCGGAGCCCATCTTGACAGTGTTGTGTCTGGTCCTGGTATCAATGACAATGGTAATGCGAGCCCAGATTCCTCACTCCGGGATATTTTACTGACTTCCCCGCAGCATCCGGATCGAGCCTGTTGCTGGAGCTGGTGACGGCCCTGTCCAAGTACACAACGAAGAACCGGGTACGATTCGCCTGGTGGGGTGCCGAGGAACGAGGCCTACTCGGGTCAAGGTACTATGTCAACAACCTAGCAGCAGAAGAAATAGCCCGAATCCTGGCGTACCTCAACTTCGACATGGTATCCAAGGGCTACTTTGGGGTCTTCGACGGCGACGGTAGCACGCACGGCGCCGCTGGTCCGCCTGGATCTGATGCGATCGAGCAGCTTTTCGTGGATGACTTCACTTCCAAGGGTTTGGTGGTTACACCGGCCCAATTCACGAATGGAAGCGACTATGCGTCATTCTGGCAGATCCTGAACAAGCCCGTTGGTGGTCTTCACACTGGCACCGGAGTTGAACAGGACCCTTGCTACCACGCGCCCTGCGACGATATCAGGAACCCTAACATTACCACCTTGACGATTAACACGAAGGTCAGTGACTGAGAAAAGATTTCAGCTTTTTTTCATGTGACTAACCAACTTAAAACAACCTAGGCCGCAGCTCATGTTCTATCAGTCCTATCGACCACCTGGTGAAGAGATGTGCCGAAGAAGCCAGAGTGTTTCATGGGCAAAGTGGAGGGTCAAGTGAGAGGAAAACACAGGATTGAAAAGAATTTGGACTAATCAGAATGGAGTACTTTTAACTTACCCGGGTAAAACTTTTATATAACACTACACTACACTAACTACACTTCGTAATGCTGGACTTGAGGTAGCAGAAGAGGGACTACAGAGCAACCACCCGCGGCTCCGATGAACTCGGCTGTCAATATATCTGTCTACTATTGAGCCCAATGCCGTTCAACACATGTATCCATCCATAGGTAGCTTTTCGAACTATGCACGCCTAAACAACCGGATCACTCATCCCAAGTGCTTTGTCTGATAGCACCTACAAATTAACTCTGGAAAACGTTTCGGGTCCCACTTCTTCACCACACGTCATAAAATAGCCAGAAACTCTTGACCATGCCGCTCCATAACTGATTGGATAGGCCATATGTAATAATTGAAAATGAAGCGGTGGTCCTTACCCATCTGGCGGGCTAAGGAGATAGAGTCCTCCAGGTACTTGGAAACCTCCTCGCTCATGAACTCATCCTCCTTGGGCTGCTTGAATGCATACAAATCTCAACCGTGGCAAGAGGCCCATCTTTCGGATATCAACCCCCAGGACGTACTAGTAGTAGACCCAAGCTGGGAAGGGGCATTTTGGCCTGACGCCTCGAGCATGCCCACAGAAAGCCGTGAGGAGACGAGGGTTTACATGAGCCCCGACACCGTCTGGCACATCATGTCGACGGGGATGGAGGGGCAAGCGAATGGAAATGCGACGTGCGTGATTTGTACATCCCAAGTACAATGGTTTCTTCGAGCCACGAGCCTCGGGATAATGCTCCGAGTGCTGGCCGGATGATCAGCAAAGCAGCACGGCGCATGTGTTCACACGTGCATATCGTCGCTGACTCGCTTCTATATGCAGATATGAAGATTTCCCCAACAAGCATCTACGTATTTCGGTGTTTCTGATCACATATCCCCGCTGGTGTCTCTCTTCAGTAACGACTCGGATGACGCACTGAAGACGGAATGAAGAATCAACGTACCTGATTGCGGTCGAATTCTGTTGATACGTAATTCAAGCACGCACTCATACTCACTATTACAGCTGGTACATTTCACTCAGTGGCACAGGTTCAAACGAAAATCAAATTCCGGTTATATTACCAGCAGACTATTTCTGAGCAAACTAACAGCATGATCTTCCTGATATCTATCCTGCCGACTCAGCCGAACCAGCCGTTCTGAAAGTCGTAAACACAAAAGCAAGACACTGATTATGCTCAGATAATGTTAGTCATTAATCAATCCCGAAATTACCGCGATCTGGCTACAACATACCTAGGTACCTCGTTGCGAACTGTCCAAACTCAGGTGCTGCCCACACAGATGTTTATCGTCTGCTACGGGTCGACGTATCCGATTCCGAGCCGCTGGTTGAGAAACCACTTGAGGAGGAGGATCCAGACTCGGCGCCGGAGTCATAACCGGGCGATTTTCGTTTTTTGCAGGCATCACATTTCTCGGGAGACCGTTCGTCGCGGGTATCATCAGGAAGCGCCTTGCAGAGCCTGTTCTTCTTAACGCTCTCTGGGCAGGGGTCTGCTCGAGTATTGAAAATTTTTCCACATCGCTTTTTTTGTCCGCCTGCTCTTTTAGGAGGACGTATTCTAGGATAGGTCACGGATATGTACTTGCATATGTCGGAAGTCTTTGAAGTGAAGTGGTTGCGTGAGAGTAAGTGTTCTATGAAAATATAAAAAGAATATATAAAATAAAGGGCTTCGGCCATATTGTATTTAACTATTTAACTATTTATTATCTTTTTAACTTTTAAATTAATTATTACTTTATATTTTAATATAATGTTAATAATTATTTAATATATACTTTTAAATTTATCTATATATAAAGTTATTAGCTTCCCTTATAAAGCTCCCTCTTCTATTATATTCTTTATATATTATATAAAAGTAAATAAATCCTTAATAATAAAGTAATATATTTAAAAAAGATTTAACTCTTAAATATTTAAACTTTTATTTTTCTTATATAATATTTATTTAATATATAAGAAATAAACTTTATTTAATTTTTAAAAGATTTTAATCTTTTATAAAATTTATATAAAAGGTTTTTTAAATAGATTTACTATTATAATATTATTATTCTATTAACTATATATTTAAGATAGAGATTATATTAGTTTATTTAATAAGAGTTAATTTAAATAACTATTAAGTATATTAATAAGAAAGAGTTAGTTTATTAAGTTTTATATTATAAAATTCTTTTTATAAAAGTTATTCTAAGACTATTTTAATCTTATTATATTACTACTTTACTAACTTTAACTTTAATATTATAATAAATTAACTTTTAAGTTATTTATATTAATAATTTTAATATAATATTATTAATAATAATACTTTTTAACTTTATTTATATAATATAAGTTTAACTATATATTTATATATTATATTTTCTTTCTATTATTATTAATACTATATTTCTTTAAATATTAAGTTTTAAGTGTTTATTATTATATAAAGGTGCTATATATATTTTATATATATGGGGATTAAAAAATGAAACCACTATATTGAGACGGTCCTCGCGACCTATAGCAAAAGAAGGCTCAAATTATCTGTGAAGAATTGTTGATTTAAAACTAGAGTTACCTAAGGAATAGTATGGGGGAGGTAGCGAAGCTGCAATTCCACGTTGCGAGAGGTATGGAGGCCACTTGGGCTGATAAGATAAGCAGAGTGTACGGACCCACTGGTTGGTCCTGCGGGTGTTCAGCCCATGGCCCTGACATATATGAAATGAAGATGTAGTTGAGAGTAATGTGGTTTCGCTTCTATTCCGTATACGTCCAAGGACATACATGGCGCCTTCATACGGTGGTAAGCACTCAACTGCAATTTTCTCAGGGGCTTGACCAGTGGCATTTAAATTCGTAGCTCAGCAATTCATTCTACATATGTGGAAAGCTCGCCAACACCAAGAGTCTCGAAGGCAGTCTCTCCACGCTCTACTACGGCACAGCTTCGTGATCCTGAAATAGATGTACCGCTTTCGTTGTTGTTGGTGATGAGTTTTCAGATGGATACACGTTTCAGGCCAATGAGGCTGTCTTACGAGACTGTGGCACGATTGGCGAAATCCTGGTTGATCGTTCGTGGCCTTCGTTTTGAATGCATGTTGGTAAGAAGTCCGCCCCGCCGACAATAGCTCTGGTTGCATTTGAAATCCTTTCGCTCCGGGAAATGATGAATATTGGTGAGATCTTCAGGTCCACAGAGCTTGTAACCAGATACCAGGCCGAGGTCGGGCCCAGATCCGGCCAGGCTCTCGAGAAATGGCCGACCATGCTAGTCGTCTCAGGTCCGGCCACTTAATGGGTCCCGGCTCCTTCGTCGTGTACCCTGGTCGAACATTGAAGGCATTGGTCTGCGGGGCGCTTGAATCCTTTAAACCTGAAGTAACATTGACAACAGAACAGCCATTGAAGGAATAAATTTTGGTGCCAAAAAGAGCAGGCCCTTGTCTTTGCGTCCATTGGGAACTGAAGGCCCCGCAAGTAATCTGAACGTGAAAACCAACTTGCAGATTCGAGATTCAATATACGAGTTGATTGCAAACAAAGTTACTTGAACATTGCATGGGAGTAGCTATCCTCGAGCTTCATAGACAATTATTAACACATTCATTGTAAGTGACTGTTATCTAGGTAGGCCAGTCTCAGAAACTTTCCTAGGTCTGTCATAATCATTATGGCCGGTATCATTCCAGACATGCTACATATGTACTTTGGACCTTGCTTCGCGCCATTCAACATTGTCCTAAGTCTCAGCCTCGGCCGTCTGCGCGTTAGAGCCTTTCCCATCCTCTCGACCTTGATCGGGTCTCCAGTCGCCCTCGCCCTCGCCCTCGTCTCCATAATCCTTGCCATCATCGACGTCATCCTCGACGTCATCCTCGACGTTGTTGTCGGCATCCTTGACCCAAGGCTCTTCGACGCGTCTGCCCAGGGCCATATTGTAGAGCGGTGGATTCTCAGAGTCGGAAAAGTATGGTCGCGGTCCTTTGTCCAATTCCTGAAAGCCCTCATAGCGCGCACCAACATCCTCGTCCAATTTGGGGTCCCTGCGCGCAATGAGGACGTCGCCCCTCTTCGAGATCACATGGATTGGCCGCCGAGTGCTCCGGTCAATCGTATCGCGGGTTTCGCTGCTGCACTTCTCCAGGTAGAGATCGTAGCATATGTAGGAGTGATGGCGGCGTTCGCCGAGTGACACCATGTTCATAGACACCGTGAAATTGGCGGTCTCGGGGTCCAAACCTGCCCCGTTCAGTAGTCCCCGGCTGACCTCTTCGGCCTTCCTTCTCGCCCATGCGATAGATGGCACGGAGTGCCGGTCACGGTGCTTGTACTTGAGCATCAACAAACAGCGCAAATGGCCGTCCTGCTCCAACGCCGCAGTCGTTTTGGCGTCCCCAATTCTGACTTCCATCCGTGCTGCAGATTAGGACCTGACAAGATATTTCTCACTCCAGTGTTGAGGAAGTTGAGGCAGGGTATAGTTTGCCAGAGACAGGGCTGTGGAATACCAACTCTTATCTGGAACAAAACTTGGTTGTAGGCGCTGTAATACTAGCTTGGGTGACTTCGTTTGGGATCTTTGGGATCTAACCAACCGTGCATAACGTAAGTAATCGAGTGGCCGGCTGGGTGCTTATTTATAGGTAAGTTAAGAAGGATCGGCTTCGGCCATTTTATATTTTATATTTAACTATTTATCTATTTATTATCTTTTTAGCTTTTAAACTAACTATTAGTTTATACCTTAAGTATAAAGTTAATAATTACTTAATATATACCTTTAAATTTATTTATATATAAAGTTATTAACTTTCTTTATAAAGCTTTTTTTTTATTATATTCTTTATATATTATATAGAAATAAATAAATCTTTAATAATAAAATAATATATTTAAAAAAAAGATTTAATTTTTAAATATTTAAACTTTTACTTTCTTTATATAGTATTTATTTAATATATAATAAATAAACTTTATTTAATTTTTAAAAGTTTTAATCTTTTATAAAATTTATATAAAAGGCTTTTAAATAAGTTTATTATTATAATATTATTATTCTATTAATAGTTATATATTTAAAATAGGGACTATAGTCTAACTTACTTAGTAAGGGTAAATCTAAGTAGGTATTAAGTGTGTTAATAAGGAAGAGCTAACTTATTAAGTTTTATATTATAGGATTATAACTTCTTCTTATAGGGGCTATTTTAAGAGATTATTCTAGTCTTACTATATAACTACTTTATTAACTTTAACTTTAGTATTATAGTAGATTAGCCTTTAAGTTACTTATATCGATAATTTTAATATAGTATTATTAGAAGTAATATTTTTTAGTTTTATTTATATAATATAAAACTTAATTATATATTTATAAATATATTATATTTTCTTTCTATTATTATTAATATTATATTTTTTTAAATGTTGGGTTTTAAGTGTTTATTATTATATAAAGGCGCTATATACATTTTATATATATGGGGATTAAAAACGAAACCACTTAAGAAGGATCCTGGAAGCCGCGTGACAACTGTTGGTTGATGGGAGCCCCTGTCCCTGCCCTTGGACAGGGGTCTTTGCTTCCGTGAATGCGGACCGACCCATCATTTTTTCGGTGAAACACCTAGTACCTCTGTTTCCCAGTAATTCCCATACATTTACAAGTATCTTCTAAGTCAGCGCCAAGAACTTTCCACGCTATCTTTTCGTGGCCTTGTGGCCTTCTGGTGTTCAGTTGGCACCTAAACGGTCAGTTGGTATTTGAATGCGTGCAGGCCAGAAGGCCAGAAGGCCCAGAAGGGGCTGTGTCCCTTAAGTATCGAAAATTTGGAGAATCCTGATCAGATACATAGTTTTGTATGAGCTTGGAACCTAAAACTTTGTACTTGGTGGGGTAGGTGGACGCTGGCTCCATCAAGAAGCCTCATGTAGTACTTAATTAACGTTGGTCGCGACTCAAGATGCCTTCAGCCGGCCCATTTTGCAGGCCCTATTCTAATCCAGGAGCATATTCGTGGATGTTTGAGCCGCAAATTCCGCAGCACTCTATCTTGATTCTAGCATTATTTGGACCAATAAGGCTGATCTGCCTCATCAGCAAACATGTAACTACGCAACATTGGACATTAGGGTACTTATGAGGGCTGCATATCAACGAGCCTCACATCTCCGGGTCCATAGTCACGGAGCGCTCTGAAGGTAGAATTAGGCATCTTCGGAAATTCAGAATATTTTGTTAGTGAGAGCTCCAGTCACAATCGCAATCGGGGAAGCTATGGATGCATGTTTCAAGTCCTTTTCACAGCGTTCCTAAATTCAGTGATAATATCTTACAGCCGGATTCCAAGGAACTTGGGAATCATGCACCCCAGTAGCCTGTCTCACAGGGTTTAAATTCCGGGCTAAAGCCCTTAGCATCTACAAGCAACACAATACGATTATCTCACTGGAAAGGGCTGCCACATCATGTATGGGAGTAAGGAAAAACATCTGGCGATTTCCGCCCCACCCCTTATAGGGCCAGTCAATCCCGTGTTTCCATTCTGTGCATGCATTTTGTTTATGACTGACGGGTTCCTTACCCCTCCTCCCACCAAAACAATATTGCCTCCACACAATGGAGTAGCATCATATAAGATTATTTTTTTCATGAGCGGCTTAGGCTTGAACAAGAGTGAAACGGAGCTTTACACGCGCGTGAGAGTCCATGTATTACCTTCTTACACACGCACGCCGAAACGGATTGCCTGGCTCAGCTGAGCGGTTGCCGCCGTTGGACAAGGTACTCCCGAAGTGCGTGGGGGTGCGCATGTGGGGAAGTGGGGCAACAATACCGCGGCCAGCAGCGTTGCTTTAGGCCTATGTCCCGATAGGAATGCTATTCCCCCCACGGCTAGTATATGGGATCCTTTCCAGAACTTGGATGTAGAGAATTGAACGTGATTTGAATGATTCCATGTATAATTTTTCACGAGGAGCAATTCTGTAGTGAACACCAAGTGGCAGCGTTCTGAGTCCAGTACACGAACAACTACATAGGTACAACACCTAAAGTCTCCAGTATGACATCCATCGAAACTCCTAAGGACTTCTCCGGTCTCAAGGGAAAGACAGTACTTCTGACTGGTTGTGCATCTGGAATTGGCCGGGCAGTAGCTCAGGTCGCGTATGGTATGGGTCTATCTACACATTCTGGGTTGATCTTCCAGGGTTCCAAGTTGCAAGGTTACGCACATAATAGTGCCTTGACATTGGTTCGCCTGCTTGTGATCAAGTCCTTTTAGGATTTCGTTAACCATATCGCAGCAAACGGTGCGAATTTGGCGCTCGCCGACTGGAATGAGGACATGTCTCGAGACCTCATTGCCGAACTTGGAGGCAGTCAATGTGAAAGGTTTTTGCCTCCTCCCAAATGCTGAGCCCGGTATTCGAAACCTGTCCTGATTCCCACGCAGCCGAGTCTTGTATCACAAGGTAGACGTCTCCAATTGGGATGCCGTCAACGATTTTTTCACAGCGGCGGTTGAGAAGTTCGGAGTGATACACGCCGTGCTCTCCAACGCCGGCATGGTCGCCCACGAAAACCTCTTTGAAGACAACATAGACCCCGCCACGGGCAAGCTGATGGCCCCAAACCTTAAGAACTTGGAAGTCAACCTGATAGCGCACCTCTACATGGTCAAGTGCGCGGTCCATCATTTCGCAAAGCGGCCGGACGTGCGCAATCAGATCGTCATCACCGGCTCCGTGGCCAGTTTCATCGACACTCCCCCGCTCTACTTCTATGAGACCTCAAAGTCGGGTCTTCTCGGGCTTATGCGATGTCTTCGAACTCAACTAGCCTCAATTAAGACCACGGTAAATCTCGTAGCACCGTGGTTGACAGGTACATTCCTACCATCCTGTTGCACTTCGGAATGCCTCCCACACGTCTACATACTGTGTCGACTGACCTGAACCGGTGATTAGCTACCGGTATACCGCCGCCGCATATTGTCGAAGCATGGGGCAACGACCTCGCCACCAATACGCCAGAGGGGGTTGCAAAGGCACTATTATTGCCTGTTGTCGAGGAATCATTGAACGGGAAAACGTTATGGGTTGCTGGAAACGACATTGTAGAGGTTGAGGATAAGCTACATGAGACTCAGCCACTCTGGCTGGGTGAGGAGCTTAGCAAAAACGTGGATGAAGGCCAGCGTAGATTGATTTCGAAACGTGGCTTGTTTCCAGACCTTGCGTAGGCAAGTATTATAGCTACTGCCTGGTGGTCTTCATGAGTATGACTGATTCCTAGCTTTCCAGACTTTGGGTTGTATACTGTCGAGGGAACTTCAAGTACAGTGGAAATATCTCCTGCCTCGTGAGCTTCATGCCAACGTTTTAAATACACCGAGATCTTGGCAAATAGTATTCCTTATGTACTACTGAACATGTTGTACGTTGCATATGCAAGAATCATATGAGAGCTTAAATCACGTAACTGCTCCTAATTTCCTTGTTCTGCCGGGTATATTTTCTTTTCTCAGAGCAGTACACCATCCATCTTGGGCTACTTAACACGAGTCCTCCCCTCAACATTGCTCAGTGGTGAGCGGCATTGCCTATCCTCATGTGACAGGTTCCAAATTGCGCTCTTCGATTCTCAAGACAAATCCATGCTGATATGTAAACCAAAATGCCGTGATACGCCAGGGTCTTTCTATGTTAGTGACCTCGAAGTTCAACTGACGAACGAACTGCGCCAGGAGATTATGGATTTCGACCTGGTCAGAGAATCTTTAGAGACTGTTGATTTATAGCCCCGTAGTTCGATAGAATTTCACGGGTGGACGTAAATGCTGGGTGGGTGGACGTTGGCTCTCTTCATGTTTCGGTACTCAGATTGGTGAATGTAAGCCGTGTGCGAGTTCGTGTTTGCGGGGTGTGGGGGATCGGCTTTTGTCGGGTTCCTCTTCCACGTAGTATTCATGCATATCGCATACGTAGTGCCCACGTATGCGAGCTTAAATAGGGGATCTGCTTGTCCCCTCAATCCCCCACATAATTACACCGAGGGCACAAGGATGGTTTGCCGGATACTGCGCGGCTGCAAAGGACAAGACACGTAAGATAATTGCGAGTCGATAGTGGACTTAGCACTTCCCGTCGCAACTCTTCTGTTTTTCAGATCCAAATCTCGGCAATATGGTGCCAAATTCTCAAGCCCTTGCGGCTGTTACTGTGGTCATTTTGCTCTCGGCAGTAAAATGGATATTCGAGGCCTGGCGGTTCAACAAACGATATAGGTTCCCTCCGCAAATACCAGGAGTTCCGCTATTTGGCAACTCATTCCAGGTCCCTGAAAAACAGCAGGGCCCTTGGGCCAAAGAAATGGCCGACAAGTATGGCGAAATGTATGTGGACTGCATTGCAGTATCAAATAGACCGACCCATCCAGCAAATATGGACCGTGCCCTTTCTGTCATGCCTCTACTGACGCAATCGTGTTCTTGCGCTGCACATAGGTTCACCTGCAAGTTAGGCTCTAGCACCTGGGTCTTTCTAAACTCCTCCAGAGTTGTCAATGATCTTATGGAGCGTAGGGCCTCCATTTACTGCTCGCGGCCCCCTTTCCCGATGACCCAGGGAATCATGTCGGGCGACTCACGCATTGTTCTCATGCCGTACAATGAGCACTGGAGGACGATCCGCAGGATAATGCACAATATTCTCAGTGCTCGACAGCAGGATGTTTTCATGCCATTCCAAGACCTTGAATCGAAAGCCCTTCTCTGGGAATATCTGGAGGTTCCAACTCGCTGGTGGTCAGCAAATGGGCGCTTCGCAAACTCGGTCATCATCAGCCTGATTTTTGGTCGTCGATCCATGCTTGATGATCCTGATCTTATTGAGCTTTTTGAGACTCAGGACCTATTTCTGGAGAACCAGCAACCAGGTGTCAACATCGTCGATGCATTCACGATGCTTGATAAGCTGCCAAAGTTTCTGCAATGGTGGCGCCCACGAGGGGAAAGAATTTTCCGCAAAACACTCAAGTATGTTGCCCCAACTAAGACATTGAATTTATTATGCTTTGGTCTGGATCCTTACCAAATGTTGCTGTTGAAATATCTAATGGACTGCCATCAGCGTCTATGAGCGTGAAGTGGAAAAACTAGAGAAGCGGGTTGCTGCAGGCACGCAACGTCAGTGCTTCGCGACAGACTTCTTGGAGACGGAAGAGGCCAAGCACATGACGAAAGTACAGAGACTGTTCCTCCTTGGAACACTCATGGAAGCCGGAACCGATACCTCCAGAGTGACGCTTGGACAAATTATAGCTGGTGCTGCCACCTATCCAGATTGGGTGGCCCGAGCTCGCGCGCAGTTAGATGAGGTCTGCGGTCACAATGCTGAGCGACTGCCCCAGTTTGAGGACCGCCCAAGGCTGAATTACATCAGTGCCGTCGTCAAGGAAGGGTTTAGATGGCGGCCTAACATAGCGGAGATTGGTGCTCCAACGATGTTGATCAAGGACGACGAATACGAAGGCTATCGCTTCCCCGCGGGGACAATTTTTACCTGGAACGCTTGGGCTATCGCCCTGAATCCAAAGGAGTACAAAGATCCAGAGAGATTCTGGCCAGAGAGGTTCCTCAATGGTGAAGAGGATTTGGCAACAAAGGGACATTTCGCATTTGGTCCAGGTGAGCCAACAAATTTTACAGCATCGATTCACGCTCCTCATCTTGAATTCTCTCCTACATCTGCCCGTTTTCTGTGCGATACTGACATAGTGTTATTACTCCTATAAGGTCGTCGCATCTGCGTGGGCTGGAAAGTAGGCGAGATGAACGTCTGGATCGCGATAGCTCGCCTACTTTACTGCTTCGACTTTGAAGAGATCCCAGAACAACCAATCGATACCATGACAATCCCTCAGATCACCAAGTACAATCCGCCGTTCCAGGTCAAAGTTACTCCAAGGAGCCAGGCCCATGCTGCGCTGATCCGCCAGGATTGCGAAGCGTCTGCGAAAGCCCAATACTAAAATCAGGCAATCGGCTTGTCGCACTTCGCATCCTTGGACTTGATTTAAGGCAGTGGCAGTTGGAGGTATGAAGTTGTTTTGATTTTATATCTTTATTCGATTCTTGAATATCATCCATAGATAGTACGCCTGTTATGATTTAGTGGGCGACTTTAACTGACGATGTTAATTATAACTATGTTTCAAGATAACTACGTCGATACTTACGTTATCTTTCCTCTTCGATCAATGCCTGAGTAACGTGGTAGAGGCTTAGCTTAATTACAAGACTATCCAGACACTTTATGGTATAATGTTTGATGCATCTGTGACATAGGGTCAATTGTCTTGGGAATTACTGTATCTAGCATGACTCCCAAATTACCACCACCCCCCTCGGTTCCACCAGTACTATGCCCACCTTCACACACACAGATATACATATATAACATTGTAGTTGATGAGGCAAATGGAGTGTTTACATGGAGGAGGCGCGGCACCTGGGGTTTAAAACGTTGTGCATATCGATGTTTGGCTATCAACAGAAAACCCTGGGGTTCACTTTTCGACTATAAGGGGCCTTTCTTTGCTAAACTAAAGCATCTTATAAATTTAGAATTTCAGTACAACAATGAACAAGAGCCATGCATTGTAGGTAGTCTTGACGTGGTCTCTCAATCATTCCGATGTCTTTGTCGTTGCTTTGGTGTCTGTATTCTCTTCAGCGCCGCTCAATCTCACTGTGATGCTGTCTTGAGGCTCGCTCTGATTGCACGTATAGTACTTCGTGAAATCGTGTTTTATGACGTTAAGCCCATTGACGAGTTCTGACATCTTGGACTTGTCCCCTTGTGCCGCGGTGAGCAACTGTAGGAACGGATCTCTCTCGAGGATCGTGTTCGGATGCGAGTCGCTCATGCGAACTAAATTCGCACTCGAGATTGGATCCACAAAATCCGCGTAGATTTCTCGACGGACCCGAGAGTAGAGATCCAGGATGGAATCGTCGGCTTTCTTCTGATGAATCCCAGCAAGGCAGTCAAAAAGACCGCCAATATCAACGATTCCCCCTGTGAGGCCAAGACCTCCGAAGGGGTTGCACACTGGATGCAGCTTACGAATCAGCGATGGCTTGTCTCCGTTGGTTTCCAACAACAACAGCTCAAATTATGGAGGTTTAGGAGATGCACAACTGTGATAACTGACCATGCGCAGCATCTGCTGCCAAAATGAAAGGCCCAACTCTCATAGATTTTGCAAGTCTCTGGTGGACTTTGTACGGGCTGAAGTTGACGATTTTATAGTCTGCAGGATCAGGCGAGCCAGGAAGCATGTCCTTCCATTTCTTAGGCTGACGGGCCAGTAGTTGCTCCCTGGTCATGCCAGCACTCTCGCCATAGCTGACACGCCACATGCCATCTCTGGTGATTCGTGAGGCCATATACCAGTGTTCCGGATCAATGATGAAGTTGGCATCTTCGTAACCAAACCTGTGGAAATCGTAGTATACCTACCCATTCACATTAGCCAAGGCCTGTTCTCGACCTCAATCCATCATCCTTATAGATAGCAGTGCGTTGTCATGCACAGCTTCGGCACATGGAGAATAGACGTACATTTGTGGCCACAACCTGAACGTCCCAAGTCTTCCCAGGAAACCCCTCGTCTCCAAATAAAAGCCGTCTGATCTTGCTGTTGGCTCCGTCACAGCCAACGACGTATGAGGCGCGAAACTCCTTCTTGCCATCGACAGTGTCGAACTCTATGACTCCAGTGCCATTCTCATCGCGGATACTCGTGGCCTCATGGCCCCAAAGAATCGTGGCGCACGGGTACCTCAGAATATGCTCTAATAAGACTTTGCCGAGCTGGTTCAAAGGCAAGCACACCATCTTGTCCGGGTCGTCCATTGTGCCGCTGTGGTCAATTCCGGCCAGGCGTTCGTTCTGGAGCGTTCGCCAGCAGACAGATTGCGGGTGGAAACCGATGCTTGCCATCGCGTCAACCACCCCGGCACGGTTCAATACGCTCATAGCTGGTGGCCCATAGTGAGTGGCTCTGGGCTGTTCGTCCAGCTTGGCTCCTTTCTCGACCAAGAGAACAGGTATATTTGCCTGGGCCAACAACAATGTCAAAAGAAGGCCTGAAGGGCCAGCGCCGACGACGATAACGAAATGTCTCTCCGTTGGTGACATGTCAAGAATGTGTCTGTCGTTACAAACTGTCCCGACTGCAATCTATGTCTTTGAGACGATCTATACGCAAGCCTGGCGAGCTGGACACAGACCGTCTTGAGCTTCCTTCGATGTTCTCGGTTGAACGGCTCAGGGTACAAAATCGTGTAAAGTGTGCACGGAAGTTACTGCAAAAGTACACTCCCAATTTGCAGGGACTACTAACTCCCCCGATGACAGTGAGATCTGCTTTCGAAGACAACCTAGGTGAGGACGTCCACGCCTCTTCCCCACTCCACTCGGTCCAACGCGTCATTGCAACTACGCTGCTGTATGTGGGGGAGGAGAGAAGATATCACAGACTAAGCATGCATATCCTTGTCATCGCCCACTTCCCCACATGGTACCGAGATGTCTACTGCCGATGTCATTTTCACCCACATTGAATAACCCAAGCCGTCTTCTCAGCTGACAGGGGCCAGAGCATCCACTCGGCAGTTTGCCGCAGCAGGGTTTTGTAAAATCAGAGTTTCGATTGTTTATCAGAGATCTCCGTCTAGCCAGATGAATATCCTCCACAAGAATCAAAAGGTAGTCTGGTGGCACAGCATTGCTTGTTGAGTAAAAAGGACGTTCTAAAAGCCTCGGGAAATTATCGTGAGAACAGATAGTTCAGAGACGGGGCCAATCTTTCCTTACGGCTTACCCTAAGGGTACGTGGGAAGGCTCACGTTCCAGAGTTGGAAGATACTGGGGATTTGATAAAGAGCATGAAAGCATCATAGAAAATTTCAACAAAAGTCTGACTTCGCTATTTCGAGCCACACAAGCCAACATCCATTTTTTTCTGGGTCCTATTGAGCTAGGTACCCTGGGAACGCACTTGATACTCCTCAGAAGTAGGTGCCCAACATTGAAAGTAACGTCAAATGTCAACGCACTCCGTCTTTCTCCGCCTTTGCGAACTCATCCCGGATTTTCTGCGCTTGTCTCATCGACCGCGGCTTGATTGTGCACTCAAACGGCAGAGGAACGCTTAAAAAGCCTGGCACCATCTTGGTGGTGGGCTCGATTTCCTCGCCAGTAGCACTTCTTCTTTTGCCAATATCAAATCCCCAAATGACCCGGGCTATGTTAATAAATAGCGAGCGCTCCGCGACATGAATGCCGGGACAAACCCGCCGTCCTGCGCCATACGTGAAATGATCTCGGTCATATGGGTCAGGGCAGTTGACGTAATTCGCGGCAGGAAGGGGCTTTTCCAGGTAACGCGAAGGGTCGAAGTTGTCGGGGTCTTGCCAAAGCTTTGGATCGCGGTGGATTGCCCTGATAAAAGCGCTGTACATTAGCTGCTGTAAGACTGCAATCGCCAAGGCCCCCAGTAATAACTTGACTTGGAGGATGGTGCACAGCCCCCCAGACATAGTCCAGCCTGGGTCCGGCCAGGGGGTTGAGGGCTTACCACCAGTTGAGCACGGCTGTAGTGCCCTTAGGAATAAAGTATCCTTCGTACCAGTCATCTTCGCTGGTTGCATGGAACATTCCAAACTTGTTGACGGGCCGCCAGCGCATCACTTCTTTGATCATGGCTCGCACGTATGGCAAGTTCGGCTCGTCAGAGAACGTTGGGAGCCTTTCGCTTCCGACGACGCTGTCGACTTCTGCTTGTGCCTTCTTCAAAGCCTCTGGGAAACACGTCATTGCCAACATCCAGTTGTTCAGCGTGGTCGCCGTGGTCTCCGAGCCGGCCTCTACCAGGCCTCCGCAGGTATAGGCGGCAAGGAGATTGTCGATCCCATTCTCAGCCGGATCAGAAAGATAGAAGTCTCGACAAAAACAATCCGCTGCCTTGCCTTCATCCACCTCCTTCTTTAGCTGTTCCCACAACTCCATATACACCTTTCTATCGTGGTTGTGGACTTCTCTGGCATAGGTGTACCAATTTCCAAGCAGGAACTGTGGCAGAACAGCTAATGATGGGAAACTATCTACTGCGTGGGCGCCGGGGGCAGTGATTTCTGTTAGGTTATTTAGCACAGTGTAGATCTTTTTGATGAGGGGATCCTCAAACGACGAAATCCTATAGCCGTAACAAAGCAGCATGATGACTGATGCGGAGTATCGTCTGTTGATGTCGTAGAACATATCGGGTCTTTCCAGCAGGTCTCTCATGACTTGTTTTGACTCAAAGTCCTGGATGTGTTGGTACTTCTCTGCTGCTTTCAGGTTGAGAAGAGCATGGCTGTGCTTGCGCAGTTGGCGCCACTGGGGCCCGTATGCCATGAAAAGCTGTCGACGACCCGCGCTGGCAACATCTTGAGCCAGCGGGAGCGACGGCCGGGACGAGTAGATGTTAGACCTCTTGTCCATGAGGTCCCTGACTACTTTGGGTGATGACAGCCAAACGTAGTCTGTGCCACCTATTTTCGTATAGAAAATATCTCCAAAGCGCTGGTGCCATGCGCGGACTTTGTGTTGTACAAGGTCAGATTCGGCGAGGTCGAACATGTTCCCAACAAACGGCAATCCTCGTGGGCCGGGAGGCAACTTGCGTCTCCTCGAGTCCTAACACATCCGCCCACATGTGAGCCAGCTATTCCCTCGAGCATGCCTCCCTTGTGCATGACACCAGGTGCGATATGAGGACATCGAGAAAGAGTACTAAATACCTTAAGGCTATTGGGGACTGCCCAAAAATACGCACCGAGCAAGAGCGGCACCGGGGTAATCAACAGCAATAGCAGCCATTGGACGAGCTGAGAATAATCGAGCATGATCACAGTCGTTATGGCGTCCTTCAGTGGGCGAAGGCATCAAATCCCGCTGCAATGAGACAATACAAAGGCCCTGAACGAGCGAGGACCGGATGACGTGCAAACATGTTTTGGCACCACCTGGTGTCTAAGCCGAGAGAGCAATCTTTTAAACTCCTCTCATCCATGCATTCCTTCCCTGCCCTCAGACATCTGGGAGAACCAAAATCCACATGTAAAGAGCCTTTGCCGAATTCGGATTGGTATTTCGAATGCGGGGGAGAGGGGATGTGGAGGTGATGGGTGGTATCAGTTGCAGATGGGGGGGGGTGGAATTTCCTCCACTTTCGGGGGAAGCAGGAAGTTTCCATGTATCTTGATTAAAGAACGGTAAAGCACACCTTTTATCAATGAGTTCCAGGACACTCGCAGAAACATTATCGACGACGCGATACCGTCAGGCTGAATTCTCTTTTCGTTTTGCCTCCCCTCGCTCGGCTGAGCTGTTTGCACCAGCTATGCCACCCCACAAAGACGCCTCGGGCAACACTTTCATCCGCCACACCAGCGGCCAGGTCACACACTATATCGTGAATGACTTCACAGACCCTTGGAAGCCTCGAGAAACCGTGCTATTGCAGCATGGATTCGCGCGCAACGTTGAGCACTGGTACCACTGGGTTCCCCCATTAGCACGACACTTTAGAGTCATTCGGCGAGACCTTCGAGGCCACGGCCTCTCAAGCGTCCCTAAGAATGATGGTAGCTACGACTACTCCCTAGAGACTATTCTCGAGGAGATCGTGGACATGCTGGATCAGCTTGGTATCGAAAAGGTGCACTTCCTCGGCGAATCTACCAGTGGCATGCTGGGCCTGGCTATGGCGGCCCAGTTCCCGGGTCGCCTCTTGTCCCTGACGATATGCTCCACGCCAACTCATCTCCCTCCGAAGGCCCTCGAGATGTTCGCCGTAGGTCAAAAAGTCAGCTGGCCTGACGCTTGCCGAATTCTTGGCTCCCGCGGATGGGCGGAGGCGCTGGCCAAGCTGCCAGGCACAGTCGGCGTGGACGAGGACGGCTACACTGCGTGGTGGGTTGATCAGGTGGCGCGGTCTACGGGCGAAGGCCTGGCCGGCTATGCGGAATTCCTGTCACACCTAGACGCTAGGCCTTTCCTCAGTCGCATCAAAGTTCCCGTACTTATTCTGGCACCAAGGAGCAGCGCGGTCTTGACCGTGCCTGACATGGAGCAGCTGGCTAGGCAGATTGGGGCCTCAGCTAGTCTTGTGGTGGTCGATGCGCCTGGGCATGAGATCTATGTGTCTGGGGCGGATCAGTGTCAGGCGGCTGTGCTGAAGTTCTGGAAGTCACTCGCTGCGTCTAGCGGAGGACAGGATGAGTGACTTTGAGAATCAGAATGTCTCCCTTCCGTGCACGGCCAGCCCAAGTCATATGCGCATGGGGCTCTTTTTTCACACGTGGTCAAATTGAACTGAAAAGACTGACTACACAAGAACTTGATGAGCAAACGTCGTGTTTGAAAAGCTTCGTAAGTTCGGGACGTCCCTTCCGAGCCTGTTTCTCACTCTCGATCGGGACAAGCACAACTAGATTTATGACTCAGATGGAGATCTGCATTCAGAAATTTCAGGAGTATCGGGACAGAGGACCTCAAGCAGCGATTCTCACTTAGAATCACGGTCGTCGCTCGTGCCGGGCGCTCAATGCTTTCTCATACGCCACGGCCAAACGCTCTAATGTGTGGCCCATTTTGGGTGTGATACCCCAAACCCATACCTAAAAAACAAACCACAGTCAGCAGGATAGCATCGAATGAAAGAGAAGACCGAGGGAAAGTCGTCAGACCCAGATCAAGGCCTCTGGACCTTGGGAATCATCTTACATCTGTGAGAAACAGCGCCCATGCCCTAGCGATTGCGCTTGCCAATGATGTTCCTTCCACATACGGCGATTCCACTTCGTCAAGAGAGTCTTTTAGTTTCTGAAAAAGCTTTTCCTCTTCTGCGTTTGGAGGAAAATTTTCCCATTGCATCTCGATATTGTGAATCCATTTCGTGACAAACAACGCTGATAGAGTATATATTAGCCGGGTAAAATCAAAGAGCTATTGGACTGGTCGTATGCAATGAATCTAATACTTGAAATTGCCTCGAATACAAGGAAATCACTAATCAAACGTCTACTAGGAGTACGTTTCGGCAGACTCACCGCTGTCCCATCCCGCGACTGCGTGCTCAACGCCCCACGAAAGGGCCGCCGTCTTCCTTACGAGCATATGTCCTGCCTGGACGGGGGTCAGGAAGCTCTGGCAGGCCATCGAGATGACCTTTGTGAAGAAGTCGTTGCGTTCCTGAGGGCTCGCCGCGTACGCCTCCGCGGCCTCATCGGTGCTCCCCGCCGCGTTTGTAATCAGAGTTAAGTGCTGGAATGGCTGGTATGACGACGTCAACAGTCGCGAGCATGCAATCCGGAGGACTCCGTGGCAGTTGAACAGCAGTGGGCCGGCCGGGTGGTCCCAGGCTGCTGCGTCGTCTTGGTTCTCAGCCTCGCGGCCGCCACCGGACAGCACCCTGTGGCACCGACTGAGTATCGCCATGCCATTCGACAACACGAGACGCCGCAGCTCGGAGCCTCCCAGGGCCCCAGCGAAAGGGTCGGCATGTGGCGCCATCGACCGCGCACAGCGGATGCTCATCCACAAGTGGGTGCTCACGGCGTGCATAATGAAAAGGGCCGTGAACGCGCTGATATCATAACGATTTTCCTCGCCGACACAGTCCCCAGCAGCGGCTCCTTCTGCGGACATGACATCGGCCAGAACGGACCCCAAAATCCGCGGGTTGCGGATCACACGCTCGCTCCGGAGCTGGTGCCACTCTCCTTCGGTCCTCGCGTTCCACAGCCTTTCCTCGTCCGGCATCTCAAACTCGAGGTCCTCGGGTTTCAGGAATCCCGGCGACATGTCGTAAATTACCATGAGGAGGTTACTCAGGAAGTGGGTTGCGCAGAGTGTCCTTTTCTGGGACTCTCTTTCTATCCACTCCGGCCACGTCAGGTCTCTCGAGGTGCATGTGGCACTGGCTCGGCCGATTGATAGTCGTCGAAGCGGATAGTCCTGCCAAATACACCATCAGCGTCAGCTAGTAGCTGGATGCATGATGTGTTTAGTGAGAGGAGGGGTGGGCTGTACTGACCATCATACATGAACCAAGGCGTTCAAAACGGGCAGCGGCGAGGTCGACATTGCCAGAGAGGAAGGCGAAAAAGTTCAATAGGGTGTCTACCTGGGCAACCCACAAAGGGGCCAGGGTCCCTGACTTTCGGGAAGGGGGGGACTGTTGGCACTATGAGAACTCGATTAATAATACACAACGACTAAGTAGCCTAGCTGGCACGAGGCCTACCATTTTCAATAAATTGACGGCCAAGTTGTAAAGTCTCATGGCGCGGCGTCTGTCGAAGCGATAGAGGGCACCGATACAACTTATGGCCAGGATCAGTGGGCTTGGGCATTTGGTCAGGGCCAGAGATGGAGTGTGTATGATTGGCAGGTGGCGGTGGAAATGATCAAAATAGCACTTCAAGAAGCGAGAGAGGTCTTTTCGGAAGAGAACTGCCTCGAGATGAAGAGTGCCGTGTGAGCGATTCTGAACATCATCCCGAATGGCCTCATAAGAAGCGTCGTCGACGTCGACAACATTATGGGGAACATCGTTGGTCTTCTCTTTCAGGACACGCGGCAAACCGCGATGCGTGGAGCAATCTCGTGCCCGCGCCACGTCTGGACTGACTGTGGCCGTAAAGTCGTCTGTACCTGCACCTATTCCAAAAGATGTCTCTCGCAAAGCAAAGCTGTTGCCGGCTGGTGACATCAAAGATAGATCTAAGAGGGGAAACCCACTGCCTTCGAAAATTCCCAGAGGGAGTGGTTCATCCACTACTTCGCTTAAGCCCGGCGTCGGTTTGCTTGGCCTACTTGAGTCCAAGTCGTTGCGCATCACACCAATCGATCCATTCTCCAGCTGTAGTTCGTGATGGTCATATTCCTTGCTGGCCTCGTCCTGCTGGGCGAGCCACTGACATTTACGTTTCTGTGGTCTCGTAAGTGTTGATCCGGAGTGCTCATTTAGAGCTGCTGTGGGTGGTCTTGCATCTCCTCGGGGTGGCAGAATATCCGCATCCCCCAAAGGGCTATTCACGAGTCCAAATGTATCGTTTGCCGACGTATGATCGGCAGTGGATGAGACCTGCAGAAGAGCATTTTGATCCTCTTGGGCGTCCAGTGTTAGATCTATGTGAGAAAAGGCTGGGGAATGCAAAGGCTCGAGAACAGGGTTCAGCATGTCGAGGGAAGCAAGTAAGGCCGGGTCGACTGAGAAAGGTTCAATGTTTCCGGAGGCTTCGGATTCGCGACAGGGGCTTGAGTAGAGCATGTCGTCGCCACAGAAGTCTTCTTGCAGGTCTCCTTCGGTCAATTTCATAGGCGCATTCGAGATGGCATTATCGGTATCGCCAGCATGGAAGTCTTCGAGCAGTGTCTGTGCCTGCTCCTGCTGTCGGGATTGACCCATCGAATTTTGAAGGGACTCATATTGTTGTGCGTGAAGCGTCTTTTCATGCCGTTTCACGAGGTCTCTTGAAGTCGATGTTAGTTTTCGTGCCATAGAAGTCCAGACGAGATGGAGAGAGTGCCTCTGTAGACGGATGAATGCGTACTTCCGAGCATAAGTCTTATGGCAGAACTGGCACGTGAATGGCCTCTCGTTGGTGTGGCTTCTCTTGTGTCGAATGCAATGCTCGTTGCGCTGGAATACCTTGCCACAGACTGAGCATTTAAACTGCTTGTCAGAGCTACTACTGCCAGTTTTGACGACGATGCTAGACATTGTCGTCCTCGGACCGTAAAGGTAAAACCAAAGTGGCAGCTGGGGATTGAGAATGGATTCAAAGGAAGTGCCGGCATCAGCTGGGAGGGGCTCGGCCGAACGCCAGCGGGGTACGGACGGAGTACAGGTACAGAGGCAAACCCCAAAGTCTTGGTTTCAGCAGAACTCTATTTTATCCTAGCCCTTACAACCATTATTATAATAGAGACTCTTTCCTCATTTTTTCTAAGTAGTTTTGAGCACAATGTTCATACACTGAATACACGTATGCGAAGCCAGCTTTATCTACGCTCAAGATTTATCGTATTTCTTATTTATAGCTGCTCTGATTTCTGTATTTATATTAATTTTAAGGCAGGAGCATTATAAGGATAGTGTGGACTTAGTGGAGCGGGGCAATAGTGTGCTCGTGACGGGTAAGGGAATTATGACGCAACACGAGCCCCCCTAAAACCTTTTGGATCCGTGGTGATGCCCAGTTCAGAAGCATTTGTTATCGAAGAGATGGGCTTCAAACAAGGGGCTAACATTACCGACCATGCCAGAATTCAGGATCACTCACCATCTGACAGCCAAAATTATGAGACACCACACAAAGCATTCTAATTTCGTGAAGCAACGTGGCTTCCAGGAGACTTTAAAGGCATGAACATCAATGGTAGCAACTTTGAAAGCGCTCCGCCAAACACATAACAGGGTGTCATACAGTATAGGTTCGTCGACGGAGACAACATTGAATTGGCAGACAATAGAACGTTCTTTGCTGAATGACGGGAAAACAATACCAGCTTGATTAGAATAGAGGATAAGCAGCGGCAGCTGCAGTTGGCCCAGCTTGTATCGGTGTATCCTCCGATTTACCGGTACGAATCACCACATTCATAATTATTGCGTGAAATTCGGGCTGATGCAGTCATTATGCACGCGCTTGGTTTTCTCAAGTGGAGGATCTGTGGAATGGCTAGTTCATCATAGACGTAGATAATAGATGTAGATAGTCACGGTCACGTGGCCGACACCGGTAGCCCATAGCCAGAAGGAAGGCTGAAGCCCCTCGGCCACATCCTTCCTTTCCTACACACAACAGCCACTACACCAATCAACCAACTTTGATACCGGCCAGGCCGGGAAGCTTCAAACGGTGTGTTTATCGCTCCATTATCGTTAGAAGTAGTCAAACTGTGCAGGCAAGTAAGGGGAAATATGACCGTTTATTCCTCGGAACGGTTCAAAGCCAGGAAGCAGTTTAAAACCAGTAAGTGTTTTCAATGCAGATTAACGGTTTAGAGTGGTTAACACATACGTGGGCACCCAACTAGATAGAATACCAAACCGCTTTCTTATGTTTTTTTTGTCCAGCACTGAGATGTCGCGAACGTGGAATCTCTACCCGCATTCTGTAGGCCAAGCATCTTGCTGCATCAATTCTGCTTTTGAGATAGCGCCTCGGCTCAATTGTCACCGGCATACGAAAACCAAAGTCCCCGCAATCCCCTCACGCAGTACACGAACAAACATTGTGGATAATGGTACTCGACATTTACCCGGGATTCCAGAAGGCTCATGGATGCGGGGAATGACGATCTAGCGGACAGACGCATGGAACAAGTTCTGGATAAATCAACACTATAAAGCCTTAAGAGTAAACAAGCAGTCTGCCACAGTCCAACCCGTAAATGACAGAGGGCCACTGAAGATGCCTCGATTCGCAAAGAGTTTGTGCTACCTTTTGGTGGCGTTACTGTCAGGCCTGGCAGAGGCTGAGAATTCCACCTTCAATAACCCAATATTACCGGGGTTTCATCCCGATCCTAGTTGCATATTTGTCCCTGAGTGGGACAACACATTCTTCTGTGCATCATCCAGCTTTAATGCATTCCCTGGTATTCCCATTCATGCAAGTAAAGACCTCCAAAATTGGAAGTTAATAGGTACGCTCACGCTCCAGTTCCTGCTTCTCAACCCAGAAACATTCACACCTAACTCGTCTATCAGCACATGTTCTCAATAGGGAGGAACAGCTCCCGGAGCTGGCTTACACCAACAGGTCTACGGCGTAAGCATTCGGGCAGCCCTTTGGCCAGATGACTCTTCGGCATTAACTTTTTATTGCAGCGGAATCTGGGCGCCAACTCTGAGATACCGCGATGACACATTCTGGCTCGTGACGACGCTTGTGGAAGACGACCGAGCCGCAGATGATGCTACTCGGTGGGACAACGTGGGTCCATGTGAAGACCTCGCTGACATATAACCGAGCGCTGGACTAACCCCCCGGCCTGTAGATCATCTTCAAGTCGACAGACATGTACGAGCCGTCATCATGGACGAACGCAGTCCACTTCAAGTTCGAGGGCTACGACACCGAGCCGTTCTGGGACGACGACGGCAAGACGTACATCGTCGGCTCGCACGCCTTCAAGGTGTACCCGGCGCTCGAGATCGCAGAGGCGGACCTCGAGACGGGCGAGGTCGGCGAGTGGCACAACCTGTGGAACGGCACGGGGGGTCTGGCGCCCGAGGGCCCCCACCTCTACCGCAAGGACGGGTGGTACTACCTGCTCGTCGCCGAGGGCGGCACGGGGATGCTCCACATGGTGACGATGGCGCGGTCGAGGGGCCTCCTCGGGCCGTACGAGCCGGCCCCCGCCAACCCGGTGCTGACCAACGCCAACACCACGAGCTACTTCCAGACCGTCGGCCACGCGGACCTGTTCCAGGACCAGGGCGGCAACTGGTGGGGCGTCGCGCTGTCGACGCGCTCCGGCCCGGGGGACACATACTACCCGATGGGGCGCGAGACGGTCATGACAGCAGTGGCGTGGGAGGAGGGCGAGTTCCCCGTCTGGACAAACATAAGCGGGCAGGTGAGCGGGTGGGCCCTGCCGCCGGAGAACAAGGACCTGGGCGGCCCGGGGCCCTTCGTCGACGAGGGCGACGACGTCGACTTCGCCCCGGGGTCGGGGCTGCCCGCCCACTTCACCCACTGGCGGTATCCGGACCCGAACTCGTTCGCCGTCTCCCCGGAGGGGCACCCAAACACCCTGCGCCTGAGCCCGTCCCGGCTCAACCTGACCGCCCTGGACGGCAACTACGCCGGCCCGGACCTCGGCGGGCAGACTTTTGTCGGGCGCCGGCAGCAGGACACGCTGTTCACGTACCGCGTCGACCTCGACTACGCGCCGGCGCGGGCCGGCGAGGAGGCGGGCGTGTCGGTGTTCCTCACGCAGAACCACCACCTCGACATCGGCGTGGTCCTGCTGCCCGCGGGCGAGAGCACGGCCCGGGCTGCCTTCCCCGGGGCGGCGTCCGGGCCTGCGGGGCGGCAGCAGCAGCAGCAGGCTGGCGAGGACGACGACCCGGACCCCGCCGAGCTCATACCACAGGTCCGGTTCAGGGGCATCTCGTCCGTGCCGGTTCCCCAGGCGGTGGTTGCCCCGGTGCCCCGCGCGTGGCAGGGCAGGCCGCTCAGCTTGGAGATCAGGGCGGTCAACATGACGCATTACGCCTTCTCCGTCGGCCCGGCTGGTGCACAGTCGCTGATGCAGACCCTGGTGACGTCGTCGAGCGATGCTGTCAGCTGGGGTTTCACAGGTAAGCCCCCTTTCTGGTTGATCCCCTGCGACATTCATGTTCAGGGAGGACAGTCACTGACATAGCATAAGGGGTCATTCTCGGTGTTTATTGTACGACTAATGGAGGAGAAGGGGACACGCCGGCCTACATTTCCAATTGGCAATACATTCCACAGGGGCAGTATAGAGACTAATCTGTGAGATTTCAACTGCAAAAGCAGGGTTGGTTAGAGCTCATAGATTCAATAACATAGTATTCCAGCCTGATTCACGATTGGAATTCAATTCTCCGCGGCTCTCACAAGTATTAGAGGGCCAAGTCTCTCTGCAATTTGTTCTCTTCATCCCGGAACAACCAAGGCGACCAGCTCGCAGAGCACTGGTAAGATCAGGCCACAAGCCACATCAAGGAACCACCAGAACGGCCACTTTCTATCATTCGAATCGATTACTATTACATCCGTGTCGGCGATGATTAAAACCCGACCCAGAATCGCACCGGGCAGCTTCAAGCTGGTCAGCGCAGAACGACGCCGTAGAAGGGTGGAATTTCCAGCCCGAGACCCCGACACACAAACACCCCCCCCCCTCTCACGCAGCACTCTCCGCACCCTTCTTCTCCTCGGCCTCCTTCTTCCTCATCGCAGCATAGAACAGGCTCAGGTCCAGCGGGACCTTGTCGCCCAGCCACGTCGCCCTCTGCGTGTGGTCGCGCAGCTCCGTCTCCCACTCGCCGACCCCCTCCTCGGGGGCCGTGTTCGGGTGGACCAGCGCCGACAGCGGGCCCCTCCAGATGACCAGCCAGGGGACGAAGGCGCCGAACTGCGCGGGCGTGAAGAGGTTCACCTCGAACATGGCGTAGGGGTGGGGGCCGACCGGCTTCTCCCAGAAGCGGTAGATGCGGAGCTCGGGGACTGCCGGTGTTGCGGATGCTATCAGTATCTGGAGCGTATCTACTGCTGGTCTGTTCCGGTAAGGGTGGAGGAAAAGACACATACACTCCCGTCTGATCCTGTCGTATAGCTGGCGGGCGTACTCTAGCTGTGACTGCATGTAGTAGATGTGGATGTCGCTGTGTGTCGGGCCAAAGTCAGCCTGTTGGATCGTCGATTGGCTACTTGATGAATGCCACGATGTCCTGGTGGGAATACTCACAACCCGCCCCTCCTGCCCTTGTCTATCGGGTCGACGAAGGCCTCATATGCCTTGCTGAGGATTCCGGTCTGGGGATTCCTCAGGCTCTTGCCGTCCTCGGATGTCTCTTCCGACAGCGGGGGCTCACTCTCGTAGCCGGCGAGAGGCGACGGGTACGTGAAAGCGAATTGGTCCGTCATTGTCGTGGGATATGGGGTACAAAAAATGAGAACGGAAATTCGCGCACCCAGAATCGGAAGGCGCGCACCCTCCCTACTATTCAGCCAATCAGAGCACAGAACCTCAAAGTCCTCACGACTTCAACAAATAAGTGTTCTTCGCGATTTTAGAGGCCACAAACAGGGCGGGTTGGTCCTCTGGGAACTCGGGTCGTGCCTACCGGCCCTACTCACGACCCTCCGCTATGCTTCGCGCTCCGGGGCTCGCCCCCTTCGCCCCAGCCGGCCCTTTCGTGGAAGAAGAAGTCTGTATAGAGTACTTCTTAGTCAGCAGATGGGTGCGCGCCTTCCGATTGAGGGTGCGCGAATTTCCGTTCTCCAAAAAATAGGTGTATTATTTTTAATAAGCGTCTCTCTCAAGAGAAAGTTCGAGTGTCACGGCCAGTCGTGTATTTCAAGTTCATTCAGTCCATGCATGGGACCAAGCCGATGCTCTGATACATAGATGCCTCTGATTTTAATATCATGTGGTTAACTTAAGGTCGCCTAACTAGCCGCACTGACAATTGCCCCACCATGACGACTGACCAATGCGTGTAGGCGTGCCCGAGGGTTTTTGTCAGCTCGCGCTATTCGCATTTAAGGGGATTAATAAGCGCATTGCGAGATGCTTTGAAAAGGTGCATGAGTCGTACGTAATGCCAGACTATACCAGCAACATTGAGACCATTCACGCTGAATAACGAAACGCTAGAGTCCTGCTGTGGGCTTCGCTAGTGAATTCCAAACATTGAAGCTTTCGTGATCCAGCTCTTTGCAATTGCCTGGTCATACTTGACTTGTGCGACCTTCCTACCTCTACCCAGACACATTTTATGCTGATGGTAGGCATGCAGGTCCTGTCGGCCAAGGCCAGCCATCACGGCACTCGTCTATCGAGTTGGTGAACTTGACCCTAGCTATGCTCATAGGACTTGATATGGTGAACCTTGAGAAAAGAAAGGCACCATTCCTGGTATTTTTGCGAATGTGCCCGTTACCGGGCTCATGGTGTCACACTGCAAGACGAGACCAAGGGACAACAATGTTCCGATATTCCCTGACCACCTACATTAGCAATTGATAATAGCTCTCGGCCTCCAATCTCCTCTGAGCTTCCGTGTCCCACTCTCAGAAGTAAGGAAAGTGGCGCCGGTGATGAAATGGGCGGTCGTCTAGTTAATCTGCAGCACAAGAATACTTGAATGCCTGTATCCACTCGGCTCATCATCGGTCGGTCGCTTACTCGGGAGCCGGTGACCGGGTGAAGGGAACAGACGCTGCCAGTGTGTACTGCAGAACAAAGTTTTCCCAGGGGTTCTCAACTCACCAATGACAGCGGTGAATCTCTCGCTGGAAGTTTTCCAGTCAGATGCATGTTCTACTACATATCCTCGAAGAGAATATGAACTTGACAACATCTAAAATCTTGTGCTAACTGTTGTGCTGAGAACTCGGGTCTAACAAGTGCCAGTGCGTCTCGGGTAACCTAATCAACACGTACCAGAGGAAACATTCAAGTTTGTTGTCGTCTGTCTTCTTACCTAGATACCCTGGGCTCTGCCGTATGCGTCCCCCCCCCCCCCCGAGCGCGGTCAACGCCCGTGGACGTCTCATGCCCGCATGCAAACCTGACCCACAGTACATAGCATGACTGCTCGGGACAAATTTTCAGAACAAGTCACGTCAGTCACTATTGACTGAAACCCACGCATCGTGATTCCTCAGAATCGTGACCGACTTGGACTGTCTACGACCAAAGCCAGGTGGCTGGCTGGCTGCACCTACTTGCCGTACCGCATATATTGGTCCGCCTGGCGCCTACACAAGCAAAGTGCCACACACTCCCTCTCTCCCTGTGCTAAATCCCCACCTTTCCACTTCACAACAACAACAGCAACGACAATGACATTCTACGACGTCGCCATCATCGGCGGCGGGCCGGCAGGGCTCACGGCGGCAGCCACGCTGGCACGGCAGCTGCACACGGCGGTGGTGTTCGACTCGGGGCGGTACCGCAACTGGATGTCGAGGGAGATGCACATGGTGCCGAGCCTGGAGGGCAAGGACCCGGCCGAGTTCCGGCGCGAGGCGAGGGAGGGGATCGCGGCGCGGTACGGGGGGCTGGTCGAGTTCCAGGACGCCGCGGTGGCGCGGGTGCAGAAGAAGGGCGACGCGCACTTTGTCATCACCACCAGCGGGGACGGCAGCGAGCCACAAGGGGGAGGAGGCACCAGCACCAGCACCGCCACCAGGACGTGGCGGGCGCGCAAGCTCCTCCTGGCCGTGGGGTCGGCGGACGTGCTCCCGCGGGTCGAGGGGTTCGCGGCGCTCTGGGGCACGCGCATCTTCCACTGCCTGTTCTGCAAGGGCTACGAGGACCGGGGCGCGGCGTCGGCGGGGGTCCTGGCCGTCGCGCCCGTGGCGCTCCCCGCGGGCGTGATGGTCATGGTGGCGGTGCACGCGGCGGCCAACGCGGCGCAGCTGGCGGAGGGGGTGACGCTGTACGCCCACGGGGACAAGGCGCTGGCGTCCGGGCTCAAGGCGGCGGCGCGGAGGCAGGCCCGGTGGACGGTGGAGGCGCGGAGGATCAGGCGGCTCGTGGGCGTGGGGGGAGGGGGAGGGGAGGGGGAGGAGGAGGAGGAGGTGAAGGGGGGGGAGGAAGTGAAGAGTGTCAGGGTGGAGTTTGAGGACGGGACCAGCAGGATGGAGAACTTCCTGGTCAACCAGCCGCTGACGGTGCCCGGGGGCCCGTTTGTCGGGCAGCTGGGGCTCGCGACGAGCGCGCTGGGGGACATCGTGGCCGAGGCGCCGTTCCACCAGACCAGCGTGCGAGGGGTGTTTGCGGCGGGGGACTGCATGACGCCCAACAAGGTGGTGCCGACGGCCATCGCCAGCGGGAGCAACGCGGCTGTTGGGGCGTCGACGCAGCTGCAGTCCGAGAAGTACGGCTTCAAGTCGGTGGTGTAGGCTGTGGGGTGTAACTACTTAAGTATATATATATAGTCTGATGTGGACAGTATATATATACACATATCTATATAAGTGTATGTATATATATCTTGTGTCAGTGTCATTTGTTGACGACAAGAATATGGGAACCTGATGGAATGTGTCAAGAGCCGGGCTGGGTGACAGATATAATCACATGATCCCCCTCTTGGGCAAGGTGCTGCAGGGCATGGCGCATATGGGCCAGAACAGGTGAGGCAGAAATGTCATGGCTACGACATCTGGCAGTAGACCTGCCCTGGCCTTGGTCATGCCAAGGGCTAAGCTGTGAGGGAGTGGGCTAGTGTATGTACAATGTGTCAATGGTGGAGGAGGAGAAGGATGAGAAGGAGGAATAGTTGCGCCAACTGGTTGCAAGGTGCATGCATGGTTCATGGTTCATCATGATGATAAGGCGGCCACTGCAAAGGGCGGTCCAAAGGGCGGTGGGGCTGGCTGACTGTCTGCCCACTGCCCAGATCTCCGCATAGAATCGCCTTAATTGACCAGGCTTGATTGGCCGAAACCTGCAACTACTCCAAACCACTCACTCGAACCATTCTCGACTGGATATTTCAACCTCACCGTTTGTCTTGACTCATCTGGACACACAGCAACTTCATTGACTGGTTGACTACTTATCTGTCTGGCTGCCTGCTACTGCGACCCTCACTCACTCACCGACTGACTGACTGACTGACTGACCGACCCAGAGTCGACCTCCCCCAAACACGGCCTTGTCCCTGAACGCGACAAAACCGGGCCCCACACATCTGCTGCACTCTGCCGTGCTGTTCTCGACTCGAACCCGACTCGATCCGGCATACCCACCTCTGCCGCGTCCAGACGCACCCGAATGCCCCTCGGGCTCGAATAAGGGGTCCAGTTAGCCCAGCCCAGTGCCCAGCCGTCGCCGTCGCCGTCCCAACTTTCCAAACCCACGCCTTGCCAAGCTTGTCGTTGGCTCCCCACTCCAACATTCCGGGCCTCCCCACTGCCAGCCCATGCGCATCCACGTCTGATGTCAGGCCCGATACAAAAAGAAATACCCACATTGACCGCCTCCTCGTCACTACCTGCAGATTAAATCAACGTCCTCCTCTAGTCTACTTTGCCCTACAACTCGTTCCTCGTCCCACCCACCTCCCACCTCGACCGCGCCTGACCTGTCCCGACCCGAATACGTTTCTCGTCCTTCCCAGCTGCCCAACACTCGCACCGCAGCCCACGATGGCCTCCTCCCCGGCGGCAGACGCCTCTGCCCCAGCAGACGAGCCCCCACCCAGGCCGCCCGTCATCCCCCGAGGCCTCGGCAGGCTCTCCTCGGCCGTCTCCATAAACGAGATGCAGCGCCCCCGCAAGCTCAAGCTCCTCATCGCCGCCAACGGGCCCAAGGACGTCGCCTGGGCCCAGACGCTGGCCGTCAGGCTCTCCAAGGAGTCCCAGATCGTCGTCCGCGCCATCGTCGACGACATGACCCACCGCCTCGCCCAGGAGATCGTGTGCTACCAGAACAAGTCCTTCAGCAACAAGGGCGACGGCTGCTCCCGCGAGGTCGACGACCTGCACTACCGCGCCTTCGAGCTGGTCGAGTGGGCCGACCTGCTGGTCCTGGCCCCCATCGACGCCGACAACCTGGCCAAGATGATGGGCGGCCTGGCAGACACCCTGCTGCTCGAGGTCCTGCGCAGCTGGGACGCCTCCAAGAGGATCCTCATGGTCCCCGGCATGTCCACCCACATGTGGGAGAACCCCGTCACCAGGAAGCAGATGGGCAAGCTGCACCGCAGGTGGCAGTGGGTCAGGGTCCTGCAGCCCATCCTCTGGTCCTACGACGGGCCCGAGCACCACGGCGTGCCCAGGAGGGTCGCCAAGTGGGGCGCCCTCAACGAGCTCGTCACCACCATCAAGAACCAGGCCGACCTCCTGTCGCTGGGCCACGACGTCGACGCCGCCACCCAGGGGCTCGTCGTCGCCAACAACAGCAGCAAGAACAAGAGGCCCACCGCCACCCTCCCCGCCGAGCTGTGGAGCATCATCTTCGAGCACACGGGCGACTGGGAGCTGGCCCAGGCCTGCGGCGTCTACACCAGCCTCCCCGTGCCCACGCACCTGGGCTGGCGCCTCGAGCCGCGCGACCCCCAGGACCCGCTGTCCGTCTACCAGCACGAGCTCGAGTGGACCATCCTGGGCGCGAGCCCCGGCGCCATCTGCAAGAAGCTGTCCGAGGCCCCCGACTCGTTCCGCGAGCTCAGCGCCCTCGCCATCAAGCTCATCTTCAAGTTCACCCTCGCCGACGTCCTCGGCTACGTCGAGGCCAACTGCCCCCACATGTTCAAGTGCTTCGACGGCAAGACCATCCCCACAAAGGCCTCGGCCTACTACGGCCGCATCGAGATCCTCGACTGGTGGGCCCGCAGCCCCTCCTTCCTGCAGAAGCAGTACGACAACGAGGCCGTCGACGTCGCCAGCCAGAACGGCTACGTCCACGTCCTCGAGTGGTGGCGCCGCTCCGGCCTGCCCCTCAAGTACACCGCCGCCGCCCTCGAGCAGGCCTCGGCCCGCGGCTACATCCACGTGCTCGAGTGGTGGCGCGAGGCCTACCTGCAGAACCCGGCCGACATCTCCCTGAAGCCGGGCAAGTCCATCCTGGCCGCCGCCCAGTACGGCCAGCTGGACGCCATCCGCTGGTGGGAGGGGTCGGGCATCACCTTCGGCCACGAGGAGCAGGTGTGCAAGGTGGCCTCGCGGTACGGGCGCGTCGCGGTCCTGGAGCTGTGGCGCGGGCTCAAGGGCGACGACAAGCTCAGCTTCGACTGCTCCATCCTCACCGAGCCCACGCTCTACTCGCACACCGGCGTCCTCGACTGGTGGCTGCGCTACGCCCACGGCGAGCTGCCCGGCATGGACGGCCGCCGCGCCAAGAAGGTCGAGTACCGCATGATGGACATTGAGGAGTCGCTCGAGGACGCCCTCGGCGACCAGACCGAGGTCCGCCGCTGGTGGGCCGAGAACGGCCTCAACCTCGGCATCGGCACCACCGCCTGGATGAAGGCGAGGGAGCTCTAGGGGGGGGGATGCGGAGAGGTGCTCACCTTTCTTGCCGTTGGATCTTTTTCTTTTTTCGTCTTTGTTTTCTGCTCACTGCTGGGGGTGATCCGTATATATACATACACAGATGCACATGCGTTCTCTTTACTACGGCCAGTCACACCGGCGCATGAGGCAGGAAAGGAAAGGGGGTTGGGTTGGGTTGGGTTGGGCATTCGTCAGTTACTTGATAGCCCTGACACACAACGGTCTGGCGGCAACGCGATGATGGGTTTTTGGTAGGCAGGGGGCAGGCGTTTTGCATTCTGCATTCATAGCAAGGCGTCTGGGTAGGCTAGGTAGATATCAAAATGTCAAATCAAGGATCGAATTTTGTTCACAAGCGCTTGGCGCCAAACAAAACAAAGACAACCGCAACAAGAACCTGCATGGTCCCTCCCGATCTCTCGAAGGGCCAGCCGCCATCGGCCGGACCTGGCACCGTCGTTACGAGGACCAGTCAGTCCTCTCACTCCCGCGCGGAGAGAGCTCCTAGACTGTGTCCCATCGCCAATGGGGAGGGAGCACGAGCAAGCCAAGCCATGCCTGGACTGGACGCGTGCTTTATACCCACCCAATATACATACGTACGCGTGTTCATCACATGCAGTCCACAGTGTAATGAACAAGATGATGCTGGGTCGCCGCCCGCCAGAGCCCTTACCTCGCCTTCCGTTGATAATAATCTTTGTTCCCCCGCTCGGCTTTGCTCAGTTCTTGTGTGTGTGGGGGGGGGGGGTGGGCATCTCCAACTCCCCACAGCTGGACAAATATACATGTCAGAGAGAGTGGTTGGATCTCGGGGGGGGGGGGGTTATAGATCGAGAAATCAACCTTCCAGGCCCAGGTCGTTCGCGGGGTGATGGCCCGGGGTTGATGGTTGGCCATGCGGGCCGCGGCAGCCCGGCAGCAATGTTGCATGTGAGTGGTATGTCGTCGTGCTGGTGAGTGTCCTCCGGGCTGATCTCACTGCCGCGGCAGTGGACGGGGAGAGGGAGGTGTTTGGATTTTTGCCATGTGGCAAGCTGTCCCATGCCGAGTTCTTTGCAACATGTGGCCAAACTTCGTATACAACAATTCTAAGCCATGGGGATATAATACTTTGAGAACTGTTATAACCAATACTAGTAATAGACTTTAGGTTCTTGGTTGGCACAGTTCTTTACAGTCTTGATCATCCTCGACGGGTCTCACAAACTGAGCATGATCGAGTGAGTCCTAACGGTTCTCGGTACTTTGCACAACTGCCACCCTTGGAGCATGCCATCCAGACTAGGAACCATGCCATGCATCAATGCTCCGTGGCTCCCCGGCCGGCCCGCCTTGCCAAGATCTTAATGCCGAGTATAAACAACGCCCCGGCACACGATGACGGTTGCAACGGAAGGAAACTCTGTGCCTCAGGGCAACATGTGGGTTGTCAGGGTAGCAGTACAGTGACGTAGTAGTAGGTCAGGAACCTCGGCTTACAGCAACGTTTTGCGCAGGGTAATTTTCTCCCTTCTTTTACTTCCCATACCCCACATCATGAGTTGACAAGAAAGAGGCCATGCCGAGGGACTGGAAAAGGGCAGCTGCGTCCATACGGGCCAACGTGGGAGGCGAAACGCTGACTGGTTACCTCAGCTGGGGGTTAGATATGGGCGGAGTATACCCGTGCTATGCTCTCCCGAAGCTGGAGGGGATGTGAGTATTAAAAGATGCGAAAGTCCACATTCACTATGTCGAGGTGTTGAACGTAGATCACCCGCAGGTGCTCAATCCTCCCCTTCTAAAAGAAAAGTTGGCAAGAGACCCAGGTGATCTCAGGATGAAGCTCTCACACACATCGGCAGCTGCCGCAGCAGCAGCGACACAAGTTCTCGGTGCGTGCTACATTTCGTATTCACCATAGACTGCCTAGGCATCACGTCTTCCCTCCCACTGACTTACTTGGTCACAGCAACTATATCCTCCACACCAAGCATCCTGATCTTCACCAAGACGGCGGGGTTCCGCCACGCCAGGCAAGCAGAACCTTTGTCATTACCCAACCCAACACGTTCCCAAGCCCCGCCCCCCCCCCCACTTCTATTGTGATATCAAACGTCCCAATATTACATCAAATACGAATTCAAATTCTCACAGCATCCCCAACGCCATCGACCTCGTCACCTCCATCGCCAACAAGAACCAGTGGCCGGTCGCGGCAACGGAGGACTCGTCGGTCTTCACCGCCCCGGGGGCGCTCGACAACTACACGACGCTGGCGTTCCTCCACACCACTGGCGATTTCCTCTCCGGGCCCGAGTTTGACGGGCTGTACGAGTTCCTCGTCAACGGTGGTTCTTGGCTTGGTATTCACGCAGGTTCGTTGTTGTTCCTTGTCCCCTACCCCCTTCCCCCTTCCCTTTTTTTTTAATGCACTGCTCCAAGTGGACTTTCGCATTTTTAAACCGTTTGCTGAACAATTTTAAACATAAGCTGCCGACTTTGGGAACAACACGCCGCCCTGGTATACCACCCTGGTCGGGTCCCAGGTGAGTAGACTCTATTGAACCCATCGCATATCACGAGACCCGTCGCAGAAGAATAAACGTCCCAGAACTTGACTTTGTTAAAAACGCAGTTCAAGTTCCACCCATGCTCCCCGGACTGGACATGCAGCGACGCGCAGAGAGAGCGCTACCCCCCAGGTAAAACAACCCCCTTCCACACAGGGTCATCAACCGGTCACAAAACACAAACACTAATCCAACGAAAACAACAAAAAAAAAAGGCGGCAACATCCGCCCCGACACAATAACAATCCAAGATCCAAACCACCCGTCCACAGCAGGCCTCCCCACGCGCCACAGCCGCACGGACGAGTGGTACTCGTACAGGGACAACGTGGGATCAGACAGCAGCAACTACACCGTCCTCGCCACGCTGGACGAGACCTACATCGACGACATCACCCCGGCGTACCTGCGCATGAGGCCCACGCACCCGATCTCGTGGTGCCACCATGCCTTTGAGGGAAGGGCGAGGGCGTGGTACACGGGCCAGGGGCACACGGTCGAGACGTATGGCGAGGAGTATTTCATCCGGCATGTTGCTGGGGGGTTGGAGTGGGTTGTTGGCGCGGGGGCGTGAGGATCGGATCGGATTGGATCGGTGAGGCGAGGCGAGACGGTGGGCGGTTCCGCTGCTCTCTGGGGATGGATGGGCGGGTAGGTTACGGCATATTGTGACGATGTCCACTTGGCCAGCAGTGATCACCAGAATCCCTGGGACGTTTTTTTTTTTTCGTTCCACATGTGACAATGTGGTGCCAGCACTTATATTCCAATCATGGGTCGTGTAGTGGAATGGGATCTCCATTGTCTGCTCGTACTTCCCAGCCGGATATACCGTGCACTCCAGGACGGCTCTCACACCCGGAGATTATCCTGGACGGCGAGACGAGAAGCCTGTACTGTACGTACACATCAACGCTCACGACCATCCAGCGTTGGCTATAACCGTGCCTCCACAAGACATCCCAACCTTGGCGGCCTCTTCGTCATAGAAACAGGAGACCCAATCTCCCTCTAGATGGTCGCCCCCATATGATCTGGCTCGTGGCGAGTCTCTCAGCAGGGCTGGTTGATGACTTCGTGAACAGACTCTCCAGAGGGCGTTACTCCTTCCCCGGGTACTCGTCCGTCGAGTCCTCGGCCTGATGCGCAGAAGTGGCCTCCGACAGCGTCTGCACGATCCTGTCCTTTGGAAGGTTAAGCTTCATGTCGGGTCACAGTGTCTTCTGAACTGCGGGCGCGCCAACGAATTTAGTGGTCAAGTCGCACGCTCACAACTCGTGTACGACTCTGCACGTGATAAGAGTCGCCATGTCCAGTCGCTCGGGTCACCGCCGACCATCTGGTGAAAGCTCCGGAGAATGTATCCGTTCCCTGCCAGGGCCCAAACGAGCGACGAGCGCTACTGTGGAGACCCCGGTGCTCGTTCGAACAAGCCAGGCGGATCCACGTACACAGTCGAATATCCTCTTTTATGTCTCGGTCGACAGCTCTCATCCCTTGGTGATTGGATGGGTGGAATATCGAATCGCTGTCAAACGGCCCTCTGGCGCAGACACACAGCACAAAGGCTAGCGCAGATTGGTTGAAGGGCTTTGCGGGTCTGACCAACGGCGTGCACCGTCGTGAGCCCCGTCGCGTCGCTCGTCGGCTTGCAGACATGTATTTGTGCCGGTTGCCATGTAGCAACGTCCCGCCGCACGCGAGTCGTCCTGGCTCTTGTCTCACTGGAACTTTGCCGGGTTCAGTGGCTGGCTCACTGGAACTTTGCCGGGTTGCTCGGGATCAGCTTCCGCAGGACCTCGAGCTGCCTCGCCTGCGCCCTGGTGCGGATGTCGGCCACGTCGCGCTTGTCGCGCCGGTGCAGGCCGTTCGAGAAGACGACGGTGTAGTCCGGGACGGTCTCGCCAGGGGCGATCGTCGTGCGCGGCGAGAGTGTGCAGTACTGAGGACGGTCCTTGTCAGCTATCGCAGTCCAAGACCTATAGCTCCTAGGTGGCCTTGTTCCAAGGACGTGAACTAAACAGGGGGGGGGGCTGCCAACCTTCCCAACAACAGCACCGCTGCCTACCCGGCTGCCGACGCCAACTATCGTGCCCTCTCCGATGACGGTGCCTCCCGCCTCGACAGTCGAGCCACACTCAACGGTGCAGTAATCCATGATGGTAACAGCAGCAGCCCCGTTGCCGCCGGCCTTTGCGGCGCCTCCAGCAGGGGCCGCGCCGACAACTGTCCGCTCGTGCACGACGCAGCGCTTGCCGATGTCGACGGCCCCGGCGAGGGACTCGATCTTGGCGCGCGGGTGGACGAGGCTCTCGGTCCGCAGCTGGATCATGTGGGCGCCCGTGAGGATGGCCGAGTCGGCGATGACGAGGGAGCTGGAGAAACGGACGGGGGCCTTCGGGCCGGCCTGTGCGACGGGCGGGAGGATGGAGTGGCGTTTTGACGACGACGACATTGTGCCGGCTTGTGCTGTAGCTGGGCCCAGGCTGCTGTTGCTAAGGTGTCGCAAGCAGGATGGGCATGATTGTTGATGTTGATTGATTCCGGGTCCGGTCGGCGGAGTGATGGCTGGGCGCCTGTAGTCGTGTAGTAATCAGGGCCCAAGAATCAGGGACTTCTCCCGAGACAGGCAGTTCCTTGTTGGGGAGGATTCTGCCGTAGAATTCTCGTAGTGGTTGCGGCGGGTGGTCTCGAGAATGCGTGAAGGGTATCAAAGCCTAAAGTCAATGAGGTCAGGCCGAGGAAGCTCGTTGCCACCCCTGCAGCCGGCGCACTAACAGCAACGGAGCTACGTGCCACCCAGCGCAGGAGCGATTGCGCCTCTGGTCTGTTATCGCGCCAGATCGCAGAGCCTCACAGGACCAGTCTGGGCCAATCAACGCATCTTCCATTCTAAGCGGCCCCAAGTTTCAATTGCACCTGGACCTCGCCGCCATCCCGACGACAACGCCAGCGACTTTCTTGCTGCCAATTGGCACCCCCCACCCCCCCCCCCAAACACCGCTCGACCGGGCACCGACACAAACCCACACACACGCCACGATGTTATCACGAACGACAGCACCGACAGCAAAGTCCTCAGCCCAGGCCCTCTCCAGGGCGGTGGCACCGGCGGCGGCGGCAGGAGTGGCGGCCAGCGGCACATCCCCACGAAGCTTCGCGACCGTCCAGGATGGCAACCCGGTGAGGCACTACGGCGGCCTCAAGGACCAGGACCGCATCTTCCAGAACCTCTACGGCCGATACCCCCCCGACCTGAAGCACGCAAAGAAGATGGGCGACTGGCACAAGACCAAGGAGATCGTGCTCAAGGGCCACGACTGGATCATCGGCGAGATCAAGGCCTCTGGCCTGCGAGGGAGAGGAGGTGCCGGCTTCCCCTCGGGGCTGAAATGGGTACGTTTGTGTGCTCACCGCGGCCCTTTGGCCCACAGACACAGGCGCTGACACTGCTATCACCAAAGTCTTTCATGAACCCCAAGGGCTGGGAGAACGACAAGAAGCCCCGCTACCTGGTCGTCAACGCCGACGAGGGCGAGCCGGGAACGTGCAAGGACCGCGAGATCATGCGCAAGGACCCCCACAAGCTGGTCGAGGGCTGCCTCATCGCCGGCCGCGCCATGAACGCCACCGCCGCCTACATCTACATCCGCGGCGAGTTCGTCTACGAGGCCGCCATCCTGCAGGAGGCCATCAACGAGGCCTACGCCGACGGCCTGATCGGCAAGAACGCCTGCGGCTCGGGCTACGACTTTGACGTCTACGTCCACCGCGGCGCCGGCGCCTACGTCTGCGGCGAGGAGACGAGCCTGATCGAGTCGCTCGAGGGCAAGCCCGGCAAGCCCAGGCTCAAGCCCCCCTTCCCGGCCGCCATCGGCCTCTTCGGCTGCGCGTCCACCGTCACCAACGTCGAGACCGTCGCCGTCGCCCCGACCATCTGCCGCCGCGGCGGCAGCTGGTTCGCCGGCTTCGGCCGCGAGCGGAACCAGGGCACCAAGCTCTTCTGCATCAGCGGCCACGTCAACAACCCCGTCACCGTCGAGGAGGAGATGAGCATCCCGCTGCGCGAGCTCATCGACAAGCACTGCGGCGGCGTCCGCGGCGGCTGGGACAACCTGCTCGCCGTCATCCCGGGCGGCTCCTCCACCCCGGTCCTGCCCAAGCACGTCTGCGACGACCAGCTCATGGACTTTGACGCCCTCAAGGACAGCCAGTCCGGCCTCGGCACCGCCGCCGTCATCGTCATGGACAAGAGCACCGACATCGTCCGCGCCATCGCCCGCCTGTCCCACTTCTACCGCCACGAGTCCTGCGGCCAGTGCACGCCCTGCCGCGAGGGCAGCAAGTGGACCGAGCAGATCATGAGCAGGTTCGAGAAGGGCCAGGGCCGCCTGCGCGAGATCGACATGATCCAGGAGCTGACCAAGCAGGTCGAGGGCCACACCATCTGCGGTACGTGACTTGACCCCCCCCCCCCCCCGGGTCTCCCTCCCCCGCTGTTGCCGCTTCCCCTTCCTGCCCTTGCTTGCTACGCCCTGGTGCTGACTTTTACCCCTTCTAGCTCTCGGCGAGGCTTTCGCATGGCCCATCCAGGGCCTCATCCGACACTTCCGGCCCGAGCTGGAGAGGCGCATGCAGGACTTTGCACAGAAGAACGGCGGCGAGGCTCTGGCCGGCGGCTGGGCGCACGACACGAGGGCCAAGGGCCAGCTCGTCTCCCCCGGCCAGTAAGTAAAGGGGGGCTCATGTGTGTAGATTGAGATGTTTCAAGACATGAGGTAGTGTTGGTTCGCAAGTAGCGGCGTACGGTGGTCTGAGAGGTTGAAAACAAAGAAATCTTTTTTCAAAAACCCTGACTTTGTACATTGTTCCTACGTCAGTAGTTGTGGTAGAACTTCCTTTGGGAATGTACTATACTTGTGTGTGTGTGTGTTGTTGCCAGAGGGTATGATTCCTTGTGCAGTGTGCATGTGCAGCTGTGATGCTGCCTTTTCTGACCAGCCCCGGGCCATTAGCTGTGATCATTAAACGAGTGCGTGCTGTAACAATCAATCATCTTGGACACCAACCTGAGTGGTTGAAAAGTTACAAGCGTGCCTCCTCTCGTTGAGAAACACTTGTATCCCAAATGAAAGCTGCTTTAGCTGGTATGCCTCTTGATTCCAGAAAGATCACTCGGGAGTTTCGATACCACACCAACCACAGAGCGGTAGCAAAAAAAGGGGGAAGGAAAAAAAAGAAGTCGAATTTTTTTCAGAGTGAAGACAATCTTGGTGAGTGGACTGGCTTGATGTGATGTCTTTCTTGAGAGGCCATTGTACCTAGGTACATATCCGTATCACAATACAATGCCACAATATTACCGAAACTTGGGAAGGGCTGAAATTTGGATTCCATTCATTTTGTAACGGAGAGTTAGAGGCATTTTCTCACAAATGCTCTGATCGTGCCATCAAGAATCGCAGTTGGCAAGTGGTGCTGCTGCAGGGTGATCGATCCACCGTTGTCTCTGACCAGGGCCGTGTTGCAGGTGCTGAGCCAGAGGTCGGGCTGAGGCCAAACCAGTCTCCTCAATGGCGGCAGCGGCGAACTGAATTGAATGAATGGTGGAATCGAATCGCTCCACTGTGAATCCCGAATGTGAGTCCAAACCTTTGCGATCAAGGTCCAGGTCTGCTTGTGGGGTTCCTCCTCCCCGGGCCATCTCTCAGCAGAAGTATTACACCTGGCCTTCCACATCAACATTTCCCAGCACAAGGCGCCAGCTCAAGCCGCATCTCCAAGAAATCGGGCACCGACCTTGAACTGAAAGTTCGACTTCCCGCCGTAGATGCCAAAGCTCTTACGAACAGGATCCCAGGTCCCCAGGGTAGCCGTACTCGTTGGGGCGTGAAAAGTACGCAGGCACGGAGCATTCTCCGTAGCCGATGTTGATGTTCGTATCGTTGCCTAGGTGCATCTAGATAGGCAACGTAGATCAGTATCGCCCGCTTCCCTCCGCAAGAAATTCATGATGTGTCTTACCTGGCCCGAGACCTGGTGGTGTTCCCCGCCCATCTGGCTCTGGAGACAGCAGCCCGCAAAGTTGAAAGCCCGGTGGCCACTGGCGATGGAGGCGGCCACGGCAGCCAGGTTCGAGGCCTCTGTCGTGACCATCTCGCCCGTGTCGTTGCACCACTGTATCACGTTTTTATTTTGTCAGTTGTCTCAACCATCCATACATCCAACAAGGCAAGTGTGTAGTTGCAGGAAATAGTTCGGACTGACGTAGACGGCAGTGCTTCCTGGGCTGTCTCTGGTCCCGGCGCATGCGAGGCGCTCGCAGTTGGTCCCGCCGGGGAGGCCGGCGATGGACCACATGGCGTGCTCGGCGTCCTGGCCGCCGGGGGCGCCCACCCTAGACACGACTTCTTGAAGCTCGTTCGCTATGCGGGTTGGTGGGGGTCAGCTGTGTCCGTGGCATGCATGATTGAAGAGTGCTGGGCGTGGGGACGACTAATACGGGAAAGGAAAGCCGTTGTCATCATTTGTCGTTGGCTTTTACTTACCATCGCCAGTGGCAAAAGTAGAACAGTCCCAGTGCATAGGTCCGAAGAAGTCGGAGAGCTTCAATGATCCATGGATGTCGTTGCGGGCGGCCACCCTGTCTGGGTACTTGTAGTAATATGTCGAGTTTCCCGCGTCAAACACCTCGGAGGCCTCGTAGCTCGGCCGATTGTTGGTCATGAATGGGCTTGTCGGGGCGTAGTCCGTGGCCAGGGACGGGTTCAGCGCAAAGATCTGCTCCTCGACGGATGATGCGTCGCCGTAGAGGGTCACCCTCCCGTGGCCAGCTACCTCGCCAGTCCAGCTGAGACCAGACACGGGAGGATGTGTGCCATCGGCGGCGATGGTGGGGCCCAGGAGGGCGAAAAAGAGCTATGTCATTGTCAGGCTGATTTCCTTTCAGCGACGGAGGGATTCATTTGCTGGAGAGTGCAAGTTTGGGGATATGATGGCAAACTCGCATTGCAGTGGGGAACTGTCAACTTACAATTGCGAATGAAGACCACATGTTGGACGGACAATTTGTCAATGCTGGGTCCCAGTTGTCTGCTGTCATTGATAGACACTGGCTTCGATGGTCCTTGGTCCCTGTAACGACTGAAAAAGACGAAAGGTTTTGGGAGAGGAAAGAGAACCTGACCACATTTGAGTTGGAATGTCAATCGATGCAGTAAAGTGCACTGGAGCTATGGGTAACGGTAAAAGGTAGAAAGTGTGGCCCCGTTGCTTCCTTCCAACTTGAGTGCACATTCGCACAACTTCCAAGTTTAGAACTGCCACTGCTTTCCGGCAACAACCCCAACTCCAGGGCAGACGCTCTTGTTCTAACTGAACGATTCATCCATCCCAAGGCCAGAACGTCAGGGTCCACCACCAATTCGTCGGCTTCTCTGAACCTGCCTTCAGACTCGACAACCTGCCAGAAAGCGGTACCCTCGGCCACTCACATTGCACATTCGACTCACCCAGCCCGAGGCATCTCAGTCAGGATGACCCCATTTTACCTGGCCCCTTTGATGCTCCTCTTCCTCCTGGTGTTTGGATCCCCCGTGAATCCAAACTGTGGCCCAGAGGCTGGAGACTGTGCCATTTCCACTGATGGTCCCGGCAACCCTGACGACGGACCCGACACGCCTATTCCTGAGACCATGGCGATCGTCTGCACCGGAAAGCAGGTCCACAATGAGGCCCGGATCAAGACCATGGCCAGGATGATGGACTGGTCAGTGCATCCGTCGCCCGAACCGAATCGCGCCCAGGAGACCAGGGGACAGGCAGAGAACGGTTGGGCTGACGAGCCGCACAGGTGCTACTGCGGCAACACCCTCAACCCCAACGGTCTAGAGTACGCTGGCTTCTCGGTCTACGAGGACAGAATCGACCCCCAAGAGCGGAACCCGTCTCGCACTTGGGCCTGCACGTAAGTGTTCGCCAAACCCCACGCCTCACCGTGTGGATCACCATTCACCGAGATCTTTCTCAGCCCCTTCCGGAAGATGGCGGCTGACCTTGATACCGAAACAAATATAGCAAGAAGCAGCAGCAGCCCTGTAGCGACATTCAGGACTGGTACAGCGCCCTCGACAACGTCACCCAGGCGTGTGGAGCCGGGTACACGGGATACTTCTACGATGCCGTGCGGGAGATGGCCTGGTATATCGACGATCCCTTGCCCGTGACTGACAGGAGGAGCGCTAACATTCTCGCCTCCAGGGGCTTCGAGACCTGGAATGAGGACACATACTGCAGCAACATCGTGTGGCTCACCTAAGGACAACCCTGGTAAAGAAAAGGTCTAGGAGATGCGGTGCCCTGATTCTAGAGTTGAATCTCTTTGATGCTTCTTATAAATGTGGTGGTTTTCCGTTGTCTAAAAACACCACCTTGGAGCCATTATTGGGGAATAGAAATCCGGCTTGGAAGACCTGTTGACGTGGGACCAAATGGTCACGGGAGACTATAGGTGCTGATGCGAGGCCAGAGATCCAATTATGGAATCATAATGACATGTGGGTGCTTGAATCAAGCATGAGACGGTCAATTAGCTACCACCAGCGTTAATGGGGCCAAAGGTGAGCAAGTCATTGTCTCCAGAACTTCTCGCCAGATCTAGACCTCCACTCAGGGCAACGTCTTGGGGCCGCAGCTGCATACCGGTAACTATCTGGCACATCCTGCCAGATTGATTGACCTTCACTTAGCACAAAAGGATCTGGAAATAGTACGCAAATTCAGAACGGGATCTATATCAAGTAATCGTGACCAAGGGGCCATTTTTGCTCTTGTGAATTATTCCCAAGCACCGTCTGTGGTGGTGCCGAGGCCCATGATCCAAGGATTCCTGCAAGACACGTTAAGATCCACCCAGGTGTCAAATAGACAGGTACTTAAGAATCATCGAAATTCACCTTTGTCCTACGGAGGACTACCGTGAATTTAAATCCGTCATATCGGGATAGACATGGCTGTCACGACCGGGGGGTCTCACGGTGGAGGAACTAGTGGTCCGAGGGGCCGCACGGCTTCCTTACTTTATAAGTAAATATTAACTAATAGTAATATTAAGTATATTATAATTTTATTTAATTAAGCCTAATAAGTTACTAGATAGTCTACTTTATTTTTAAGTTAGGTAATTATATTATATTAATTACTATATACTTTATTATATCTTTTAATATTCTTTTTAAATATAAAGTTAAAAGACTTATAATTATAATTTTCTAATTAATTTTTATTTAACCAAGTATTCTATTATACTATAACTTAATCCTACCTTATATAAGCCTTTCCTTAAGTTTTTATAAATTTTTTATTTCTTTAAAAAAAATTAAAAGTTTAAATTTTTTAAATTTAATATATATAGTATAGTGTTAGAACGGAGAGTATACTCGAGCCCCATGGAATAACCTCCTATAGGACAACCTCCTATACAATAACCTCGTATGAGGTAAGCTTCTACAGTCCTATGGGATGACATCTTATAGAATAACTAAGTAGTTCAGGTGTACCCTCTGCTTTTGCGGGTGCGAATCCTCGATCTCAACACAAAATGCCGGTCAAAGTAGTGTCTCGCTACCTAGGTAGCGGTAAATAGTCTAACTTTGCCCTCTTTTTTGCCATTGTGTTAAAAACTCGTCCTCAAAGAGCTCCTCTGCCGAAGGCCGCTCCTTTGGGTCCCACCGCAGTATTTTACGAACAAAGGCAAGTAAAAGGTCCTTGTCTTCGCCCTCCAACTTCTTCTCGCGCCCCTCGAGAGTTTGTTCAGGAATCGGAGTGGCGGCGATCCAGTTACCTACAATAGCTGGTCAGATACATTGGAAAGGTGTTGGACCCTCCAGGGCTAGCCTCACCTTCACAGTCCCAGAATTGACGACATTTGGTGCTCCGATCTAAGAACTCTCTTGGTGGTCGACCCATGAGAGACACCATTTCCGCAAGGTGTTGTTCGTCGTTCAGGTGCCCATCCCTTACAGCACGGAAAAGACGCCCCCCCTCGAATAGATCCCAGACCTTGGTTGAATCAATCAGTCGACCAAGCTCAAAATCTTGAGAAACCTCTTCCTTACCATGACTCCAACAGACCAAATGTCTATTTTGGAATCCCATTCCATGCCAAGTATAATCTCCGGAGCCCGGTAAACACCAGGCATAACGTCACCTGTGTGCTTTTGCCCTGGCTCACCTAGACACGCCGCGCCGAAGTCAGTGATGACTGGGGCGCCATTTGTGATTGGCATTGTGTATGAAAGATGAATCACGCGGTCATCTAGGATCTTGCGTGGTGAAGGATCCTGCAACTCCTTCAGTTCGATGGTTGAGAAAACGCCGACATCTTCCACCCCAAGGAGAACATTGTTCGGCGATAGGTCTGGAACATATTTCAGTATCAACGGAACAATTTTACAAAGAGAGAACTTTACCAGTGTGAATCACACCCGCCTGATGCAGGAAGTCTAGGCCGAGCAAAATCATGAGCAGGCTTTGCTGCAGAAGATCCTTATTCAGGGCATTATTTGGGAACAATGTTCGAAATTTCGTGTACGTGAGACCAAGAGGAGCGAAAACCAAGCACTGGTGGGACCCATTCGGTCCTCTGATCTGGAAGCTGTCCTGTGCCACTCGTAGACGCTCCTTGCCGGGATGCTCGGCCTCGATGGACTTGACAAGCTCAGATACGGTGACTTCGTTGGACGGATCTTGTCCCGTGGTGCAGATTTTCAGCGTATGAAATGTGCTCTCACTTTTGAGAGGCAGTCTCGTAATCAGTCATAGATTGGCATGAAGTCGGCGGGAGTTTGGGATACATACTTGAGGTCTCGGCTCAGCCAAACCGTTGAACTGGTGCCAAATCCTAGTTTCGCGACAACTTGATACCTGGCGCAGAACACTTCTCCGAGCTTGACAGGGTAGAACTTTTCGGCTTTGTATTCTGGCACCGTTTCTTCCTCGACCTTGTTTTCCAAAGGGAGCTTTTCAACCCCCCCGCTGGGAAAAGCGAGGGTCTGGCTTGGCGTTGCGCTTGCGAAAGCTCGAGGGGCCAAAGGCAATTGACAGCGGGGAAATCTGGGTCCAGAAAGGGAGGACTCGAGATGCCCAGCTAGTGAAAACAAGGAGCTGAAAGTTCGCCTGGGTCTTATCCGCTGCATTATCATTCTCATAGCCTGGTCGATGTGATGCAGGCATGCAGGCTCGCAGGCGTAGAAATGGGAGACGCGGAGCTCAAGTGGGCACCGTGCCGGGATCCGGAAACACCCTTCTGTCCAAGCCCGAATTCTCCAGTCCGGACCCCAATCAAGCACCTTTCCATCAATTGCGACATGACCCATGGATTGAGGCTTCCAAAGTGACTGCAGTTCATCCCGGTGACCTCGACTGGCACAAGAGACTCGTGCAGTCACCTACGTAGCTGCATCGAACCGCAGGACGGCGGGGACACTTCTGCAGGGTCTTCTTTGACGGAGGAGACGACGACGCCATGGCGCCATCTACGCTGGAGCAGTTCATCCGCTTCGGCACCGATGCTGGTGAGTTCCCGCCCGCCCAGTTACAATTGCCTAGATCAAGACGCCTTATCTCATTTTTTTCATCATACTTGATTGGGGTGCATTGTCTCATCCCCTCCTGGTTCATCTTGGCCCCCAGAGACTGTCACGCGACTGACCGGGCGCTAATACTCCTTCCTACCTTGTCCAGCCGCCATAGAAAGGATGCTGCGGATGGCCCAGTCGATAGCCATGGTCGTCGCCGCATACCCCCCGCTGCTGGACGGCTTCGCCCAGCTGGTGGTGCTGGGCAGCCAGGAGGAGCACGCCTGGGCCGACCCCAGGGCCGCGGGCGCGGTGGTCCTCGGCGGCCTCAAGGGGCACCTGGCCCTCGCCCGGCGCTTCTTCCGCATGTTCCGCTTCCTCGAGTCGTTCCACGCGGCGTACCAGCTGTACACGTCGCTGTACTCGCAGCCGCAGCCGCCGCCCGCATCAACGGCAGCAGCCCCTCCTCAGCCCGCACCACCCGCCGTTCCTGATGATGATGATGCCAAGGACGGGGCCCAGCCAGCAGCAGCACAGCAGACGCGCGCAGCAGTCCCGCACGCCCGCGGGGGCGCCCCGGCCGAGGCCTGGCTAGACATGTTCGGGCGCACCTTCAACGGCATGTACCTGCTCCTCGAGACGCTGTGCCTCGTCGACGCGATGCAGGTGCCGGGGCTCTCGCCGTGGGGCCCCGCGCGGGCCTCGGCCCTGCACGTGGAGGGCCAGCGCTTCTGGGTATTCGCGCTGGGCTTCGGGGTGGCCAGCGGGCTGGTCAAGATCGTCAAGATGCTCGCCTATGCACCGGTGCCGCCGCCGCCTGTGGCGGGAGAGGGCCACGGGACCAAGGGCGAGAAGGGCGAGATGGCGGACTGGGAGAGGGAGCGGGAGAGGCTGCGCAGGATCATGTGGGCGCGCAAGGAGCAGGGACGGCTGTGGAGGGCGAACGTGAAGGCCCAGTCCAAGGGGCTTGTGAGGAGGTGCGTGGCGGACCTGCTGGATATTGTGATGCCTGGGACCATCGTGGGCTGGTGGAAGGCGGACCAAGGCACCCTGGGCGTCATCTTGATCGTCACCACGTACCTCACGGGCTGGGAGGTGTGGGAGAGGTGCGGCAGGGAAGTCGCGAGTCGGTAGGGGAAATAAACCGTTGATACAAGTCGAGCTTGGAGGAGCATATATACATGACTACATATGTACCTGGTATGCGAGTACCTCTCAGGCTGGCCTCTGCTATTATTCATGCTCAATGCCAGGCCCTGATTTCCGAGAAAAAGTTTGCGCCCAGACAGACCGTCTGAATGCGCACAGCAATCGGTTTAGATGTCTACTATCAAGACAGTCTGCTCCTCATCACAACCGCTAAAGATGTACCTCAGCGTCCGCCTACCTAGCTCTTGCTGGCCTTACCAGCCATCTGCTTAATAAGAGCTTGGACTTGGAGAGCTAGTAAGGGCTATTAAGAGCTTGATACCCGAAACTTTTGGTTTTTAGAGAAAAATCATAGGTTAGAAAGAATCTGACAGAGGGTAAAATATACTTTTAAATATCAGGAGGTTGCTTAGAAAAGTACCTAGGTACCTGGGTAGGTACGGAGTACTGGGTAGGCTACTGAAAATAGCTGGGTAGGGCGGTCCATCGGCAGGCGCTTGTCACATTCTTATCAGCCCGCCTATCGATAAGTCCACAATTTTTTTTCTTGGGGGGAATAGCTTCCTTGAGGCTTGACTTTGCGCCGCCTGCAAATTTTCTTCAGGCCTTTGACTAAAGCAAACGTGGTGCTCGATATCTGCCTTCCTCCCTCACCCCCGAAAATTGCCCATTGATGTCGTCCGGTCCACCATCTTGGCTCTTCTCAAACAACACCGTCCGAACAACAGAAGCGCCCACATCCTCTTCCTCCCTACCTCCCACCACAACCACATCCACATCCGCCATGGCTGGCAAATCAAAGGACAAGTCCGCCGACAAGAAGAAGGCCACCAAGCCCAGCAAGAAGGCACAGAAGGAGGCCACCCCCGCCCCGCCCGCCCAGCTGCTGGACCTCGTCGAAGGCTTCCTGTCCTCCAACCAGTTCGACGACGCCCACGCCGCCTTCAAGCAGCAGCGGACCAAGAACGGCTGGGCCAGCCCCTCCAAGGGTGCTCAGCCCGAGGGGCAGACCCTCGTCGCCGTCTACGAGACCTGGAACAAGTCCCGCAGTGCCTCTGCAGCCGCCAGCAACGACGACTCGAGTTCATCCGACAGCGACAGCTCCAGCGACGACGACGACAGCGATGTGAAGATGGAGGATGCTGCCGCGGCTGCCGAGGAACCGGACAGCTCTGACAGCTCCTCCAGTTCGAGCTCTGAGAGCGACAGCGACAGCGACAGCGACAGCGAGGGTGAGGACGAGGGGAAGAAGGTCAAGAAGGAGAAGAAGCCTGCGGTCAAGAGCGAGCCGTCCGACTCATCCTCCTCCTCGAGCGACTCCGACTCGTCGTCCGACTCCTCTAGCGATTCTGACGAAGACGAAGCTGCGGCGAAGCCTGGTCTCGGGACAGCCGCCGCTGCCACCAACCCACTGAAGCGGAAGGCCCCCGCCAAGAGCGAGTCCTCCGATTCTTCCGACTCGGACTCCAGTTCCTCCTCGGACGACTCCGACTCTGATTCCTCCAGCTCGGAGGATGAGAAGCCAAAGGCCAAGAAGCAGAAGGTGGAGGAGAGCAGTAGCGACAGCTCCGACTCGGATTCGGAATCTAGCTCGGACTCATCCTCCGACTCGGGCAGCGACAGCGACTCCGACTCGGACGATGAATCCGAGACGCTCAAGAAGGCGGCCAACACCAAGCTCCCCGAATCCGGCTCCTCCTCCTCCTCCTCCTCAGACTCCGACTCCGCCTCCGACTCGGACGCGAAGAAGCCCGCCGCCAAGCCCGTCACGAACGAGTCCGACTCCTCCGTCACCTTGGGCAAGACCTCCCCGGAGGTCTTCCCGCCCCTGCCCCCGAACCCCGTCAAGGCCAACAACCGCGGCAAGAAGGACGGCTCCGCGGCCCCGGCCAGGAAGGTCCCCAACGAGCCCTTCTCGCGCATCCGCAAGGACATCAAGGTCGAGGACAAGTTCAAGTCCAACGCCTTCACCGACAACGCCCACGACTGGGGCCGCAAGGCCCACGAGGACCTCATCGTCACCCGCGGCAAGGGCTTCACTAAGGAGAAGAACAAGAAGAAGAGGGGCAGCTACCGCGGCGGCTTCATCGACGTCAACGCCTACCAGGGCATCAAGTTCGAGGACTAAGCGAGCCTTTTGGTGCACAACTTTTGAGGACGCCTTCTGTCGGCGCTACATATACCTGTGGGGGTGGGCCAATAGACAGGGAATTGGCTCACATCCGCTGGGACAGCCGACCAAGACTGACTGGCCGGATGGCTTGGCGGGTTTTGTGCATCTGGGCAGAGGCACGGGGAAAAGTGACGCGTGGCAAGGCAGGGTCAAGCACAGTGGGACGCCGTACGATCACCATTGTCCAAGCCGAGGAGACTGCACTTTTCCAACGGCCATCGTTGCCCCTCACTCTCACCCCCCTCAAGAAGGGTCCTTGCCTGGTGGCCCGACCCTGGTCACAGATCCATGGTTGGCAATGATGATGGCCAGCCACCAACCACAAGGAGTGGTCCCAGACGCAGATTTATTTATTCCCATCGTCCTCCCCCCGTTAGCTCCCGCAAAATAACTCACACGTGCAACTCCCAGGCGGGGCGCTGACCTGTGCGGGATGAGCTGGAGGAAACCTGAAGCATTTCGTGCGGCGTTGATGAATATGGTGGGGAAAATACACTTGATTCGAGTTTGGCTTCGGATGAAGCCGTTGACTATCTACGAGATACCTTCTTTTTTTTTTTTTTTGTGGAAGAATCGTATCCCTCGCGTTAGGTAGATCTGTGTCTTCCTTGGTCTGGGTGTGTGGCGCGTTGGGTGGAGGATCATAGACAAATAATACCAGCAAATATTCGCACAATTTCGCCTTCTCCCTATAGTGCCATGGTGAAAACAGCTATCATATTTGAATGTTTCAAGACATCGTCGGGTATGCCCGCGTGGCCCACCGCAACCGTCGTCAAGATCTCGTGCGACCCCGGGACTCGTCCGCCACTGTGAGAGCACTGCCTGTCACGTAAACCGTACACTTGTCCCGCTAATGATCGGGCTGGATCTCGCCACGCCATCAAGGTGATGGGAACTTAAACACAAGCGCGGGGATGTGACGGCGCTGCGGGTGGGCTGTGTTGTGTGCATGTGGCGGGTGGTGGCTACGGTTTGCGTACAGACCGCTTACAACGTGGAACTCCGAGATCCTCTGCTGGGAAAACCTGACAATGGTTGGAGCCAATACCGGTAGGGTGGTTTCGTTTTTAATCCCCATACATGTAAAATGTATGTGGCGCCTTCATACAATGCTGTGAAGATCTAACACGAGCCTTTTTCCTTCATAAGGATTCAAAGCTACTCGCGTGCGAGACGGTATAATAGGCTCGTCCTGTCTCTGAGGTCCCCTGCCCAAAAGAACCATCGGGAGGACATCATGGAGAACAGCCAAGATTCTCCAGAATTATCCAAGGTCCGTGAATCCCCACGTGCTCTCGTTTCCCACTGCTATAGGAGAATGCCCCCGTCGGAAGCCAAGGACGACATGTCTTTACAGGGGAGGGTTCTGTGTCCCTGCGAGCAGGATCCCCTTTCGGGATGCGAAAAAACCTGCCCAGGTGGTCTCGTGACCAAATGTAGAGTCATGCTTGCTATCCGACGGGTCGGTTGTATTGCCGAATATGCTCTGTCGGTGTGTTTTCTCAACTGTCTTGGGAGGCTAGATCTAAAGCCAAGAAATCGTGACTCCACAGCCGCAGAAGTTAATTTGGCAGCAAATTTTTATCAGATCTAGAGATAATCTATTAAGGGTGGTCGGGATGTGCCGATCAGTTCTTGCATTTTCTCTGCTGTCTCCGGTTGCTTTTACAGTGACTTCAACACCGTGACATTTGTTATCTGATCGTGTAGGGACTGATCAACAGACACACTGCCGGTTGTGAAAATGTCGGCTGAGAAGACCCCCATTGGGGAGAAGATCCGAGGTAACCAAGACAGTCGATTGGGAATGATTGAGTGGGACTGACCGTGATGCAACAGTCTTCTTCCTGGGCGATGAGGCAAAGACCAAGGAGGAGAGGAAGCTGGTGCGGAAGATCGGTAGGTCACACCAGCGGACTGATCTGTGAGCTCGAGCTGACATATACATAGACTTCTTCATCTTGGTAACTACATCTGCTCGGCCGAACAGAATGACCCGAATTAATTGTATTGGCAGACTTACTGCTGTCTGAGTTACTTCTTCAACTTTCTTGGTAAGTGCCGCACCAACACCGATCAACCAACATCGAGCTCGAAACTGACCTTTATTCTCTGTAGATCGCGCTGCTTTTGCCAATGCATATGTTAGCACATGCCGTCTTTGTTTCACCTTACAAAACGTGAATGCTCATCTTCAATGCACAGGTTGCCGGGCTTCGCGAAGACTTGAACATGAAAGGCCATGATTACAACACCGTCCTTTCCGTCACAACTGCTGGGTCAGTCAACCAACCATTCCCAGAGTAAAGGTTTCGGCATGTCAAGGCGAGCTGACAAAAAGTCGCAGGATGGCCATCGGCCAGATTCCTCACGGACTGATCATACAAAAGATCAAGCCGCGCATCTGGCTCCCGTCCATGGTCGTCGTCTGGACTGTCATGACGGTTCGTTGGCCCCCCCCCCCCGGTAAACGCACAAGTGCGGGTCGAGAGACTGATTTTGGTGTCATAGATGGCCAGTGCAGCATGCAAGACTGTCACCCAGCTTTGTGTTGTCCGCTTCTTCCTCGGCGTGGCAGAGGCCAGCACATATGCCGGGACAATCTACATCATCGGCTCGTGGTACAAGCCCAAGGAGATCTCCAAGCGCACGGCAATCTTCACGGCCTCCGGACAGGTCGGCACCATGTTTGCCGGTGTGATGATGACTGCTATTTACAAGGGTATGGGAGGCCTGGGAGGACTTCAGGGGTGGAAGTGGGTTTTCCTAATCGGTAAGAATTTCGGAGACGCGAATTTCGGCGTGTATTAAGAAAACGCGGTCACTAACACGCCATAAGACGGAATCATCACCCTTCCTATTGCCCTGTTCGGTTTTTTCTATTTCCCTGATATCCCGGAGAACACCACGGCGACTTACCTTAACGAATCCGAGAGGAAGATGGCGGTTGCTCGCCTTCCCCCCATCAAGGAAGGAGGACACAGCATCAACCCATTTTCACTGATGAAGCGCTTGTTCCTTCAACCTTTCTTGTAAGCTGGGTTCCCATTTCTCACCGCACTGTTTACTGATCCGTAAAATAGCTGGATCCTTGTGTTCTGGTCCCCGGTCTGTGCCACCCTCGAAGCCTATTCTGTCCAGAATAACTTCCTCATCTGGCTCAAATATCAATCGTCACACTTCTCCCAGAGCCAGATCAACACCTATCCTCTAGGTGTGCAGGCTGTCGGTATCGCATCGAACATGTTGGCCGCCTGGCACATGGACGCCACCGGGACCCGTGTCCCCATGGCCGTGCTGGCCGTGATGTTGCAGCTGGTCTGCGCCATCATGCTCCTGGTCCCGACGCTGCCGTTCGCCGGGACCTTCTTCGCGTTCTACCTGTCCGGCACCGCCTACATGGTTAATCCGCTCATCTTTGGCTGGGCCAGCATCATCCTCCAGCGCACCGGGGACGATGCCGTCCGCAGCGTCACCGTCTACTGCATGAATGTTCTTTCTTTGACCCTTTATACCTTCTGGGGTATTGTGTTCTACGCGGCTGATGAGGCCCCGTACTGGAGGAAGGGCGGCATCGCCATGGTAGTGTGCTGCTGCGTCATGCTGGGCTATGTGTGGGTTGTCTGGAAGGTGAGTGGTGATGGGAAACCCCGAGGTGGAAACGAAAAGGAAACAGCTGACATGTTGGATCACAGCTTGATAAGTCTTCCTTTGAGAAATTTGGAAATCCCGCCATCCAAGAGACAGAGATGTCGCCTGCGAGCTCGCGAGATGGCGGTGGTAATGACATGGCGGCTAAGGAAGAAGGCGACAAGGACATTAGTTCCGAGAAGGTTATCGCTTTGTGAACAAGCTGCATATCGTTACACGAAGTTTAGAAGGAGCATACATTGACGTTGCCATCGATATTGCCACCTTCGAGCCGTACTTGAACAGCCACAGGATGACCATTTCATAGTTCTCGGGAATTGAGAACCCACGATTTGTATAATCACACCTCTGGTTTCTGCCACACAGCCATCGTCAACCGGTAGCCCAGCAAGTACTTTCATGTGGAAGCATCGGGTGATTATTACTTTCGAATGAATGATATGAAGGGAACCTGGGGCATTCTGTGTGATGTTGATAATTACAAGGGAAGCGTGAATCAATACTTACTTATTAAGTCAGGTTAAACTTAGATACAAGTACCCAGGTGGTTACTAGTGCTGAGGTCATAGTATGGGATCTTCCTCTTCATACAGAAACTTCATCCTTACATAGAATTCCATCTAGATTTATCCATAGTTTTGACCACTCACACATATGGGTTATAAGATAGTTAATGATGCATGATCTTCTTATAATGTTGGTGGCATTGTCTTAGTCTTTTTTCGGATGCTGAGTCTTGACCGTTTACCACTGTTCGAAGGCGCCATGTATGTCTTCGAATGTATACGGAATAGAAGTAAAAGCCAGCTATTTAAGGAAGACGCCAGCACAAGGATCACCATAGCGTCAACAGGACGTGCCCTGGAAGAACTGGCTATGAGGTTGAGGCTTTCAGAGGATTTCAAGGAGTTCTTGTCTGCTGACTGACCTCCAATGAAGTGCGAGGTAGACGTGGCTGCTTCAATTCGGTTCTTTGAAAGGCCATGATTTACTTAGTAGGTGAGTTAGGACACCCATAACCTGCCCACGACATCTTTAAGGCACGCCAGGGCCGAATCTTTGCAGGCAGGGGGCGGTTCAAATATTGTAGAAGTCGACGATGGGACAGTCTTCAAAGGACGTCCTGGAGAATACCTAGGTATTGCGAGAGAGAGTTGTGAGAAGGCCGGCGCCGATACGGACCATCACTTGGGTAAAAACGTTGAAATAAGAACGGGTTCCGCCACAAACACTGGCTTATAAGTATTAAAAGTGACGCCCAAGGCCATTACCTCTCTCTATATATATAAACGTAAATATACCCTAAAGCTCCATACCATATCTCTCTTCTCTCTCTCTGAGCAATACAATACATACCACACACACCTACAATACCACCAGTCAACAGTAAGAGCTAAAGCACAGGCAATAATCACGGCTACAACATCTATAATCCCCTTGCAACATAAATAGCTATATCTAGAACGCTTGTCTGGCCAATTTCCGTGAAGTACACTGGTGTTGCTGAAAGCGATCACAGCCCGCCGTTATTAGTACATGTGAGCGCTACCGCCTGGTTCTTATCCACCGGTGCTACTCGACCTCTATGAACAAGTCGTTCCGATCGAAATGACACTATCAAGTCTAGCCGCACACCAAAATACGATATGACCGCCAACTAGTTCCTTGCTGCTTGATTCGGCTGTCATGTGCAATGCTGGAACAATTGGATGGAATATGAAGAGCTTCACAGCGTTTCTGCCAAAAATCACCGACCGGCCAACTTTGGTACCTATTCCAGAGCCTAGTGGATTGACGGTTGGCCCCGTGCACATGGCGTGCTATACACACACTGTCCTCAAAGACCGCTCGCTTGCGGATTGCCTCAAGTGCTGCGTAAACACTTTTGTCGTCTAGTGAACCTCACAAACCGGCCAATAAGAGCAGATAGCTAGCATACTATTAAGAGGTGGTTATGTAGTTTCGCTTCTATTCTATATATATTTAAGGATATATATAGTACCTTTATATAATAGTAAGTATTTAAGATTTAATATTTAAAAAGAATATAATATTAATAATAATAATTATAATATAATAAATATTTATAATTTTATTTTATAATATATAAATAAAGTTAAAAGGTATTATTTTAATAATAATAATAATAATAATAATAATAATAATAATAATAATAATAATAATAATAATAATAATAATAATAATAATATAAAAGAGTTATATAATAAAATTAAATATAAAAATAGTTATTATATAAATAAATTATATTAAAGAAAGTTTAATTAAAACTTATTCTTTTAAATATATATATATATATAGTAAAGAAATAGAGGGGTAAGTAGTTAGATTTAAATTAAGTATATTAGGTTAGTTAATTACTAAGTTAAGTTATAAATAGGCTAAGGCCTTTACTCTAACCTTAGATTAAAAACTTACTAATTAAGCTATTAATTAATTAGAATTTAGTTGGCTTACTTATATCCTTAAGGGGCTCCTATAAGTACTAAATTATTAAAAAGAAGTAACATTTTTATTATAGTTTTTATCTAATTAAAGAGTTTTATTTACTAATAAAGCTAATTTTAATTAAATTATTAATTTATTTAAAATTATTATTAAGTATATAATTATAATTTAGTTAATTTAAATACTTTAAAAACACTTTAAATTAATATTTATAAATTATTTAATTTATTTAAATTTTAATTTTTTAATAAATAAAATTAAGCCTTAACTTACTAATTACTTTTATATAACTTCTATTAGTTAATAGGTAGCTATTAACTACCTATTAGTTTATATAGGTTGTTATTATTTAAGTAGTTAAAGCTATAGAAGGTATTACTTTTTTTACTTAATTAGTTACTTTAATAGTTAGTCTAATAAGAGTTAATCTAACAATTACTCTAATAATCACTCTAACAGACTGATTAATAGTTTAATTAGTGGTTTAAGTAATTATCTAACTAATAGTCTAACTAACAGTCTAATTAGTCAATCTAATAATCGCTCTAACAGTCGCTCTCACTATTATCGCTTTAATACCCTCATCTTATATGTTCCTCCTCTTTTAGGTGTATAAACAATATATTTTAAGAGTCTACTATAAATATATAAGACTGACACGTTTATTGTTTAATTAGTATTTATTGCTTAATTAGTGTTGGGCTTAAAGGCTTAATTAATAAGTTTAGGGGACTTAATAAGCTTAAAAAAGCACTAATAGGTATATAAAAAAGAAGAAACATCCTTATTGCTGGTACTTAAGGGTAAAAGGGTGGAAATACTAGTAGCGTTAGTGATTAGCAATATTTATAAATGTTGGAATATATATAATTAAGTAGGGTAGACTATAATAAGTAGGTAGTACTATACTTTTTATAGGCTTAAGGGGTTACTTAGTAAGGGCTTCGTACCTACTATAGGCGCTATAGCGGCTTAATACTAAGGGTAGTATAAAGGGTAGTTTTAATTAAGGTATACTTTTTAACTTACTTTTAAAGGGTATTATAATTACTTTTAAGAGCTTAATTATATAACTTAAGGCTATTAACTTACTATTAAAAGGCTTAATTTTACTATTTAAGGCTATTAACTTACTATTAAAGAACTTAAATATACTATTAATTAAATTACTTTTACTATTAAAGGTTATTAATTAAAGTAGTTTAAGCTTTATATATTACTATTATAAAAAAAAAGAAAGATTAGGTTAATTAAGGTATCTCTTTTAATTTAATAACTATAATTTTATACTTTCCTAAATAGGTATAGTAGTTAATTAAGAGAAGTTTTAGGTAGGTATATCTCTTTAATAGGTTAGTAAGTAGTTAAAAATATCTAGTTTAAATAGTTATAAAAGTATATTTTTTAATACTTAATAAATAAATAAGCTATAATTTCTATAAATAGTTAATTTTAATAAAATTAATATTATTAGAATATTTATAATAAGGGTATTCTATTAAATTAAAATATTATTTATAATTATTACTTATAGTAAAGAAATAAAGGGGTAAATAATTAGATTTAAATTAAGTATATTAGGTTAGTTAGTTATTAAATTAGGTTATAAATAGGCTAGAGCTTTTACTCTAACCTTAAACTAAAAACTTACTAATTAAACCACTAACTAATTAGAATCTAATTAGCTTACTTACACCCTTAAGGGGCTCCTATAATATATATATATATATATATTAATAAAATATTTATTAAATAAATATTATAATTTTTATTTAAGTATATAATTAACTTTAAAAAAACTTAAAATAAAGAAATAATTTATAATATATTACTTTTAAAACTTTTATAAAAAAATATTAAAACTCTTAAAAAAAGTTTTAAAAGTTATTTATAAAAAAATAAAGAAAGAATATATTAAGTTTATTTTTCTTTAAATCTATATTTTTATTATTAATAATTATTAACTCTTTAATAATATAAAAAAGTACAATAAAAATAAAGGAAAAAAAGAATTTAAAGTTTTTCTATAAAAGGATTATAAGAATATATATAAAGTTATTAAAGACTTTATATATAAACTTTAAATTAAGGAAGAAATAAGTAGTTAAATAAAAAGATAGTTATATAGTGTAAAGGAAAAATATAGTGTGGCTGAAGCTAGAGGCGGTTGTATTTGAGCAACTATGTGGGGTCATTGCGTCGGGGACCCGTGATAACTAGGGCCTCAGCGGATACTACCCAGGTAGAATAGATGAATGATTAGCTACTGGTACTCTCAAGACCATTTACCGACTTCCCAGAATCTTTTATGATATTGAAAGTTCACCTGTATGCCAAGGTGCAGCAGCTTGCAACGCAGGAGGTGTGACACGATCGAATTGTCGATTTAGCCGGCATACACCGGCTTTGGTTGCAATTCGAGAAAATAGGACCGGCATGGATCTGTACATCGCTTCAATGTTGGGAGAGTAGCTCGGCATTTCCTCAACAAGATTGTGACCTGCCTGTGTGTAAAAGGTGAGTGTGCGGTGTAATGAAGGTGGAGCGACTTTGTAGATGGGCGGCGTTGTGGCGGGGCAATCTGGGGTTTTCCATGATCAAATCCGAGCCTCATATGATGGGAAATGATCCTATAGAATCGTGACCTATAGGAAGTTATTTGATAGGTCTCTACGGGCGTCATCCCCTAGGAGGTTATCATAAGACGATGTCATTCCATGGACGGGTAATACAATCAGTCTCACGATCAGTGCTTCATCAAAATCTTGTGGAGTCTA